TGCTGTAAACAGGATAAGCAGATGGATTTGTGATGCGATTGTCCTTGCTAACATGCACTACACTACGGAGTGCAACTTGTCATGCGTGGCTCCCAAAACTTCTGGATTTGTGTTGCTAAGGTCCCAACTTGACTTTTGATGGGATGGGGACGTTTTTACATATGATAGGACAAGGCAACTGTCTACGACAAAATCTGCGATGAGGCGGATAGCTCTATCGCGGACTGCGACAGTACTACGCACGACTGCTGGGAGAAGCCGGATACACTCGCTTCCGATCTACTCCCCAGGGACGTTTTGAACGAAATCGTGCAGAATCCGGACTACACGAACAACGGCCGGGGCGCCGGCGACAAGTACGAGCCGCATCAGTACAAGCGCATGAATCTCGGCAGTCCGGATTTCGTCTACGAATTTGTGCGGCTCGGGATCTGCGGGACAGCAAACTACGGCCAGTACAACAGCGGGACAACGATTGTGCCGGACTATTTGTGCAATGAACCGAACGGGGGGCTAGACACAAAGCTAGGCGTAGGGACGTACGACAAGGTGCAAAAACGGCAATACATCATCCGCCAGTGCGACAAGTTTGTGAAAACAAACAGCTACTGCGCCGGGGTGACCTGGAACCAGGAACCCGACATGACGCACGCGAGTCCCGGGTACGCTAGGCCCTACGGCAGCATGGAGCGCAACATGAACGCCATGGCCATGCCCGGTTGCTTTCCGAGGAGTGGGGGCGGCTGGAGTGCGCCGGTCGGGGATATCACCGGTGTGCGGAGTAGCGGCACCTCCGGCAACGTGGACGGCGGCGGGAACGTGTGCTGGCGCCACAAACCCGTGCCTTATTCCCCGACGTTGTCGAAATTCGGCCACTGGTACAGTAGGTTTGGGACCAACAAAGCCGGGTCTGGGTTTTGTACCGCACAGAATGCGAACCCGAACAGTGGATCTGTGGTGAAAATCGCAGAAAAAATTACGCTTGGCGAGTGTTTCAACTTGTGTGATGCGATGGGCGCGGATTGCAAGGGAATTTCGATGGACAAGAGAACGAAATACAGTCACACGTACCAGGGACAAACCTGGTCGGCCCGCGAAGATTCGGACGAAAAAAGGGATTGTTATTTGAAGTTCAATGGGAAGACTTGCCAACAATTGAAGCAATCTAACACCGGTCCGAAAAACGAAAAAATCACCTGCGATAACCTCCCGGCTGGAATATGAACTGCAAAAGTATCGCACTCGTATAAATGCATTACAAATCTTCTCAGCATGAGAAATAAAATTTGTAATGCTGATTTGCCTTGACAATGAAACTTGTAATGCAAGACCAGCATTTATACGAGTGCGATACTTTTGCACAGGATATGGAACCCCGCCGATCAATTGTCCGCTCGGTTGGCATATCAAATGCAAAAGTGTCTGGGTCTGGAAGAATGCAACTTGTAATGCGTATTTCAGAACACAGAAAAGTCTCTCATGCATACGTAGCAAAAGCTCCCACTTTTTGTCAGCAGAGTAGGGGACTTGTCATGCGGATTCGGCATTCCGGAAGGTTCTCGAAACCTGTGATGCTAGAGCTTCCATGCCAGACCTTCTGTGTCATGCAAAAACAGCATGACTCTTCCAGACCCAGACATTTTTACATTTGATATGGCAGAAGAGAAAGGACCCCAACTTTTTGTGCCCAGGTCGGTACGGGTGCTCCGCGAGTACGTGTTGCGAGGAGTCGACTTGTGCGAATAACAACGGCGGAAAAGTCGCGTCTGCTAGTGGTTTCGATTGCGCGTTCCACGGGGCGACGGCGCTATGCGGGGTAGATCCGAAAACCATCCGGTGTGGGAGAAACGGGGAGGGTTGTACGGTGCAGGACTGCTGTTCTACTGTGGCCACTGTATTCTGTGTAAAAACATCCCCACCCCAGAGTTGTCATGCAATTCTGCATGCCAAAAAAGTTTCTGATGCGGAGCCCCATGAGAAGCATTTTCTACCCGTGTTTTGGAATTTCAATTTGTGATGCTATAATCAGCATGATGTGCTAGATTTGTGATGCTGCTGAACTACCTCAACAGGATAAGGATTACACTACGATGAGAAACTTGTCATGCGAGACAACGAAAGCTGCCTGGCTGATTTGTCTAGCAGCTTTCCCATCTTGACTATGGGGTCGTGAGGACGTTTTCACTCAGGATAAGACCAATGCGGTAATTACGGGTGGGAGCTCGACTGCCCGGGCAGTGGCGGACAAGACTGCACGAAAAATTTTGGTGAAATTGCCCAGGCGGCGGCATTATGGATTGCAAAAATGTCTGGGTCTGGAAGGATCCAACTTGTGATGCTGTCTTTGGATTCTAAAAAAATCTGCATTGCATGACCAGCAAGAGGAGGGGGAGGCCAGTTTGTGTTACATGGAGAGGGTATTTCTCATGCGGAATAGGCATCACAAAGCCCTCTAAAAATCTGTGATGCTAGGCCATGCGTTACAGGCTTCGTGGCTGATGCAGAATATGCATGACAAACCTTCCATTCTTCCAGATCCAGACATATTTGCAATGCATAGGCAGGAGGGCAGGAAGTGGTGTTCGTGAAGAGGAATGTGTTTGGCGATCAATTGTGGGATAGCGGTTACATCGCGGATTTCTACAAGAGTTCAACCCAGTTGACCTCCAAAGCAGAATCCACCAAATACGGCGCAAGTAGATCAATCATCTCCCTCGGGACGCACTATGCCGTCACGAAAGATGAGTGTGCGGACGCGTGCAACCAGTTTGGGGACTCCTGCGACGGCTTCATGCGGTTTCCGAAGGACAGTGCGGATACGACGAAAGCGACCTGCGCGCTGCAGCTCCTGCAACCCAGGCCGTTGCACTGCGCGTTCGATTTCGGGAATTCTGCGAATTCGCCTTCAATAACCTCCGTTCCCGCCGCGGCTGATGTGGCAGATGGGGAGGCGAAAATCATCGCCGCATTGGCGAACGCGGCGAGCAACAACTTCGGGAGTGCGGTTAGTATCGCGAATAGCGATTTCAACTGCTGGGTCCGGACGAAGAGGGAGATGAGTCCCTACTATTTGATCCCGGGTAAAACGATCGGGATGGAATCTGTTTCGAGTACTTCGACTTACGACGACGTCATGCGGTACCACGGGGTGACGCGGGGAATTTGGCCGGTCCCATCCCACGTCTACCACATCTCGAAGTTGAACCCAACGACGCATTTCTACACGCCGATTGGAGGCACAACCGGCGGGTCTTGCGTCGGCGGGTTGGGAAAGCACGTGAAATCCGCGTTCGCGACTGTCTCCGGACAGACTCCTTCTAGTCAAGACAGCTACGCGCCGATTCAAGGTTGCTTCGACGCTTGTGACGCGATTGCGGAGTGTCGAGGGGTGTCTGTGTTAGTCGCCGGGACGTATTACGAGACCGGGAGTACCACGATCAACACGGCTGACCGGGATGTTTCTTGCGAGTTGCATTTAACGTCCTGCGCGAGCTTGTTCGACAGCACGTGGTCGGACGCCTGTACGACCACTACCACCACCACAACCTCCACGAGCTCGACCACTACTACTTCCTCCACGACGAGCTCGACTACGACTAGTTCGACCACGACAGAAACCACGACTTCGACGGTAACCACGACCACCGTGACCACCACCACCGTGACTACAACGTCGACCGTGACCACGACCGTGGCCGACGGCGGGGGCCGGCGGAGTCTCATCGCAGCAGGAAGTTCTACTTCCACCACGCGAACGCTCAGTGAAGCGCAAGCCAGATCTCTCGCTGGTGAAGACGCGGATGCGGTGTTCACGGTCGATAGTAGCAGAACCGGCGGGGAGTGGCAGTGCTGGCAGAAGCGGAACTTTGACAAAGTGATTTCCGGCGACTTCGGGGATTTGGCGCCAGCAGGCGGGTTGATCAGTAAAACGACCGTCGGGACCTGGTTTGCAAAGGCGGAGAAAGAAAGCTCGCAAAACACATGCTTAAACAAAGCGTTAAACGCGAATAAAGATGCGATTCTGGACTCCCCGACTGGAAACGCCGGTACCGGGGAACGGCGCGCTCTACTAATCGGGAACAGCGAGTCCGGGGGTGCGCAGCGCTGCGCGGCTTTATGTGCGGACCACAAGGACTGCGTGTTATGGATTGCAAGTATGTCTGGGTCTGGAAGAATGCAAGATTTGTCATGCTTGTCTGGCATGACTGTTATCTCTGTGATGCTTAGGCGCAAAAAGATCTTCTTGCCTGTCGTGCAAAAATGGAGGCTGCTATGCGGAATACGCATCACGCAGGTGCTCAAAAACTTGTCATGCTTGATCACCTATTGCGGTGAGCTCATTATTCACAAACTTGCATCACAAGTTTCCAGACCCAGACATATTTGCATGTGATACGTGTCTATTGTGTCCGATGTGAAGGGCGCGGAGAAGTTCTGCGTGCTGATCTTGGATATCTCGACTCCCTCAATTCCGAGTGCCAAGCAGGCGACTTGCTCGAGTTCGATCGAAGTGTTGAACACCGTGATCGCGGAGACCGGCGTGCAGTATAAGGATTCCAGTACTACTACCGTGTTGCCAACATCGGTGAAAAAGTACACACTGTACAACGCGCCAGCAAGCTCTTTAGCCTCCGACAAACCCTTGACGACAACGGGCGGGTTTTTGGAGACGGTCGGATCTGCGGTTTCCTCCGTTACCTTCGACTTTACTGCCGAGTGGACGAATCTGAACAACGCGATGGCGGAAACGAGCTTTATCACGAAGGCTGTGAGCGCTTTGTCGTTTTTCCTCAAGCAAAACGTGCAAAGTACTTACACCTTCGCAACCCCGACGTTAGCCATGCCGACGTTGAGCATGGATACGTCCCTCGGAACGGTTCGGAATGATGCGAACATGATCAACTCTTTATCAAATTTGTTCGTCTCCGACCGGTACCCGGTGGCGAAGGTCTACGCTTTGCAGCAGTTGGACGGGAACAAATTGAACACTGTGGTTTCCTTGAAAATCCAAATCGGGTTTGACAGTGCGGATATTGCGTTGTGGAACGAGATTCGGGGTTCTTCCATGGATAGTGGATCTTCCGCTCCAGGCGCCACGAAATTTGCCAAGTTATTGGAAACCTTCCGTCTTGCCTTAGAGTCGACTTTGGATTCCGCGATCTCGGGGAAAACCATTGTCCTCGGGGGGCCAGACTTGGTGTCCGGGTTTTTCAATTCGAATAGTGAAATAACCGTGAGTTTCCCCGTGTCTGCTGGTTCGGAATCAGTTTCGGATAACCAGATCGTGACGAAAGTTCTTGAAACTTTGACGAACTGCGACAATGGATCCACTTTCTTGAAGACCATATGCATTGCAAATGTGTCTGAGTCTGGAAACTTGTGATGCAAGGAAGGGAATAGTTTGCATATTGGACTGCGCTGCCAAGCATGACAAGTTTTTCCGTTGTTCTCAGTTGCGCATTCCGCATGAGAAACTCCATTTTTTCATGACAGTCAAGAGGAGCTCTTCGAGGCCACGCAATACAGAGCTTAGAGTCATGCCAGACTGGCATGACAAATATCGCACTCTTCTGGACCCAGACATTTTTGCATTTGATAAACCACCGTGAAAAACCAGTGGCAAACCAATATCGCAGCGGTTTCGGACATCGCGGGCTTGACGCTATCCTGAGCAAAAACATCCCCACGCCAGAGTTGTCATGCGAATCTGCATGCCTAAAATTTCTCTCTTGCGGAGCCCCATCAGACGCATTCTCCAGTGGTGTGGTGAAATTTTTGTATCTCGAATCAGCATGAAGAGCTAGGTTTGTGATGCTGCTGCACTAGCTAAACGGGACCCTATTGCGAGCCCAAACTTGTCATGCGCAGCAGAAAAAGCTTGTTGATTTGTCTTGCAGATTTCCCTTCTTCACTATGGGTTGGGGAAGTTTTTGCACAGGATAGACGCTCACTTCTGTGTCCCTCGCTGCTGATCCGGTTCTCGCTGCGAGTATGGCGGGGAGAATGGAAATCGCCAGTGCCGCGAAGACGGTCGGTGAACTCCGCTCTGCTTTTGCTTCTGCTACGGCGAAGGCGGGGCTGGCTGTTTCTGCTCAGGATGTGTTTCTGAAGAAGGACACAACTGCTTCCACCTCTTCGGATTCCATCTACGACTGGATTTTCCCGTATCGCAAGAAAAAAGTGTTACAGTTGCACATTGTGTTGCAGGCCAAGCAAGACAGACAAGCTCTGTCATGCCGGATATGCATAGGAGCATCGTTCCATAGGTGTTTTCCCGTCGGATTTCTGCATGACATGTTTTCCTTCTCATGCTGACAAATTTGTGTTGCTAAATTGACTACAAATGTGTAACTGTAACACTTTTTTCGTGGGATATCCCGGTGTCTTTTCCCAATACGGAAACCGATTTCTACTCCTTTTCGTACAACTTCCTCACTGCGAGTGACTCCGAGAACATCGACACAACTTCTCCAATTGCTGTGTTTCTGAAGGAGCAGCTCGGGGGGGGCATTGCGGTGAAAATCTTTCAGGAATCGGTGAAGCAAACCGCCTATGTCCAGGTGAAGGCTGGATTGGCTGGTGCTAGTTTCACCGGTAACCGGATGATGCTCAGGTTTGCGGCCGCAGGGGTTGCGGAGGGGGAGCAGAGTTCTATCGGAAAGATCGCGGGAGAAGATTCCTATTACGGGATCGACGTTCCGAGCTGCAAGGCACTGAGTGATGCAACGGCGAACGCCCGGACGGTTTTTGTCCCCGCGGTGCGGAGTGCGAAGTCGTTTGAGAACGTGCTTGTTGCAAGTAGTTCTGGTTCATCCAGCACTCCCGCCATCCAGATCGGTTCTGTCTTGAACAAGTTCACCTCCCCAACGCACAACTTCGCCGGCGTTCTGGCGAAATTGCAGCAGAACTACGCTAAATCCGGAACCCTGTCCGCGCAACTTAGTGGGAGTTTGAACCTCGGGGGGACTAGCAACAGTGTGGTCAGTTTAGAACCCGGTTTGGTCACTTCTGGTGTTGGGGAAGAAGATTTCTTAACGGCAGCGAGTCTAAAACATTCTCAATTCCTCTATATCGAGTTTTTGTTCAAACTCGAGGAGGACACGGAAAACACCTACGCTTCCCACACGGACGCCGAATGTGCAGCGAAACTCTCCACTGCGATCGAAAACTGCTTCAAGGAAGCGAAATTCTTCGGCAGTCTTTTCGCAAAAGGCCAGAACATTGCGGAAGCAAGTCCACAAATCTTCAAGATCGCAGCAACCAAGAAGCCGATGGAACAAGAAAAAGTCTTCATCGTCCACTTGATTCTGAAAAACGCGAAACCAAATTCCGTCGCGACAATCCTGAACGAGTTCCGGAAGGAAGCGGTTTTCAACCCCGCGGACAATTCAACTTTGACAGTTCTCGAAAGGTCGTTGAAGGACGAGAACTTTCTGTCCGCCCAAGAGTTGACCGCTGGAGCGTTTCAACCTGTCGCTTCTACGGGGTCTTACAGCCGAACTGCGGTGGTTTCGAACGCGATCCACGGGTCGCTGACGATCACGCACAAGGTGAGAGAAACTGGTTGTTTGGAAGACGCGGTTTCCCAATTCTTGACGAAAGCTATGGACAGCGGGTTCGCCGAACCAATTCCTTTTGTCGCGGTGGAGTGCGATAAAACGGTTGCTTCCGACACCACTGCGGTCTCTACTGTCTGTGGTTTCGCGATCCCGACGAAGAAGACGAGTTTTCAGTACCAGCAGTATTTTACTTCCAACGGGGAAACCTCCCGGAAGAACTACTTCGGGAATCTGCTCAGTGCGTTGATCGCTTCCCCGACTGGAATTGTGTACAAGAATTACAATGGAAACGTCGCTGCTGATGGAACGAACGTGCCGACTAGTGATGAGAAAGTTTCCACTTTCTCTTCCCTCGGAGCCGACGTGAAACACTTAGTTTTCGCGGAATCGCCGGAATACTCGTTAACCAAACTCGTGACCACTATGCCGGGCGACGATAATGTCGAGAAGAAGTCGAAGCTGACCGCAGTTTTGGCTTCTTCTTTATCCAAAACGCTACCTGCGGCGGTTAAGCAGTTCGTTTCTCTCTCCACTTCCGACGCGAACGCGCTTCTGACGAAGCATAATTCCATTGTCGGGCCTTTGACAGGGACGGTAGCCGATTCGGTGTCTTTTGTCTTCCCCATCCCGCTCATCCACTATCCGAGTTCCAACACCAACGCGGTTAAAACCGTCAGCATCTTCAACGCGTTTGAAGACAGTGACAATTGTGAAAATCAGTGGAAAACGGAGATGAAGAAAATTGTCGCTTTGGAAAATTCGAACAGTGTGAAAGTCGAAGCAACGTCGACGTATGATTCCGCGAAGTACTCCGCGACTGGGCAAGATAAATTAATCGGTCCGGCGGAAGCGAGCGCCTCTTCCGCAACGACCAGTCTGCAGACCACTTTCATCACCTTCCAGGGAACTTTCACGGCGATTGACTTCTTCCAGGGGGAAATCGCCGCTGCGAAGAAGGAGTTGGAGAAGGATAGTTTTGTCGAGGGAATTCTCCAGAGCGCTGTTTTTGAAGTGCTAACGTCACCGAGTAACGGGAGTGGGTTGCAATATGTCTCCAACCAGGTGAAGGACAGTTTGAATCCACCATTCACCGCGCACTTTAAAAAGTTGGAGAATGTCGGGGTCGTTCTCCAGCCGGACGTCCCCACTGTGGATGCCGATCCGAGTACTTACCCGTACCCGACCACCAAAGATGCGAACCGGGGGAGAAGTTTCACGGTTTACATTCGCGTGGATGGGCCTCTGTTCTCGAAGGGGGAGAGAGAATCGACTTTCACAAGATTAGCACAGTCTCTCACTTCTCACTCGTCCGGCCACACTTTCGCGAGTTTGGTGAAAGCGGAGGTGAATGCGAATTCCATACTGCAGATATGATTTGTAAAAACGTCCCCAGCCAAGAGCTGTCATGCAGAATTGCAATGACCGGAGCATTTGTAATGCGCATCTCCATGAGAAGCATTTGCAATTGTGTGTTGGAATTTGTGATGCTCGAAACGGGATAAGGAGAGGGCTTTGTGATGCGTTTCTCCGTGCTAACTTGCAGTACACTACAAAGACGAGCTTGTCATGCATGGCTCGCAAAACTCCTGGATTTGTGTTGCAATGTCCCCATCTTGATGACTCTGGGGTGTGGACGTTTTTGCTTAGGATATCAGATCGACACGGTTGCGCTCGACAAAACCTCCTTATCGTTCGCGAACCACGGGTATCAAATGCAAAAAGGTCTGGGTCTGGAAACTTGTGATGCTAGTTTGTGAATGGTGGGCGCATATACATATGCAGCCACGCATGACAAGTTTTTGAGCTCCTGTGTGTTTCGCATTCCGCATGACAAACTGCATACATGGCAGGGAAGAGCCTTCTTTCCTGCTCATGCATTACAGATTTAAGAGTCATGTGAGACAAGCATGACAAACTTGCTTTCTTCCAGACCCAGACATGTTTGCAATGCATAACGGGGAGGCGACGATTCAAATCGAATTCGCGGGCGCGACGCCCGCGGATAGTGCCACGAACCTCAAAGCGGCAATCGAGCCCTACACCACCGGACAGGATTTTCGCAAGAAGTTCGCGGAGGCGGTTTCTCTCGTTTGTGGGTCGCACGTGCATCCGGGGATGGTGCGGTTCCAACCGGCGTATGATCCGAGTTCCGCGGATTTTTGGTGGGACCAGAGCACGCTTTCCGCGTCTTTTTCCGCTGCGTATCAAAAGGAAAGATCCCCCCTCCCCATATCAAAACGAAGTTTCTGACGCTGGATTTGCGTACACAAATCAGATTTGTCTTGCTGGAGAGGGCGGCAGGCTTATACTAAGCCCGAGCTGGGAAGTTTTGAGCTAGGCGCTGAGCATGGCAAACGTGTAGTCTGTAGGGCCGACAGCATCACAAACCGCCAACAGAGTGCGGCAGAGCCTGTGCGGTTGCGTTCTTGCAAGACAGAGACGACTTGAGGTCGCAAATCAGCATGACAAATTTTCTGGGGCGCGCCTTTTCGATATGGGGAGGGGGGATTTTTCCTTACGATACTGCGGTGGTCATCACCGATATTGGTTCCGACACGGGGAAAGCGATTCAGCAAATCTTCGACCCGAAGCACAGTTACGATGAGGGTACGGGTTCAGCAAAAGCGGTGTCGGAAGTGACGCCGCACGCGATCAAGCTGTTCATCAACACGTTAAACAGCATGATCACGGCCACGCTGAACGCAAACCCGCCGAAGCTATGAATTGGAAATATGTCTGGGTCCTCTGGAAGGTGGTAACTTGTCATGGTAAATCTGAAGCATACAAAAATCTGTGCTGCATGAGTGCCAAAAGCTGTCCACTTTCGACGACCAAGTTGGGAGGAAGTTTCTGATGCAGGATCATAGGGATGATAGGGATCTCACAGAATGTCTGTCACGCTAATTCCCGCATTCCAGACCGCATGGGTCATGGAAAATCTGCATGACATGGCCGTTTGCACAGGGGGAGGCAAAGTGTGTCGCACTTCTGTTTAGCATGACAAGTTTACACTCTTCCAGACCTCCAGACACTTTTGCACTTGATAGAAGCAGCCGAAATACGACTGGTTCCGCGTGGAAGCGACGATGCTCAGTGAGAGTTCCGGGACATATCGCAAGAAAAAACTGTTTCGCTGTGGACTTGTGATGCATAGAATGGAGCACAGAACGATTTGTCTTGCTACACCTGCATAGAGCATTGGAGTTTCAAGCGTGTTTCCCCTATGGAAGATGCGCGCTTGGCGAATTTTCTGTGTCATGTGTAACAAACTTCTGATGCAGATCTTGCAAAGCCATCACAGTGAAACAGTTTTTTCGTCCGATAGGACAAAATCGGTGAAAATCACTGGGAAAGCTGCGACGACGGTTTACGGTCGCGTGGTGATCGCGCCCGCGAGTTCTTTAGCGAATTCCGGTGCCAAAGTCTCTTCCGCCGTGCAAAAACGATCCAAAGCTGTGTTTGCAGCGCAGACAGATGCCGGCGCTGGGGCTTTAACCGTGAAGGATGAGGACGGGAATTTCATGAGTTTGTTGCCCGTGAAGGATGTTTTTTCTTGTACGAAGAAGAATTCCAATGGATACGACAACGTCGACCAGTACACAGCTATCAACTGTAAAAATGTCTGGGTCTGGAAGAGTGCCAGACTTGTCATGCAGGTTTTCCATGACCCATGAAACCTGGCATGTAGGACATACGGTGACAGATTCTGGGAGAGTTCCATCATGCCTATCCTGCATGAGAAACTGCCTCTCGATTAGGTCAAAAGTGGACAGCTTTTGGTCAGCATGCAACACAGATTTTTACATCATTCAGACCAGCCATGCTCCGGCTACCGCCGGAGCGCAAGGCTGTTGTGCTGGGGTTTGACTATTTGCGGATCGGGCCGCGACACGAAAGCTTTGGGAACAGTGTGACGGACCGAGGGAACTTTGAGCGCCATTTTGCGCGAGGTCAACTCGCAGGGCCTCCTGCGCGCTTCCCGCGCCTTTAGGCGCTATGCGCAGGGGGCAGCTGCAGTAAACCTTGCGGGCGAAGAGATGCCGCCCCGGCGTAGGTGCCGCAGGCAATAATTAGACAGAGGCCGGCGCTGCTCTTTGTTTATCACCACCCCGCGCCCGCCCACCTGATTCCCGGGGGAGATAAAAGAAACTGTTGGCGCAAGAGGGTGGCGCGAGAGGGTGCGCGAGAGGCTGGTGCGAGAGGGTCCGGGCTTTTGCATGAAAGGGCCGCAAAAAAATCAGCCCTGTGCCGGGCGGATTCGGGTTTTTTTACCCCTCTCGCAGAGCCTCTTTTTCACCTCTTCCGAGAGGTGTTGCTAATAGTCCGGCTATACTCGCCGGCAGAGGTCTACAGAGGTGGCCGAGAGGTGGCCCAGAGGGTGCGCGAGAGGTTCCCCCTTATTCGCGCAACCTCTCGGCACCCCTGTCCCCCTCTCGCCTACCCTCTCGGGACCCTCTCGGCCACCTCCGGGCCCCATAGGCGCGGCTTTAGGGTGAACGGTTCGGCTGGCTATACCCGCGCCACCTCTCGGCCACCCTCTCGAATGACCTCCCGCGCCACCTCTCCACCTCTGTCGACCTCTTTTTGACCTCTTTTGGCCTCTTTTTGACCTCTCGGCCACCTCCCTTGGACCCTCTGTAGACCTCTATTTTCGCATGAATATAATAGATAGTAATTCAGCATGACAAGTTGCAACCTTCCAGACCCAGACACTTTTGCATTTGATAACAGCTACTTGCGGACTGTCAAGTTCCGATCGATCCTTGGCGTTCACTGAGTACTTCGGGACCAGCAGTGCAGATGGTCTCGCGGCGTTTTTGGAGACTCAATCGTTGAGTTCAGTCGATCCGGCGACAGGGACGTGGGACAGCTTGGCGAATACTTTGTCGGGTGTTAGTCTGACTCAGTTCCTGACCGTGCAGTCCGGCGCGTCGTTGGTGACGAATAGGGTCGCGCAGTCGAAAGCGTCTTTTAACAAGATTGAGAACAACCAACTCGCCTTGTATTTCATCGAGTTCGAACTGTTATTCGAAGGGATCACTTCCTATCCATTGTCCTCCGCGGATGAATATCCTGAGTAAAAACGTACCCACACCAGAGTTGTCATGGAGATTTTGCAACACAAACATGGAAGGTTTGGGACTCACGCATGACAAGTTGCACTCTGCAGTGTAGTGCAGGTTAGCAAGGACAGTTGCATTACAAATCCATCTCCCCATCCTGTTTACAGCATAACAAGTTCCAAAACACGATTGGAAATGTGTTCAATGGGGATGCGCATTACAAATGTTGTTGCAATTGCAAATCTGCATTACAACTCTGGTGTGGGTACGTTTTTACTCAGGATAATGAAAGTGAATTAATTACTTTCGGGGTTTTACCAGCTATCCGGAAGGGAGTAACCGACTCGTTGAAATACTACCACGTGCAGAAGCCGCGGACAGGAACCGAGGGGAATCAGTTCGCGTTTTCAGAGCAGAGTTCGTCTGACAGTGCGCAAATTACGGAATTGATGAATACGGTGGATTTGCGAATCCCGGCCGCTACTTGCTTCCCGGACCCGAAAAACGAACAAAAGTCTGTAATTCAAGTCGCGGTCCTTGGGCACGAGACGGTGGAGCGGGTCTTGTCGTTTTTGAGTTACGAGCAATCCGCTGGGAAAAACACGAACTGCGTAACTGGTGCGGACGTCGCGGATCTGAAATTCTCGAAAGAGTTGCTTGACGCGTTGCAAACGACAAATAGTGGTTCCCTCCGCTCCGGTTCTCCGTTCAAATCCGTCGCAAATTCCGGCGAGTTGACGAAAATCTGCCGAACCAATCGGGCACAGCCCATGCCACAGACGCGATTGGTTGGGAAGGTGGATGTTTCCACTCTCGCGACCAAATCGCAGTTGTCCGATGAAATCGATTTACCGACTGTCACAACCGCAACACAAGACGCAGTTTCCGGCTTCAGCCGGGCGGATTCTGTCAATTTGGAAAGGTTGAACGTGAAATCCAACAAGCAGAAGGGACAATTTGTCTTCGCGAGTTCCGCCGCGATTTCCGATACCTTCAATTTGAATTCCTGGTTCCTCACCCAGGCCAGCATGTCCGCGTTTTTGAAACCAGCATTACTCAAAAAAATCCGGTGCCTTGACAGCAGCTCCCACAACGTGGCTTGCAACACTCTAACTAACGCCAACGCCGACACTATCGCGACGACCGCGATCGCGCAGGCGGATGGGGTGAGGGAATACCTGCAAATCGATTTGGACATCTCCGTTGGGGAGAAGTGCAGCAGCACGGACGGGACCTACTGTTCGGAAAAAGACGGGAGGTATTACCAGAAGCCCAGGTCGGAATCCGAGTTAAAGAACGTGTTGAAATCAACCGTTTTAACCGTCGTGCAGCAAAACTCCGAGAATGGAAAGTATAAGACCCCGAGTGTCTTCTACGAACTGCTCGCGACGGACTTGTATTCTGCGGAAGCGGTCGTCACCACTTCTACCACAACGCCTACTCCTGGGGTTTCCAAGGCGGAGTACGATTTCGCGACGAATGTTGGTTCCGCATCACAGATTGCCTTCGCGTCGAAGTCGGGAACAGGCGGACCAAATCTCGTTTGCCACGGGCCGATTGGTGCAGAAGCCACGGGCAGATGGCGTGATGTCACCGCGAACGGGAAGACGTTTAAGTCGTTGAAGTTCTTGAAAACGGGGACCATCGAGTACTGCACGGCGTCCGCGTCGACGTTGCCAGGCGGTGCTGCTTCTCGGACGATTATGGGGTGGGTAAAGCCGGAAAGTTCCAGAAACGGCCCGTTTGGTTACGGAAAGGGGCAATGCCTCAAAGCGTTCAAGATCTTTGTCTCCGACAACTTGGTGTGGAACCTCGACATCTACTGCGACGCGATGAAGTTCTACGACTTCAACGACGGGGATAAAAACCTCAACGAGTGGTACCACATGGCGTTGATGTGGGACGAATCTAAGGAAAAGCACCGGGTGTACGTGAACGGGGTTCTCGTCAAGGAGGGCACAACGGACAACAGCAATACGCCGAATACAGAAGCGAGTAGCGGGAAAATCTGTCTCGGTGGGAGAGTCGATTTGTGTTTTGGTGCTTCGCACGACGAGCGGTACCAGGGGGAAATCGCCGGGTTCGCGGTTTACGCGGGTGCGATTTCTCTTCCGGAAGTCGTGCAGCACATGGCGAGAACAGGGCCGCAGGGACCATTATCCGCGGCGCAGGTGGCAATGCTACCCGCGGGGAGTAGCTATGCATTGCAAATATGTCTGGGTCTGGAAGGTTGGAACTTGTCATGCAGGTTTTCCATGATCCATGAGGTCTGGCATGCAGGACATAGCATGGCAGATCTGTGAGATCTTTCTCGTGCCTAGCCCGCATGAGAAACCTTCTCGCAAATTGGTTAAGTAAAAAAGGATAACTTTTGGTAACCATGCAACACAGATTTTTTCAGAGTCCAGAATTGGCATGACAAGTTGCATCCCTCCAGACCCAGACATATTTGCAGTTGATAGTAGTTCATCTTCCGGTGCGGCTCCTGTCAATGTCGATTTCAACGGGGTGGTTTCGATTTTCGTACCCATGCCGGAGTTAGCGGGTCTTCCGATGTACAACAAACTCTCTACCAAATTGGAAAAAGTGAAAGCGGACATCGAAACTGGTATTCTCCGCCACGGGGTACCTTTGACGAAAACAATCACGGTGAAGCAGATCAAATTAACCTCCGCTACTGAGTCGATCGACAAAGAACCGGCAGTGTCTGGATTCACTTTTCTCGAGCAGGGCTTTGTGTTGGAAGATTTGCAACCACCGGCAAGTCATTTCACAGCCGCGAACCCGCTGTTTGATGAGAAATTGGTGGAGATGTTGCAAAAATCCTTCTACGAAACTTTGATCGAGGCGGTTAGCAACGGGGGAATCACGGTAAACAACGAGAAGATCCCGATCGGGTTCATCGGGGGGAGTACAGAGAACCAGGCGTTGGAATTAACCAAAATCGCGGTGGTTATCCCCCCTGGGGATGTGAAGTCGCGGAGAGTCCGTGTCACGATTCACAAATCCGGTTTCACCGCCTTGGAATTGCAGAACCTTCAAGATCTCCTCTACGTTTTCGGCGATTTCCACGTGGGGAAGTGCGACCGGTCCAAGAGTTTTGGACTTGAATCCTTCGTTTCCGCCTGGACGGTGAAATTCCGGGCGAAGATCAACGATGTGGCTTCTTCTGCGACTAGCAGTGCAAATTCCATCAAATTCGACATGAACCCGCTGGAAGCGGTGGATCTCTCCCCGGACTTGACCCGGCCGTCGGCGTACTTGTTGCCGCAGAAGCTGACGTTTTGGTCCTTAACCACTACCTCCAACTTTCGGTTCACGGTGACAACGCCGAGTGGGGATATCGGGTCGGTGACTAGAGTGGCGACGAAGGCGGGGATCATCGCTATCATGCAAAAGGCTTTGGCCATGTCGTTCTTCCGCAAAACCGGTGGTGTGCTCCGGTTCGCTCCGTCGCACATCGCAATTGAGCAGGTTGGGGAAGTGGCTTCCGATATCAACTGTAAAAATGTCTGGGTCTGGAAACTTGTAATGCTGCGTTGGGAATACTGAATGCTCTGTAATGCACAGCCAAGCATGAGAAATATCTGCGCCTCTTTGTGTTGCGTGTTTCGCATGACAAACTGCGTTTTTGTATGACAGGCAGAAGGGTCTCTTCTTGGACACGCATCACAACCTTTTTGGTCATGCCAGACAAGCATGACAAATCGCGCAATCGTCCAGACCCAGACATTTTTGCAATGCATAGCCGATATCTCCTCCGGGAGGGCCGGGGACATCGACACCTACTCGATTGTATCCAATGCAAAAATGTCTGGGTCTGGAAGAATGCAAGACTTGTCATGCACGTTTTGCGTGACCGGTGATATCTGTGATGCCTGCCCCAGCATCACAAATTTTTTGCGGGCGTTCTGATGCGTATCCTGCACGACAAACAATGTCCTCTCCGTGTAGCACAAAATCGAATCCTCTTTCTGGTCATGCAACACAGATTTTTTTAGAATCCGAAAACAGCATCAGAAGTTGCATCCTTCCAGACCCAGACATTTTTGCATTTGATAGATTGCTGCTGGGAAGATTAAGATCGGAATCCCCATGGCGGCGGACCCGGCGCTGTCGTTGCAGTGGGAGTCGAACGAATTCACGAATTTGATGAAATCAGAACTAGAAAAGGCGTTGAAACAAGTTTCCGCCGCGGTTGCGTCTTCTACCTTCCTTTGGCTTGGGCTCGAGGACTTAACTACCTTGACTTCAGGGATTTCGAAGTGGAGTAAAACGGAATATTTAAGTGTCGATCTGCAACTAAACAACGTCGGGAACCACGAAAAAGCGCCCTACACGGATTTTGTTGTCCCGCTGACCAAAGTCGCTTATTCTCGCGCTGTCGCCGCGAAGTTCCCTGCGGCGGTCGGGAAGTTGCCGGGGGTATCGGAAACTGGGCAGGGAAGTCTTCAGGCGATTTCCGGTATGTTCTTCCAGGAGAATTGTACCAGTTTGGATGAAATTCAGTCCACCTGCGTCTCCCAAACCACGACGGATAAGAAGCAACTGCTCGCGAATCACACCGGTTTACTAGTCACGCAGATCCTACCAGAACTTGATTCCGACGCTGGCATGGGCGCGCTGGCGTCGAGTGGGACTCTCGCAAGTATCCGGGATTATTTGAAACCTGCGGCGAATGCTGGGAATACAAAGGACCAAGTTTCTGTAGTTGCTGCAACTGATTTCACGACGGATTTGAAGCAACAGTTAGCGGACTTGCAATTCCCAGAAAAACTCTACACCAACGCATCCGAGTACAACGCAAACGCCTTCAAGCTGCAGCAGTCGGGGACAGGCTCTTACTCTCAACCCGCGAAGACGGATCTGAGTCTTTCGACCTTGTATTGTGAGGAAAAATCCCCCCTCCCCATATCGAAAAGGTACGTCGCGGAAAATTTGCAATTGTGATTTGCGACTACAAATCATCTCTGTCTTGCAAGAAGGCGACTCCACAGACAACCGCCGCACTATGCAGGCGGTTTGTGATGCTGGTGGGCCTACAGCGCAGACGTTTCTCATGCTAAGAGCCTAGTTGTCCAAAACCTCGCCCAGGCTTTGTATGGGCCTGCAGCCCTCTCCAGCAAGACAAATCCGATCTGTGTACGCAAATCCAGCGCCACAGACTTCGTTTTGATGTGGGGTGGGGGGATTTTTCATTTTGATACCTTGAGCAAGAAACTCCCAGTAGTTTTCGCTCAAGTTCGGGGGAGGGTGGCATTAACCCGGCACAAAGGTGGGCAAGAGCCATTGGTCGCAATTGCGGCGGAGGAGGCGGATATTGTGAAGCAGTTGGAGAGTCAGATGGAGTCGTTTTTGCTTTCCAACGACGGCGGGGCGATCCGGAGGGTGAATGTGTTGCAGAGCGGGGTGGATTTTTACAAGCAGAATGCGTCTTCTACTGTGCCTGCGTCGACTGATAAAATCGCGCAAATCATGGATTACAGCGGGACAACCACCGGTGATTCCTACAGCTCGAAGAGATCCGCTTCTTTCAATGATGAAAGTACCACGAACGTGAAGCACGACGGGACTTACCATGACTATTACGCGCACAAGGAATTCATCGCCGCGAGCGTGTACAATCGTTCCTCCAACGCGTCTCATGTTCTCTACGACACCACTGTGGTGGTACAATTAAGGAACCAGGAAGCGTCTAAGGTAGCTCACATTCTCCACGACATGGAAAACTTCTACCCGACTTACGTTTCCGCCGAGATGTTTTCCGGGCCGACCTGTATCGACTACGCGACTTATCCTGAGTAAAAGCGTTCACACACGACCAGAGTCAAGGTGGGAAATCTGCTAGACAAATCGGTCAGCTTTTGCTGTTGCGCATGACAAGCGTGGACAACTCGTAGCGTAGTCCTGTTCAGCTTGTTCAGAAGCTGCATCAGAGAGCTCGCGCATCATGCTGATTCGAGCATCACAAATTATCCCAAAACACGAATAGAAAAGCCTCTCATGGGTCTTCCCATGAGAAACATTGTCAGCATGCAGATTTGCATTACAACTCTGGGATGGGGACGTTTTTACAAACGATACGACTTCGCTTGGTCAGGGCGCGGACGAGATGAAATCCGCTGGCTGGACGATCCGACCGGAGAATGAGCTGATCGGCCCGAAAACGGACTTGAACTTCCAGGGGAAGTACGTGTTTGAGCCGAAGGAAGACCCGACTTTCAGCGGTTCGGGGATGCCAGTGTCGCAATCGTACGTGTATGTCAATCCGCCCGACGGTCACGAGGGGAAAGCGCATGGGGACGTTCCGCAAAGGTGCTACCGGAAAGTGATGATGGGAAACATCTTGAACGTGAAATATCTTGCCACCGGGTACCGGAACGCGGATGGGACGCAGAAGACCGCCGATACGATTCTGGGCCAATCCGAGGCGAAATCTGGGGAGGGGATCGTGTGGGAGGCGACTTTGTACGGCACCGGGGTGATTGAGATTCAGTTCGGAAATTGCCAAGACTACATGAATCCCAACCACAACAACAAACCCCCGCCGGCGATGTGTAACTGCGTGCAGATCGCGAACCAGGGGGACATGAACAAGGAGTGGTGTCAGACGAATGAATTGAAATCCAACGGGTACTGTAAACAGGATTGTCCCTGCGCCTGCACTTACCACACCCACACCGGTCCGCCGAACGACTGCGAGGGGAGTGAGGTCCGAGTATTCATGGATGGGGAACTGAAAGGCACCGCGTGGTATCAAGAAGAAAAATCCTCCCTCCCCATAATCAAAAACGAAATTTGTCATGCTGTATTTGAGTACACAAATCGGCTTGTAATGCCAGAAAGCCAAGAGCCGCACTTGTGGCCTCGTTTGTAGGCAATTTGTCATGCTCTTTCCCACTTCCAGTTGCTCTCTGTCATGCTGAAGGCGCAAGGCTTTCCCACGCCAGCCAGCACTACACTCCGCACGTCTGTCCTTCTAGCATGACAAAGCTGATTTGTGACCACAAATACAGCATCACAAATTTCGTTTCCGATATGGGGAGGGGGGATTTTTCTTTTTGATACATGGCCCATGATGTTCAAAACGGTGAAAATCCCCTTCAACCACGGCTCTCTTCTGAAGATCGAGGGGCTAAATGGGTACTACCACAACCAACAAATCAATCACCGGAGCGCGCCCTCGCCCATGATGACCGTGTACGACATCAAATACGAGTCCTGCCTCCCGTATAAACCGTCGAAATACTCCCTAACCGTGACGAACCACGAGAACGACAATTATCAAAAGCAATCCTACTTCGGGGCGAGCTTGCTGTCGGCTATCGGTGCGGAGATGGTGTTGCCGATAAAGCCGAAAGATAGTAGTCAATTCGTTATTATCAAATGTAAAAATGTCTGGGTCAGGAAGAATGCAACTTGTCATGCTAAATCTGGATCATGTAAAAATCTGTGTTGCGTGATTACCAAAAGCTGTCCACTGTTGACCTAATCGGGAGGCAGTTTCTCATGCAGGTTAGGCATCACATAACTCTCACAGAATCTGTCATGCTCTGTCCTACATACCAGACCTCATATCCATATGTCATGGAAAACCTGCATGACAAGTCTGGCTTTCTTCCAGACCCAGACATTTTTACAGTTGATAGTTATCACGACTTCCTCCACGGATTCGAATGGAGTGGTCACGGAAACGCAAACCGCGGATGTGGAGAAGTTTTTGAAAGAGGCATTGCTGCAAGAGCAGACTTTGGCGTACAAAGAGTTCAAAAATCTTCTCGGTGTCTATGACCTGCTCAAATCGGTTACCATCTCAAATCGGTTACCATAGAATCTGAGATTTGTCTTGCATGATCAACATGACAGACTCGGACAGCGTTCCACTTTTTGCAATACAAATTTCGCCAGATTGTAGTGGGGTTTCGGGCTCCGGAACTTGTCATGCGCAATCCTACAAGAGTTTGCTAGATCATGCAATTTTGCATCACAGATTTCCATATTCTATTGTAACAGTTGAGATTGTAACAGCTGAGCGCGTTATAGTGTCGCTTTCTCCAAAGCGGTGAACGAAACTTTAGGTGCGAACAACTTCGCGGGGTATCAAATGTAAAAATGTCTGGGTCTGGAAACTTGTGATGCTGGGTGGCGTCTCATGATGAGGCCACAAATGCTGGCTCAGCATCACAAGTTTCTGAGCTTCTAGGTGTTGCCTATTCTGCATGACAAACTGCGTTTCTGCATCACAGAAAAGTGGAGCTCTTTGGTAACGTGCATGACAGATTTAAGAGTCATGCCAGACAAGCATGACAAACATGCATTCTTCCAGACCCAGACATTTTTACATTTGATACGGGGAGGTCCCAAACCATCAACGCGAAGAAGTACAGTGCGTTTCAGGGTGTTAAACCCGCGAATGTCTACAGCAAAGTCCTCGCCGTGGAGCAAGCGAGTGGCGAAGCTGTCGGCGTTTTCAACTGCAAGTTCTACGTGTCCTTCCCAACGATGGATGTGGAATTAGCGAAATTGCTGTTCATATGCACTGCAAATATGTCTGGGTCTGGAATAAACTTGTGATGCAAGGAAGGGAATAGTGAAAGCACTGTAATGCGCTGCCCAGCATGACAAGTGTTGCCGTGGTTCACAGTTGCGTACTCCGCATGAGAAACTGCGTTTTTGCATGACGGGCAAGGGGATCTCTTCGCGGCCACGCAATACAGAGCTCAGAGTCATGCCAGACTAGCATGACAAATTTCGGAAGCTTCCAGACCCAGACATATTTGCATTTGATAGCTCAGCAACGGCGATGCCACCACAACGAACAACGCGAAGCCGGAGGCGTTCATTTTCGCGAATTTAGCGAAAAAATACGTCGAGGAGATTGTCCTGAAAAAGACGAAAACGTATAATAACAACGACTCAACCCCCGACCAGCTCTGGCCGTTCCATACCGTGACGAAGGATTCAGACAATGCTGAGAACAAGGTTTATCGGAAGGTGTCCAAAAAGCAGTTTATCGAGACCATTGTCAGAATCGAAACGGCTAGTACGAACAAGCAAGTGAAGAATCTGATAACAAGCTTCTACGACGGTAATGTGGATGCGTTCAACACGAAGTACCACCCGTTTTTTGCGGATAAGATCTCCAGCAACAGTTGGAAACCGACGAGTTTTGACTCTACCTCCGCGGTATGGATTGCAAAAATGTCTGGGTCTGGAAGAATGCAAGTTTGTCATGCAGTTTTTCCAAGCTCCCTCAAGTCTGGAATGCGGGGCCTAGCATGACAGGTTTTACAGCCCCTTGGTGATGCCTATTCTGCATCAGAAATACCCTCTCAGAATGGCCAGGAGTCAAAACCTTTTGCCAGTCATGCAACACAGATCTTTGTATGATCCGCAACTCGCATCACAAGTTCGGATCCTTCCAGACCCAGACACTTTTGCATTTGATACGCGGATTCCACCATGCTAACTTCCGATTGGTCCATTGTCGCGGTCAACAACGTGGAGTCGAAGGATTTAGCGGTCGGGGTCGTCGCGAAAGTGGAAACCGCGGTTGCCGGCGCATTGACGAAACTGTTTGCGAAAGTGGATGAGATGTCAAGTACAATCTCTTCCGCTTCCACGAACCTTGTTGGTACCTACAGCAGCGGCGGTTCTGGCTCGCACGAGCGCCCGTATCTGGAGTGGCGGCGCGGGGATGTGATTGGCCGCATTGCGGATTTGTCGTCTGGACAAAGCTCCACCTTCGTCGACGTGAAAATCATCGTGGAAATCGACTCCGAGAAGCAGAAGAGTCTAGTCGGGGTGGAATCTTCGGTGACTGCTATCGCGAAATCCTTCACGAAGGATGATTCCACCGCTGGAACTATGTTAGCCGGGATCAAGTCGAATTTGCTTGCTATGGAGATGGAGCAAGCGGGGGATAATTTGGTCGTTTCCTACCCGTACGGGTTGGCAAACACGGCGGGGTTACTCCCGAAAGTCTCTTCCGGCCCGGCGTACAGCAATTCTGAAAATGACCAACAAATGCTGAAGAGCCCGTTTGTCATGGAGGTGCGGGTTGCGGTTTACTTGAATCACGCGTCCGGTGTACCCGTTGAGGAGCAAGCGGATTTAACAGTAGCGTCTTCCCGGGAGAAAGCGACAAACGCGGTGGCTAGCGCCCTAGAATCCATGTTTGTCACTGATTTGTCCTCTCCCACCGCACTAGAAGAGCTCGCTGGCATCACTGCGAACGAGGTTTTCTGCACGGCCAGAACGGAAGACACCTACAACCCGAAAGCTGGGTTGCCCGCGAGCAACCGCCGGCTTGTTTTTTCCGTCACGATCCTCGGGTCTGGCAGGGATGGGAGTTCGAATTCTATTCAATCCTTACTCGCCCGCTACAACCGGTTCTCTTCGTTCAACCACGTTTCCTCTACTGACAATTTCAAGACGAAATTGCAAACCGCGGTGGGGAATAGTGGAACTTTGAATACCGCAGGGAACTGGGTGGTCGCGGACGCGTCGATCTTGAATTCCGTGCCGATTTCTCTCTCCGTGGCTCTCGGCTCCATCAAGTTTTCTGATAGTGTTGACACTGCTCCTACCGCTCTATCCGCTTTCAGCAGTACGAACTTCCTCCTGAACATTCGGAAAGCACTCGCCACCGCGCTCCCCCAGATGGTGGACCGAGCGTTTAGCTTCAAGCAGGTTGGTATGAAATGCAAAAATGTCTGGGTCTGGGAGATTGCGAGATTTGTCATGCTAGTCTGGCATGACTCTGAGCTCTGTGTTGCATGGCCGCGAACAGCTCCTCCTCCCTGTCATGCAAAAACGCAGTTTGTCATGCGGAGTACGCAACTCAGAATCATGAAAAAAACTTTTCATGCGTGGCAGCGCATCATAGTGAGTTCACTATTCTTTTTCTTGCATCACAGGTTTCCAGACTCAGACATATTTGCAATGCATACTTGGAGCCATTCTCTTAACCGAGTCCATCGCCACGGTCTCCACGAACAAGCTCGCTGAGTTTTTGGTTTTCTTACCAGATACTGGCTCCAATTCCCTCCACGCGATCGCGAACGGGGGAACCGCGTTTGCAAATACTTGGTTCAAAACCGCTTTACAAACCGAGTTCGGCGGTTCTGATTCGGTCGAGGCGGTGAATATGCATTGCAAAAGTGTCTGGGTCTGGAAACATGGAACTTGTAATGCTAGTCCTACATTCCTGTAAGATCTGTATTGCATGACTAACAAAGATTCGCCCTCTTTTGTCATATTGAAGCGCAGCTTGTCATGCGGAATGCGCATCACAAAGTGTTCGGCAAAATTGTCATGCTTGGCTGCCTTGGGAAGTAGTTCAGTCGTGCACACTTTAGCATCTCAAGTTTCCAGACCAAGACATGTTTGCATTTGATAGTGAAGCTCGAATCTACCCTAACGGAGTCGATGAAAACTGAGGGGAAGTTATCCTGTGTAAAAACTACGTCCCCACCCCAGAGTTGTCATGCAGAAGTACAATCACAGAAAAACTTGTAATGCGCGCCCCCATGAGTAGAGGCATTTAGATTTAGTTCCAATTGTGTTATGCAACTTGTGATGCTGTAAACAGGATACCAGGATGGCTTTTTGATGCGGTAGTTGTGCTTGCTAACCCGCATTGCAGTACAGAAAAAATAAATCGTCATGCGTGACTCCCAAAACTTCTGGATCTGTGTTGCAGATTTCGCATCTTGACTATGGGGTCGTGGGGACGTTTTTACACAGGATAGAAGTCTATCGCGGAGAATTCGCTGCTGAAAGCCCGGTATTTCTACGGGGCGGATTTCTCCCTGCTTATCGACGGCGCAAACGCGGACACCAATCTCGATGTCTTCGTTCAGGACAAGCAGAAGATGGAGCAGAATTTGATGGCGGTCGTTTCCTCCTCCTCCCCCGCGGTTTCCTTGGAATCCCCGATCTCCAATGCGAAGACCGCGGTCGCGATTACGAAAGCGGTGGAGAAGGATAGTGTTAAAAACGAGTACACCATCTCCTTCGCCGCGTTCTCCGCGATGGACAAGAAGTTCACGAGTAGTGGGTCTGGGCTGGTGTTCGAGGATTACTTCAAGAAAACCTTCGACTACCGGCTGACGAAGACCTCGGCTGTGAAATTAGCGGTGAAATCTTTCGATGTGGACTTGTACCCAACAATCCCATTGATTGACCAAGCAGATACCCCGCAGGGTGACACTTCCACGAGTGAATTCACTTTGCCGGAAGAGATCGAGAAGATTTCTGGAGCAGTGACTTTACAAGCGTTGTTGCCGTTATCTTCTGCGAATTTAATTCCGGATTGCGGGACCAAACTCTTTCCCTACCACAGCTGTAAGAGTGGGAAGGAGGCGGTTTTTGCGGAGGAGACGGTAACGGAGAAAAGTGTTGCGTTGCCGGGTGTTGCGGCTGTGGATTACGATAAACCGTTTTTCACTTTCGTGACCGGAACTTTCTCGATCCGGAACAAAAATGACGAATTGTCGGATAAGGAGATCACGGATGCAGTGAAAATTGCGTTCCACAGATCCTTGATCGATTTGGTGCCTGTTTTATCCGCTCCTTTCCCCTCTCCAAGCTTCGAAAACGCGGCTTTGGAGGTCGCGGATGTCGCGGTGACGATCTCCCCATCGGAATACGCGAGGCCGGTATGCATTGCAAATATGTCTGGGTCTGGAAGGATGCGAACTTGTGATGCGCATTTCACAATGCAGACAAATCTCTCATGCATAGGAAGCAAAAGGTGCCCATTTCCTGTCACCAAAATAGGGGATTTGCCATGCGGATTAAGCAATGCGGAAGCTTCTCGATGTCTGTGATGCTAGGGCTTTCATGACAGACATTTTGTGTCATCCAAAAACAGCAAGACAAAAATCTGCATTCTTCCAGACCCCGGCACTTTTGCATTTGATAGCCGGAACGGCCGGACAATCTTTTCTACGACACCCGCATGCTCGGGGAGGTGAGAGAGTTGGGGATCACGGTGGCTTTACCTTCTGTCCACCAGTCGGCGAACGCGACTCTGGTTTCGCATGTGTTGGCGTGCTTCGACAGCAAAAACAACGACTGCTACAATACCATGAAACTGAAAGTGGATTTTGAGCTCGCATCGGATGCTGGGGTTAACAGTACGATGTTTGAGCGGGGGGATAAGCATTTCTTGCCCGCTGTTCCGAGCGGGGTGGTTCTATCCGTTGACGAGGTGACCAAGCTGACGCAGTTGGCCAAGCTTTCTTCCTCTTTCACCGAGATGGATGAAACCACTTGGGACCCCGCCTGGGGCTATCAAATGCAAAAATGTCTGGGTCTGGAAGATTGCGAGATTTGTCATGCTGATCTGGCATGGCCCTTAAATCTGTATTGCGTGGCCACAAACAGCCTCTCTCACATGTCATGCAAAAACGCAGCTTCTCATGCGGAATACGCAGCACAGAAGCACGCAGCAACTTGTCATGCTTGGCGGCGCATTACAGTGCATTTGTTATTGACTGACTTGCATCACAAGTTTCCAGACCCAGACATTTTTGCATTTCATAGGGGCAACGACGGGATGAAGCAACAGTTTTACTCTGCGGATTTGACCGGGCCTGCCTTATCCTCTTTCCAGGCGATTTCCGCGGAGTCTTCCTTCAACGTCATTCCTGATTTGAAGCAGGGCGGGGGAAGGATTCCAACCCATTCCGAGTTTGATTTATCCGTGACTCTGACCAACGCGAATGCTGATTTGAAAATTCACCATTTGGATTTCAAGGAAAATCTGAAGAAAGCGGTTTCGAACGCGTTGAACAGCCTCCTGGGTCTGGATTTGGAAGTTGGCCACGTCGCGGTGAAACTGTTTCCACAATTCACCCGACAGCCTGTGCCGGAAGTTGGTTTAACCGCAAACACCGCAAAAACCATCCGGGTTCGGATCGGGCTGCCGAAAGCGGCGAGCTTCGACGGGGATAGTTCCGTGAAGAATCAAGTGTTGGCCATGTACTTGTCCGATAACTCCGCGCTGTCTTCCTACCCAACCGGCCACGACGACATTTCCTCTACGGACGTCGCTGCGGATTTCTCCCTGGATTTAACATTGCAGAAAATCAAGGCGGATGAGAAGAAAAATGCGTTCCAAAATCTGGTAAACAGCGAATTGACAAATTTGCTGCAAACCAGGTTTGGCAACACCGACATCACTGCAGGGTCCGCCACTGTTCTCAACACGGAGGTGAAGGAGTTCAAGAACTTTGAATTCCCTCTCGGTTTCTCCGGCGGCTCCGTTTCCGGGAAGACGATCGAAGCGGGGAAAGAGCCTTGTCCGGACATGAACGCGGCATTGAAACTCGACGGGGACGACATGGTGGCCGCTGGCTGGACGATCCGCCCGGCGAACGAGATGCTAAAGTCTTCCGGGCAAGAGCCGGCGCTATCTTCTAACCTGCGGGCGGGCAACAACCCGGCGAACGATATGATGTACGAGCCGAAGCACGACCAATACAACAGTGATGGCACGGAAAAGGGCAAGGGCGTTTTCTACGTGAACGGCCTGTGGAAGGAAAATACATTCTCCCAGAACGGAATCTCCCTCGCCTGGCCGATTGGGAATTACGACGTTTGCCGGAAAAGGGTGATGGCGGGCACGGAGTGGCCGAGTTACAAAATGAGTGGATACCGAAAATCCGACGGCACGAAAATCCCGGCCGATGCGGCGACTAGCCCACCGACTGAGTACCACGGGAGTAAAAAGGGATCTGCTTCTTCCTTTGCGGAAATGAAAACCGGGGAAGGTGGGGTTTTTGAAAGAACGTTGCTAGGAACCGGTGAAATCGAGGTGAAGTTCGGGAATTGCGCACCGTACAACAACCTGAATTTCCCCCCGAAAGACCACCCGAGTTGCAATTGCGTCCGGATCGACAACGAGGGGAGTCCAAAAACAGCAAGCACTAGGGACAACCAGTGGTGCACAAGGCAAGCTGATGGAAACCACTTAGTGTCCGATACGGATAAGAGGTGTAAAGTTGGCTGCATGTGCAGCTGCGGCTACACGGGGAACGCAGCAAAGCCGCAGTTGAACTGCCAGGGATCTGAGGTGCGATTGCAGCTCGATAATGTTCTGTTGAAAACCGCCTGGCCGGGGGATTATCACACGGTGAGGGTGAATTTCAAGTCGGGGCAGGTGTTGAAGCTCGAGGGGTTGTCTGGTTACATGGAGGACGGCGCGAACCATCTCGTTTTGCCCTACATGATGACCCTTTACGAGATCAACTATTTGACTTGCTCGCCCTTCTCCCCCGAGGACATGGTTTCCGGGATGGTTTTAGGTGCGATGACCCGGAAAGCAGTGGATCACGAGCTGAAACAAAAGATCACCGCCTTGACGAAAACAGACGCTGATGGGAATAACCCTGTCACCGTCGCTTCCTCGTTTTCCCCAGAAAACCTCCTCGCGATCACGAGGGATGCGAACACAGTGTACGACTCGCCGAGTTCCTTCGCTCGGTTCCGGGCGATTTTGCCACTCCCGAAGATCGGGGTGCACGGGTTACCGGGGCCTAGTGCGGATGCTGGGGATTTGGATGTGAAGGAAACTTTGAAACAGACGCTGTTGAAAGACAAAAACGACAAAACTTCCTCTTCAAATAACCCGTTCAAAGACCTCGCGACGACGCTAGTCAACAAGTTCGGCGTGCCGGTTTTGAACATGACGGAGGGCGTGGGGATGTTTGAAAACGCGAAGCACGAAAAAACCGCGGTGTCTGTTTCCGAGCAGAACAACGTCGGGAATTTTACCGACATCGACATCCTCCACGAGTCCGAGGACGTCGCGACGGATATCGGCCGGGACCCAGTGGGTGCGAAGGAGATTGACATTCGGTTTTTGGAAATTTCCGGGGAGCTGCACACCAAGGATTCGTCGACTTTTTCCGATAGTGCGTTGCAGATTTTGTTGCAGCAGGGTGTCGCGGCGCAGCAACCTGGGACTGAGAAAACCAAGCGGGTTTTCCCGGTTCCGTTGGAAGACTTAGGTGCGGCGTTTGACGCGATCACACCGGTTTTTCAAACATCGTCGAATTCGTTTACGTTCAAACGGGCGTTTAAGCTCACGGTGCAGTACAGGAAGAAGACTGGGGTGGAAATCGGAAATGCTATCTCCGTCTTCCGGTCCGATCAGTTTAAGTCAAATCTTCAGCAGTTTATGACGGACAACTCTGGCGGTGCGAATTCCACTTATGGAATTATCCTCTTCCAAGTCGCGGACGCACGGCTCGCTTCCATGTCGACTGTCGTGATCCGGTTTGTCAACAAGCCGAACAAAGCTATGACGGACAAACCCGGGTTGAAAAACGAGCCGTGGCTGAAACTCCCGCTCCGGAAGTGCTTCCGGGAAGCGCTCCAGACCGTCGCGACGATCTCCATGTCCGATGCGAATGTCTTTTTCGACATGCCTGATTTTGACTACTGGCCCAGCAGAATCCCTAATGTCTTTATGCAATACAAATTTCCTGTACATGTACAAAATGCATCACAAATGTCACCGACTTGGAGCACGCCACTTGTCATGCTAAATAGAAACGAAGAAAATTTTGTCATGCAGAAACCGCATTTGTACATGTACAGGAAATTTACTGTGGATAGTTTTCTCCGATTACCGCTACAACTACTTTCGGTTCGCACTCTCGTTCGCGGAACAGCCGACGACTTTGAAGAAGGTTCTGTCTTTATCCGGCGCGGTAAACACGGACGGGAGTAGTATCGTGGAGAATGAGTTCTTTTTGAACTCTTTTCTAACGAAAGTGAACGAAGCGGGATCCGATCCGTTAACGTTCATGCCGGCGGCGGAGGTGAATTGGGCTTCTTCTTATCTCCCCATTTCCGGCTTCAACAACAACGACGGAGAAGGGAAAAGAAAGGCGATGCACATTGTCCAATCCGACACGATGAGCTTTGTCCGCGCCTATCTTGGAGCGGATGATCTCCTCGTCACTGGGGTCGGAGCAAGCGGGACAGTTGTGAACAAGATTCAGGGTGCAAAACTCGCTCCTCTCGTGCAGAAAGCGGTTTTTTCCGCGGTGGAGGCCTCAGTCCCGGAGTTCAAAATCGCCTACAAACCGTGGCTCACGGCGTCGGATGTGGTGGTTTCCTATTCCAACCCGGACTGGCTGACGAACACCGACGATTTCTACGTGTCCGTCCCCGTGTCTTCCTGGAACTACAAAGCAGATCAGAAGTACAAATCCGCGACGCACGACATCGCGATCGAAACTTCCATCCGGGACAAAGTCACCGCGTTGTTCAAATCGGGAGGATCGGCGACCGCGGTTTCAACACCCTTCTTCGACAAGTTGAAGACCCGGTTATCGTACCTCCGCGACACCATCTACCACAAGCAGGCACCTTTCGCGCAGGAAGACGGGTCTGTTTCTCTCTCCGCGGGGACGGAGCCGAGCTTCTTGTCGAGATTGACTTTCTTGCGGGCGAAGTTGAGTTTGACCGCATCTGGTTCGTTCACAAACACCGCCGCGATTGAATCTGCGGTCAGGTTTGTGTTGAATTCGGAAACCAAATCACCGAAACTCTTCGCGGAGTCGATTCAAGTGGCGGAAAACGAGTTGACGGTGTTGCCAACCACGACTGATAACGAGTTCACCGTGATTTGCCAGGTGTTGGACACGAAGTCTCTCGCGACTCGTGCAGGACTATTGGCGCAACACCTCTCCGCTTCTACCGACTTGGGCACAACTGTCGCGACGGAATTAACTGCGAAGTTAGCAGCGGATGGACATACAGCTATCACCGCATCTTCCTTCGGGTCGACGAGAGTCGAGCCTCTGTCCCAAATTTCCATGCAGGGTGAGTTTGAGCACGACGGGGACGCGTTTGCGGACGGGGCGGACACTTTGGAGTTGATCAAGATCATCCAGAAGGCGTTCGTGTCTGCTTTGAAAGACGCGACGCAGCAAACCTTGACTTCCGGTATGGTCTCGATTCAGTTGAAGGACGGGACGAAGGACCGGAAGAACCCCATGTTTACCGTTTCCGTCCCGGCGATCGGTGCGGCCTTTGACTGGTTCTTCAAAACCGCGCCGGACGGGTTGAAGAGCTTCACGGAAATGCGCTTGAAGGAGGAATTTTCTTCTTCTTCATTACCTTCGAACCTCCAACGCGCGACCATCACGAATGTGAAAACCTCTGCCTTAGCGGATTTTGCAAACCGCGGGTACGTTCTCGGGCAGTTCTCGGTCACTTTCAAGGCAGCTCACGGGGGTGTGGATAAACTCATGCCGCCTAATGGGCAGTTGTCGAGACTGATGCTCACCTACGCCACTGCGAAAGCGACGAAGATTGTCACGACTGCGGACACGAATCTGGTGAACAACGTGGATGTTGACCCCTTCTCCCAGCTGATTTTCATCCCCGACGCGGTTTTCCCCGCTGGGGGAATCAGTTCCGGGCAAGACTACAGTCTTTCCGGGCAAGTGGTTCTCCCTCTCAACGGCCGTGTTGCCGATGTCGACCCAGTTCTCTACTCCCTCGGTACGACAAAACAGACGGAGTTCAAGCAAGAGTTGGTCAAAGCTTTAAACTTCTTCGGTCTGCACACGGAGGACGGGCTGGTTACCATCAGTTGGAAGGGATCGGTTTCTGCGATTTCGACGGATCGAACGGTGCTGGATACGAAGTCCTATCAAATGTAAAAATGTCTGGGTCTGGAAGAATGCAACCTGTCATGCTAAATCTGAAGCATGCAAAAATCTTCTGTGTTGCATGATTACCAAAAGCTGTCCACTTTTGGCCTAATCGAGAGGCAGTTTCTCATGCAGGAGAGGCATGATAGAACTCTCACAGAATCTGTGATGCTCTGTCCTAGATACCAGACCTCATGAGTCATGTAAAATCTGCATCACAAGTTGCATTCTTCCAGACCCAGACATTTTTACATTTGATAAGTCCGCGTCGGATTTGGTAATGATCGAGACGGACGCGATGGAAATCGACTGCAAGTTAGCGTTATGCACTGCAAAAATGTCTGGGTCTGGAAGGATGCAACTTGTGATGCTACCTTTGGACTCTACAGAAAACCTGTATTGCATGAACAGCAAAAGAGGTGCGATTTGTGCTACGCGGAGGAGGCATTTCTCATGCGGTATGAGCATCAGAAAGCCCTCGCAGAATCTCTCATGCTAGGGCATGCATCACAGACCTCATGGGCCATGCAAAATCTGCATGACAAACTCCTGCATTCTTCCAGACCCAGACATTTTTGCATTTGATAAGCGTCCGACACGGACATGAGCACGAAAGTGCATGGCGAGACGCACAGGGAGCTGGAGAGGCGGGCTGGAGAATTAGCGAAGGAGGCGATGTTCGAATCGCTTACCACTTTTCTCCCCTCCGCCCCCTTCGCCGGCAATGTTCTTCCTGAACTCGCAGCACTGAAGCAATCGAACGAGTTCGTGAAATCTTCTATCGCGACGGTCGCGAAGATGGGCACCAAGGTGGATCCAGTGACAAAGAAAGTCGTTTCCGATATTTTCACGGGTGAGGCGGAGCAGACGATCATGGTGAGTTTCGTTATCCCGCTGTTCAAAGTCACCGTGGAGGAAACGATGGAGGTGATAAAGCTTCTTTCCCAAGTCCCACCGAACGACGATAATTCGCTGGAAAAAACCAACTCCTGGTTCTACTCGGTGTTGGCTGCGAAGGTGAACAGTCTCGCTGGTTCTCACGGATTGGCGATTCTAACCGCGGACGAGAATGAAGAAATGGTCCGCCCCTGGAAGGGCACGGCGAAGGTCTTGACGCACCAGTATTTGAAATACAAGATCTCGGCTGCAACTGGGAAGACTCTGCTCTCCGATTACTTCGCTAAACAGCAGAAGTACATCAACACCACTGACAGTTCGGAAACGACAGAGAAACCAGCGGTGAAGTACCAACTCGAGTGGCTGCGACAAGCGATCCAGCACAGCTTCTCTGCGCAATTTGGTGTGAACCTCGGATTTTTGAAATCCGGGGTTGCGTTGAAGGACGTCGTTTCGCCGTTCTTGAGTACTGGTGGGTATAAGACGACGGAGAAGGAGAAATTTGCGGAATACACTTTAAACGCCGCGAACAACGATTTTTTCACCGGGATTTTTTCGCCATCATTGGTGCCGGTTGTGTGGGAGAACTACGCGGCTCTAGCGGGTTCTTCTGACATTGCCGCGGAATCCCTTGAGTTCAAAGTGCACCTCCCGTTCTCTCACCTCCAAACCGCCATCCCGAGTGATGCCGCGGAGAAGGGGAATATGATAACGAAAATCCATACGAAAATTCAAAACGACTTGGAAATCGCGGTTAGTGGTGCAATCGACAGCAGCAGTAGTAACGCTGGTACGAAGCTCGAGTTGCAGGAGGTCGCTCTGCCGAATGCGCAAACCAACGCCGGTGAAGCGACTTTCATCGAGGCCCCGGAGATGAAGTTCCAATCGGCGAACTCTGGCGTGCTGGCGATCGGCGCGGTGCAAACTCTCGTCCAGTTATCCGGTTCTTACGCTATGAAGGAAGTGATGGTAGCTGAGTCCGACACAACTGATTACAGCAACACGGATTTGAAAGTGCTGCAAATTATCGGTGCCACGATTCCGGTCGGGTATGTTTCGAACTCGACGTTTGTCATCAAGCCCTACTTCCCGCGTCGGAGTATTGAGACGAAAATCGCTTCTGGTTTATTCTTCTCGAAGTTCCAGGAGAGACTGGAGGCTTTAGGGATGACCTTCGAGGTACTAAATTCCGCTGGGAACAAGATGGAGATCGTCAACAGCAACTTCTTGAATTCCGATACCGCTGTGTCCCTCCGGAAGCCGAGCGGCGTGAAATTAGATCACGGCGACACGCGGCTGCGGATTGCGTATTTGCAGCTGATCGGGCAGGGGTTGTTGACGGTGGAACAATCCGGTATCGTGGATTCGACCGCTTTTTTGACGCAACAAGCGGTGACGAAAACGACATTACGGAACAAGAGCGTCCGCCCGTTATTAGTGTCCGCTTTTGACCAGCTGAAAGACCAAGCAGTTTCCTTCTGGACTACCAGCACCGCGAACAGCAAAACCTCGACCGCGTATTGGGAGCAGATCCAGAACAAGTACAAGGCGAAATCCGCGTATGTCCGGCGGTCCTGGCCACTGACGAAGGACGATGGAACAACTCATCAGGGCTTTGAATACGACATTCTGGTGGAACTCCAAGACGTGACCATGAAGGAGATCGCGGTGTTGAAGTCCAGTTTGCAGCAACTTGGTGTGAAGCAGAAGTTCAAAGAGTTGATCACAACCACCTTCGCCGCAGCGACCACCCCATCAGCCATGACGATCACGTTTGAACAAGATACCAACTCTGTCCTCCAAGTGAAGCAGAAATCCCACACGGAGTTCACAATCCAACTCGCGATCGGCCCGAAATCGAAATTCGCCTGCCCGGCGTTGACGTCCGCGAAGGGTATGATCGATAAAAACGCCTGGAAGGGGTTTGATCAGTTGAAAGTGTACTACGATGTGGATAAAGATGAGGTGGTGCAAACACCACAGTTCAACGCCGCACAGGATTTACCTGCTGGGTGTACCCTGCAGGAAATCATCGATACTTGCGGCAAGTACAAGAAGGGGAAGATCTATGGAAGGAAAAAAAGTTTGTCACAGTCACTACTTGCAGCATTAGCAGGTTTTGCATGAGAAATTTCATTTCTGGCGTCCTCACAGCTTTTTCCTGTATTGCAGAAACGCCAAGTTGTAGAAAGAAATCTTACACAAAGCGTGTCTGTCATGCATTTTGATGCATGACAGGCGTTTTTGTATTGCAGAAGTGCCCATGATGAGGGATCGCGGCGAACTTTTTTTGTTGCATAAGATCCATGAGCGGTGGCCGGAGTGGGGCAACAACCCACCGGAATACGACAACGGCGAGGGTTTAGCAAAAACCGCTTTCTTATGCATTGCAAAAATGTCTGGGTCTGGAAGGTTGCAACTTGTAATGCTAATTCTGGATCGTGCATAAATCTGTGTTGCATGAATGCCAAAAGCTGTCCACTTTTGACCAAGTTGAGAGGAAGTTTCTCATGCAGGAAAGGCATGGCAGGGACCTCGTAGAGTCTGTCATACTAAGTCCCGCACTCCAGACCTCATGGGTCATGGAAAATCTGCATGACAAGTTTACAACTTTCCAGACCCAGACATTTTTGCAATCCATATTTCTGGGGCTTCGCGGAAAAAGGGACCATCAAAACTCTCGAGTGGGAGGGCCAGAACACTGGCGAGGGGAAGGTCCGTATACTTTTCGGCAACTGCGCGCCACCGATGTGCAACCGGGGGAACAACGGGATCGACTCCAGGAATTGGTCCTCGGCTTCCCTTATGGATTGCAAAAATGTCTGGGTCTGGAAAGTTGGAACTTGTGATGCTAACTTTGGACTCTAAAAAAATCTGTATTGCATGATCAGCAAGAGAAGTCTGGTTTGTGCTACGCGGGGAGGGCATTTGTCATGCGGAATAGGCATCAGGAAGCCCTCTAAAAATCTGTGACGCTAGGCCATGCATTACAGACATCCTGGGTCATGCAAAATATGCATGACAAACCCGGCAACATTCCAGACCCAGACACTTTCGCAATCCATATCCCTCTCGCCGCATCGGGGTGGAACCAAGGGGTGGACCAGCTACCAGCACGTGGCAGGTGGCCAGCTCACCTGGGGCCCGAGTAACAGCGTCGCCAACCTATCAAATGCAAATACGTTTGGGTCTGGGAGATTGCGAGATTTGTCATGCTAGTCTGGCATGACTCTAAACTCTGTATTGTGTGGCCGCAAAGAGTTCCTCTTGCTTGTCATACAAAAACGCAGTTTCTCATGCGGAATACGCAACTCAGAACCATGGTAAAACTTGTCATGCTTGGCAGCGCATTACAGTGCGCTCCCTATTCCCTTCCTTGCATCACAAATTTCCAGACCCAGACATATTTGCAATCCATACAACCCGCGGATTTACGACTTTCCGCACCACCGGTTTTCGAAGGAGCACGAGTACGGAAACCTCCGGCTGCAATTAAGGTCGAACCGGGAAGCCACGCAGCGAGATTCGCAAATCGCGGTTTTGATCATCTACCACTTCGAGTACGATACCAGGGACCAGACTTATGGGGGCTGCAAGGGCTCGCCCGGCTGGTCGGATGTGGACAGTCAGAAAACGGCGCTGATGAGCATGATGAAGAAATCTACGGTTGACGGGTTGGAATCGATGTTTGGTGGGAACGTACCGCAGTTATCCGACACCTACGCGAACGACGTGGAAATTGGAGCGGGGCATTCGGAAGATTTGAAATTCGACTTGATGCTATCGGAGTTGCCGTCGATCGGGTTGTTAACCTCCGCGCAGTCCTCTGCCTACCCGTATCCTGAGTAAAAACGTCCCCACACCAGAGTTGTAATGCAGATTTGCAAAGACACGAAGACTTGTAATGCGCATCCCCATGAGAGCCATTTCCAATCGTGTTTTGGAATTTGTATGTAATGCTGTGAACAGGATGAGCAGATGAATCTGTGACGCGGCTGCACTTGCTAACCTGCACTACACTGCAGAGTGCAACTTGTCACGCGTGACTCACAAACCTCCTAGGTTTGTGTTGCAAAATCTCCATCCTGACTCTGGTGTGGGTACGTTTTTGCTCAGGATAACCCGTATGAGTTGATCACTCTGTCTTTCGCCATGCCGGTGGTGGACGATCAGATTCAGGGAGTGTTTGAACCCGAGCAGTATGGGGGGAGTAATGTCGACACCAGTCTGCGGACGAAGTTCATCCAGACCATCAACAGCAAAACCATGGCATATAAAGACGCGACAGACCCCTGGAAGGGGAATCTGGACTACTTGAAACTCGCACCGAACAGCTTTGATGGATTGACTGCGACGGAGTTCCGCTTCTTTGAGAGTGAACTGAAGATCGATGCTTTACCCGCAGATAAATCCGCCTACGTGTACTTAGAGAAGGACAACGGGATGGAAAACGCGATTGTGAATACTTTGTACCCACTGTCTACTAGCACAACCCCAGCCGAAACGACCTTCACCTACGACATCGGCGCCTCGGACATCGGTGTCTGCCCGGTTGTGGATGTCGAAACCGCGGCGAGTACAGCGGGTGGAAGTACAACCTCTGTCAGCAACATTCCCTTGATCCTCTCCCTCGCAAACATGCGGGACAGCTACCAGAACGGGGTGCAGGTACCGGAGCGGAAGGAGTTGCAACTGGTTATCAAAGTGAAAAATCCCCCCTCTCCATATCAAAGCCGAAATCTGTGATGCGGGATTTGTGTACACAAATCCAATCTGTCTAGCAGTAGAGGACTGCAGGCAGATGCAGCGCCTGAGTAGGGGCGTTTTGCTGTAGACACCTAGCAAGGCAGGCATATCCTCTGTAGGTGATACAGCATTACAAAGTGCCGGCGAAACGCGGCTGATTCTCTGGGTTTGCCCTCTTGCAATACAGGGACGATTTGTGGTCACAAATCAGCATCACAGATTTTCAATAATGCCCCTTTTTGGTATGGGGAGGGGGGATTTTTCCTCACAATACTGGTGAAAGCCTTCACGGAGCAGCTGACGAGTGTTCGGAAAGCAAGGTTATCAAATGTAAAAATGTCTGGGTCTGCTGGAACGATGCAAGGTTTGTCATGCACATTTTGCATGAGTCCTGATGTCTGTGATGCATGCCCTAGCGTCACAGATTATGCGAGGGCTTTCTGATGCCTATAGCGCATTAGAAATGCCCTCTCGCAATGGCAAAAACTGGACCTCTTTTGCTGCTCATGCAATACAAATTTTTTTAGAATCCAAAAACAGCATCACAAGTTGCAATCTTCCAGACCCAGACATTTTTACAATCCATAAAGGTTTGAGAAGCAACTGAAAACGTTCGAGCGGGATGGCAGTGGGGTAACTGGGTTCGATATGCAAGAAAAAAACTGTGTAAGTGTAAATCTGTGATGCAGAAAATGCAAAACAGTTACACTTGTCATGCTGGATGTGCATCAGAGGCTATCTTCATACGTGTTTTCGCGTACTAGCTACGCATGACAGGTTTTCTCTGTCATGCAAAGCAAATCTGTGATGCTGTTCCTGCAAAAAAGTTACACTTACACACTTTTTTTCTTGGATATTCGAAGTCTCGTCCGCTGGGGAGCTAGCTGTGCAAAACACGAACAAGAACGGGAAGGTGTTTGATAAACAAAAAAGTTCGGCGACGTTTTTCCAGTTCACGGTTTCTTTGGCTGCTTCGGATTCGGCGAGTGTTGTCCCGGCTGACTTCTTCGCGCACGAGATTGGCACCACAATTGCCTCCTGGAACTACGTTTCTGTTGGCTTTTCCAATAGCGCAGTTGCAGACAAGGAAAAAGCTTCCCCGGAAATCTTCTTCAACGACGTAAAAACCGCTTTCACGATCATGATTTGCGGAGAACTCCGGAAGATCTCGGCATATGCATTGCAAAAGCAATATCGTGCTAGTAGTAATTGCAATACAAATCTGCTCAGCATGACAAATTTGTAATGCTGTTTTAGGAGTTAGGAAGGCGATTTGTGATGCATATCTGCAATCACAGTACAAGCATCGGATACAACTTTTGCAATGCATACGGGGAAGTACCTCCTCGACACTGAGTTTTCCGCGACGAACTGCGCGGTGAAGAACCTCTTCGGAATTACGGTGACCTACGGGAACAAAAAGGACAAATTGCTAATCCAATTCTACACGTTGGATTCGGAAACCGAGCCGAACAGTCTGGCGAGAGACGTTCTGTCGATTATTTCCGGGTCGAAGGCGAGCCATTTGGGTTCTAGTGTCACTGGGATTGTGCTGAAAACCGCAAATGCAGATGCAACAGTAACTCCAGACACAACAGCGGAGATCTCCGCGGACAGCAAGATCGACTTAGTCCCTACCTGGTGGGAGAACAACACAGCGTTGCAAGCTGCGACTGCAATGAAACTCACCATTGATACCAACTCTCCCAGCGCGGTGACGAGATTCCAGGCCTCCGCGGCGTTTGATTTGAAGACAGGGGCAGTTACAACCGCTTTGGATTTGGACGAATTCGATTTGAAAACGTTCATCAAATCCGCGTTGCAACTCACCTTCCAGTCCTGCTGCTCCTACTCCCTTCATTTAAACCAGATCGCAGTGAGTTTCGCGAACGAGAAGAAGGAGAAGCTCGAAGATTCCACCGCTGCGGCGGGGGAAACGCACTCCATCTCCATCTCCTTCTCCTTCGCTATCCCCATCCCTGGTGCGGGGAACAAAATTGAACCAAACACCAAAAACCCAGCCGTGAAGGGAGACTCGATTCTGTTCTACGCCCAGAAAAGCGGCGGGCGATTGATCCCGGTTTTGAGACGCAGTTTAGAGGTGGTTTCCGCGAGGATCAAGCCTAGTTTAACGTCTCCGGATGACTTCAAGATCACGAATGTTTTAGCCACGACGGATAAAACCTCCCTTCGGCAATACGTCCAGGCGAATTTTGAATTCGGTTTGGCAGGGGAAGAGCAGTCAATGGGCTCTTGGTTCCAAGATACCGTGGCGAAGGAGCTCGTGACTGCTGCGACGGGGGTTACCACGACGAAGGATGCCGCGCGGTTGGGTAATGCGGTCGAGGGAACATTGGCGTACGCGGTGCCGAAGAGAGGAGGGGATAATTCTGCTGCTAGTTCCTGTGAGTTCGATTTACAAACAATCACGTCTTTAACCGACATCACTGACACCGCCGGCTTCACGCTTGACCCTATCCCGACCTTCGCTGATTCCGCGAAGACGAAGCAGATGGAAGAAACTAGAAGCGCGAACAAAGACACGTGTACCGCTTCTGGAACTACTTTCCCGCTCGCAACGTGGCCAGATGCAACCACTGACTCCGCTACGATCCTCGGCGAGGGGATTTCGAAACAAATGCCGTTAGATAAGTACGGGGTTTTGACGATTGAATTTGGGAACTGCGATAACGTTTTCACAAATAATGAAAAACTCATCGCGGATTCCGATTTCGATAACTCCGGGACCAAAGCGGAAGTCGATAATTTAGACAAAGTCGGGCAAACGGTAATTGAAGTCGACGGGAAAATCCTGGATTACGCGAACCCGGGTATCAAATGTAAAAATGTCTGGGTCTGGAAGAATGCAACTTGTCATGCTAAATCTGAGTCATGTAAAAATCTGTGTTGCATGATTACCAAAAGTCGTCCAGTTTTGACCAAGTCGGGAGGGAGTTTCTCATGCAGGATAGGCATGAGAGAGATCGCACAGAATCTGTCATGCTAGGTCCTGCATTCCAGACCTCATGGGTCATGGAAAATCCGCATGACAAATCGCGCATTCTTCCAGACCCAGACACTTTTGCATTTGATACCGGGAGAAACAAAGCAAGTGAAAATTCCCTTTCACCCGGGCGCGAAAATTAAGCTCTACAACGAACCTGGGCGGGATCGGGATTCTGGGGTTATCACGATCAAATCGATTAAGCAAGAATGTTCCACCGCGACGACTTTTGGAACTACGTGTTCCGGGAAATGCGGTTCTGAGTGGCAATGCGAAAGGGTGAATACAGACACGACGTTGTTCGGGTTACCAGCGTTGTCTGTCCAGTATTTAGATCTGCACAAAGATTCTTCTACTGCTAAATACCCATCGCAAAAATACCTCGCGGACCGCGTACCGAATAGCAACTATCCAACGATCCCGGAATACGGGGATTACCAGTGGACTGGGGATGCAGACTCGGTATCTGGGAAGTACCAGTTGTTGTTAGCCCACGTTCTGCAGAAGCACACGACTTACTACAGTTCGAACGAGTTGACGAATATCGATCCGGTAGACTACAACAACGTCAACTACGGGTATTCCGGTCTTTGCTGCCCGCGTCACACGGAGTTCTGCATGCCGGCGGGCTCCTGGCACGTGATTGTGCCGAAAAAGTGGCGGGATCCGGTCGGGAACACCGACATGCGCAAAATCGCGAAGATTTGCGACAGCATTGAGTTGTGTGTTGCGATGCAGGTGAAACACGATGGTGAGGATTTACAGGTGGAACTGTTTTTCGACCGGGACTACAGCTCAACTAGAGGGTGGCCGAACAGCTACCAAGGCGATCTAACCGGGGGGTTAGACGCGGCTAGTTTTACGCAAAACCTCAAACGGTTCCCGGGTGTATCCAAGTACATCTGGAAGCAGTCCGAAGCCTGGGACCACAACTACGGCGTGTCGCAATCCACGAAGAAAGAGCAGTCCCACAGTTGTTTCCGGAAAAAATTGACGAACAAATTCCCCTCCGCGGATACCTACCGTGCGGTAAACACGTTCAAATCCCCCAATATCGTTCTCTGGCCGGACGATGTCGCGTACGACGCGTTCGGCAGCGTTCCGAACACTGGTAATCCGAACCGGCGGGGGAATAAGGTTTCTGTCCCCTCTAAAAAGCAGTCGGATGCGAATGGAGATTTCTACTACGAAATTTTCTACAAGGTTCGGGCGTCGGATTCTGCAATTATCCACGGGGCGTGCGGGAAGATGGATGGCTCGACGAAGAAGCACATCACGATGCACTACCGGGACGTGGAGCCGGAATTTATCCACTACTGCTTTGAGGAATGCGACAAGCACGACAACTGTGTCGGCGTTTCGATCATGCAGGGCCGGGAACACAAACTCCCAGGAATGAAGCACCCGAACATTAGCAGAAACATGCGAAGCCGGTGTATGATTCACTTCCACACGACCTGCCCAAGTGCGTCCGCGGAGTGGACGGACGCGTGCAGTAAAACAACAGATGACTTCGGGATTTCCTCCGCGCCGTATTTGCTCCCTTCGTCCGCCACCAACGCGATCGACGAAACCTTCAGCATGAACGGCGGCGGCTGCTTCGTCCGGAAACAGAAGGTTGATTGGAAGAAACAGCAGTTCTGGCAGGGGAACTTGCTCACCGGCGAACTGTGCGCCACTGGTAGCTGGATCGAAATCCCTGCAACTGTCTTCACCAACGCGGGGTTAGCAAATCACGCTGAGAAAAAATCCGCCTGCAAATCCCTCTGCTACGGGGTTTATCTTCGGAAGGACCAGGGGTGTAGCAGTATGGCGTATGAAGAGCAAAATAGTAAATGCTTTCTCCTGTTGAACAAGAAGGACACGTATCAAGCAACCGCTTTTCTCCCGGTGGATTCGGATTTGGATTCCGCGAAATTCAATTTGAAAGTCGCGGGCGGGGAATTGAAACTCCCCGAAACAAAATTAGCAGAACCATTCGAATCCTTCTCCTCCGTCATCCCAGGAACTGACCCCAACGCGATTGTCTGCCTAGCTTGCAACGGGGAAAAGACGTACACAACCATCGCTGACGTTGAGAAGGATAAGTGGACGGTCGTCGCGAACCGGAAATTCACCGAGAACGCGCAAACACAACATGGCGAAAAAGTTCTCTGGGACAAGCGGAGTGCGAATAAGGAAACGTGTGCGAATACCGGGGGTTTGGTTTTCGCAGAGTGGTTGGATGCTAGCAAACCCGACGAAGCAACGATCACCGCGATGCATTTGGAGAAACAGTTCGACGAATGGGCGAAGATTTCCATCACGATCGGCAACTGCGACACGGTTTATACCGGAATCCGGACGAATAGCTACACTGAGAGCCCCGACGCTATTGAAGGAGGGTACCGGGTGATGGACCGAATCGGCTACACAACGGTGGAGTTTAACAACAAAATCGTTGGATATGCCGGCCCGGGGGAACAGAAGACAATCGAAATCATGGTCCACCCGGGGGCGAAGGTGAAGATCGTGAACGAAGCCGGGCGGATCAGGGACAGCGGTGTTATCGTTCTGTACAAGATCAAATCCGAGTGCGTGAATCTGGTTTCGGAAGAAACTAATCACTGTCAATCGAAAAATCGGTGCACCGACGAGCAATACCGCGCCGGAACCGGCTGGGACTGCGAGCGTTTACATCTCGCGAAATCGAAGAAATCGGAGACAGCTTACCCGTTGAACGACGGAATCAAGTACCGACTCTTCGATCGCGATCCGCTCACCGGGGGCCAGGGGTCCTACGCGAAGATCATTAACGAGAATCACCAGGCTGGGTTTGGTTCGAAAGCTGGGTGGACGGTGATCAAAGATTCGCTGGTGGGTATGTACAAGTGGGATGAAGAGGGTATGTCCGGGTATGACGAGCTGCAGGCGAACGGCGACACCGGGCACATCCAGACCAAGTGGAATGATAACGGCGGTTTGATCACCGGGGGACAGAATTTCCCGGGCAGGTGCTGTCCCCAGCACGCGGCGTTCTGCCGAAATGTGGGTTACTGGCTGATGGAGTTCCCGACGCAAGTTCGCGACCCGAAGGGGAACGAGGATTTGGCGAAGGTTACGAAGTACTGCGATCAGATCACGACTTGCGCGGGGTTTGAGACCGACATGACAAACAGTGCGATTTTCAAAGTCCGGCTCTTCTTCGAGTACGATTACCGCACGGAGAACGGGTGGCCATTGGAGATTATGCATTGCAAAAACCTTGCACCATCATAGGACTGCATGACAAATTTTTGTAGAACTAGAAGGAAAAACCTGTCATGCTGAACACGTCATGAGATGCCAAGCCTGTCATGCGTCAAATCCGATGAGGTGTAACAAGGTAAACTTTTGCGATGGATAATTATGGGGAAGAACTTCAAGCAGGACATGGTCGATTTGAACTTATCAACAGATAAAGACATCCAGAAGAAGTTCCCCGGTGTGGCGAAATTTGTCTACCAGAAGCAGGGCGCCGGTGGGGAATACTTCCCGTCGAACGACGAACTCGGCCGCAATTACGACACCGCGCACGCGAAAGTTTCCCGGGCGAGTTATGCTGAGTAAAAACGTCCCCACCCCAGACTTGTCATGCAAATCTGCATGCCAAAAAAGTTTCTCATGCGGAGCCCCATGAGAAGCATTTTCTAGTCGTGTTTTGGAGTTTGTAATGCTAGAATCAGCATGATATGCTAGATCTGTGATGCTGCTGAACTAGCGAAACAGGGCCACATTATGAGGGCAAACTTGTCATGCGAAACAGTGAAAGCTGGTTGATTTGTCTAGCAGATTTCCCATCTTGACTCTGGTGTGGGGATGTTTTTAGTCAGGATACGAGTTACTGGGAGGGACAAGGCGGGCTGGCTCAGGGCCGGGACCCTTATAACGATCCTACTCTCACCTCTCCTGGGTTTGGCATCGGGCAAGTGATGCCGCCGTTTCCGGAGAACAGCTTGAATCCCAATAACAAGTGGCATTGCTTCAAGAAGCGGACGCATTCCCCATTCCGCTCCGAAGATTACTACCAAACCACTTGGAAGGAGCCGAATAACGAGTTCTGGCCCGACGACGGCTGGGGTGGTTCCTACACCGGCGAGCCGGCGAAACGACCCAACGATCTCGGGCTGCACAAGTACAAGGAGATTTACACCATTCCGTCGAATCTTTGGAATCGCCACGGGCCGTATGGCGACGGCGGAACCGCTTCGAACGGGGGAATTGGGGATAAAGCTTACTACGAGGTCCGGCCGCATCCAAACCAGGAAAAAAGCGCATCCCACGGGTTTTGCACGTTGAGCGGTGATCCGATTACAACGTATAAGATGCACACAAGGACAGTCCCCCATGAATTACTCCACAAGTGTTTCGAAACCTGCGACCACTTAGCGCCGTATTGTATCGGAGTTTCAGTCAACCGCGGGCGGTACTGGTGGCACGCAGCAAGATATCCCACGAAAAAAATGTTTCACTGTGATGATTTTGCAAGAACCGCATGATAATTTTGCTACACATGACACAGAAAATTTGCCATGCGCGTTTCCCAAGGGAAAACACGCTTGAAAATCCAATGTCTTGCAGTTATAGCAAGACAAATAGTTTTGTGCTCCATTTTCTGCATCACAGAGAAGCAGTTTTTTCGTGCGATACAAGAGGGGTGGAAGGGAACAGGTACGGGAACGAGATGGATCATGAAACGCAGGTCCGGACCGGCGACATGATCCCGTTCTTCGACGTGAAATGCCACTTAATGTTCACCGATGCGTTCCCGACCACGAGTGCCGGTTTCACCGGGGATGGTATCGCTGGGTCACCAACTGAAAAATCTGTCGGCCTAGGGGGGCAGAAGACCTGGCCGGGGTTTTACGACGAAAAGTGGGTGGAAAATGGCGGCCCGATATGCAAGAAAAAAGCTGTGTTAGTAACTTTTTTGGGTGACTAGCATTACAAATCTGTCTAGCACGACAGGGAGAACTTGTCATGCGCAAATAATACGCCAGATAATCGCTTGAATGAGCCCTACCATGCATGACTAGCATGACAGACATGACCCATTTCCTTGTCTCGCATCACAGATAAACGCTAACACACTTTTTTCCTCGCGATACCCGGCTTCGAACGGCTACCAATACGACTATTGGTGGGAAAAGCGGCAACCCGCGCTGGGGAAGTCCTATTCCCCGAACACGAGGACTCTAGACATGGAAAGGTACTACCACCAGCAGTACTACGAGACGATGAAGCCCTATGGGCCGACCGTGTGCTTCGCGCGCTGCGACGCCCCCGGCGTGGGGAGCGAGTGCGCGGTGAAGTACGATCGGAAGAAGTGGTGGGATGGGACTCTCTGGTCCGAGCCGGCGAAGAGGCCGTGGCAAGCGTCCACAACCTACACCTACGAGTGGGACATGGGCGAGAAGGACACGGACTGCATGTCGCACGAGTGGGTTTCGATCCCCAACTCCATGATTCCCAGTTCCAACAACGGCATTGCCTTCGATGATACAATCAATGATGGAAAGCCAACAATGACTCGAGATTTCTGCCAAGATCTCTGCTACGGGTCCTTCAAATACGCCGACGTCACTGGGAAGAAGCAGTCGCGCTGCCGTGCCATCGCGTTTGACGAAACAAGCAACAAATGCCGGCTGATGATGCAGAAGCAGGGGGGTTCCAACCCCTTAGCTCCCGCAAATGCGATCGCGACGCAGTTTGAACTACTCTGGCCGAAGAACTTCGGAAAAGTGGATCTCGTCACGAACGCGTTTATTTGTGACGCGGTGGCGAACCCTTCCACCTGCTACAACGCGGTAGCGGCCAGGGGTGTGATCAAGGATTCCATGCAGCTAGGTTCAAGCTCCGCGAACGTCGAAGCAGTCGCGTTTCCGCCGGCTGTGATGCAAATCGGGTCCAAATCTTCCCCCGCAACTAGTCGGTCCAACGTGCGAATTGGTGCGTCGAAATCGGTGGAAAAAAGAAACCAGGACAGCTACATTGAAGCAAGGTTTGTTCTCAACCCTGGTGGTACCGGGACTTTGGAACCCGCAATGGAGCAAGAGCTGATCGAGAAGATGAAAATTTCCGCGTATCTGACTGTCGTGAAGCAGAAGTTCCTCTTCCCGATGAACTTAGTCGACACGGAATACCATTTCGATGCAACAAACTTTCAGTCCGCGGTGGATTCCGGAATTCTCTCCCTGAACCGGATCTCCGTGGTTTTAGGCGAGTCTTCCGCCACCGCTGCGTACCCGGAAAGGACTTTCGTGATTACCTATCACTTCCAAACGGCGGACTCTGGGATTGTGGGGGAGGTCCTGCGGTTTGTGAACCGGGATAGTTATTTGAAGACACTTACAGACGAGTTGAAGGAGCAGTGTAAATCAAATACCGCGCTAGCTTCGACTTTGATCCCGGTGCGGCCGCCGGGGGTCACGGTTCCGGACACGATCACGAAGCGGAAGGACAATTTGATTACCGCGAATTTGCTTTCCTTCAGTGAGCAGTCGGGAATGAAGATGTTTTTGCAAGTGACGATCGAAAATGCGGCTGATTCCAAGCAGAAGGTGGAGAGAATTCTCCGCCGGAAGTTGGTCGGCTCTAAAGACAACAACTGGATCGCGCGGTCTATCGCGACTGGGTTGAACTCCAGACTCGGGTTGGGCTTGACCAGCAACCACGTGGCGGTTCGAATCAAGGAAATCACGCTATCCGCAGCGAAAACCGGCACAGCACTCGATGGAATATCAACTGTAAAAATGTCTGGGTCTGGAACATTCTGACACTTGTCATGCACGTTTTGCATGTGCCCTGATGTCTGTGATGCGTGCCCTAGCATCACAGATTTTTTGAGAGCTTCTTGTTGCCTATTCCGCATGACAAATGCCCTCGCCACGTAGCAAAAATTACATTTCTTTTGGTACTCATGCAATACAGATTTTTCTGGAATCCAAATGCAGCATCACAAGTTGCATTCTTCCAGACCCAGACATTTTTACATTTGATACGGAACGACCACAGTCGACTGCATGGATGCGGAGATTTTCTTCTCCTTCTCCATCCCATCCGCCGCACCGAGTCTGCAACTCTGGTTCAGCCGAGACGGGGCAGCCAAGCAGTCCGCGGTATTGGATGCGATTGATGCGAGCGTCGCAACGCTGTCGACTTACAAGACGACGAAGAAGTCGGAAATTACCGGTTCTGTGAAGCAAACCCGGTTTTTAGAAACCGTGGTCGACGCGGATTTATCCTTAAACTACAAGGACGTCAACGCGTTTGACAACGCTGGGGTGTTTGAGAAGTTGATTTCTGTTGCTGCGGATTATCGAATGCAAATGAGTCTGGGTCTGGAAGATTGCGAGACTTGTCATGCTGATCTGGCATGACCCTTAACTCTGTATTGCGTAGCCACGAACAGCCTCTCGCTCCTGTCATGCAAAAACGCGGTTTCTCATGTGGAATACGCAGCACAGAAGCGCGGAAAAACTTGTCATGCTTGGCGGCGCATTACAGTGCATTTGTTATTGACGGACTTGCATCACAAGTTTCCAGACCCAGATATATTTGCAGTGCATACGGAGGTGGCGTTCGCAAACCGGAATTCCGGCAGCTTCAGGTTGGATTCTAGTACCTCTGCTTCTGCCGAGGTAAAGCAGATTTCCGATTTGTTGACCTCCCTCGACATGGAACTGCCGATAGCGAGCGAGTTGATAGTTGGGTTTGACGCGCGGGAGCATTCGCCTGTCACGGATGACATGCTCTGTTCGTTCGACGCCACAACACCGGTGAGTCGGAAGCGCAAGGTGGTTTTGACCCTTCCCTTCACCTGGGAAGAGCATTCCACGGTCTCCGGGCAGCAGGAGTCGTTTGTGAAAACGTTCGAGTCGTTCGTTGGATTGTTCTATGAGGAAGAAGGCGGGACTGCGACCATAATGGCAAACCACTTGAAAGCGGCGTTGAACATGCTTTTAGATGGTGAAAAGGTCATGACGGTGGCGAATTCTGTCGCGCCGGCGGCTTCGAATTCGCAAGTCACGGGCTTGACCTGGAAGGGGTACAAGAGCAGTAGTAGTTCTTCTAGTTCATCTTCCTCTTCTCTGCGGGCTCTGACCAGCTTGGAAGGGAGATTTATCAAATGCAAAAATGTCTGGGTCTGGAAGATTCTGAGATTTGTCACGCAGTTTTTCCAAGCTCCACCGAGTCTGGAATGCAGGGCCTAGCATCACAGGGTCCGCAGCCCCTTCGTGATGCCTGTTCTGCATGAGAAATGCCCTCTCAGCATGGCCAGAAGTACGCACCTTTTGCAAGTCACGCAGCACAGATTTTTGTATGATCCGCAACATGCATCACAAGTTCGCATCCTTCCAGACCCAGACGTATTTGCAATGCATAAGATTTGAACAACAGCAAGAACAACTCGATTTCGCCCTCGAGCACATGGATCTTTTGGACGAGAACTACGAGGAAACCGCGGCTCTCCGGGAGTTATCCTCTTCTTCTACTTCCACCGCCGCTGTTGAGCCAAATTGGTCCGCGATGGCGGCAACAACGGATCTGTCCCTCCAGTCGAAACCCCGCGCGTTCTTTCTGGAAGTGCCGGTGGACTTGACTGTGGTGCATTCTCTGACGCAATTCTACAGCAAGGAATACATTTCGATTCTCTTGAAACAAGCGACGTTCGATTTAGTCGAGGCAGAAATCGTGAATGTCGGATCTAGTAGTGAAACCGTCAGAACCACTGCTTTGTCCGCCTGGAAGCAGAAATTGGAAAAACTAACCGGAACGGTTTCCGCCGGGAGTCCTCGAACCGGGGGGCAGAACAGAGTCGATATCGATTACGAAAACGACCCGGTTTTGCTCGTCGATTGCCGGTTTGATATCACCAGGTCGACGTCCCTTTCTGATGCTGCTTCCACCGATAAGGATTTCGCAGTGAAAGAAACAGCAATGGTTTTCCTGCAACTCCAGCAAGCGGACTCGTTCGTGATTGGACAAATCTTGACGATTATGGCCGATCAAACGAAGTTGCTGGCGAAACTACAGGGGCAAACCTCTTTAGGTTCGACTGGCGCGACCATCTTCCCAGAGTTGAAAATCCTCTCCCGGGATGGTCTCCAGCAGGTCCCCGCAGGGGATACGGTCATCCCTTCCCTCGCCGTTTCGAAACTTCGGCTCCCCGTCATCGCTGACTTGTTAATCGACGAAAACGCCATGTTGAAGCCAAACGGCACGGTGGTTGCCACGGAAGTCGCGGACGCGTTCCGGGAGTTGCTGGGGGATGTGTTGACAACTGATTCTTTCACGTTACCCGCTTCCTCCCTCATCGCAGAATCTTCGACGCAGGCGGCGGGTTCGGTTTACAACCAGTTTTTGTTCGATTTGTACGTGCCGATAAGTCTGTCTTCTTCTGTTTTGTCTGCGGAGAAATTGGCGTTTTTGAAATCCTCTAACGCTGCGGAATTCGTGAGACAGAAGTTGAACTCTGGGTTCGAATCCGATAATTACACTTCCGGTCGCGTGAAACAATTGGTGATTAAAACCGGGGGGAGTTCTGTCCAGCAGGATTTCATCTCGACGCATTTTAAACTAACTCCCGCCCCGAACCCGGAAGTTTTCAAGGCGGTTGCGGCGTTCCAATCGGTCTTCGCGTCTGTGTTTTCCTCGTTGAAGGACGGAATACAATTCCCTCGGTCGGAGATGGTGGTTGTCGCGCCGGAAAAGAACCTCGCGGTGGACAAATTCTCCATCGTGATGCCGAGCAAGAGTTTGCTTTCGTACAGTGATGCAGAGTTGATATCTGCACTGCAACAAACGGACAATCTGGCGAACTCCGTCACCCCTCGGTTAGAAGGGGTGGGAATTTCTCTATCCGCCGCTTACCCCCCGCCGAGTGGGACCTTGAAGTTGACGGATACAGCGATCTTACCGACCAGTTCGAAGGACGTTGCGACTTTGAACAAAAACTCGGGTCTGAACTCCAACGGCGTTTTGGAATTAACCGCCGGGATTTCAGTTTTACAAATCGACTTCCGGGTGCTGTTGGCGAACAGCGAGAGTAGTTCTCCTGAGATGAAAACCGCTCGGCAGAAGTTGGGTTTTAGCGATAAATCGAAAGTCGGTGGTTTGTTGGAAGAACTGAAGACGTGGTTTAGGGCTGCGATCAAGGAATGTCTTGATTCAGGCTCCACCGCGGAAGTCGCGACGGTCGTTTCTTCCTCTAAGGTGAAGTCCGGGAAAGTATTGACGGGTTCGAAGACGATTCAGTCTAACAAACTCACCCTTTCCGTCCGGCTTTATACCGGGAAGGAGAGCAATGCGGAGGATGCTGCAAAATCCGTTCTCCAACTCTCCCAGATGCTGAATAAAGGAACAAGCAAATCCACTTGCGTCTTGGATAAAGTGAACACGAACCTGCAGACTTTCACGACCTTATCTTCGTCGGATGCTAGTGCTGAGATCCTAACCGACTTCCCGATTGCTCTTCCAGTGATCCAGGGAAGAGGGTTGATTTCCGCCGGGGCAGGTTCCGCTGTCGTTACCGCGGTGAAGAAATCAGGGACTGGAGAAAATCCAGTTTCCCCACTAGCGAAAGCTTTATCCGATGCGTTAGCTGCTGCCGACGCGGGTAACGTCCCGGCTGAGATGATCACGGTGGACGTTCTCGCGAAAGCAACGCAAACCAGCACTAAAGCGCAGTTCTCCTTCGCGATTCCAGGTGCTTTCGGCCCGGAAGCTGACTTTTTATTGAAGTCCAATCCGCCCGAAACGCTGAAATTTCTGCTGGAGAAGAGCTTGAAGCTGCGGCTGAAGGAGAACACTGTGACTGGTGTTTCCACCACCGATGCGGAGAATGTGAAAATCGAACTCGCTTCTCTCAACGGGGCGAAGCAGCAAGACACGGTGTTTTTAACCGGGTTGGTGGAGATCCAGGAACAAACGAGTTCTGGAAATATTGACCCTGTGACAACTGCTTCCGCGTTGTCTTCCGGGTTGCGAGCCGTTGTTTCCTCCGCTTTGGAGAAGGAGGGTTTGAAGCTCGTTGCCCCCTCGGTTTCTTTCACGGATTCTGTTGTGAAAGCAACTCTTGTATCCCAAGGAAAAACTGTTTCACTGTAAACTTGTAATGCAGAAATTGTATCTCAGAAGTGCTTGTCTTGCTACACATGCAAGACAATGGATTTTTAGCGGTGTTGTCTCTTGGAAATCTCGCATAGCAAATTTTCTTTGTCATGCAGGACAAACTTGTGATGCAAAACTTGCAAAATCCTTAAAGTGAAACACTTTTTTCGTACGATATCTTGCCGGTATGACTTCTGCGGAACAGGTGGATTCTTACCGGGTCAGCAACGTGATCGTCGCAGAAGTGACGAGTGCTGCGGATGTGAGTGGCGCGACTGGGAAAAAGCTGTACTATTACATTGTGCCGTTGAACCTGCAGGAGCGGAATTTTGGAACAACGGCTGGTGGAGTAGCTTCTTCTACTCCCGTCGCTTACTCCAATGTCGGAGGCGCTTCCCTCGCGAAGTTGCAAAATGTAACAAACAGCTTCGCTGCGGATTTCGACACGGAGTTCAACAAAACCTTCTCCGTGCTCGCGAACGCAGAAGGATTCGAACTGACCACGATAGTATCTTCTTCTGATGGTGGAGCTAGTAGTGCAACAAGTTCTTCCTCAACTGGTGCGGAAATCTCCCTCGCGAAGCAATTCGAGAAGAGCCTGCTGCAGCAACCGACCAGTTCGTCCCTCTCGCCGCTGTTTCTATCCTGAGTAAAAACGTACCCACACCAGAGTCAAGATGGGGATTTTGCAACGCAAACCTAGAACTTTTGGGGGTCACGCATCACAAATTGCAGTCCGTAGTTTAGTGCAGGTTCGCAAGGCCAGCTGCATCAGAAATCGATCTGCTCATCCTGTTTACAGCATTACAAATTCCAAAACACGACTAAAAATGCCTCTCCTGGCGATGCGCATTACAAATGTTCCTGTCATTGCAAATCTGCATGACAACTCTGGTGTGGGTACGTTTTTACTCAGGATAATTTCTCGAGACGAAGTTCATGGTCCAAGCAGACCTTTTGGACAACACTCTGGACATGAAGGACAAGCTATCACACAGAAAAAAGCAGGCAGCGCATGTTTGTAATGCAAAAACAAATAGACAGAAGAATCTGTCATGGGTTAATACCCCATAGCGTTCTGCTCAGGACATGCAATACAGATTTCTTTGTCTATTTATTTTTGCATTACAAATCTGACGCGTCTGCTTTTTTCTGTGTGATACAAGCAAACCAAGCTCGCGTTCGACAAAGTCGTCACCTCCCGGTTCCGCAGCGCAGTAGCCCACGCGTTGAAAGAAACGCTAGAGACTGAGAAGAAGGACCAACCGCTTTTACCCGTTTCCTGCTTGATCGGAAAAGGGACGGAATCAAGAGAGCAAGCAGTAACCTCCACCACGACCACCACGACCAACCCAAATTGCTACCAGGAGAATCTGGCTTCTTTCCTTCCCGGGAGGTGGGAACTCTACATGTACAAGGGCGGGAGTGCTGGGAACGGCTACAATGACATGCGAATCGGGAAAAATGTGAATGGTCTGGGCACGCTCTGCCCGCACCCGACGAGTGGGAATGCAAAGATGGCGGAAGCGCTGTTCAACGAAAAGTGCTTCCGGCAAATTCTCGTCGTCGGCGGCGACAAGACCTGGGGCCGAATTTGGTCGAAAGACGGGTCCTGCATCCCAGGCACCGACGCGTTTGGCACGGGTGCGAAGGGAACGATGAAAGATCGTTACAGCTCGGAGTGGAGCAGCAAGCCCGCTGGGGAGGTGGTGGATCTGCAAATAAAGCATGCGCACCACGGACCTATGATTGGCGATACCAACACGGGCAGTCAGTGGATGTGGCGGTGTAATAGCTACCCGAATTGCGCGCAGACCGATACGGGAAAAGTGGCTGGGGGTACCGGCCTGACGCTGTCGACCACCCTCGGGCGGCTGGTCACGGTGCCCGGCCAGGATCCCACCCAGGCAACGATGAGTTGGAACTGGTACGGGAGTCAGTTGTATGGTGTTGAGCCGGGCCCGTCCCCGTTCATCCGGCAGCACCGGCCGATGACCTGTGTGGTTCAGGTGGAGCAGAGTGATGCTTCCGACCAGAATTACCTGCAGACGGTTATCGGGTTGTTGTCCGAAGCGGGTGTTGGGGACGCGGCGAGCAGTACTCTGAAGGAAAAAAGAGATTTGTTCTTGACCAATCTGGAAGTCCACTACAAGCAATTTCCACCCACGACGACCACCACCCCGGCCGGGTATGTGGCGCCGCCCCCGCCGAGGTTCTGCCCGGCGGAGTTCGTCTGCCCGGGCGGGATGACGGTGAAGGACGGTGATGTAAAACTCTATCAGTGCCGGTCCCCGTATGGTTGCGTGGCGCTCGATTGCTGCAAAGTATCGGAGAAGAGTGTGTTTCAAGACGTGGCGTTTTCTGGAAAAATGGCGGAGTTTTTGGACGCGAACCACGTACTCGGTTTCAAGTACAAAACTGGGTTTGATAAAGAACAGATCTTTTCCACCGGTAGAGGTATCCTATGTAAAAACACCCCCACCCCAGAGTTGTCATGCAAATCTGCATGCTGAGAATGTCTCTCATGCGGAGCCCCATGAGAAGCATTTTTTATTCGCGTTTGGAAATTTGTCATGCTCCAATCAACATGGGAAACCGGATCTGTGATGCTGCTGAACTACCTCAAACAGCACTACACTACGAGCCCAAATCTGTCATGCAAAACAGCCAACACTTGTGGATCTGTCTAGCCGATTCCCCATCTTGACTATGGGGTGGGGACGTTTTTACATAGGATAAGAGGATCGTCGAGTTCATCTGCTGCGGAATTCCTCTCTTCCACCACCGCTTTCTTAGAGTTCGACGCGAAGAAGGTACTGGATGCGTACTTCACTGCCCACCAGTTCACATCTTCGAACTCCCCGGTGACTTTGTCCACAACGGATGCAGGGAAAATCGAATATGAGAGCATCAAACACTTCTCCACGATCGAAAACGATTTTTATCTGAACCACGGTGGTCTTGCCGTGCAAAACCAGCTCCGAATGAAATCCCAGACGGATATCGACGCGATTTTCGCCGATTCCGCTCTGGAAATTCAGTTCACGCCAATCAGAGCGATCCTCAATTCCGCTTTCGGCGAGGCGTTAATGGATTTGACCGGTGTGGAGAATCTCACGCCGTTCCACGTGAACAGCAGACTGAGGAAGATCACGGGAACAGGTGCGGATCTGAAGGTTGAGCTGGCGGTTTCGATCCCCTACGCCACCCCGGAGTCCGGCTTTTTGAAGTTGATCTTCAAGAAGCTGGACAGTACTAGTACCGCGGGAGGTACTACCAGCGCAGATAACTCCGTTTTCGGCAGCCGGATGAACAAAGCGTTAGCGAAGACGTTTGGGATGAGCGACCCAAATTCTGCGGATTTTTATCCTGTGTAAAAACGTCCCCACCCCAGAGTTGTCATGCAGATCTGCAATTGCAGGAACATTTGTAATGCGCGTCCCCAAGGGAGGCATTTCCAATCGTGTTTTGGCATTTGTAATGCTGCGAACAGGATAAGCAGATGGATTTGTGATGCGGCCGTTCTTGCTAACATGCACTACACTACGGACTGCAACTTGTCATGCGTGGGTCCCAAAACTTCTGGATTTGTGTTGCTACGTTCCCAACTTGACTATGGGGTGGGGACGTTTTTGCATATGATAACTTCGGAATCAAAATCACCGAAGACGCGAAGGAAACGCAATTTGTGACCGCGAAGATAAGATTATCGCCGGAAGTGAAGGAGTCGCAGGAACTAACAAGTACGATTCCCAGTACTGGCGCAAATCTCAAGCAGTCTGCTTTCTCCGACGATTCCATGCTGTCGGTAGCTCAGGCTGCGGGGAGAAGTGCTGTGTTGGACATCCTGGGGCAGGCGGGGTCGAAGGTGAGCACGCCGTGGTCTTTGTTGGCCATTCCGGAGGCGGTGCAGAATGAAGCTGGTTCATCTTCTACCGCCTCCTCTTCCCTGCGGAGCCTGGGTAGTAGCGCGTCTGAGCTGTTCGACTCCAGTAGTGCGCTGGTGGCGACCGGGCAGGAACTTGTTGCTCCGGCTGCGAAGAAGTGCTCGTCGCAGAGCGACCTTTTCTCCTCCACCGGAGCGCTTCTCTTCGACAGTGACGTCACCACCGCGTGCACAGAAACCGAAACCACCCACCCGTTAGATCCGCGCGGCGACCACCCGAGTCCGATGCCGATCGACAGTTCATCCGCTGCTGCGTTGCGCGAACTTACGGCAAGTACTAGTGCAACAAGCAGTGCACAAGCGCAGAAGCGGCAGTACGACCTGAGACTGATCCTCCCATTGTCCGAGGAGATTTTCGACCCGGCAAACATCCAGTCGATCATAACCGCGTTCACTTCTGCCGGCAACAACTCCCCCTTCTACGGAAAGTTCGCCACAGAAATCTCCACCAACTTCCTCCCGCCGAAGCAACTGGCGGATGGGTCGACCAAGCCCGTGTTCGCTTCCACGAGCACAAATGATGTGATCAACGTTTTGCTCCCAACCGCGTCTTCCTCCTCCGCGGATTTGTCTGGGATTACTGTTTCCGCAGATGTGCCCGCGCAATTTGGCATCAGCTACTTGCAGGTGAAGCTCGGCTTGATTTCCGAGCAAGGGATCCCGGCAGTCGCGTTGCAGAAGGCGTTTTTATTGGCGTGCAAATCGGAACTAGTAGAAAACATCATGTTTCCGAACAACTACAAGATCGATCAAGTCTCCGTGACCCACATCGGCCAGTCCGCGGCGGAGAACAAGAAGGTGCAAGACTTGTATTCTGCAGTTCTCTACATCATATGAGAGTGCACAACTCCCCCTCCTCCTCATTTGTCATGCAAAATCCCAAATCCATATCCAGCTGCTGCCTTGTAGCACTGTTTGCATGACAAATTCTGGAAGCCCAAACAGTACTACACTGGGCACATAGATTTGTCATGCATAGGCTCCATGTGCGCTGGTGTTTGTATTGCTGTTCATGCCATACAAATGGGGGCGAGGGGGAGTTGGGCACTGTCATACCTCACCGGAGCGTCCCACAACGAGATTGGGCGGATCCAGAGTCTGTTCGTCCCGATGGTGGTTATGAAAGTGCACAACTCCCCCTCCCCCTCATTTGTCATGCAAAATGCCTAAGTTACGCCGGGGTTCTTGGCAATGTTTGCATGACAAGTTCTAGCAGCCCAAATAGCACTACAATCCTGCCCAAACTTGTCATGCAAAACCGGTAATCTTGCTGATGCTTGTATTGTTGTTCATGCAATACAAATGAGGGGGAGGGGGAGTTGTGCACTTTCATGGTGGTGAAGGGAAAAACGGAAGACGCGGCAAGTGATGGCCTCGCGAAGCAGTTTTTACTGAAGATTGGGGAGAATCTGGCGGATGAGCTGCAGATCACAGACAGTGCGAAATATCCTCAGACCTTCACCGCTGACTTCGCCGATCCGGTCGCCCAGTCGATCGCGAAGATTGAGTTACAAAACGCTTTACCACCACCCCCACACGACGCCGAAAAATGCGGCTACGACCCGAACCCCTCGATTCTTCCGGGCAAGTGGTTCCTCTACATGTACAAGCACGGACAGAATAAAGCGGCCAACGGCTGGAATGACATGCGGTTTGGGAAAAACGTTAATGGGTTAAATTCCCTCTGCCCGCACCCGACAAGTGGGAATGCGAAAATGTCGGAAGCGTTATTCGACGCGTCCTGCTTCACGGAGCTCCTCGCGGTCGGTGGCACCGGCGCGTGGGCGAAAATCTGGCGCAAGGACGGGGCTTGTATCCCCGCGAAAGACGCGTTTGGCGAGGGAGAGAAGCGGACGAACGGCTTCTACAGCATTGAGTTTTCCACGGGCTACAAGGGCGACGCGATTGTGAAGAACTTGTACCACGGACCCTTGTTCAATGACATCAATACGGGCTCCATGTGGATGTGGCGTTGCAACAGCAAGAACGCCGACGGAAGCAGCTGCGCGCAGTACGACAGTGGCAGTGTGCTTGGGAGCCAATACGACAACAGCCCGGGTTCCTGGGGCACGCTGTTGACTTCCCTCCCCGGGCGGTATGCCCCGGGGGGCGAAAAGGGGAGAGGGACTGACGGGTATAGCTGGTCCTGGTACGGAAAGCAAACGACGGTCGCGCAAAGTCTCGATGAACCCACGACGGCCACAACGACCACGACGTTGTTCAAGAAGGTGAAGAGAGTGCTGGATGGCTGTGTCGCGGCCTATGACTTCGAGGAAGATGCCGCGGCGCATCCGGGAACAGATGCGGCGGTGTACAAGTCGACAGGTATTTCCTCCTCCGGCGTCCCGACCGTCGCGCAACCGCTTGTGTGCGCGGGGAACCAGAAGAACAGTAAGGAGACCCTGAAAACGAGGGTGGGCACCGGCGGAGAGTACAAATCGTTGCTCTTCACCCGGTATTTACAGGAGGGCGGGTACTGCAGCGGCCCGGCCTTTGACATGCCACAGGATGACGAGAGCCGGACCGTGGTAGTTTGGTTCAAGCCGAAGATCGGGCCCGCGTATCACACCCCGGTTGGGAACGAGGAGTCGGCCACGTCCGGGCCGGTGGCCTACGGGAACGGGATTCCGGGCCAGGGTTGCAATTCCCACTTCGCGTTGTGGATCAGCGGGTTTGGGGGGAATTTGTACTTTGGACTAAACTGCCAGGACCCGGGTAATGCGAAGGACGGGAACACGGGGTTTAACCCGGTGAAAACCAACCTCCCGGAGAGCTGGATCCACGTGGCGTTCAGCTACAATAAGAGCACCAACAAGTTCAAGCACTGGTATAATGGCGGTTCTATGAAGGAAAAAACCGCCAGTATGCCCCCGCACACGCGAACGTGGAACTTCGGGAAAAATTGCATCGGTGCGGGCATCCAAACCTGCTTCACTGACTTGCAACGCGCAGACGGGTCTTTTCTTTCAACCAGCAAGGCCTTTTTCGCCGGCGAGATCGCGTCTTTCCACATCTACGACCGGGAATTGTCCGAAACCGAAATCAACTGGGTCAAGTCCCACACCGGGCCGGGTGGGGCGCCGGAGTACATCTTCTCGTCCGGGTTGGAAGCAACCAGAGGTCTCGTATTGTGAGGAAAAATCCCCCCTCCCCATATCGAAAGCGAAATTTGTGTTGCTGTATTTGAGTACACAAATCGCATTTGTCTTGCTGGAGAGGACTGCGGACCCATATCAAGCCTGAGTAGAGAGGCTTTGACTTAGGCGCTTAGCATGAAAAGCCTCCGTGATGTTGGCTCAACAGCATGACAAACCGCCTCCATAATGGGGCGGAAGCTGCTGCCCTTGTCTTCTTGCAACACAAACGTGATTTGTGACCTCAAATCAGCAACACAAATTTTCGAAAACCTACCGCTTCAATATGGGGAGGGGGGATTTTTCCTTGCGATATCTCGCGGGGTTGGGGAGGTTCCCCATGGAGCAGCTGCTGGGAAATTCCGAGCTGTATGCAATGCAAAAGCATCGTACTAGTATAAATTGCATTACAAATTGGCCCAGCACTACAAATCGAATTTGTAATGCTGATTTACCTTGAGAAAGAGATTTGTAATGCATAAATGCAATTACTACGAGTACGATACTTTTGGACAGGATAAGCTGATCGCTTCGACGATAACGACATCGACGACAGCTGGTACTACAACTTCCGCCACCTCCGGCTACTGCGACTTCCACGAGAAATGCACGGACGTTAACAGCAAGTTCCACTGCTTTGAACGCGTCCAGCCTATGGGAGACACGAAGCACCCTGGATTTACGAACACCCCGCAGAACGTTTTGGACTATGAGAGTACTGGTACTATCCCGCCAACCTACGGCTTCGAGATGACGTTTGCAAATTACGGGAAGATGAAAGGAATCTGCGGACAATACATCAACGGCGTGGAGAATTATTTGCCCGATCTGAGGGGCAAACTCACGGGGAACAAGTTTGATTGTATGAACATCTGCAGAAACATGGGCGACATCTGCCGCGGCACCACCGGCCACAAATACGGGAACGGGAACGACGGGACAGAGTCTGATGGAAAAGTGTTCTGCGAGTTGGAGCTTCAAACCTGCGACGTGCCGGCGGAAGTACTCGCAAAAGTTCCAGCGGAATTGCACGAATTGAATTGCAATCCGAATGTCCCCGACCGGAAACACGACATCTACCATGTGAGATCCAGTGGCAACCAGCCGGAGTGCTGGCGGAAGGTAATCTACCAAGCAGGGCCGAATTCCGCTTTGAATTCCTACGAGTTCCCGTTTGAGGATTTCGTGACGAAGAGCTACAGCACCGACGTAAAGTACTATGCACTGCAAATACGTCTGGGTCTGGAAAGCTGGCCTTTGTAATGCATATCTTGCATTCCTGAAAATAAAATCTGTGTTGCACGAGCGGCAAAAGAGCAGCTTGCTTTGTCATGCAGAGATGCAATTTGTAATGCGTGCTAGAGATCAGAAAGCGTTCAAAAAACCAGTCATGCTTGGCTGCCATTGCAATCGTTTCACTCATGCGCGTTTCAGCATCACAGGTTTCCAGACCCAGACGTTTTTGCAGTTGATAAGCACACGCGTGACACCATTCCGAAATCCAACCCGTCCTGGGCGTGGAAGGACTCGCTGGGGTTCAGCGAAGAGTATAAGAAAATCGCGAAAACCGCACCTATATGCTCTGCAAAAGTATCGTACTCGTACTAATTGCAATCATGCATGGCAAATCTTGTTTCTTAGCCAAATCAGCATTACAAAGAACTCCATTTTTCCTTCTGAAAAAACTTGTATTGCAATTTACACTACGTACGATGCTTTTGCAATGCATACACTAAATCCTCCTTCGATTGCACCCGGGACGCGATCTTGGTGTACAGCCAGAACACCGATTTCGCCAACAGTAAGGTGACGCAAAAGGCCTGTCTGCAGCTCTGCACGGAGTTTGGAAAGGGGCTGTGTGCGGGAGCGGTCCACTTTTATGATGAGACAGCAGAAAAATCAAAGTGTTTCCTTATAAAACAGTCTAAATCCGATGTTCTTCTCGGCGCGACGCTCCATTCCGTCGGGAAAAGCGCTTTGGGTTCCTACTGCGAGGACAACGGGACACATCGGTGCTTCTTCCGGGATGTGAACACCGATTTTGCGCTGGATGCGCCCAACGGGATTAGCAACATCTTTCTCCCGATCTTGAACAGTGAAAGTACTACGGAAGAGCAGTTTTTGACAAAATTGCTCCCAGTAGCGACTGATGCGACTTTACTACAACAATCCTACCCGTCGAACCACGTGGAGTACTTCTACCAGCACTTGGGTCACGGGAAATGCGTGTATCAAATGCAAAAATGTCTGGGTCTGGAAAGTTGCAAGATTTGTGATGCATCTCGCGGACCACACTCATGGTCTGTAATGCAGACAGAAGCATCACAGACTTTTTGAGACCTTCCTCATGCCTCTTCCGCATGAGAAATTCGCCTTTTGCCTAGCGAGAATTGGGTAACTGTTGGCGTTCATGCAGCACAGATTTTCTCGCGATCCAGATTTCGCATGACAGGCTTCATTCTTCCAGACCCAGACATATTTGCAATGCATAGCGTGCACACGCAGAACAAACGGGAAAACTTGTCCAAACTAACGCGAACTTTCGTCGCCGGGAAAGACTCGGTAGATGGGAAAATCACGAAGGAATTAGCGGAGGATATGACCCGCTCAGACGTTACAATCTCAAACGTTACATCAATAGAATATGGGAATCTGTGATGCAAGAGTGCATGATCTAGCCAACTCTCATACGATTGCGCATGACAAGTTCCGGAGCCCCAAACCCACCTGAAATCCGGCAAGATTTGTATTGCGAAAAGCCCAATTCTCTCTGCGTTCCTCATGCTCTTCATGCAAATAGAATTTCCGGATTCTATTGTAACGTTTGAGATTGTAACGTTTGAGCAGGCCATAGAAGAGTGCTTCTATGAACTGCAAAAGTATCGTATTCGTATAAATGCATGACAAACCTCCTCAGCATGAGAAATGAAATTTGTAATGCGAATCTACCTTAAGAAAAAGATTTGTAATGCGTGACTGCAATACGAGTACGATACTTTTGCACAGGATAGCTTCAACTTCTGCGACATTCTCGCGCTGAGGAACAACCTATGCATTGCAAAAGTATCGCAGTCTGGAAAAGTGGAACTTGTGTTGCATGTCTTGCATTCCTGAAAAATCTGTATTGCACAGCCACGAAGAAAGGCGCCGCTTTTTCGTCCTGCAAAAACGCAGTTTGTCATGCGTGCTACGCATCAGACGGCGTCAAGTATACTTGTCATGCTTGGCTGCGCTTGGGAGCGCCAGCAGTCTTTTATCCATACTGTAGCATCACAGGTTTCCAGACATCCAGGGATATTTGCATTTGATACAACCCGTTCAAACACACGACTGACGCCACTCTTCACGAGCTCGTCGGGAAGGGGAGTTTATGGAATGCAAAAATGTCTGGGTCTGGAAGAGTGCAAACTTGTGATGCTGCGTTTGGATTCCAAAAAAATGTGTATTGCATGAGCAGCAATAAAGGGAAGGCAATTTTTGCTATGCGGAGAGGGCATTTGTCATGCGGACTAGGCATCAAGAAGCCCTCACAAAATCTGTGATGCTGGGGCATGCATCACTGACGTCATGGCTCACGCAAAACGTGCATGACAAGCTTCAGAATCTTCCAGACCCAGACATTTTTGCAATGCATACAGTTACATCGGCCACGAGCTGTGCAAGGGCGTGGAATATCAAATGCAAAAATGTCTGGGTCTGGAAGGACAAGGATGCGAACTTGTGATGCATACTTGGAGGACACAAAAATCTGTCATGCTTGACAGCAAAGGGAGCTCCTTTTCCTGTCGCCGAAAGAAGGCGTTTGTCATGCCGATTAAGCATTGGAAAGCCGTCTCAAAATAACCTGTGATGCTAGGGCTTGCATGGCACACCTTCTGTGTTACGCAGACACAGCATCACAAACTTCAGCAATCTTCCAGACCCAGACACTTTTGCAATGTATATGGAATTTACAGGGACTTCTTGTAGTTTGATTGTCGATATGGATTGTAAAAATATCTGGGTCTGGAAGGTTGGAACTTGTAATGCTAGCTTTCCATACCTAGACAATCTGTATTGCATAACCAACAAAAGTCGCAGCCTCTTTTGTCATGCAAAAACGCAGTTTGATTGTCATGCGGATTGCCTATGAGAAAGCGTTTTGGGAAGTTGTCATGCTGGGCTGCATTCGGAAGCGTTTTCATCATGGACATATTAGCATCACAAGTTTCCAGACCCAGACATTTTTGCATTTGATTGTGGACCGCATGGATTACAAGACGATGCTCAACTACTACTTCAAGCAGGACGACTATGGAGGCGTCAGGATTGAAATCGGCAAAGTTGAAATAATTTCTCACGCGTAAATTGCAAGGCATGAAGTGCCTCTCTTGCAGGGGCGGCAGGTGAGGCCGACCGTCAGCCTGTTTGGGATCTGCGGCAGAGCTGCTCAAGTAGCATGACAAAAGACGCCTTCTGTCATTAAACAGCATGACAAACTGGATTTAGACGGTGTCGATATTTGTCATGCGCCGCTTGAAAATTTGGCTTCCAACTGGTATCGATTTTCTGCAGTGCAAGTTACTTCAACTTTGTCGATTGCAAATCTGACACTCCCATAACGACATTGCGACTTCCACCGTCACAATCACCTCCACGGTACGGCCGAACTACCCACCAGATTTCTACTACGGGGTCTACAGCTTCGGGGACGATTTCCAGTACAAGATGGAGTTCGGGTACGATTCGATCGAAGCGCCGAATCAGGCGGACAACGCGCATTTAGCCTCCTGTACCGGAGATGGTTGTAAACAATCCTGTTTCGCCAAGCAGTACAAGTCTTCATTCGAGCGCGGCTACACTTCAAAGCATCCGGATTACGTATCAATTGCAAAAATGTCTGGGTCTGGAAGATTGCAAGTGTGTCATGCTTGTCTGGCATGAGTCGAGAATCTGTGTTGCATAGACACCGAAAGGCCCTCTTACCTGTCATGCAAAAACGCAGGTTGCCATGCGGAATACGTAAGACATAGGAGCCAAAAAATTTGTCATGCGTAGCTGCGTATAATTGCAGTGCTTCTACCATTCACTTTTAGCATCACAAGTTTCCAGACCCAGACATATTTGCAATCCATATTGCGGCATGATCCACCACACGTATAACCCGAATGGTATGAAATGCAAAAGCATCGTACTAGTACAAATCGCATTACAAATGTGCTCAGCATTAGAAATGGAATTTGTAATGCGTATTTGAATTGATAAAAAAATTTGTGTTGCATGACTGCAATTACTACGAGTACGATGCTTTTGCACAGGATAAATGGTGGCAGTCTGCAAGATTATGTGGACATGAACTCGGACCACCGTGTATCCTGAGCAAAAACGTCCCCACCCCAGAGTTGTAATGCAAATCTGCATGCTCAGAATGTTTCTCATGCGGAGTTCCATGAGAAGCAATTTCTAGTCGTGTTCTGCAATTTGCCATGCTCGAATGTGCATGATATACTAGATCTGTTACGCTGCTGAGCTAGCTGAAACAGCACTACGCTACGACTCCAAATTTGTCATGCAAAACAGCCAAAACTTGTGGATTTGTCTAGCCGGTTCCCCATCTTGACTATGGGGTGGGGACGCTTTTACATAGGATACCGCCACTACGACTGGAGTTGGCGGCGCCACCCGAAGGTGGCGGCGCTGTACGACAAGGAGGACGGCGACAATACCAACGCGAATAATTATGACGCGAATCCATCGTCGGAAGATGATAAGGGGTGCTTACTACCCGCAGGTCGGTTCGACGGGGTCGCGGGGCACAAGAACGCACTGCTCGCGGCGGACAACGTGCACTGCCCGGGGGAGAACAAGGTTTCCATGGTGCAACTCGCGAAGGGCTGCACGGTGGATCTTTGCCCCACCTCCCCCACCCCGACGGACACGAGTAAATCACATTGCTTCCGCGTCGGCCCCGGGCCGGGCGTGTTTAAGGCGAGTGACGGGCATTTCGATTCGGACACCATGTACGAAGCGCATGTGTATTGTCACATTAACAATCCGGAAGGGATATCAAATGCAAAAATGTCTGGGTCTGGAAGATTCCTACATTTGTCATGCGTGTCTGACATGACTCAATAATCTGTGATGCATGGGCACGAAGCGGTCCTCTTTTCTGTCATGCAAGCGCGCAGTTTGCCATGCGGAACACGCAACACGTAGGAGCCCAAAAAATTTGTCATGCTTGGCTCCGTATTGCAGTGGAACTCTCGTTCACTTGTAGCATCACAAGTTTCCAGACCCAGACATTTTTACATTTGATAAGGGACGATGAGTTCTTTTGCGGACAATGCGGACGGTTCTGGGGCGAAGTGCTCCCTCCCAATTGGGCGGTACGGGAACAGCTGGGTCAGCACGTGCCACCCAAACAAAATCCTGACGGGAGACATCCACGTTGGATCAGATCCTCTACACGGACCGTGTCCGGTGAATGATAAAGTTTCCCAAATTATCATGTGTAAAAACGTCCCCGCACCAGAGTCAAGATGGTAAATCTGCTACACAAATCAGCCAGCTCTGGCTGTTTCGCATGACAAGTTTGTCCTTGTAGCGGAATCCTGTTTAGGTAGTTCAGCAGCATCACAGACCTAGCTTATCATGCTGGTTATAGCATCACAAATCCCAAGACACGACTAGAAAACGCCTCTCATGGGGCTCAGCATGAGAAACTTTTTTGGCATGCAGATTTGCATGACAACTCTGGGGTGGGGGCGTTTTTGCTGAGGATACAGATCGTGGTGAAAGCCGGCTGTGCCGCGCACGTGTTCCAGCACTGCGACGGGATCTCGGGAAATTCTATCGCGAGGAGAAATCCCCTCTCCCCATATTGACAAGGTACGTTTTCGAAAATTTGTGTTGCTGATTTGTGACCACAAATCGTCTCTGTGTTGCATGAAGACAACCCCACAGACAGAAGACAACCCCACAGACAGCCGCCGCATTCTACAGGCGGTCTGTCATGCTGTTGCTCCTACAGCGTAGACGTCTGGCATGCTAAGCGCCTAGGCCAAAACCGGTCTACTCAGGCTTGATATGGGCCTGCAGTCCTCGTCGGCAAGACGGAGCTGATTTGTGTACTACACAAATCCAGCATCAGAAACCTCGTTTTGATATGGGGAGGGGGGATTTTTCATTCTGATAAATTCCAATCCGGCCGTGGACAACGCAGCGGTTTGGTACATTAAGGGAAACCAGAACACCCCGGCCACGTTCACCGGGTCCCCCGGGACGGAGAACATTGCGATGCGGGCCTTACGCACTGCAAATACGTGTCTGTGTCTGGATCTGGAAAGGTGCAAACTTGTGATGCTGCTTTTGGAATCAAAACAAAATCTGTATTCCCCGAGTAGAAACATTAGGCCGCCTCTTTGCATCAACGCGAAGAGGGCAACATTTGTCATGCGGGATAGGCATCCAGAAGCACTCAGAAAATCTGTGATGCTGGGGCAGGCATCACAGACATAGTGGGTCATACAAAATGTGCATGACAAGCACCTACTTTCTTCCAGACCCAGGCATTTTTGCAGTTGATAGGCCTTCCGCGACAACGACGCGTCGGACGTGATGCTGTTCTGTCCGGATGTGCCCCGCGCAAGTGACGTCACGGACAGCTCGAAGCAGGAAGTCGCTGGTGTTTCCTACCAGTTGAAGGGGTCTTTTTCCCTCTCCGATTGCGGACGGGCTTGTTTAACGCTTGGGAAGGACTGCTTAGGCTATCACCAACAGGTCTACGACAAGACAAACCGGAGGTACACGAATTACAAAGCGGATCAATTAGCACCCTGTATTTTACGTTTAACCCAGACTTCTATCGAGCCGGAAACGAAACTGCTATCGACCAAGAAAGTCTTCGGAATGCCGGACGCCGTGACTAATAGCTGGATCGACTCCGCGTTCGGCGCTATTGACAACAAACTGCAGGAGGAAACGCCGAAACTGTATCCTGAGGAAAAACGTCCCCACCCCAGAGTTGTCATGCAAATCGGCATGCTAAAAATGTTTCTCATGCGGAGGCCCACGAGATGCATTTTCCAGTTGTGTTTTGGAATTTGTCATGCTCCAATCAGCATCATATACGTAGATGTGTGATGCTGCTGAGCCAGCTCAAACAGCACTACACTACGACATCAAATTTGTCATGCAAAACAGCCAAAACTTGCGCACTTGTCTAGCCGAGGCTCCATCTTCACTATGGGGTGGGGACGTTTTCACACAGGATAAACTGCAAATAAAACACAAGCAAAAAGACGCGTCGATCGGGGGAAGGAAAGAAGCAGTTGCGTATGGGGGCAGTGATATCCTGAGCAAAAATGTCCTCACCCCATAGTCAAGATGCGAAATCTGCTACACAAATCAAGCACCTTTGGCTGTTTCGCATGACAAGTTTGTCGTCGTGGTGCAGTGGTGCTGTTTGAGGTAGTTCAGCAGCATGACAGATCTAGCGCATCATGTTGATTGGAGCATGACAAATTCCAAAACACGACTAGAAAATGCTTCTCGTGGGGCTTTGCATGAGAAACATTTTCATCATGGTGCGCATCTGCATTACAACTCTGGCGTGGGGAAGTTTTTACTCAGGATAAGTGAAGCCACGGACTTTTTCGACATGTGCTACACGAAAATGGACGGTGAGACACTGATATCAAATGTAAAAATGTCTGGGTCTGGAAGATTGCCAGGTTTGTCATGCACGTTTTGCATGACGTGTGAGGTCTGTGATGCATGCCCTAGCATCACAGATTTTGTGAGATCTTTACCATGCCTTTTCCGCATGAGAAACCGCCTCTCGGCCTTCTCAAAAGTGAACAGCTTTATTGGTAATCATGCAACACAGATATTTATATGATTCAGATTTAGCATGACAAGTTGTACTCTTCCAGACCCAGACATTTTTGCATTTGATAACTGTCAGCAGCCGAGCAGAAGGAGATCTATTCGCTGACCGGTACATCTGACTACAGTGTCTACGAGTCGATCGCGCGAAACGGCCCGTGCAGCTACAGCTCGAATGCAGCTGGAATTTGGAAAGCGCGGTTCACCCCGGCTTTTGCCACCCCGTTCCAGATCCACAGCGACTTTAAGGAATTCTGCTACGGGACGTGTAATAAATTTTCCTCTTGCGCTGGGATTTCGTTCTCCGAGCGGCCGCCCGATGTGCACGGGAAGTACGGCTGCGATCTGATCTTCGAGGGCCAGCTCCCCCCGGACAGTGAGTTGCCGGTAAGTGATTTCTTCGCGGTGGTGTGGACGAAAGAAGCGAGTTTGAACTCTTTGTTAATCGATTCCTCCGCCAGTTCCACAGATTCCGTGATCCGGCCGCAAGTCGCTTCCCCGGTGCCGCCGTTGATGACAAGCGGCCAGTGGTTCTGTGTGGCGAAGAAGACAACAGGTGCAGCAGCAGGTTCATCTCCGCAATACCTCCGCTCGCGCGGTATGCATGCGTTGGGGGCGACCAGGTTCAAGAAGATCACTAAAGAACCCGCTTCATCCACCGCCGACGCAAGCACTTGCCTTTCGAAATCTTTATTCCACCCGGATCAACTCCCCTCGTCCCCGAAAGCGATTGATGTCATTGAGTTGGAGATTCTCGGCAGCGAAATTTCTTTAGACCGCTGCTTGTACACTTGCGAGCTGAAGAAGCACGAAGATCCAACCGTGGGGAATTGCAAGGCTGTCGTCTACCGCTCGAGTGATGAGACCTGCGTGCTCGCGTGGTTGTTGAAGAATGCCGGGACCGTGGCGGTCGAAACCTTCACCAAAGCGATGCAACAGGCGATTCGGGATCAAGCACCGTTTTCAGTCGGTTTGTCCGCGTTTGTGCGGAGGGCTCCGGAGTTGTTGGTGTCCTTACCCCAGATGAACAGCGACGTGTTACGGCCAAGTTTCAGCGGGTATGACAATTTGTTCAACCAGATCCTAACCGCGACCTTCAACCGGGCGGAAACGGAGCCGTTGTCGTTATTACCGCATTTGGACTTCCTGAATCTGCCCGGCGGCAACACCAGTTTCAAATCCATTCGCCTCGTACAGGAAAGGATGCGAATTCGGACGAGGTTTTTACTCCCCTTGATTCCCGGGACTTTGTCGACGAATCTAGTTGCTACCGCACCGTCGAACTCGCCGCAGTCTTTGGATTATCTCCTCGATTTGATCCGCCCGGCGGTGCAAAAGGCGGTGGTGATCAATCTTAGAGGAAGTCACGACTCGCTTGGCCCGAACGGGGCGTACTCCGATTTGTTCCAGGATTTATCGCCCGGTAACATCACGGTTTCGGTGTATTCCATCCCGGACTTGTATAAAAAGTCGAAGCAGCTCCCGAGTACTGCTATCCCAGCAAATCACGCAGATTCCGTTCTGGTTGAGATTTCGGTACCATTAGCCGTTGACTTTACGAATCCGAATCTTGCTAACCTGACCGATGCACAGGAATTATCGGATCTGAAGCAGAACATTGCGGATATGCTGACGCCGAGTTCCGCGGACTCTGCGTCGACGAATACCACCGGTTCTGGGTCGACTACTACAAGCACGATGTTTACAGAGGTTCTTCCCATCCAACTCTCTTTCGCGGGCGTCCCGGTTTCTGAACCTTTATTCGCAACGGGGAGTGGTGCCGACGCGGACGAGATGGTTCTGAATAAATACAGCAAAGCGGTGTTGACGGAGTTAGTAGCGCCGAACGCTGATGGAACAAGCACTTCTCTGGGCTTCACTCTCCCGCCCAACAAAGTTTCCTCCGCCGTCCAGCCGATCGTGTCCTCCACGGAAGCCAGCAACGTGAAATTTATCCGGTCCAAACTCCGTTTGAATGTCAGCTTCAGGGGGAAGCAGTTCAAAGACTGGGTGCAGAACGCAATCGCGACAAAACTGCAAGAGGAGGTGGATTTCTGCGCTTCTACTACGAACGTGAATTCCGATGATGTTGAGACACAGAAGCAAACCAAAAACTTCTACTTCGCGAAGAAACTGCAGCAGGAGATTGCAGCCGGGGGGTTGGACAAGTCGGAAATTCCGAAGATCAAGAAGGAAAACGTGATAGTGTTTGAACAAATCTCCTCCGCGGCAAGGGGGGCTAAAACCTTGGACTTCGAAATCCTCGTGAAAATCGAGGAATCCGAGGCGGTGAACGCGGTGTCGAGTTTGGTTTTATCGCTTTTATCTTCCAAAGATTCCGAGGAATCTTACACTTTCGGCCCGAATTCGGTTTCGAACTTCGGGAAGGAACTGAAGGACTTTTTAATCTCGACGAAAAACACGTATTTCTCCCAGTCCTACGGCGGCGCGCTAAAAGGGGTTAGCCTCCCATCGATGGCGCAAGCCAGTCCGACGGCGAAAAATCTCCGGTTCAGCTTCGATTTCTCGTTGGATGCGACGAACTCCGCGTCTTTATCCGATGCGGAAATCAACGAAAAAGTGACAAATTTGGCGAAAGTATGCTGAGTAAAAACGTACCCACCCCAGAGTTGTCATGCAGATCTGCATGCCAAAAAAGTTTCTCATGTGGAGCCCCATGCGAAGCATTTTCTAGTCGTGCTTTAGAGTTTGTGATGCTAGAAGGAGCATGATGCACTAGATCTGTGATGCTTCTGAACTAGCGAAGCAGGACCACACCATGAGGGCAAACTTTTCGTGCGAAACAGCGAAAGCTGGTTGATTTGTCTAGCAGATTTGCCATCTTGACTCTGGTGCGTGGGCCCCGTTTTTACTCAGGATAGAAAGCGGCGTTAGCTACTGCGATTTATCGAGGGACCGGGATCTGGCTCATGCCGGCGCAGATCTCACTGTATTTCTTGGAGAACTCCATCACGCCTTTCAAATCCCCCGTGTTTCAACTGACGATCCCCGCGACGAAGCCGAAACTGCAGTGGTTCTTGGCCTTCCAGTTGGAGAAGTTCGTGACGGATTACGTCGCGGTGGAATTGAACGCCCTAACTGCGACTGTTCCGGGAACAACGGCGAGTGTGGAGAGTTGTGGCATTTTGGCGCAGAGGTTGGGGTACACAGACACTTCCGCTCCAAACAGTAAGCCATTCAGCTGTGACAGTTGGAAGCAGATAGTTTCCTACACGGCGGTATCAACTGTAAAAATGTCTGGGTCTGGAAGATTGCCAGGTTTGTCATGCACATTTTGCATGGCTCCTGATGTCTGTGATGCATGCCCTAGCATCACAGATTTTGTGAGGGCTTCCTGATGCCTATACCGCATGACAAATGCTCTCTCCGTGTAGCAAAACTTGGACGCTCTTTGCTGCTCATGCAATACAGAGTTTTTTAGAATCCAAAATCAGCATGACAAGTTGGATTCTTCCAGACCCAGACATTTTTACAGTTGATAGGTGGACTCCGCGAAGATCAAGCCGTACACGAAATCCTCCTCTTATGGACGTGTCAGGCTTGAAATCGTCAAAGTTGAAATAATTTGTAATGCATAAAATGCATGGCCCGAGGTACGTGCGTTGCAGAGCAGGCAAGTGAGGCCGATTGTATGCCTGTTAGGGGTTACAGCTCGAGCTGCTAAAGTAGCATGAGAAAATCACTCTTCTTTGCCTAAACAGCATGACAAACTGGATTTAGGGCCCACCAAAATTTGTCATGCGCCACTTGGTAACTGGGTTCCAACTGGCATCCATTTTATGCATGACAAATTATTTCAACTTTGTCGATTTCAACTCTGACACATCCATACCTCTTACGTGGCTGCGGATCCTGGTGTGCTGGAAGATGATCCAGTTGTTTCGACCGGGACGGTTACTACAACATTAGCTGGAAGTGGAACCGCAGCTCCGGTTATTCCCCCAACTACCCGTATCATGCAGCAGGTTGTTGGCTTCACCTTAACTTTGCCGTTAGACGCTCCATCCGCCGACGGGAAAGTTCTGCAACCGACGAGCATCCAGGTGTTGCAGAATTGGGTTGAGCACGTTATCAAACAAGAAGCGGGGAGGATTTTAGCTTCCGACACGGCTGTCGAATCCTCTCTGCAAAAACCTGACGGCTCGAAAGGCGACATTTCCCTCCAAATCCCCACGACTGGGATTACAGTCGCAGTAGAATCCGCTTCAGAAACGAAGGTAACAACCCCGGCGCCCTGTCAGCTCTACGAGCCGGGGTCTGCGGTGCCGGGGAAGTGGGAACTGTACATGTACAAGCACGGGGAAGTAATCGAGAACAACGGGTGGCGCGACATGCGGTACGGGCAAAACCCGAACGGTTTGAATTCCCTCTGCCCCCACCCGACAAGTGGAAATGCGAAGATGGCGGAGGCGACCTTTGACCAGATCTGCTACAAGGAAGTCTTGGCGGTGGGCGGGACCGGGGCCTGGGTGCGGATCAAGCGGAAGGACAATGGGTGTATTCCCGCGGCGCACGCGTTTGGACCGGGGGAACACTTATGCATTGCAAATATGTCTGGGTCTGGAAGGATGCAAGTCTGTCATGCGTGTCTTACATGACTCCTAATTCTGTGATGCATGACCAGGAAACGGGCCTCTTGCCTGTCATGCAAAAACGCAGTTTGTCATGCGCAAACGAAACGCAAGGCAGCTACAAAATTTGTCATGCTCGGCTGCGTATGTCAGTGTGCTTCACATTCACAGATTTGCATCACAACTTTCCAGACCCAGGCCACACGTTTGCACTTCATAGCACTCTATCAACGGCCAGTACTCCATGGTGACGTCGAGTGGGTTATCAAATGCAAAAATGTCTGGGTCTGGAAGAATCCGAACTTGTGATGCTGCATTTGGATTCCGAAAAAATCTGTATTGCATAAGCAGCAAAGGGAAGGCAATTTTGGCTACGCGGAGAGGGCATCTGTCATGCGGAATAGGCATCGCGAAGCCCTCAAAAAGTCTGTGATGCTAGGGCATGCATCACAGACATCATGGCCCATGCAAAACGTGCATGACAAGTCTCAGAATCTTCCAGACCCAGACATTTTTGCATTTCATATGGGTTTTCGGGCGACGCGAAGGTCGGCCCGGTAAACCACGGTCCGCTCTTTTCTGACGCGATGGGGGGTGGCCAGTGGATGTGGCGCTGCAATAAAAAACCGGGAATGCAATACGATGCGGAGAATTGCGCGTCATACGATACCGGGGGTGTTTTGGGTAATTCTTTCTCGGATCCTAATACCTGGGGCAATCTGATTTCGATGCCCGGCATGTATGACGCGGGGAAAGGGGAGGCAAACTGCTGCAAGAAGGGGTACAGCTGGGCCTGGTACGGAAAAACGACGACGGCGACGGACGTCAGGCCTGCTTTCTCCGTATCAAATGCAAAAATCTCTGGGTCTGGAAGAATGCCAGACTTGTCATGCAGGTTTTCCATGAGCCATGAGGTCTGGTATGTAGGACATAACATGACAGATTCTCTGAGAGTTCTATCCTGCATGAGAAACTGCCTTCCAAATTGGTCGAAAGTGGATGGCTTTTGGCACTCATGCAACACAGATTTTTGCATCATTCGGAATTAGCATGACAAGTTGCAATCTTCCAGACATCCAGGGATTTTTGCAATCCATACTCCGGCGTGCTCGGAATGCAGATTATCAACGCGACGTTTTTAGTCAGCATTCCGGTGGATATGGTCGTGGAAAGCAGTAGTAGTAGTACGAGTGCAGCTGGATCATCCGGCTCTGGCTCTACTGGTGCAGCTTCCTCTAGTACAACCACCGCTGCGATTTTGGACGTGAAGCAACTAGAGCAGACCTTTTCCGCGGTCGCGAAAGCGATCAAGGAGAAACTGCCCGCCGGGGTGGAAACCGCGTTGACAAACACTTACAAACTCGGCTTGAGGAAGGAAGAGATTGAATTTCTCAACGACCCAGTTCCCGCGGGCGACAGTTTTGTCTCAACAGAACCGGCGGGAAGTTCCATTTCCCCAACTACAGGTCAGTCCGCCGCGAGCCCAACATTTGTGGAGGGGAAGTTGAAGTTTTCCACCCACAGAGGGGTTTACAACAAGGACATCTCCCCCGAAGCCGCAATGGAATTGGAGGAGAAACTGCTGAAGGAAGCGCTGCAAATCGCCATTCAAAAAGCGGTGAAACGAACCGTCTTGAAAGAAGAACTCCGGCAGTCGGACCCCTTGGCGATCGAAGAGAGCAACTTCGAGCAACCGGCGGTGCAGATTTCCCCGCCTTCATCTGTGCGCGTAGTGAAGGAGGAGCGAACGGCGACGGTTTTGTTCCACGGGTACTACAGTTCAGACATTGTGGGCGAGTTGTTAGCTGGGTTCTCTGATTCCCCGAACAGCAACCAGACGGCTTTGGTCCAGGCGATTGCGAATGAGTTCGCAAAAGAGGTGCAGAACCCGACGACTCCCACGACCGCGAAGATCGGGGTGAGTAAGATCGGGTTGAAGGAAAATAGTTCCGCTTCGATTGTGTCGCAGACGAAGTTCTCTTTAAAGGTGAAAGCGCCGCAGAAGACCACAGCTTATTTGTTATCCACCGTCTTTCAAAATTCGCCCTCAGTTCTACAACTAGAACACGCTGTGGCGAAAGCAGTCGCGAGCTCGTTCCGTTCCGCCGTTGGTGCGTTCGACGAATCGGTCTTGTCCGCTGAGCATGTTTCCGTGACGCTGAATCCTGATCAAGTACCGGGGATCGATTCGGAAGTGGAATTCACTTGCTCCGTCCCGTTTGGAGATCCGGTGACAAGTGAAGAAGTGCTCAACGTGGAGTCGAACCACCCGTATTCGGTGAAATTTAAGCAAGATTTGTTGAACAACGTGAAGCAGAATTTCATCACTCTAAAACCAGTCGACCCGAACCCAAATATCATCGCGGGCGCGGCCAGTCTCTACTCTGAGCAGCAAATCCAATCCAACGTGAAACAAGGCTCGGTGCAGACGACCTCTTTTGCTTCCAACCGCATGCATCTGGACGTTTTATCGGAGAAGGCGCAGTTGGACCGATTGTCTTTGACTGCGATTGTGAAAACTTCTGCCGCGAAAGCGATGGTGGAGGCGCTGGCGACTGGGGACAGTATCCCAGCTGGGAAATCGAAGTTAGAGTTTGTCGAAGAGAAGTATGGGAGCAAGTACTTACTACCGATCACCTATGGAACTGTCAGGATTGAAATCGTCAAAGTTGAAATAGTTTGTGATTCATAAAATGGATGCCAGTTGGAACCCAGTTTCTAAGCGGCGCATGACAAATTTTGGTGATGCCTAAATCCAGTTTGTCATGCTGTTTAGGCAAAGATGACTAATTTTCTCATGCTACTTTAGCAGCTCGAGCTCTAACCCCAAACAGGTTTACAATCGGCCTCCCTTGCCTGCTCTGCAACACACGTATTGCGCGCTATGCATTTCATGCATCACAAATTATTTCAACTTTGGCGATATCAAACCTGACGCTTCCATATCACCCCGGCTTCCGTCGTGATCCGGTTTTTTGAGCCGGATCAACAGGCAGTTGCGACCAACGCGAACCAGTTTGCGGATCGAGTGCAGAACCTTGACAGCTCCGTTTTGACGAGTTCCGGCATTGACAAGACGAATACCAAGGCGGACTTCTTCGACTTTTCTGTCTCTTTGCTGATGCCCTCGTGTAAGGACCAGTCGAACTGTAGTGACAAAGCGGAACTACAAGCATTGAAGGACAAAACTGTCGCTGCGGTCTCTGCCGACGCGGTGGCGAAGTCAGCTGATGGAACAACAGATAAAAACCCGTCTGGGAAGAACTTCTACGAGAAATTCCTTACCGAGTTGAAAACCCTAGGGGTGCCGACTCTCCAGGAGGTCATTATGCCGCACGCGATAGGAGCTGCGACATCCTCCTCCACTGCGAAATCTTCTGCGCTTCTCTTCTCCCCGACACAATCGACCCAAGTCGCGGCCGTTGCGAAGCCGCAGGTTAGTGCGATTCTGGACAAGGACGAGCCGCAGCCGGTGGTTTATATCGAAACCAGAGGGGTGTTGCGATCTCTCGCGGAATATGGAATGCAAAAATGTCTGGGTCTGGAAGAATGCAACTTGTGATGCTAAATCTGAATCATGTAAAAATCTGTGTTGCATGATTACCAAAAGCTGCCCACTGTTGACCTAATCGAGAGGCAGTTTCTCATGCAGGATAGGCATGATAAAACTCTCACAGAATCTGTTGTGCTATGTCCTACATACCAGACCTCATGGGTCATGGAAAACCTGCATGACAAGTCTGGCACTCTTCCAGACCCAGACACTTTTACATTTGATACAGAGTCGGCTATTGCAGATCCATCGGAGATTTTGGCTAATACCGGTGACGCAGCGAGTTCGGCGACGACTCAGAAATCGGAAAGCGAGATATCCTATGTAAAAACGTCCCCACCCCAGAGTCAAGATGGGAAGTCTGCAACACAAATCCCCAAGTTTTGGGGATTCTGCATGACAAGCTTCCATCTGCAGTGTAGTACTGGCTGACAAGGAAAGCCGCATGACAAAGTCATTTTCTCGTCCTGTTTACAGCATTACAAATTCCAAAACACGACTGGAAATGCCTCTCATGGAAGTGCGCATTACAAATCTTCCTGTCATTGCACATTTGCATGACAACTCTGGGGTGGGGATGTTTTTGCACAGGATATGAGATTTTGAGGGAGATTCTGGAGGAAGTTGGGCAGTCTGCGGCGGAAGAAATTCTCCCGCAGGTAGCTTTGCTTTCTTCCGAAGATGTTGACGGTGTCGGTGCTGGAAGTTCTGGTTCAACTACATCTGGCGCTTCGACTAGCACCGGCGCCGGCGCAGAGTTCGGAATGAACACCGAGGCTTATTATCTCGCGCACCGGACAACCACAATTGCGCCTGACGGGAGTACGATAATTGCCACCACGGCGACGCCGACCACGACAACCGCAGCGAGCACTGCAACCGGAAATACGACCGACCCAACAACGACGTCCACTACTTCCACTTCTACCACCACCACTTCTTCCACAACCACCACAACTTTCGTCCGCGACCCAGCGTTGGCGATAACAAAAGTGAAGGCGAAACTGTTGCACGCGTCATTGGGAAAATACCCAGTTGGCACCGTCCCTTCCTCCCTAGTCGGAAAAATCTACCGGGAGCAGCACTTCGCGCTGACGTTTGACTTGAAGAACGTCACGACCAAGCGGTTAGGCATGATTCAGGAGCAACTTTCTTCCGACTACAGCAAATTTGGCATCAATTTGCGGGATAAGATCACGACTTACACGAAAAACCCGAGTTTGAACAAGGGGCTGATGACCAAGTACACTTTACACGATATGCGGAACGCGGAGCGGATTTCCACGACGACCGCGGTGATTGACATTGAGGAGATTCCGGATGATACGAAATACGAACTGCAAAACGACCGGACGTATTCGTTAGAACCCTCCGCGATTGATATTGAACTACGCCTTGACGGCGGGGATTTGCACGGGGCGGAAACGTATCAAATGTAAAAATGTCTGGGCCTGGAAATTTCTGAGACTTGTCATGCACGTTTTGCATGGGCCATGAGCATGATGTCTGTGATGCATGCTCTAGCGTCACAGACTTTTCGAGGGCTTCGCGATGCCTATTCCGCATGACAAATGCCCTCTCCGCGTAGCCAAAATTGCATTCCGTTTGCTGCTTATGCAATACAGATTTTTTGGAATCCAAATGCAGCATCACAAGTTTGCATTCTTCCAGACCCAGACACTTTTGCACTTGATAAAACGCTCTTTTCTGCGAGCAAAAGGGTCCGAACAGACGCGATCGCCGCGGGGAAAACGTCTGCGTTCGCAAACCCGGAATCCCCTTCCGTTTGGACGAGCCGAAAGTGCTTAACGGGCGAATTCTTCTCCCGCGACGCCTACGATCTCGGCGAAGATCGCGTGTTGGTGTTGAAACTCGCTTATGCATGGCAAAAGGATTGTACTAGTAGAAAGCGCATCTTCACAAATTTTTCCAGAAGAAAAAATGGAATTTGTAATGCTGAACTAGCTAAGAAACCAGATCTGCGGTATTGCAATTAGTACGAGTGCGATACTTTTGCACTGGATATCGCTTTGCCCAACCCGAAACACGGCTTTACCGGGGCTCACAAGGATATCAAAAGTAAAAATCCCTGGATGTCTGGGAACTTGTGATGCTGGGTGGCGTCTCATGATAAGGCTACAATTGCTGGCTCAGCATGACAAGTTTCTGAGCTTCTAGGTGCTATGCCTATTCTGCATGACAAACTGCGTTCCTGCATCACAGAAAAACGGAGCTCTTGGGTAACGTGCATGACAGATTTAAGAATCATGCCAGACAAGCATGACAAACATGAATTCTTCCAGACATCCAGGGATTTTTACAGTTGATAAAGGACGGGCAAACACAATTAGCCGCGGACGGGACGGATCATCAGTTGGTGTACGTGTTTAACAGTGAATACTTATTGAAAGGAAAAATCCCCCCTCCCCACATTGAAAAGGCACGACTTCGAAAATTTGTGTTGCTGATTTGAGGTCACAAATCCTTTTTGTCTTGCAAGAAGACAAGGGCAGGAGCTTTAGCCCCATTCTGGAAGCGGTTTGTGATGCTGTTGGGCCTAAAGGGGAGCCGTTTGCCATGCTAAACAACTAGACACGCCCGCCCCTATCTAGCCTGGAGATCTGTCCGCAATGCCTCTCTGCAATACAAAGCTGATTTGTGTACCCAAATCCAGCATCAGAAACTTCGTTTTGATATGGGGAGGGGGGGTTTTTCCTTTTGATAATTCTTCTCGGTCAGCAAAAAAGCGCACCAGCAGGGGTTCTTCTTACAAAACGCCACCGCGAAGGCGATCACTTCTGGGAGTAGTGGCGGAGAGGAATTTTTAACCGTCTCCACCGACGCGGACGTGGCGAATAAGTTGACAAACAACCAGTACTGGGCGACCAGGTGGGTGGCGAATGTAGGGGAGCTATCAAATGCAAATATCGATCTGGGTCTGGAAGATTGCATGACTTGTCATGCAGATTTTCCATGACGGCGCATGAGGTCTGGAATGCAGGACCTAGCATGACAGATTCTGTGAGAACTCCAACTCTATCATGCCTGTGCTGCATGAGAAATAACTCCTTCGCAACTTGATCAAAATCGGACAACTTTTGGCGCTCATGCAACACAAATTTTTTCAGGATGCAGACTTGGCATGACAAGTTGCAAACTTCCAGAGGATCCACACATATTTGCGATGCATAGGAGCATGGCAACGTGACTTACCACGACACCGCTTATGGTCACCCGGGCAGTCCGCCGGCCTTCGACGGCTTGTTGCCGGCGAGCATGAAGAAGATCCGGGACTTTTTCGAGGACACTGCTAACAAGGGGAAAATTGACAAACGGAAAAACAAATTGTTTTTGGGTGTTATCCCACCGGATAGTGTTTTACAGTCTATGTCGACGAGTAATTACAAGCCGTTCAACGGTTGCATTCTATCGGCGATGGTCTACAATAAGGAGCAGCTGAATAACCCTCCGATGAAGACCGCGCCGCCGCGAAGTCAAAAAATCGCTCAAGCTTGGTTGGACCAGAATGAGAAGGAGATCGTCAAAAGTGGCGGTGTGTTTCCGGCTTTGATGAAGGTCGGCGACTCGGTCGCCTACGGCATGCCGACGACTACGACGACGGCGCCGCCCAACACGGTTACTACGACAACCACGGCTTTTTCTTTCCCGACCATCTCTGTCACACGAGAGCCGGACACCGTGGACTGGTACGACGCCATGGCTTTTTTGCCAGACAACGTCGGCGGGTTTTACGGCGGTGTTTGTTCGGACAGCAGCACGGAGGACATATCCTGTGTGAAAACGTTCCCACCCCTACAGAGTTGTCATGCAGATTTGCGATGACAGGAAGATTTGTAATGCGCATGTCCATGCTAGGCATGACATACTCATCGTGTTTTGGAATTTGTGATGCTGTAAACAGGATAAGCAGATGGATTTGTGATTCGATTATCTTTGGTAACATGCACTACACTACAGAGTGCAACTTGTCATGCGTAGCTCCCAAAACAGTCTGTTTATGTCATGCGTGGCTCCCAAAACTTCTGGATTTGTGTTGCTAAGTTCCCAACTTGACTATGGGGTGGGGACGTTTTTACATATGAGAGGACAAGGCAACTGTCTACGACAAAATCTGTGACGAGGCGGATACTTCTATTGCGGACTGCGACAGTACTACGCACGACTGCTGGGAGAAGCCGGATGCGCTGGCAACAGATTTACTCCCCAGGGACGTTTTGAACGAGATTGTACAGAATCCCGACTACACGAACAACGGCCGGGGCAGTGGGGATAAGTACGAACCGCACCAGTACAAGCGCATGAACCTGGGCAGTCCGGATTTCGTCTACGAATTTGTGCGGCTTGGGATCTGCGGGACAGCAAACTACGGCCAGTACAACAGCGGCACTACGATTGTGCCGGATTACCTGTGCAATGAACCAAACGGGGGGCTAGACACAAAGCTAGGCGTGCACAAGTTCAATAAGGTCCAAAAACGGCAGTACATCTTCCGCCAGTGCGACAAGTTTGTGAAAACGAACAGCTACTGCGCCGGGGTGAGCTGGAACCAGGAACCGGATATGACGCACGCGAGCCCCGGGTACGCTAGGCCCTACGGCAGCATGGAGCGCAACATGAACGCCATGGCCATGCCTGGTTGCTTCCCGAGAAGTGGTGGTGGCTGGAGTGCACCAGTCGGAGATATCAGCGGTGTGCGGAGTAAAGGTACTTCCGGCAACGTCGACGGCGGGGGGAATGTGTGCTGGCGGCACAAACCCGTGCCTTATTCCCCGACCTTGTCGAAATTCGGCCACTGGTACAGTAGGTTTGGGACCAACAAAGCCGGTTCTGGATTCTGTACCGCACAGAATGCGAACCCGAACAGTGGATCTGTGATCAAAATCGCGGAAAAAATCACGCTGGGCGAGTGTTTCAACTTGTGTGATGCGATGGGCGCGGATTGCCAGGGAATTTCGATGGATAAGAGGACCAAATACAGCCACACGTACCAGGGACAAACCTGGTCGGCCCGGGAGGATTCGGATGAAAAGCGGGACTGTTTTTTGAAGTTCAATGGGAAGACCTGTCAGCAGTTGAAACAATCGAACACCGGCCCGAAAAACGAGAAAATCACCTGCGATAACCTCCCGGCCGGAACCCCGCCCATCAATTGCCCGGTCGGGTGGCATATGAAATGCAAATATGTCCGGGTCTGGAAACTTGTGATGCAAGTCAGTCAATAACAAATGCACTGTAATGCGCCGCCAAGCATGACAAGTTGCTTCGTGCTTCTGTGCTGCGTATTCCGCATGAGAAACTGCGTTTTTGCATGACAGGCGAGAGAGGCTGTTTGTGGCCACGCAATACAGATTTAAGGGCCATGCCAGATCAGCATGACAAATCTCGCAATCTTCCAGACCCAGACATTTTTGCATTTGATAGGGCAGAAGCGAAAGCCGGACCCGAACTTTTTGTGCCCAGGCCGGTACGGGTGCTCCGCGAGTACGTGTTGCGAGGAATCGACCTGTGCGAACAACAACGGGGGAAAAGTCGCGTCTCCTACTGCTTTCGATTGCGCGTTCTACGGGGCGACGGCGCTGGAAGGAGTGGATCCGAAGACTATCCGGTGTGGGAGACACGGGGAGGGGTGTACCGTGCAGGACTGCTGTTCTACTGTGACGACGACCACCACCGCTTCCTGGCCCCGCCCGCCCTACAGTCTGACAAGCAGAACCGGACTGCAGGACATTGTGGACCACTGGTACAATAAGGATTTGTCCAATTACAAAGGTGTCCGCGAAGTGGGCGACGGAAGGGGTATCAACTGTAAATATGTCTGGGTCTGGAAACTTGTAATGCTGCGTTGGGAATAGTGCATGCTCTGTAATGCACAGCCAAGCATGAGAAATATCTGCGCTTCTTCGTGTTGCGTGTTTCGCATGACAACCTGCGTTTTTGCATGACAGGCAGAAGGCTTTCTTCTTGGACACGCATCACAAATTTTTTGGTCATGCCAGACAAGCATGACAAGTCTCAGAATCTCCCAGACCCAGACATTTTTGCAGTTGATAAGGGGTATCACCGACCGGAACGACCGCAAGTGGAACAAATGCCGGCAGAATGTCGTGCTGAAAGGCGAGCTCACCGTGTTCGAAATCAGCGTGAACCCGCAGGACAGTACCAAAGCTGTCGTGAAATTAAACGGCAAGTTGATCAAGTCCCAAGTCACCCACCCGCAAAATTCCTTCCGGTGGCTGGGCTTAGCCGCGAGCAACCGGATTTGCAAGGAATTGTGTGAGAAAGACGTGGTTTGTACGGGTTATCAGTACTTCGATGTCGGCTTCCCGAACTTCGAGTGGCGAGCCTCGTGCTACGCCATTTCGAAGCAGTTTTTGAAACGAAATTCCATCGCGATTTTGCAGTCTTCCGAGACGGGAATTTGGCGGAAAAAGGTCTATTTGGCGGATTGCAATGGGGAGGAATCGGTCAAAAATTTAGTTTTCGCGAAGAAGAAACTGTATCAACACGGCAGCTGTGCGAGAGGTGGGGAGGTTTGCAAGCAGATCTTTCCACCAGCATCAACCGGTACTAGCACGGCCGTGCAGCAGTTCACCTACGGCTCCAAGCCCGATTCCGAAGTGTTCCTGACTCACTCGAAGAGTGTGGAGGAGTTGCAAAAGATTTGCAAGAGTGGTTCTTTGTCGAACACTTTTATCCACTGCTGGGACAAATACGCGCAGAAAGCGAAAGGGGACGCGAATTTGCTTTCTTCCAGTGATTACATCGACGGCTTCAAGTCGGTTGCGAAGGGGAAGCTCGCTTGGGGGCAAAATCAAACCCCGCAGAAACTGTATCACAGCTCGCAGCAGCTCGGCAAGTACTACGAATTCAAGGGCCGCGGTGGGTGCCTGATCGGCGGGAAGTCTCCGCTGCACGCGCGCGGCCGGGTGGAAACCATTGCCGAGTGCGCGGAGGTGTGCGACCTACTCGGCGCAGACACCTGCTCCGGGTTTGACACGCAGTACGCGAGATGCGATCCAGGTTCTTTAAAGGAGAACAGCGGTGACACGTGCAAGGTAAACAACGTCGGCGGGTTCGCCTGCGCTTCAACCTGCCAATTGATGCAGGTGAACTGCTACCTGCACTTGAGGTCTTCCACCAATTGCGTCCCGCTGAAGGCCCTGCCATTCGACTTCTACGACCAGTGCGTCCACAGGGTTTCTTCCTCTACAGGTGCCGGAACCGTGGACGGAACCACCACTCCGTCCGTCCCCTACGACCCGGTTCGGACCTGTTTCGCGTTGAAAGACAGCGTCACCGACACCAACGCTGGGCTGCTGGGCTACACTCCGAATTCGGATAATTCCCAGTTCTTCTGGCCGTATCAGCCGGTGGCGGCTGGGATCGAGTCCTTTGTCCGGGACAGCGCCAATTGCGGTTCTGTGAGCAATACAGATTACACCTATCTCCAGATCGCCATCCGGCGAAACGCGGAGGTCTATCCGAACTGGTGCATGCTTTTGTGCAACCGCATGTCGAAATGCACCAGAATCGTCCAGTTTCTGACCGAGTTCAAGTGTATTTTGGAATTAGAAGACGCTGATGGATCAACTTGCAGTGCGGAGTTACAAACTCTCGGGCTGCAGGATGCTTCTGGGGGAATCCCTCCCGCGGCTTTGGCTGCGGATCCAAATGCGAAGTCGTTGGTTTCGAAGGCGAATTTGGAATCTGCGTTCGACGAAATGTTTGGGAAGGGGAAGGTTGAATTCATCAACATCGAGCAGATTCTATGCATTTGACAAAAGTATCGCGCTAGTAGAAATTGCATCACAAAAAGCAGAAAAAATTAAAATCCAACTTGTCATGCGCAATCCTGTTAAAGAATGACACATCTGTCATGCAAGTACGAGCTATGTCCGATACTTTTGCAATGCATAGCCTTCCGGTTCGCGGTCCGTCATTTCCATCCCGACAACCGATCCTAGCTTGTTCGCAGCCTTATCCACCGGAAAGTCGATGAACGAGCAATTCATGGACATGTTGGTCTCGAAAATTGGTACTGCAGCGACCGCCTCGGCTTCCAATTCCCTCTTTACCGCTGCTTGTCCAACAGAAGCGTTGGAGCAAAGATTGTTAACCAGCTCGATCGAACTGGAAATTGACGCGAGTAAAACGACTTCCAGGTCGGAACTCGCGAAGTTCGTCCGGATTGCGCTGTCTTCCGCGCTGTCGGATCCGAATGTGGTTCAGAACAACGCACAGTTAAGGACTATGTTCGAATCGAGCAACGACGTGACGGTGCAGATCTACGGAGAGGCTGTACCTCAAACCGGGTCGAAGACGATCAAGGTGGAAGTTAGATTCACGGTCCCGTTCTTAGTGGGTAACACGAAATTATCGGAACTTCCAGTAACCGCGGACGTTGTCGCTGCGGCGGTTGAGGTCCTAGAAGGTGGCGGAGCGGGTGCTGCGAGTAGTGCCGCTGCCACTGCGGATTACAAGAAAGCTGTGGCGTCGATGACGACGATGAAACAGCTTTTAGATAAGCAATCCACTCTGTTTAGCCAGCAACTCCCGATGCGCCTCGAATCCCTTGGGGTGGATTTCCCCGCAAACCCGGATCCGCTCTTCGTCCCGGTTGCGGGTGTTTCGGAAACGGTGGAGCTCGCTCCGCTGACTTCGATGAACGCAGCTTCTGGGGTTGCGGCGAGCGGCGCGGGAAGTGCTGCTCAAGACGCTGCAGGTAGCGCCTCTACAACCTCTTCTGGCGGTCTCGCGACCAAGAAAACCTTTATCCGATCGAAGATCGAGTTGCAGTTAGAGATGCTGCCGACGATCTTGACCGATTTGGAGTTCAAGCAGATGGTCCAAACCGCTTTGAAAAAAGCGTTATCCAAAGAAATTACCACCGCGAAACAGGAGCAAGCAAAGGAACTCGTCGCCGAAGCAGCTTCTTCTGGGTCCAAGATGACAACCAGTGAATTAACATCCGTTGTTTCCTCGCTCTACACAGAAGACGCGACTGCGAAGCGGGAAACACATTCTGACACGACCTCGGTTAATCAAATCGGGACTGTTGGGTCTGATTTGGTAGTGTCGGTAATCTTCGATCCGAAGAAGTCCGGGTTCGCGCGGGATTTCTCCGTGGTCGTGCAAGTTACCGAGCCGGATTTTGAAGGTGCGACGAAGCAGGATAGCGAGATCGTCATGAAGATGTTGTCGAAGAACCCGTCTAGGGCGAGCAACTCCGATATGAAAAGAAAAAAACCCCCCTCCCCATATCGAAAACGAAATTTGTGACGCTGTATTTGAGTACACAAATCGACTTGTAATGCTAGAAGGCCAGGAGCCGCAGTTGTGGCCTCGTTTGCAGGCAGTTTGTCATGCTGTTTCCCACTTCCAGCTGCCTCCTGTCATGCTCAAGATGCAAGGCAGTTTCCCATGCCAACCAGCACTACAGTCCGCATCTTTTCCCTTCTAGCATGACAAAGCTGCTTTGTGACCACAAATCTGCATCACAGATTTCCGGTTTGATATGGGGAGGGGGGATTTTTCTTCTTGATATCCGAGGCGAATCTGTTCGCGGAGAATTTTGCGGATGAAATCGACAAGGAGTATGTGGAAAAAGTGAAGGAAAAAACTGGACTCACCCCACTACCAGGTCAGGACAAGATCATGAGCCAGGATTTATCCAAATCGCCCGTCTCCCAAAAAGCCCCGGCGCAATTAGCCCCTTCCGTCGCATCGAAGGGATCGTTCGATCTCGGGTCTAGTATCTCCATCACGGCGACAAATGTCAACGCTGTGGTGAGTTTGATCCAAAACGCGGTGGTCATCGCGTTGAGGAATGCGGTTGGGGCCGAACTCGAGGCGGATCAAGTCGCGGTGAACTTGGAGCCAGGATCGGTTTTGCTGTTGAAAGCGCCGGTGTTCACGTTCGAAGTGCCAGTTCTTGCGAAGGAGGTGGTTTACTATTTAACCACCGATTCTGTCGCGACTTTTGGCACTTTCATGGACGACGCTTTGTTGACTCTCGCGACGGAGGCCGTGTTCGAAGCAGACAAGATTTCTAGTGGTACTATGCAATACAAATTTCCCGTACATGTACAAAATGCATCACAAATATCACCGCCTGAGAAGAAGCAACTTGTCATGCTGAAGAGGTTTGAAGGAAAAGCTTCTCATGCGGAAGCCACATTTGTACGCGTATGTGAATTTATTTCCTGTGGATAGGTACCGCCCCCTCGATGGCGACTGATCCGACGAAGACGACCTTGCTAGAGCAGATCAAAAGCTTAAGTGCCACTGCGGACGGGAAGTTGCTCACCCTGCTGAAGGACATTGCGGTGAAGAAGAATTTAGCGAAAACCCCAGCGGAGCTGGCAGCTTTTTCGAAACCAGCGGATGGGTCTGGCGTGTTCAAAACGAAGGCGGCGAAGAAGGACACGAAGTCAGCGGCGACGACTGCGAATACGGAGGTTTCCCCAGTGACCCAATACGTCGGCTTCGAACTGCAGTTGGCACAAAGAGAGTCGAACGTACCGTTAACCGGTAAGACATTAGAGGAGTTTGTCAGGAAGTCCACTCTTGCTTCATTGAAAAAACTAATCTCCGTCCCCGCCACCCCCCTCGGCAACACCTTCTCCGCTCCTAGTAAAGAGGTGATCGAGAACTTGAGGGAGTCGGATATCGTCGTGTCCGTCATTTCCGCGAAGGGGAAGAGTGCCGCTGCTGGGGCATCTGCAACAGAAGTTCCGTTCGTGCTGGATTCGAATCCGGTGCCGACGACCACGACGACGACGACAACTGTGAGTACCGCAAGTGGACAACAGCAGACAACTACGGTAACCGCGACCACAACTTCGAAGATCACGGAGTTCGTCACCGTGCAAATCCCGTTTACCGGTTTTTCCACTGGCGTTCCTCAGGATTTGATGACGGTTATGACGGAAAATTCCGGGAAAACGATCGCAAAGCAGGTGGAAGTGAGACTGAAGCAGGATTACAATATCGAATTTGAGGAAGAAGCGGAAATCCCGGCGGAGAAGTTACCGGCGAAGGGCTTGCCCGCTACTCCGGCCGCGGAACCGTCGCTCGGCGGCGGGCTGGTGTTCCTCGAGAGCTCCATGCAGTTAACCGTGGAGAATTCTTTGATTAACGTGCAAGCCGCGGATTCAATAACCCCTTTAACGCCAAAACAACTCCAAGACAACCGCGCGAACCGGGATTTGGTGGAATCCGCTTTACCGACGATGCTGCGGGAGGGAATTCTTACCGGTCTCCAGGATACAATCGGGTCGACGAGTGAGCCAGATCCGCTTTCCGTGTCGTTAGGTGGGTCGGAACTGACGAAATCCCAAATCGCAATCACGATCTCCCCACCAGCGGAGCCGCCGCAGAAGGAGGAGAAACGGGAGATCAAGATCGTGATCCACGGCGCCTTCCCCCCGGCAGTTTCCGGTAAAATCCAGAATGCTCTAACCGTGAAGGATGCATCAAAAGCTACAACCGGGGAGGCAACTAGTGGTTTGGAAGCAGTTTCTGCTGTTGTGCCTGAAGTAGATACTTCCAACGGTGCTGATGCCGGATCCAGGTTCCGAACTTTGCTCCTAAAATCCGTTGACACGCAAGTGAAGAAGGCGAAGGAGTTTGTGGATAAAGTTTCTGCTACTGGCTACACGGCAACACCCGCGGAAGCGGAATTGAAGACAAAACTAGCCCCCCTCGTTCAACTCACAACCCCCGCAATTGCAACCAAGGGGACAGCGAAGCCGGTGTCCACGACCAGGACCTCGCTCAAATTCGAGTTCGACTTCTCTTCCGATAGTTCCTCAGCTATAATTTCGCAAGAACAGCAGAACCAGGAGGCGCAGCGAATCTTACTCGAGGCGAAGTCCGAGGGAAAGATCGTGATGGAGGCGTTGGTGCAAGCTGCTGTGGCGAAATCACTGAAGAAAACCGCCGGTCTGGAAATCACGGGGAGTCACATTGCGGTGACATTGGATAAGTCGAAATCTTCTTCGGACCCAACGAAGGGTATCCTGAGTAAAAACGTCCCCACACCAGAGTCAAGATGGTAAATCTGCTAGAGAAATCAACCAGCTTTGGTTGTTTGGCATGACAAGTTTGTCCCTGAAGTGTAGTCCTGTCTTAGGTAGGTCAGCAGCATTACAGACCTAGCATAGCATTCTGATTCTAGCATCACAAAGTCCAAAACACGACTAGACAATGCTTCTCATGGTGCTCCGCATGAGAAACTTATTTGGCATGCAGAATTGCGTGACAGCTCTGGGGTCGGGATGTTGTTACACGGGATAAAGGGCGCGATGGAGTTCATTGTCGACGTGCCGTATTCCACTACCGCGGTCACGAAAATGTTGAGCAACAGCGGCGGCTACCGGAAGAAGCAGTTTTTCGACGATTTTTCTCAATCGTTGACTAATGAGATTTCCACGAACTTGAACAGTGGAATCGGCTCCGCAAACCCGAACAACACGGACCCGGTGACCGGTGCGGTGTTGTTCACGCCTTTGACAGTGGACGACGTTTTGGCGACTTCTGCAGCCTCCAGGAAATCCTACAGTTCCACTGGATCCGGCGAGCCGATTGTGAACAGCAAAGCGGCTTTAAACTTCAAACTGAAGGAAAACACCGCGGGGATGACGACGGAATCCGCAAAAGCGACGAAGATGGCGACCACGTCTTTGAAGTTCAAGATGATCGCGGATCCGAGTGGAGCCAAAGGGAAGATCCCGGACACCGACACCATCATCGCTTTGTCCCGCGCAGCGGTCGCTTCGTCTATTCTGAAACAGCTCGGTATCACCATCGCACCGTCGCAAATCCAGGCGAAAATCCCGACGAATCTGCTGAATATGGACCCAGCAGTCACGACCGATGTGGAAGTTTCGCTTTCTGTCGTTCTACCGGCGACGAGATACAGTGCTGCAGAGCAGGATAAGGTCTTAACAGCCTTCTCTTCCTCCTCCACCGTCAACGCGGACACAATTACTGACGCCAACGGAGCTGTTGTCGTGTCTGAAACCCAGGCCCAGAAGTTCGCGAAGAACTTTTTCACGGAGATGAAAAACTACGGTGTAAAGAACTTCGAGGACCCGGACCCAAATAACCCGTCTGCCACCCCAGCTGTCTCTGTCCAAACTGCGACCGCGGAGGAATCCGCTGCGGAGCCGGTCACCGACGCGGAAAAGCTCATTCCGGAAGAAAAGGTGCCGGGCAACGTCGCGTTCTTCGAAACGACGTTTTCCATCGTCACCGCCGATGCGACTACCTACACGCAAACCGCCTTGGAGCAGATGCTGCGCCCGGCGATTGCGAATGCGACGACGAAAACGCTTTTTACCGACACAATCACCGGAGCCGTGACGAAAACCGTGAAGCCGGAGGAAGTAGCATTGTCCTTCCTGTACAATTCCCCGGTGATTTCCGGGTCATCAGCCCAGGCCAGGAACTTCCAGGTGACACTGCAGATCACCGATGTTGATACGAAGAAAACCGGAGAGATTCTTGGTACGATGTCGGCGGGTAGGAAAGAGATCTTCAATGAGATGGTTTCCGCTTTACCGGAGGATATCCAGAACAAGGGAGTTTCTGGAACGCCGGCTGCTGGCTCTGTTGAGGAGAAACTGCTAAATCTAGATTTGATGCAGTTCACCAACCCGAAGGCGCACTACGCCTCGCAAACCCAAGCGACGCTGGAGTTGACGACAGTAGACACTTCGGCAACTTCTATGACGGACGAGATCAAAGCTTCTCTAGCGGAGGCGGTGAAGGAGGCGCTGAAAGATACCGGTGGCCCGGCATTGCAGAAGGAGCACATCTACACCCACGTGGTTACTTCAACTTCCACCGGGAAACATTTGATCGAATTTTCCTTCCCGGGGGTTTCGAAGACGGGGGTTACACCTTTGGTTTCGAATTCTGGGGGTAGTAGCAATGACATTTTCACAACTATTCTCAAGGGGAAAGTCAACCAATTGGTGAAAACCGCGACTGGTTCGACGGATGACGTGATTTCCGGCGTCGTTTCTCCAACTAACGCGGAGGAAAGAAGCTACTTAGAATCCGCCATCACCATCGAGCAATCCGCTGCTGGTACTGGCGCTTCTACCGTCGACCAAGCCGCGTTGATTCCCTTGCTGAAAAAATCCGTGGCTTCGGCGGTAAATGAAGCGATTTCCGACCCAAGTCAACCGCCAATCCGCGCCGCCAACGTGACAATCACGTTTCCAGAATCCTCTACCGATACGAAGAAAGCGGTGATTGTGATTCCGATTGTCGCCGGGCCGGATTTCAACCAGGAGCAGGTGACGAAGTTGAGCACGAAGGTTCTGGAAACGTTGGATCCGCAGTCTTCTACCTTTGGGGCATTATTGCCCTTGAGGTTGGACCATTTAGGCGTCGCTTTAAAAGGTTCGGAGGACGATAACTCTTCTGGCCCGCCGCCGCCGAAAGTCACGGAAGAGCCGGTGGCGAGTGAATCTGCTTTGACGGAATCTCCGTTGAAATCGAAGACGACTTTCGTCAAATCTGTTGTGAAATTTACAACCGCTGGGGTCTCGGTGTTACCAAACGCAGCGGACGTGACAAAAGAATCTTCATCCGAGAAGGTGTTTCGGAAACTGGTGCAAAATTCTGTCGCGAAAGCAGTGTCCGCCACCCCCGCGGTTCAAGCCGCGAGCGGAAAGCCGTTGAACACGGTGACGGCGAATGACGTGGCGGTCGTGATTACAAGCGATCACCTATCCTGAGTAAAAACGTCCCCACCCCATGGTTGTCATGCAGATTTGCAGTCACAGGAAGATTTGTAATGCGCATCCCCATGAGAGGCCTTTCCATTCGTTTTTTGGACTTTGTAATGCTGTAAACAGGATGAGTAGATGCATTTGTGTTGCGGCTGTACTTGCTAAACTGCGCTACAATACAGAGACGAACTTGTCATGCTTGACTCCCAAAACTTCTCGATTTGTGTTGCGCGATCCCCATCTTGACTCTGGGGTGGGGACGTTTTTGCCCAGGATATCACCCCGGCTCCGCGACGAAAAAAGCGTTGGTCACGATCAAACTAGCGGAACGGGAGACGCAGTCGCTTATCACAAGAAAAAACTGTTTCACTGTGAACTTGTGATGCAGAAAGTGCATCACTGAAGTGTTTGTATTGCTACACATGCGAGACAAATGATTTTTAGCGGTGTTTTCCCTTAGGATCCTTGCATGGCAAGTTTTCTTTGTGATGTGTAGCGAACTTGTAATGCAAAACTTGCAAAATCCTTACAGTGAAACAGTTTTTTCTTACGATATCGCTGTTATCTTCTACAATCATGGCGGCCATGAGTTCCAACGGTGGGGCCGACAAAAACGCGGTGTTTGTCAATGAGTTCAAGAAGGAGCTGACGAAGGAAATTATCGAGAAGGTCGCAACCAAGGAATTAAAAGCGCAAAGCCAGAAGAAGTTCGACGGTACCACTGGTAAAGTAATCGAAAACAGCAAGGAGACTCTCACAGTCGACGTTTCCGGGGTGAAATCTATCGGTTCCTCTCAACCAGCAAGTACCTTCCGCGGGAAGATGGACTTTTCTCTCCCAGAAAAATCGTCCGCGACTGCCACAACGGATTGGCAGAATTTGATTTTAGACTCCGTTACGAACCAACCAACAGTTGCCGGGGAGGAAAAACTCGCGAAGATTGTCCAGAAGGGGATTGCGAACGGGTTAAGCGAGGCAACCGGGATGGAAATTGCGCACGAGCAGGTGTCGGTTTTGTTCTCTCCGGGTAGCATTTCGTTGTACGCGCCGTCGGTGACATATGACATTCCGGTGACGATTATGCAATGTAAATTTCCTGTACATGTACAAAATGCATGACAAATTTCGCTAACTTGCAGTGTCCAACTTGTCATGCTAGACTAGGACTGAAGGCAAGTTTTGTCATGCAGAGATTGCATTTGTACGTAACGTGTACGGTACATTTACTGTGGATAACGATTCCGAAGGCGCAGTGGTTTTTGAAGGATTCGATTGACAGCTTTACCCCCTACTTGACGAAGAACATGCAGAATGCTGTGGAAGAAGATCTGAGTGAAATCGACGTTACCACGCAAAACGCCGATGGCACATCCACTACGACGAAAGTCGCGATTTCCAACAAACCGGACATGACAAACCCAAGCACCAGCAACTTGAAGACGTTTAAGGCCGCGCAGAAGTCCGCTCTGTCGTTCGCTCTGGAACTAGAACTCAAAGACGGAACTTCGTCCTGGCTCCCGTCTAGCGATGGTATGTTAACCCTCTGGATCCAAGCAGCAACAAAAACCGCGGTTGGGGCAGATCTCGGGTTGACGAAACCAACAGCCAGCAACGGCGCGACCATCCCGGATGCGCCGGAAGTGAAGAATTCGGAGATTCAGATCGCGTATTTAGGGAAGGGGTTGTCGGAAACCCAAGCGGCGCAGTCTGATCCGAACGCGAAATTGGAAAAGGCGAAATTAGCTGTTTTGATAACCGTTCCGATCTCCGAAGAGCAGACGTATGATAAGAAATTCTCCCAAGTCGCGGCTTCGTTTGCGGCTAATAATGCTGCGGACATTGTTTCGAAAGTGAAGCAATCGCTTGTTTCAACTTACAATTTGGAATTCGAATCCAAAACGGATGCTGGTGGGAATGTCGTCGCGGGGGAACCGAAACTATTGCCAGTGATTCCCCAGTCTGATGACCCGGCGTATTTGGATTTGGTCACGACGACGGACAGTTCGAGTAAAACGGAAGACAATTTGCCGGTGAAAAAATTGTTAGCCGGGATTTCCTCCGCTCTGGATTCTTCTTCCACAGTGTCCATGAAGTCCATGACGAAGCGAGGTAGTAGCTTTATCGAGTCTGGGTCGATCGAAATCAATTTGAACCAGCAGCCGGCGAAGAATTTAACCACCGATGCGGTTCTCCCCGGTCGAGTCGCTGTCGGGCCGGATGATAAAGAGTACTTATCATCTTCCCAAATCCTCTCCGATGCGCAGGTGACCCGGATTTTCAAGCGGACCGTGACGGAGGCGCTGAAACTCACTCTGTACAAAGAGGTGATAACCAAAGCAGAAGAAAATAACGAGAAGGTGGACCCTACCGCGGTGTTCGCAGGATCTAGTTCTGGTACAATCACCGAAGACCAAATCGCGATCACTTGCTCTCCGGGCCGAGGTGGGGCGACGGAGAAAAGGGAGTTCAAGGTATTAGTTTCTTCGAAGTTATCCGCGGAGGTGAACACGATTGTTACCAACGCTTTGACGAAAACGACGGCTACTGCGGCGACGAACACTGTGTTTAAAGAGAAGTTGGAAGAGCAGTTGACGTTAGTGGCGGAAGCGGCGAAATCCATCAACGCTTTTGTCCCTGCGGCCAAAGCTGTTGGAAGCACATTAGATGCGGACGGAATTTCGTTGAACAACGTGGTGGATGAAACCAATTCTGCTGCCGCTGCGTTCGTGAAGGAAATCTTCGGGACTGGTGAGGGGAGTACGAAATCCTTCGCTTTTTCCTCCACTACCTTCGAGGACAACAAACCCGCAAAGCAAATGTCCGCGACAGTGTCAGAGATGAAACTCGCGAAAGTTGCGGTGGATTCGGCGGTGACAACAGTGGATGATTCCAACGGAAATACCGTGACGAAGCAGACCGGGCAACAGTCCTTCACGCCAGAACAGTACTCGGCTGCGGTGCAGAAGGCGGTTGCGGCCTCTCTCAAAGACGCAGCTGGCTTCGACCTCCAACCGGAGCATGTGGTTGTGGACTTGTTGACCGATGTGTTTGCCGATTCGGAGGCAACGGGGGATAGTACTGAAGAAACCGGCATCGCGATTTCCGTCCCGTTCGCCACGACCCAAGTGCAGCAGATGTTATCGAACAAACCCACTCCTGCCAGGGAAGCGTTCCTGAAAGTATCAAATGTAAAAATGTCTGGGTCTGGAAGAATGCATGTTTGTCATGCTTGTCTGGCATGACTCTTAAATCTGTCAAGCACGTTACCCAAGAGCTCCATTTTTCTGTGATGCAGAAGCGCAGTTTGTCATGCGGAATTGGCAACACCTAGAAGCTCAGAAACTTGTCATGCTGAGCCAGCACTTGTGGCCTCATCATGAGACGCCACACAGCATCACAAGTTTCCAGACCCAGACATTTTTACACTTGATAGAAAGCCGTGAAGAACAACTTGAACACAGTGCTTTCTACTCGCTTGTTATGCAAGAAAAAAACTGTGTAAGTGTAAATCTGTGATGCAGAAAATGCAAAACTGTTACATTTGTCATGCTTGACATGCATGAGCGGCTCCCTTCCTAGGTGTTTTCCCTTCCTATCTGCGCATGGCAAGTTTTTCCTGTCATGGCAGACAAACTTGTGATGCAGTTTTCCCAAAAGAGTTACACTAACACAGTTTTTTTCTTGGATACTTGTCTGGCGGCAAAGCGGTGCCGGAAACAGCACAAGGGCTTGCAGATGAATCCGCGTTGTTCAAGTTAGAAACAAGTGAAGTGGAAGTGGCGAAAACGGTGGAATCTACCGTCTCCGTCGAGTTGCCGAAGGCTTATGCAAGAAAAAAACTGTGTAACTTTGTAATGCAGAACATGCAACAGAGTTACGTCTGTCATGCCAGACAACCATGAAGTCCTGTTTTCATGTGTGTTTTCCCTTACAAGCCACGCATGACAGGTTTTCGCTGTCATGTAGAGCAAATTTGTCATGCTGTCAGCCAAGGAAAGAGAAAGTTACACTAACGCAGCTTTTTTCTTGGATAAGGCTTTGACCGTGAGTTCCACTGCGGCGGATGGGACGGTTACGACCTCCCAGGAGAACATTGTCATGACGGTGAAGGCGATTGAAGCGCTGGTGCAGGATTCTACTGCGAAATCCATCGCGAAGAATCTGCTCGCTTCTGCTGGTATTACTTCTCCCACCGCGGAACAGATAGCGGAGAAAATGCCGGCGTCGGATGTGCAGGTTAAACTGGTTTTAACCGCAGCGGACGGGTCGTCGATTCTGACCACTTCTGATCAGGTTTCGAGCAATTTGGAGGACGCGTACAAGCCGGGGTTTGAAGTCGTAAATCTCGATCCAGCAAAAATGCCACTGCAGTTTGTCGTGTCTGTCCCGACTAGCTCGAAGAAACTGACAACTTCCGAGATGGATAAGATCACGAAATCTTTGTCCAAAACCGACACCACCGGGGAAAACTTGAAATTTCAAACTGAATTCCAGAAATCGCTGCAGCCATTAGTCACCGGCGAGGACCCAAAACTTATCGATCAAGCAACCCCTCTGATCACCCCGAAAGTGGAGCAGGACACGCCGGTGGCTTCGCCTGCAAGCGGGCCGAAAACGGATTTGAGCAAATTGGAAATTGTGCCTGGCGGAGTGACGTTCGTGGAGTCGACGATTTCGTTCGAAACAGCAACCCCCGGGCAGTACACGGCGGACGACATTATCGCGAGTCTGAAGCCGCTGTTCGTACAAGGGACGAATAAAAGGCTGAAATCCTACGCAGAGGATCAGATCGCGGCTGCTACCGTTGTGGACACGGCGTTGTTGAAAGGTGAAGAGAAACCCGACGAGGAGAATTTTCTCAAATCCGAGGACGTCGCTTTCACGTACCTGTACAACACCCCAACCAGCTCTGATCCATCTGTCACATCCGTCGACCGGCATTTCCGGATCACCATGCAGTTAAAATCCGCCACGACCGCGACAATCGGCCGGGCCATGGCTTTGGTTTCTCCGGACAGAACCGCAGTTGCCGGGAAGAAGGAAATTTTGGAAATGATGAAGGATTTGGCGGAAGCTGGGACGGACCAAGCGGTGAAGGATAAGGTTTTACCCATGATCAATTCCGGGAAAGTGAAATCCAAACCATCCCAGCCCGCGCAAACCCAGGGGAAAATCAAACTGGAATTCTCCAACGCGAACTCAGCGACTGTGCCGACTGATTTAGCGACCGTGAAGATTTTTGATTCTACGAAGATCCCGGTGAAAAAAGCGATCGCTGTTGCTTTGAAGAATTCTGGCGCAGCTAGCGTCAAAGAGGAGCAGATCTTCTTCGACGTCTATTCTGTCGTTGCCGGTGGGGACAGCACGAAACAAGAAATCGTCTTGAACGTCGCGGTTCCCGCTGTCGGCCCGGAGGTCGCGAAAGTTTTGTCCGTGTCGACGGATCAGGTGACTGTGGATGACTCCATCGCGAGCAACCCGGAGGAAGTGGAAAAGGAGTTGCTGAAAAGAATCGACTCCGCGCAGGGGGTGACGGATTCAAGTCGTTCTTTGGACTCTCAGATTTTCTCCAAGCTGTTGAAGGACACTTTGAATTCGGAATTACAAATAATCGCTACCTATGAAACGCAAAAATGTCTGGGTCTGGAAACTTGTGATGCTAAAATGTTCATGATGAAAACACTTCCGACTGCAGTCCGGCATGACAACTTCCCAAAACGCTTTCTCATAGGCAATCCCAAAACGCTTTCCGCATGACAAAAGAGGCTGCGACTTTTGTTGGTTTTGCAATACAGATTTTCTAGGTATGGAAAGCTAGCATTACAAGTTCCAACCTTCCAGACCCAGACATTTTTACAATCCATACTACCGCAGCGTCCGCAGCCAACCCCGAGTTCAATATCGCGAAGACCCAACCGGAGGGCAACGTGGTGGAGAGGAAATACTTGGAAACAACTTTGAAAATCGCTCAGAATGCACAGGGAACACAGTTAACCCAGGCGGATTTGTTGCCTATTATGCAAAACGCGATATCCTCTGCTTTGACCACCGCGGTGGCGGAATCTGATTTGGTTCAGAACACCGCAGCGGTGAAGGCTGTGCTCGAGAAGGAAAAATCTGGTGCGAGTTCTTTGTCCGCGTTTGACGAGAAGTTGAAATCGCTTCTGAGCTTTTCAAACAGCAACGTGACCGTTTCCTTCCCGAAATCAGCGGAGGACGTGAATGAGGTGAAAATTTCCGTCCCGATTGTTTCCGGTCCGGACGTGGACGTGAAATTGTCTGAAAACGTGCAAAAAGCGATGGAGAACGTGTTAGATCCGACCTCGAAGGAATTCAAGGACTTACTCCCGTTGAGATTAGAGGTTTTGGGTGTGCAACTACCACCCCCAGACCCGTCGAATCCAACACAACCGGCGGCTTCGTCCTTTGTCGTGACGGAAAAAGCGGTGGAAACGCCGACGAAAGCGACGGTTTCGTCCCCAGTGAAAGCGGAGGTGGCGTTTGTCCAGGCGGAATTGAAGTTTGATTTGGATTTGGCGCAGTCTGCTGCTTCTTCCATCGAGACAACGGAGAAGTTGGAAGAAGCGGTGAAAAAGGCGATTGAGAAATCAATAAAATCCGTCGTCGAATCCGCAGTCGCGAAAGAGAAACAATCAGCGATCGCCGCGAAAGAGCCCGGTGCGGAGACGAAAACCATCCCTGGCGCGGATTTGGTTTTGGGGGATGCAGCTACTGGCTCAGGTAAGCCGAAAATCACTGCTGTGGTTTCCAAATCTTCCTTCGGGAAAACCGAGAAGAAGGTGTTCTTGACCATTCAGGTGGAAGAATCCCAAGTCGCGACGGAAAAGTCGGATGGAACGGCTTTGGTGCAGCAGTTATTCACAGCAAACGCCGAGCCGTTCAACACGGATTTGGTTCAAACCTTCAAGGAAAAAATCCAAGAGGAGTCACAAGTTGTCGTCTCCACTCCAAAATCCGTTGGCTTCGCGAAACCAAGCAGTCAGATTCGCGGGGTTGCGAGCTTCGCTACGCCGAGTGGTACTGCTGCTTTGACCGCCACCCAAGTCGAGGAATTAGCCGCGAAGTCGATCGCTAAGGCTTTAACAACCGCAACGGGCACGGTTTTGAACGAAAACCAGGTGAACATTTTAGTTTATCCAGGTACAGCGGAGTTGAAACAGCCAAAATTCAGCTACGACGTTCCGGTCACGGACAGCAAGGTCGAGTGGTTTGTCCAGGATGCGGCAACTTCCTTCGCCCCCTACGTGAAAACTGCGGTCGATGACGTTTTGGTGGAAGCGAGTTCTTCTTCCGATCCAATCGTGAAAGCGAAATTCAACGGAATTACTGCGATTGAAGAGTCGTCGATTAAAACAGTGGAGCGGAAGGAGGTGGAAGCGGATTCGAGCAAATTAGTTTCTTCCAACTCCGAAGATGTTCTCGGGGAGAACGTTCTCGGTACGAAGATTCTTTCTTTGGTTTTGAATCTCCCGCTGAAATCTGACGGTGCCTCGTCCTGGCTGCCGGATAGTGATGACATGATGAAGACGTGGATGCAGGAATCGACCAGGTCCGCGATCAAGGCGGTCTTGGCTTCTAACTTCAATGAAGACTTGGTTAACAGTGAGGACATCTCCGTCGCTCTTACGAAAAAACTGCCCAAGAAGAACGACCCGAACATCACGGCGGTTGTGGATCTACCAGTAATGGTCTCGATCCCGATCCAGAAACGGGCAGCAACTTCCGCCACAACCTTCACGGTATCCACAGTAAATTTCCTGTACACGTACAATGCAGTCGCTGGATGACAAAACTTGCCTTCAGTCCTAGTCTAGCATGACAAGTTGGACACTGCAAGTTAGCGAAATTTGTCATGCATTTTGTAAATGTGCGGGAGATTTGTATTGCATACACGGCGTCGCAAGTCTTCACTGCTTTGTCTGCTTCTGGTTCTGCTTCTCTCGTTATGACAGTGCACAACTCCCCCTTGCCCTCATTTGTCATGCAAAAATCCAAATCCAGTTGCTGCCTTGTGGCACTGTTTGCATGACAAATTTCGAAAGCCCAAACAGTACTGAGGAAGGTACATAAGTTTGTCATGCACAGGGTCCACCTGTGCTGGTGTTTGTAATGCTGTTGATGCCATACGAACGAGGGGGGGGGAGTTGTGCACTCTCATACTCGTCACCAACATCAAACAATCGTTGACCACGGATTACAATTTGGAATTCGACACAACCAATAATGCTGCTGGGGTAACTGTCGAAATACCCGCTGAGGAGTCGAAGGATACGAAAATCGCGCCGGAGAAATCCTTGATCGAGGGCGGCAAAGCGGTCTTCATCGAAGCTTTGATGGACGCTGAAGTGTCTTTCGACGTCGATAGTTTCGTCCAGAAATATTTGAAGGAGAAAATGAATAAAGACATCACGCAGACCGGGGTGAAGAAAACGCCAACAGATGTTTCCGCAGCATTAGCAGCCCATGACACCCTTATCGCGGAGAAGATCATGAAGAAATCAGTTTTCTCCGCGATCAAAAAAGCCTGCCCGCTTTTGGCTTCTGGCGATGACGTGATCTTTACCGAGGAGAACGTCGCGACGACCGTTTCTCCTTCTTCCGGGTCGAAAAAAGCGGATGGTAGTGGGGCGAAAGAGACCAGGACCGTTTCGATTGTTCTTCATGGTGATTTCTCCGCTGCGGCGATGAAGGAGGTCTTACAGGCGTTTGAGAAGCCGGGGGAGACTACAAGCTCCGCTGGTTCTACTTTTACTACCGAGTTCAACACGCAGATGCAGTCGATTTCTTCTTCCACAAACGTGACTGAAGAGCTGAAGATGTCCACCATTGAGTACAAGGAGAACGCGAACCGCGAGCCGCCGAAGCAGATCGCGCAGACAGAATCGGAGATTTCCTTCACGATGTCGGAAGCCGCTTCTAACACTGAAGTGCAGAACTGGGTGCAGACCGCAGTAGCAAACGCGATGAACGAGGCGGCGGGGTTAGAGATGACGAAGACGCACGTGTCGGTGCAGGTGAAGACCGACACGAGTAAACAACCAGTCGTGAAGATTTCCGTCCCGTTTGCGAGCAAAGTGGTCTCGGAAATGTTTTCCTCAACTTCGAAGTCCAAAGCGAAGGACAGATTTATGACATTAGTGAACGCGGAATTAACGAAAGCGGCTCAAACGAAAAAAGACGGCACAGCATCTAATATCAACATCTCCCCATCTGGTGTCGCGATTCAAACATCGGACGCGAAAGCAACGAGATTCCTCGAAACGGAAGTCGAACTGGCGGTAGATCGGTCCGGTGGCGCAGCTACGGCGAACAAAGTGCCTAATGAAGAAGCTTTGTTCGCGTTAGCTCAAACTGCTGTCGCCAGATCCTTGAAGAAAGCGGGTGTTACCGTTGATCCGAAACAGGTTTCCATCCGGTTCATCTCCAAAGCGGCGGACGCGGCTGATGCCACTGCAACCACTCCATTGACCTACAGCTTCAAGATCACCACCGCCGTTGATGATTTCACCTACACGGAACAACAGCAGAAGATCATTGAGGACCAGTTCAGCAAGTCCAAAGCGGTGGAGTCCGCCGCTTTCGTCGCGGAATTTGCTTCGAATCTGAAGACTCTTGGTGTCGCGGACTTCGCGACGACCCCGGAGGTGAAGAAGGAAGTGAAAAAAGCGGCAACAAGTGCTGAGACGGATTTAACCCCGATAGCGGACACATTGCCTGGGGGGATTGCGTTTGTGGAAACTAGCTTCTCGGTGGAGACGACGGATTCCACGACTTACAGTGCTGACCAGCTGATCGAAAAATTGATTCCCGCGATGGCGAAAGCTTCCAGCAAAACTTTACGGAAGTTCGTTGCCGATTCCGACCCGGTGAAATATCCGAATGGGGTTTCCGACGTCCCTGCGGCGGTGACAGTGCCGGAAACGGCGGTTGGGCTGGTGTTTTTGTACGACACGCCGGTTGCAGCCGGTTCTGCAGCGAGAAACCGGAACTTCAGACTAACAGTCCAGTTGATCGAGGTCCCGGCGGGGGTTGCGGGGAACATGATGGGGGTGACCAGTTTGAACCGGAATGAGCTGTGGACAGAGGTGACACAGCTCGCGACCGATGGTGACGCAGCAGCTCTCCCGTCTGACATTACTTCTCCAAAGTTCATCGCGGACGCGAAGCAAGCATCCCAAACCCAGGCGAAGATCAAACTCACTTTCGACAACGCAGCGACGCCAGCAGACTTAGCCGCGCCAGGCGTCCAAGCTTCCATCAAGGAGGGCTTCGCCCAGGCGTTCAAGGAGGCTGGTGGGGCGCCGTTGAAGAAGGAGCACGTGTTCATCTCCATTCACGAGAAAAATGCTGCTGGAACCGAGTACACGTTCAACTTCGCGGTGCCGACAGTTTCCCAAGCTGGGACGGCTTTGGTGAGTCCCTCAGGAGGTACCGACGGCGAGATTTTCGGCTCGATTTTGAAACAGAAGACCAACACGCTTTTAACTAACGCTGGGGTTAGTTCGTTTGCCGTCACGACGATTGCGAATACGGAAGAAGCGGTGGAAAGGACCTATTTGACCACGAAATTATCCTTACTCCCGCAGGCTGGGGGGAGTGCGATGAAACAAGCAGATTTATTACCGATTCTGCAGAAGGGGATTGGGAATGCGTTGTCGACGACCACGACGGATTACGTGCCTTTTACCAGATCCAATATCACCGTTTCCTTCCCGCAGGACCCGAGTGATGCAACTACTGGTGGCGGCACTTCTGAAGTCATCATCTCCGTCCCGTTCGTCTCCGGTACGGAATACGATACGACCCAAATCGAGAACGCAAAGAACCAAGTGAAATCGGTTTTAGACCCCACTTCCGCAGACTTCGCGTCGAAACTCCCAACGAGATTGGAGGCGCAGGGAGTCGCTTTTTCCGCTCCATCCGATACGGATTTAGCGGAGCTGACCAAGGTTTCCGAACCCGCGGCGCCGTCGAAACCCGCAGCGACGGTTTCGACGTTGAAGTCCCGAACTGCGTTCGTCCGCGCGGCGATTTCCATTCCATTCGCCGATGGTGCGAACGAATTCTCGACGGTGAAGATGGAGGAAATTCTAGAGCAGGCAATTGCAAAAACCATCGCGGAAGATAAGAATGTGTTAGAGGCCGGGTTCGGTGAGGCAGATCTCGTCAAGCCAGATCAGGTCACTTTGGTGATGTCCCAAGCTTCCGAGGGGAGGAAAACGAAGGATTTCGAGATCACGGTTCAAATACCGGAGACAGAAACTTCTTCCCGCGTGTCCGCGCAGATTGTGTCGATTTTGAGCAAGAACAACGCGAAAAACACGGAATTTGCGAAGTCCTTCGCAGTTAAAGCGGAGGAGAAATTGGAGGAGGAGTTACTCGCAAGTGACACGACGGGGACGCTGACGAAAGAACTAGTCAAACAAAAAATCAACTTCAGCAAAGACGCAACCACTGGCGTACCACTCGTCGCGTCGAAAACCGTCGCGGCGCCGGCGTCGCAACTCAAGGGTGACATCGGGTTCGCGATAAATGCTGGGGAAGTGTTAACCGATGAGCAAGTCACCACTGTCGGAAAGAAGGCGATCGCGGCCGCTTTGACGAAAGCGACCGGGACGCCGATTTCCCCCGAGCAGGTGTCCATCATGGTGCAACCAGGTTCCGTATGAGAGTGCACAACTCCCTCTCCCCCTCCCCCTCATTTGTGTTGCATGAGCAGCATGACAAGAGCTCGCAAAGATGCAGCTTTTGCATGACAAATTTCGTAGAGGATTGTAGTGCTGCTTAGGATTCCCATTCCGGAATCTGTCATGCAAACAGTGCTAACAGGCAAACGGTGGATTTGGAATTTTGCATGACAAATGAGGGGGAGGGGGAGTTGTGCACTGTCATACTCCGCTGCATTACAAGTTCCGGGCTTTACCTACGACGTGCCGATAACCGATTCCAAAGCGAAGTGGTTCTTGCAGGACGCGCCGGAGACGTTTAAACCGTATTTGGAAGCGGAATTGAAACAACTAGCAGCGAGCGAATTAACTCCGGCGAGGACAGTAAATGACAACAGCCTGACGGTTGCGAAAGCGCTGAATAAAGCAGCGGTGTCGTTTGAAATGGAGCTGAAATTGGTCGACGGCGCGAACTCGTGGCTACCATCAAGCGAACAGATGCTGAACATGTGGATCCAGTCCGCGGCGAAATCGGCGGTGGAAAAAGTCGCCGGGGTGACGCAGGGATTGAAGACAACACAGATTTCCGTCGCGTTTCTCGGTGCGACATCGATCCAGCCAGGCGCGACTTCCGCAACTGTGCCAGTGCAGGTGTCTGTGCCTCTGACTGAGGGTGCGATGGCTAGTGACAGTTCTGTCACGTTTGAATCCATCACGACAGCTTTGAAGGAGAATTCCGCTGCGGCTTTAGTTTCAGAAGTGAAATCGGTTTTGGAAACCACCTACAGCCTAGAATTCTCCGCACCCCCAACAGTTACTGCGGATGAAATCGACACGAGCAAGGATTCCGCGACGAAGCCACCACCTTCTCTCAACAGCAAAGTCTCATCTGACGGAACGGTTGTTACTGCTGCTGGTGCATCCGCTCCAACTTACGTCCGCGGTGATTTCGAAATGGAACTAACCCTGTCCAACGACGTGATCGACACAGATTCCTCTGACGGCTCTACCAGTTTGAAACCATCTGCAACAGTCGATCCAGACCGGGAGGTGAAGGAAGTGTTACGAACTGCGGCGTTCAATGCTTTGAAAACCCAGGTTTCTGCGTTTAAGGATCCGAAATCGATTTTGAAGTTTGAAAAATCCAATGTCGCGGTCATCGTCTCCCCTGCTTCGGGCGTGAAGACGGAGAAGAGGACTCTATCCGTCACCGTCCACGGCGACTACCCGGCGGAAGTAATCAGGGAAATCAACGACGCATTTTCCGCCACTTCCGTCACCCCGGATGCGAGTTCTGAAATGGCGAAGATCACGGGGTCGACGACCCCCGTCGCCGATCGGTTCAGAACCGCGTTGGTGGCGGAAGCGGGAAGCACCGCGACGAGTGAATCGAAGAAATTTTCCTTCGGGTCTTCTGCTACTGTCGTTGGGGATGGGCCGAAGCCGGTTTCCACTACGCAAACCACAATTTCCTTCCCGGAAGCACTGGTGTACCAAAACCAAACAAGTGGTGCCCAACCCGACCCGAATGCCGCGCCACCGAGCAACGATTTGGTCGAGTCCTGGGTGAAGGAAGCGGTCGCCGCGGCGGTGAGTGATGCGGCGGGGCTGGATTTGCTCCCCGAGCACGTTTCGGTCGTCGTCACGACCGATAACAGCAACAAGCCGTCGGTGAAGATTTCTGTTCCGTTCGCAAATCAAGCGGTGAGCGAGATGTTTTCTGCGGCGCCAAGTGCGAATAAGGAGATTTTCCTGAATGCTTTTGAGCCGACGTTGAAGAAGGTGGCGGAAAAATCCGATTTCGTCCTTCCGGTGGATCTATCAAATGTAAAAATGTCTGGGTCTGGAAACTTGTGATGCTGGGCGGCGTCTCATGATGAGGCTACAAATGCTGGCTCAGCATGACAAGTTTCCGAGCTTCTAGGTGTTGCCTATTCTGCATGACAAACTGCGCTTCTGCATCACAGAAAAACGGAGCTCTTGGGTAACGCGCATGACAGATTTAAGAGTCATGACAGACAAGCATGACAAACATGAATTCTTCCAGACCCAGACATTTTTACATTTGATAGGATCCCACTACCGGGAAGAGCAAAATGACTTTCGCTTCCGCGGAGTCCACCTCCTACGTGAAAACGACGATCCAATTGAAGGTCGACACGAGTAGTGGGACCCAACCGTTACCAGATCAAGATGCTCTGTTCATTCTCGCGCAGACCGCGGCGAGCAAATCGATGGAGAAACTCGGGTTGAGTCAGAAGATCTCCTCGAATCAGTTCGTGATTCAATACACTCCAATACGACAGTGCACAACTACTCCCCCTCCCCCTCATTTGTCATGCAAAATCTCAAATCCAGTCGCTGCCTTGTGGCACTATTTGCATGACAAGTTGTGGTAGCCCAAATCGCACTACACTCCAGCGTAAATTTGTCATGCAAAACCCACACTCTTGCTGATGCTTGTGTTGCCGTTCATGCTATACAAATGAGGGGGAGGGGGAGTTGTGCAATCTCATATCCAACCACCAACACGGCGACCGGCCCGACCGGTGGGGAGCAGACGTATGATTTCGGAATTTCCGTCGCGTTACCCTCCACCGTTTACTCCGACGCCGATGTCGCGACAGTGACCAAGGCGTTCAACAAGGACGACAGTAAAGCAGTAGAATTCAACACCGGCTTCACTGATTCGTTGAAGACCCTCGGTATCACGCAGTTCGCGGCGGAGCCAGCTGTGAAGGAAGTTGCGGTGAAATCGGTCGACAAAATCGAGACGGATTTAACCCCCATGGAAATCGTCCCCGGTGGTGTTTCCTTCGTCGAATCAGAATTCCACGTGGAGACCGTCGATACGAGCTTGTCTGGGGATGATTTGATCGCCATTTTGAAATCCAAAATCGCTTCGGGCACTGGAGCTTTGTTGACGGATATCGTTGGTTCGGCTACGACAGTTGCGGAGTCCGCGATTGGATTGGTTTATTTATACGATACGCCAGTGTCCGCGACAAGTACAGCTTCGCAGAGGAATTTCCGCATGACAGTCCAGCTCGCGGCGGTGCAAACGTCTGTGGTTGGCTCTGCTCTTGCTGTTTTGTCAGATTCCCGAGAAGATTTGTGGAAGAAAATCTCTTCCTCTGGTAGTCCTTTACCAGCGACTGTTTCCAAGCCGAAATTCACTAGTGATGCGAAGCAAGCGTCGCAAACACAAACGAAAATCACGATCACGCCGAAAGATGCTTCTGACGCTGGAGTGGATAAAGCAGTAATTCAATCCGCGGAATTCCAAAAAGCGTTCAATAAGGGGTTTACATCGGCTCTTCGCGAATCCGGTGGCCCGGGATTGACGGAAAGCCACGTGGTCACGACGATTCACAACTACGATAGCGCGACGAAAGCGTATACTTTGAACGTCGCGTATGCTTCGATGCAATCTGCAGCTTCCAACATGCTGTCGAAGTCCAAGGGCGGAACTGATTCGGAAATCTTTTTGTCACTCTTCCGCACGAAGTTCAACCAGGAAGTAACCGCTACACCAATCACCGGTCTGGCGAATGTTGCGGCGACACCGTTGGCCGTTGCGGCGGACGCGATTGAAAGATCGTACGTCGAGTCGAAGATCAGCTTGAAGCAGTCTGTTGCTGCTTCCGACACGTCGAACTTCAAGCAGAAGCAGGATTTGATCCCGATCTTGCAGAAGGCGGTGTCCTCCGCGTTGACTTTATCGGTGGATCCTGCAGCGTCTGCCACTGGCGCCGCTGGTGCTGCTGCTGGGACAATCCCGCGGAGCTATTCTGATAGTAAAGTGCCGAACAGCTTCTTCAGCAAATCAAACATCACAATCTCCTTCCCGGTGGACTCCACAACAGACGCAACCAACGCAGGTACTGGGACTGTTATCATCTCCGTCCCGGTCGTTTCCGGTCCGGGGGTTGAGTCGAAAGTAGATGCCGCTGCCGCGCAGAAGGCGAAGGACCAGATTTTGTCGGTGTTGGATCCCACAACCACCACTTTCGCGGAGAAACTACCGACAAGATTGAACGTGCTGGGAGTTAGTGTAACAGTCCCACCTCCACCAAAGCAAGGTGATCCGCCACCGGACCCGGCGAACTTGCCGTTCGCGGTTGCGGAGAAGCCGGAACCTTCCGCGCCGGTTGTGACGGAATCGACCGTGAAATCGAAAATCACTTTCGTCTATGGATTGCAAACATGTCTGGGTCTGGAAACTTGTGATGCAAGGAGGGGAATAGTGAGCACACTGTAATGCGCTGCCAAGCATGGCAAGTTTCTCCGTGACCGTGGTTCATCTGAGTTGCGTACTCCGCATGAGAAGCTCCACTTTTGCATGACAGACAAGAAGAGCTCTTCGCGGCCACGCAATACAGAGCTGAGAGTCATGCCAGACTAGCATGACAAGTCTCTGAATCTTCTAGACCCAGAGATATTTGCATTTGATATCGTCCAGGCGAAGTTGAAATTCACGGTGGAGGAGCTGAAGCGGATTGTGCAGGAGCCTGTGGTTGATTCCACCACTGGGCAACAAATCATCGACCCGGTAACCAACCAGCCGAAAACAAAAGCGAAGGAATCGTCTATCGTCTTCACGGACGAGGAGTTGGAACAACTTTGCGCAAAAGCGATTGCCAAAGCTTTATCCAACGACCCGGGCGTACTTGACGCGGGTTTCGGGCAAGTTGATATCATCGACAGTAAAACCGACGTTGCGGTTATCGTGTCCGAGTCTTCCTTCGGGAAAAGCGAAAAGGAGATCGATTTCACGGTTGGGGTGAAGGAAACGAAATCCCAATCCGCTTTGTCGACACAAGTTTTGTCGCTTTTGTCCACCGGAAACAGCAAAAACGCACCTTTCTTATCGAACGTTTTGGAAACGAAATTGGTGGAAGAAATGACAAAAACTGCGGAGACGAAAGTTGTTGCGAGTGGAGGGAGCAAAGAGGAAGTGAAACTCACTCTGAAACAAAACTCCATCAACTCGGGGAACAAAATCGCCGAGCCCGCAACCTCGCTCGAGTCCAAATTTTCCTTCGACGTCACACCCATCGAGCCGGTTTTGTCGGATAACGAAGCGACAATTCTCGCACAGCAGATGATCGCGAAGGCGGTGAAGGAAGCGACGGGGAGACAGGTGAAGCCCGAGCAAATCGCGGTGACGGTTGGACCTGGTTCAGCTGCGGTGGGTAAACCGGATATTAAATTCGTGTTACCCGTGGCGGATGAGAGGGTCAGGTGGTTCTTGACGGACAGTGCAAAATCCTTCGAGGAAAACTACTTGAAGCAAGCTGCAGAGACGACACTAGCGGCTGCCGACACGTTGCTCCCTGTTGATCCATCCACTGGCGCTGCCGCGCCGAAGAGAACAACATCCACCGTCGGGTTGCAGGCCGGCACAGACGCGAAGCAGAACACATTAGTTACGATGCGGTTGAGTTTACCTTTGACCAAAGGCGCTTCTTCTTGGCTGCCGGAATCGGAAGCGATGCTCTCCTCCTGGCTCCAGGGCACCACGAAACAAGCGGTGCAGAAGTTGACCGGGATTACAGATTTCGATTCTTCTGCCATCACTGTGGTTTTAGGCTCTTCTATCGACGCTTCTTCCGGGTCAGCAACAGTCCCCATCCAGGTTTCCATCCCGATTTCCGAATCCCAGCTCTCCGTCGCCGCCGACGCCTCGACCGCCGCGACCAAAGCGGCTTTTGAGGCGGCGGTCAATGCGATCAGCGCCAACGCGGCCGCGGATCTGAAGGCGGAAGTGAAGAATGTGTTGGAAACAACCTACAATCTAGAGTTCTCCGGCCCGCCGGAAGTGACGGAAGAGCCGAAAGCGGTGGAGGAATCGGTGGTTTTGAAGAAAGAGTATCAACTGCAAATATGTCTGGTTCTGGAAACAGGAAACTTGTGATGCAGAATTGTGGATGACTGAATATTTGCCAATGCAGCCAAGCATGACAAATTTGCAAAACGCTCTCTCATGCTCAGTCCGCATGAGAAACTGCGCTTTTGTATGACCAAAGAGGGCGTCTTTTTTGTTAGTCATGCAATACAGATTTTACGGGAGTGTAGGAGTAGCATTACTTCTACGAGTTCCATGCTTCCAGACCCAGACGTTTTTGCATTTGATAAAGAGCCATCCATTGCGAAGACCGCATCGTATGTGGAGGGTTCGTTCGCGATCAACGTGCCACAGACGATCGACACGAAGAAATTACAAACAGTTTTGAAAAACGCCGTGATTTCCTCCTTGGATAAAACCGTCGATGCTTTAAACGGGGAAACTTCCACTCTCACCCAGGTTGCGGTTTCCGTCTCCCCTGGGCCAGATACCAGGAACGAGGACGCGGTGAAACAACTCGCAGCAACGACTACGAACGAGGATAGAGATGTGAAAATCACTTTATCAGGTGAGTTAACCGCGGACCAGGTGGCGCAGATCGTGGAGGCATTGAGTTCGTTATCCGATGAAGCGAAGCAAGCGACAGATTCCACTACGGATAGCAAGGCTTTGAAGAAAGCAAGGACGTTCGCAAGCACTTGGGTGGCGGATTTGACAGCGTTGGACACGGCGGATGATGACATCAAACTCAACACAGCAGTAACTTCCTCCGATGGTTCCACTTCTATCGTGAAACAAACGTCCACCGCGAAGCAAGTTTCGCAGACCGAGTCGAGCCTGAAACTGGTTCTGAAACCATCCACTGGGGTGAAAGACGCGACAACTGGAATTGCGCCGGTGAAAGACGGCGAGCCATTGACGGATGTCGCTGCTATTCCGAGCAATGATGTGATGGAAGACATCACGCAGGAAGCGATTGCGGCGACAATTAACCAATTAACCGGGTTGGATTTGACACCGGAGCATGTGTTTGTGGATTTGAAAACGGATCACTCTGCTGAGCCGGAGTTGTCCTTCACAGTCCCATCCGGGGACGACACGGTGGCGAAGTTCTTGTCCAAGCAGGATAAGAGTGGGAGGAAGGAGCAGTTTCAGCAGTTACTGCAGCAGAAGATTGCGGAAGTCATGGCGGTGAAAACGAGCACAAATATCACCATCTCCACCGCTCCGGAGGATGTGGCGAAAATGGTGACGAAGGAATCCGCAGGGTCCACTTCGTATTTGAAAACCACCATGGACTTCGCTTTACCAGCGGGTTCGGAAGCCTTGTCGCAAGAAGCGCTGTTCGCGCTTGCGCAAACCGCAGCGGCGAAGGCTGTGAAAGAGGCGGCAGGAACAGCGACTGTCGTTGAAATCCCGGCGAACCAATTTTTCGTCAGGTACACACCAGGTAGTACCAACACGAACTTCGGGTTGGAGATTTCGGTCGCCATGGATTCGGCGGATTATTCGTCTGCGCAGAAACTGAAAGTGGAGAAGGCTTTTTCGAAACTCGTTTCGAAGAAAACAGTGAATTTGACCACCGGAGAAGAAACAGTCACCACCGAGTCTTCCGCGGAAGCGAACACTTTCGCCTCTGCGTTCACGACGCAATTGACGAATCTAGGTGTTTCTACCTTCGAAACAGCCCCTGCAGTCACAACGGAAAAAGCGGAAGTTTCGGTCAAACAAGCAACAACCGATCTAGTTCCGGACGACACGGAATCGCCCGCGCCAGGTGGGCTGATTTACGTCGAGTCGGAAATCTCCATCGAAACGCCATCAGCGTCTGTGCCGTTTTCTTCCGATGCGGCCGGGGCGGATGAGCTCGCCGTACATTTACAATCCGCAGTCTCAGAAGCGGTGAACACGAAATTTTTATCCGGCTTCACCAATGAAACTGGTAGTAACCCCGCGGTGAAGAAAGAGCAGGTCGGCTTGACTTATTTGTACATGGCACCAGTCGAAGTCGGGTCGGATAAACGTGTTCGGGTGTATAGAGCAACAGTGCAGGCACACAGTCTCACCACCGCGCAGATCGGGACTTTAACAACTGCCATGTCCGAGCCAAAGAAGGAGAAATTTTCCGAAACTCTGGGCACGATTTTGACCGAAAAATCCCATCCAGCGACTGGTGGGGATGCAAAGCTACAGCAGGTCTCGAACCCGAAACCGACGAAATTGGCTTCGCAGTCGTCGCAGACGCACTTCCGCTTGGAGCTGCAATTGGAGAATGCCATGACAAAATCCGAAGCGGAAGCGGCTGTAATCTCCGGTTTGCAGACTTCGCTAAAGGACACGTTGTCTGAAGTCGGTGTAGCCCGGTTGTCCAAAGAGCACATCCACATCAAGTGCGAGCCGGAGTCGACGTTTATCAACGAGCCGAGCAAAATCGGAGATGCAACCGCGACTACGAAAAAGTGGACCTTTTTCGTCGCTTTACCAACCTCTGGTAAGACGATAACCACCATGGTGGAGGAATTCCAAACAGATTCCGCTAACAGCAACAAGAAGACGAAGCCGCCAAACCCGGACGCGGAAATCTTCACGACAATTTTGACGAACAAGCTGAAGACGAATCTTGCTGCGGACACTTTGTCCACAGACGCTTCTCTGGCGAAGGAGTTGTTGACCGTGCCGGTCACGAGTAAGGAAAGAGTTTATCTCCAAACGGAGATGGCTTTGTCCATCGACGTGACGCCGAGTGAATCGCTTGATGACGCATTGAATGTGAAGAACACTGGGGATTTATCCCCCGCTTTGCAGGCTGCGGTGGCTTCCGCTTTGAAATCTGCGATGCCGGAGGGCGAGGATTTGACACTTCGGTCCGGCGACGTCGCGGTGCAGTTATTCCCGGAATTGCCGATCAGACAGGATACTTCTACCACGCCTCCGACTCTAACCCAGTCGGTTCGGGTCGCGGTTTCCATCCCGTTAGCTGTTGCTGGCGGATCGGAGAAGGCGGCGAACCGGTTGCAGCTGTTGATGTCCAAAACCGCAGCGGAATCGACGGATTTCCTGACGAAACTGGCACCGAGGTTGGAGGTTCGGGGTGTCAACTTCGAGCAAACCGCTGTTGCTGACAGTGGAAGCACAGGCTCTGGTGCTGGCGCAGGAGCCGCAACAGTGCCCGGCCTTGCGGTCACGACGGAAAACGCAGCCAGGTCCGAAGTCGCTTCCACCGAAACCACTACGAAGGATAACGTCAACTTTGTCCAATCCGCTCTCCAAATCTCCATCGGCAACGCTGGGGTTCCAGCCAAGGAGATGCAGCTGATTCTCTCCAAAGCAATCGCCGAAGCGGTTTCTTCCAATTCCGCAATTCAGGAGGCGGCGGGCGGCGATTCGTCCGCGATCACGATGAAGGATGTTGGGGTCGTCGTTTCCGCGAAATCGAAACTCACCGACCAGAAGGAAATCTTCGTCACCATCGCTTCCCGGGAGACGCAGTCCTCGACCAAGATTCAAGCAGCAATTGCTTCCCTGTTCTCCTCCTCTTCTGAAAAGTCTTACCAGCTCGCGCAGTCGTTCGAGGAGAACGTGAAGCGGATTATCACGGTTAACGGCGGAATTACCAACCCAGAAGCGAACAAGCAGAAATACGCTTTGGCGGAAATCCGCGGCGGCGCGGTGCAGTCAGTAGCGGCGATCCCGGCTTCGATGACGAGCGGCAGAGCGCAGTTCAGCTTCAACTCGGAACCAAATATCGACGACAGCATGACAAACGAGCAGCAGGAAGAAGCGATCATTAAGTTGATCCAGCAAGGGTTTGCAAACGCTTTGGAAGAAGCTTCTGGTATGGGAATCCAGCCCGAGCAGGTGTCGATTGTTCTCGATCCGGAATCGGTGAAACTACGACAGCCGACTTTTTCGTATTCTGTGCCTTTATCGGAATCTCAAGTCTCCTGGTTTCTAGATGAGGACACGAACAAGGACAAAACGAAGGGGTTCACGCCCTATTTGACGGCGGAAATCGACAAGTTAGCGAAACAGGAGACGGATAGTTCTGTCCCCGGAGTAGAGAAACCCGCCTGGGAACAGTTGACAGCGAAGGCTACTGATGTCGGCATGGACACGACGGCGGAGACGAAGACGAAAACTTACTTGTCGACAACTTTGGAGTTGGATTTGATTGATTCTGGGGATTCAACCTGGCTCCCCAGATCCGAGACGATGCTGCAGCTCTGGGTCCAGTCCGCAGTGCAAAAATCGGTGAAATCCATCGCAAATGTGGATATCAAGTCCGACCACGTGTCTGTGTTGTTGGCGGAGGAGCTGCCGAAAACCGGTAATACCGCGAAAGCGAAGATGTCGATCTCGATCCCCTTTGAGTCAACCGATTCTGCGCCCGTGGATTTACCCGCGGTTTTGTCCGCCTTAGGGGCGAACAACGCAGCGCAATTCATGGCGAACACGAAGACGGAATTGGAGTCTTTTGGTTTAGGCTTCCAATCCGATGTGAAAATCATCACACCGGAGAAGACCGAGAAGCTCCCGGAAGGGTTGACAACGACCACGACTACAACAACCACTACTGTTGTTGGCGCGACGCCGAAAACCGCCAGAGAGGCGGCGGCGAGCACCTACGGGACGAAGACTGTAGTCGAGCAGTTGGCGGAGAGGGAAGAAGCAGAAGCTGGCGCTTCCGCCACTCCACCTCCATTGTTCGCGCCGTCTGCAGAAGCGGTGGTTGCGGCGGAGCCGGGAATTCCTGGCGGCAGTACGTATCTTGAGGGTAAGTTCGACATGAAGGTGACGAACCGGATTTCCACAGAAAGGTTGTCGAACTTGCTGAAGGCAGCAGTTCGTGACTCCCTCCCCTTCGCCGCGCCCGCGACCATGGACTTGGACTTCACGGTTGCGGTTTCTGTTGCACCGCTATCCCGTTAAAAAGTATCGTAGTTGTACTAGTAATTGCAGTCATGCATGACTAATGCGCGTCTTCAGGGAAATCACCATGACAAATTCCAACTTTCCTCCTGAAAAAATCTGTGTTGTAATTTCTACCAACGACGATACTTTTGTAATGCATAACCACCATCACAGGAGCTGATGTTTGGTGAGGTGATTGAGGACCGGCAGACTTCGATCATCATCCACGGTGCAGGTCTGAACACCAAAGCGGTTTCGCAAATCCTAGACGCGTTGGACAAGATCGAGGAGGGGATGGTGACAGAGGCGAAATCCCCGATTGCAACTTCGTCTACTACGCAGGACGGAACGGTCAGGCAGAATCCGGCTTTGAAATTCCAACAACTCGTGAAGCAGTCGGTGGATCAGAAGTTATTAGCTTCCCCCTACAACACAACCACCGGTGGTTTCGCCGTGAAGGAAACTGCGAAGCCGATTACCAGGACGGAATCCGAGATCAGCTACTCCTTCGGGGGAGCGGTGAGCCCGCCTCCGAACACCGACACGGTGTTCATTACGAAAAGAGCGATTGCGAACGCGCTGAACGAAATCGCCGGGCTGGAGTTGACGCCAGACCACGTCGCCGTGGATTTGAAGACGGATTTCTCGCTCTCACCGGAGATGTCGTACTCCGTCCCCTTCGCGAACCCGGCGCTTTCAGCCTATTTGTCCGGGGAGAAAACGGCGAAGCGGGATATGTTTTTGACAAAACTAACCCAGACTTTGAAAACCGAAATCGTTTCCTACAAACAGTCTCTCGATCCAGCAACAGCGGGCACTGTGGCGGAAAAAGCTCTAGCGGAATCGAATCTCGATCTCGCTTTGTCGCCCCCGACGGGCACAGCAGAGCAGGTTGCAGGCTCGTCGTTGACAATTCCACCGACTGCGAAGGTTGCGAAGACTTCTGCTTTCGCTGAAACCAAGTTGTCGATCGATTTAGGAACGAACGACCCGACGAAGCGGCCGGATAAAGACACGGTGAGGTCTATGGTACAGAAGGCGGCGGCAGAGTCGCTGCAGGCGAAATTCCCGGATATCACGATCACGCCGGAGATGGTCATGGTTCGATTCCCGCCCAAGGCGGAGTCCGATACTGCGGTTACTTCGACGGAAGAGTTTTCGGTGTCCTTAGCGCTGCCGAACGTGAACACCATCCCGGCGGCAGAGCAGACGAAATTGCTGGATAGTCTGTCCTCTACATCTTCCGAAGCGTCTTCCTTAACATCTGCCATGGCGAGTACGGTGCAATCTTTAGGTGTGGAGAACGTCGCGACCGAGATCAAAGAACTTCCCCCGCAGCCGGACGGCACGCCGACGAAACCGCAGTTAACTGGGACGGACGGCGGTTCTGTGGACTTATCCCCAACTGAGCCGCCGCCCGGCGCTCCGAGCTTGAACTTCATCGAAGTCCCAGCTTCCATCGTCACCGCGACGAAAACGGGGATTTCTGATACCCAGATGCAGGGCTTATTGAAGAAAGCGTTGGAGAAAACCGCACTGAAAGAATTGTTCGAGAAGATCGGCGCCGTCCCTTCTGGCCCGAATAAGACCGAAACAGTGACCGATGTTACTACTGGACAAACGAAAGAAGTGCAGAAACTCGACGCGAGTAAGATCTTCGGAATTGTCATGGAGCCTTCTACACCAGTAGCTGCCGGTTCCACCGCGACGAAGAGGAATTTCAAAATGACCATTCAGACCCAGGGCTTGACTGCAACACAACTTGGGTTAGTGATGGCGGCTTTAGCCGACGCGGCGGACGATTCTGTCTCTACAAAAGCGGATGAATTCGCTTCTGCGATTAAGGAGGAAGTAGTGAAGGAATTGCAGGCGAATCCGATTTCTTCTGTCGGCGATCCGGTGAGCGAGATCACAGCCGGGAAGATGGAAACAGCAAATAAAAGACCACAACTTTCCTCTCAAGTCGAAACGAAGATCAGGCTGGAGATCAAGAACCAAATTTCCGGCGCACCGCTCAAAGAGGACATCGTGAAGAAGATGCCGATTCAGCTGGCTTTCGCGAAAGCGCTGGAAAAGGTAACCGGGACGAAGTTGCTGCCAGAACAGGTCGCAGTTCTAGATGTGGCGGACGCGGTGACGATCGGCGCCGACGGCTCAGTGGATATCAACGTTGGCGTTGCTTCTTCTTCTCCTTCAATTCTGTCCGCGTTGACCGAGGGGGATGGGAACAAGGTGTTCGCGAACGTGTTGCAGGAGATGATTGGCACCGCGATTACCGAAGCGGCGAGTAACAACGAGCTGGACCCGTCTGTACCATTATTAGTAACAACCGACACTTCTGCTGGCGTTGTCGCCCCGACGGTGAATACCCAGTATGTCGCGACGCAGGTCGGTTTGCCGGCGGTTGCGGCGGCGGCGAAGAATTCTGGGGAGTTAGCGCCGACAATGAGAACAGCCGCGGCGTCGACCGCGGAGGCGGTTGTCGGTACTACTGGCCCATTACAGGTCGACAGATCCAACGTCGTTGTCGGGTACACGCCGGGAGACGGTTCTGACGCTAGTGGTTTTTCTGCTATGGTCTCTGTCCCGGTGAAGTCGATTGTTTCTACCTCAAAGGCGCCGGTGGATCCGCTTGCGGCAACAGCTGCAGCAGCAGCTCCTGCAACACCACCTGCGAGTGGAGGTACAACAACACCGCCAACAACCACTCCCAGCACTGGCGCGACGACACCAACCGTCGGCGAAACGGCAGTGACTTCCGTCGCTCAAACCGCGGGATCACTCCTAGACGCACTGAAATCTGCGATGGCCCAGGACTCTCCTGATTTCGCCGCGCCACTTGCGCAGAAGTTGGAAGTCCTTGGCGTGAAGATGCAGGAGAACGTCGCGGCGGACACACCACCGTTACCAGTCGAGCAGCCGCCAGTGGAGTCCGTTCCGGCCGTTGCAGCTTCTACGGAGAAATCGCAACTGACTTATCTCGAAACCTCCATGTCTTTCGTCGACTACATTGAGGAGCCGCCAAAGACAATCACGAAACCGGACGGGACGGTGGAGCAAGTCGATGTTTCGCCTTCCACAAGCAATAAAAACTTCCTGCAGAAAGAGATCAAGCAGAAGCTTTCCTCAACGACTGAACTGACGAAACTTGCGAAGGAAGCGATTGCGGAAGTTTTGGTCGAGTCAAGAACAGACCCGGTCACTGGGGAGAAGATCGAAACCGCGGCGCCATTGTTGATTGAAACTTCTGATGGCAGTTTTGAAGTCAAGCCGTCGGACATAGCGGTGGTTATCCGCGAAGTCCCCGCGACGGTTACGAGGACATTCTCCAACGGCACAACAGTTGAAGTGCAAGTCATGAAGAAGGAGATGTCACTGTCTGTGCAGGTGCGGGAAACGGAAGACTCGTCTGAAGCACAAAGACAACTCCTCGCGTTGTTTTCGAAATTGAACCCGAAGGCAAACTCGTTTCAGGATGCTGTGCAAACCAGGGTGATGGAACTCGCAGTGGAGAAGACGGTTGAGGAGAAGTTGGTGGATACTTCATTACCTCCAGCAGAACAGGCGAAGATCAAGCAGCAATTCACACAAGAATCGTTAGCGACAATCCAAGCGCCGGAGAACAGAGACAGCTTCCAAACCGCGGCGAAAGTCGAGAAGGAAATTGCATCTGCAGCAAGTACCGTCGGTGGGCAAGCGGCGTTTGAGACACCGGGGCTCTTGCCTGCGACGACGGAAAAGGCGAAGGAGGCGACGACGAACGCCTTGAAACGGGCGGTGAAGGAGACACTGAAGGAAATCGCGGGTCTGGAATTCGTATGCATTGCAAAAGTATCGTACTCGTGCTGATTGCAATCGTGCATGACAAACTGCGGTCTTAAGCGAAATCAGCATGACAAGCCCCATTTTTCCTTTTGAAAAAATTTGTATTGCAATTTCCACTACTCCTACTGCGATACTTTTGCAATGCATAATCCGAACTGGAGCACGTTTCTGTCAAACTCGACCCGGGCACTGCGGAGATCGGCGCACCGTCGTTCTCCTTCTCCATCCCCTCGCAGGGCAACGTCGCGACAGCGCTCTTCTCTGAAGGAAGTACGAAAACCGCTAGTTTTACTGATTTGCTAAAGAAAAAGATCAGCAAGCAGTACTTCCAGGCAGCTTCTGATGAAACCTCAGATTCCGCCGTTGAGGGGCTGCCGAAGGTGGATGTTTCAAATGTTGACACGACCCTACCCATCGAGGAGCAGGAAGCGTCTTTGATCACGAAACCGGTGCAGATGACCGGCACGGCGAAACAATCGAGATTTACAGAATCGACTCTGTCCATCGGCCTGGCTTCTCCCGAGCAGGGTGGGCTATTGCCGAAATCGGAGGACATGCTGAGATCTCTAATCGTGTCCGCGACGATTGATAGCGTGAAAGCACAGGCGAACTTCGACTTAACGCCATCCGATGTGACAGTAGTTTTCGCCGGGGATGTTGCCGCGATTCTGGAAATGGTTTCCAAGAACGCAACTTTAGCGACCAATTTGGACGCTACCGTGATTGTGGAAGTCGCTGACTCCCCGACGCCGGATCCGACGACCAAAACGGTCGAAAATTCCGGTGCGAAGGTGCAGCAGATTGTGGATCAATTGACGACACAAGTCACCGGCGAGGACGGAAAGCCGAAAACGGTTCCTTCAACCGCTTTTGTCACGAAGATCCAGACGGAATTAGAGTCCTTTGGGTTAAAAGTTCCGAACCCACCAGACCCGGACCCGAAGAAGGGAATGGAGCAATCCGCACCAGCCACAACCGAAGATTCTTGGGTGCCACCGGTGCCGGAGAAACCTCTGTCGTTAGGTGGGGAGAATCCAAACATCGAGCCCACGCCTTTGATTGAAACGAACATCAACGTGAATCTCGGTTCGTCCTCCAAGGGTTTGACAGACAACACCGTGCAGGAAATGATAAGAAACGCAGTTGCGGAATCTTTGGTCGCAGAATCGACCGTCGGAGAACAAGCCGGACAGCCGGCGCAACCAGTGGTTCCCGGATTCCTCGATTTAGTCCTGGAATCCGCTGGGTTTTCAAAGCAGGAACAACAAGCGATGACAAAGGTTGAGAAAGCAAAAAATGCGGAGAAGTTCATGGAAAGTCAAATTTCCGTGTTTTTCACCGACAAAAAACCGAAAGACAAAGCTGGTGGCGAGCAGCGCGCTTGCTCCGTTGTGATCTCCGCGAAGTTGGCGAATTCCACTGTCGTGCTGGATTTGCTGCAGGCTTTATCCAAGGAATCTTCCTCCACTAACGATGAGAAGTTCGAAGAAACGTTCACGGCCGCGCTGAAGCAAACCGCATTGCAGACACATTCTATTCCACCTTCCGACATTGTCACCGACGTCACCCAGAAATCAGCGAAACCGGTGGAGCAGATTTCCACGAACATCCAGTTCGACTTCGATATTGTCCCCAAAGACCCGACAACCACGCCAGTGAACATGATTTCCGACAATACTATCGCCGAAGCGAAGGTTTCGGTCGAGGAAATGAACATGATGTTGCAGGAGTCTGTCGCGTTTGCGTTGAACGGTACAAGGGGGATGTCGCTGCAGGCTTCCCAAGTCGCGGTCAACATTTTGGATGACCTCAGTTCCATCATGACGACCGACCCAGCTGATCCGAGTAAGAAACTCCTACCGTTGGTGCAGAAGTTGAACAAGGGGCAGCCAAATGAATCGTTGAACAGCTTGCTTTCCAACTTGAATTTCACGATCTCCATCCCAGTGGCGTCTGACACGAACGAGATGATGCATTTGGCGGACGAAACGGCTGGGAACAAGATGTTTTTGAAAGCGGTCCAGAATTCGATGGCGTCGCAGATTCAGACATCGAATTTTATCCCAGAAGTGGTAAAACAGGATTTGAAAGTCGAGACGAAAGAGTTGAAAACCACGAGTTCTGTCCCATTAGCCCAGTCGTTCACCGAAGCGTTTATGGAGATTGACTCGCCGATTTCCGATGAGGAATTGATCGCGACGATCAAGTATCAAATGTAAAAATGTCTGGGTCTGGAAGAATGCACGTTTGTCATGCTTGTCTGGCATGACTCTTAAATCTGTCATGCGCGTTACGCTAGAGCTCCGTTTTTCTGTGATGCAGAAGCGCAGTTTGTCATGCAGAATAGGCAACACCTAGGAGCTCAGAAACTTGTCATGCTGAGCCAGCATTTGTAGCCTCATCATGAGACGCCACCCAGCATCACAAGTTTCCAGACCCAGACACTTTTGCACTTGATATCAAAGGCGCTGCGGCGGATGCGGTGGACACTTTGGTTCCGAACATGCCGAAGGGGGTGGAGCCGAAGGACATCACGGTGTTGATTTTGAAAACCGAGGGAAACAAGAGGGAGATTGTCGTGCAGACACCAGTGCAGAAAACGTTACCAATTCAAACGGTGGAAGTGGTTGAAGAGGTGACGGTGACGAATCCTGATGGCAGTACCACAGTCACACAAGTGACGAAACAAGTAACTTCGGTGAATGTCACTGCGGTTGCGACTGCGGCAGCCGAGGCGGAGTACAAGGGTTCTGCGAACGAGGTTGCGAACAAAATGTCCGCGGCTAGCTTCATGGTCCCGTTTTCGACGCGTATGGAGGTGAACTTAGATTCTATGTTCACTTTAGACGCTCTTCCGGAGGAAACGCAACCACCGGCAGTCACCGAACCCGCGAAAACCGAACAGCCGGAGGAATTGCCAATAGTGACGGTTGAGGGCGAGATGTCTGTGGAAATCAAACCCGCGGATCCGAGCAAAACCTTGACTGACAACCAGCTCACCGATCTGGTGAAGGCGGCGGTGGCGAGCACATTAGGTGCGACGACGTTTGATCCGAAAACCGGGAAGAACACCAAGCCGATGTTCCAGTTGTCGGGCGGGTCGGTTATCAGGTCGGATCAGATCGCGGTGACGAAGTTGGACGGTGGGTTGCTAGATCCGGACAAGCACACATTCAAAATCGCGGTCCACGGAAACCAGTTGTCCGCCGCGGAGGTTTCGGAAGCGCTGGCGCTGTTGACGAAGCCGCAGGAAGAGGAGAAACCAGCTGCGCCCGCTGCAGGTCCAGGTGCACCAACAACCGGTATCAAATGTAAAAATGTCTGGGTCTGGAAGAGTTGGAACTTGTGATGCAAACTCTGGAACAGACAAAAATTTGTGTTGCATGAGCGCCAAAAGCTGCCCACTTCTTGGCACGCATGTGGCAAGTTTCTCATGCGGGACAGGCATCATGAGGCGTGCTCAAAACCTGTGATGCTTTTGCCTGCATCAGACACCATTTGCGTGATCCGAAATATGCATGACAAATCTACAAATCTTCCAGACCCAGACACTTTTGCATTTGATAACCGGCACCGGCACTGCAACTGCAGCCCCGCCGAGAAAGGACGTTGTGACAGAGAGGCAGCTGAACTTCCAATCGTTAGTCCAGACCAAGCTCATCGAAGAAGCGGTGAAGAAGAACCAGGAAGTGAAGCCAAATTCCTTCGAAGTGGTTGGATCCGCGCAGCAGACACCGTTAACCACTGTGAAGACGAAATTGAAGATCCAATCAACAGGGAAGACCCAGAAGGAGGTCGCGGCGGCGATTAGAGGTTCTGTGTCGAAATCTCTGAACGATTTGGGTGGAACGGCTTTGACTGCGGACCACGTGAGCTTGTTGTTTATGGACACAAGTACAACACCCCCGACGGAGATCTTCCCGGACAGTTTGGAATTAGTTTCCCCCAACGCGGACATTGAGGTTTCCATCGTCGTTCCGAGTAACGAGAAAACGGTCATTGAGCTATTAGACCCGACGGACTTCCCGAACAAAGTGTTTAACAAAGCGGTGATCAACAATTTAGATAACACCGCGACCAACACGGGAGTCTCAGTCTCCGGGTTTGAAATCGATCCAGCGCAGGGCGCGCCGAAGGTGAGCCAGGCAGTGGATCTGGATCTATCATTACCGGTGGAAGATCTCGCGACGTTACCGGACCCGGAGACCATGACGTTCGTGATTCAGAACGCGGCGAGCGAAGCTTTGGTAAAAGCGTTTGAAAACGAACCCGCGGCGACGAAGGACATGATCTCGCTGGCGAGGGATATGATTTCCTTAGTCTACCCCGATCCGAAGATCACAAGCAATTTCACGATTTCTGTGCTCTCCGTGAAGGATTTGCCGTACAACGTCGCGACCGAAACGGCGGAGAAGATCATGCAGGTTTTGAAGGGAAATCCGACACTGTTTCTCGCGCCTCTCCGGACGGAATTGACAACACTAGGCGTCGAATTCGACAAAACGAAGCCGATCAACGTGACCGAGGAAGCGGCGGTGCCCGAGCCGGCAGCGAGAGCGGTTGCGCCCGCGTTGCAGGCTTCGGCGAAGCAGGGGGCGATTCCGGTTCAGGATTTCCCCGACGTTTCGCTTGCGTTCGTGGAATCGAAATTGTCCATGCCGGTGTCTGCGACGATCCGGAACGATCCGAAGTTAGAGCCGTTGCTGATCTCCGGGTCGGATGAGCAGTTCGCGACGCTGATGGCGAAGTCGCTTTCCAGGGCTTTGAAAATTGAATTCCCGGATAGGCTGGCGTTATTACCGAAGGAGAACGAGATTTCGATTACGAACATAGAGGTGCACCCGGCGACTGGCGCGAGGACTTTTGACATCTTGATCCAGGGACGGAGGACGAAAGCGGACACTAGCTTGATCGGCGATATCCTCGGTCTCGTATCTTCTACCAGTGAGAACACAGATTTGGCGAACCGGGTGTATGCCAGTATGGCCAAGGAGATGACGAAGATCGCGTATGAAGAGGAATTAACCGCTGGCACCATGACGGAAGCTGATTTACCGGTTTTAGTCCCAGAAGGAATGGAAGCGCGGGCCAGCTTCATGCAACCCTCGTTGGCGCAGGCACGGCAGAAAACGCAAACCGCATCGGAATTCGTCTACCGAGTGGAGGGTGGTGTTGCACCCCCGACACCGGAGGACTTGCAGAAATCGGTGCAGAAGGCGATCTTTGAATCTACCGGGATCATGATCCCATTGGAGCAGGTCGCGATTGTCTCCGCGATTCCGACGGGGAAGCGGGATGAGTTCAAGGTGAAACTCGCAGTCCCGATGGCAGGCGATGTGGTGCGAGCCGCATTGTCTGCCTCGGACGCGGAGAAGAGTGGGCTGTTCGCGAATAGCATGCGGTATAAAAATTTGATAGGGCGGGTGTTTTTGACAGAATGTTTTTTTGCGTTTTGCGCATGACAAAATCTTCTTTGATACCGAATTGTGCATGACAAACCGCATAGAAGAATTCTGAATTAAGTACTTATTCAATCAAAAAAACAGCGACGCTCTCCGCGACATGGGTCACTACACTGTGGCTGGCATGAAAGTCGAAACCCAGGATGCAGAGCGGTCGAACTTCATCAAGGGGATTGTTTCCCTCGAATTCCCGCCGGACGACCCGTTTCTCCCCGCGTCAGAGAGGGAAACCGCGAAAAAGATGGCGGCGAACGCGCTGCAAGCTGCCGTCGCGGAATCGCTGCGGGATAAGATCCCGGACATAGTGCCTGGTGATGTGACGATCACACCATCGTCGGAGTACGCGGATGGAAATACCAAGAGCTTCATCATTGTGGTCAAGGTCCCGAATGACGATTTGCAGGACGGGCTCGCCTCCGTTATCGCGGACATGTTCAGCGCCGACGGGGATAACTCCGCGTTCTTGACGAGCATCTCTTCCTCTCTAACAGAAAAGGGCTTCGACACCCCCGTCCCGGAGATCAAGGGGAAGGCAGAAAATTCCGCGAACATCCTCCCCGTTCTCCCCTCCGAAGACAGCGCGTTGGGCGATGAAGCAGACAAGAAGTGGGCGGACGGGCCGACTTTGGTTGAAGCATCACTTATCGTCACTCTGTCCGAAGCGAGAACCAATGAGTACCCGGTTAGGGAGTTGGATACGGTTGTCCGGAACGCTTTAGCCGCGACTACCGGGACGCTTTTCACCGCGGAAGACATTGCGGTCGTGATCTTCCCGACATATGAAGAAACAGTTCTCCAGCCCAACGAGGTAAAAGTGACGTTCGCGTTTTTCTTGGATAAGGTCAACGCCGCGGCTGCGCAGTCGATCATTTTAATCTTCTCTGAAGGGTCTGGTGACGCGACGCAGCAAGCAACGGAAGCGGCTTTGACCACCGCTTTGATCACCGCTGCGGGCGAGGAGAACCTCGCGAAGGTGGTTAGTTGCAGGTTCAACGGGTTCGCGAGAATCGCCGCGCATGTGACTGTGGGGATGAAGGTAACCGCGCCGACGGCTACCGCGCCGACAGAGGAGAATTTGAAGGCGAAGATGAAATCCGAAGCCGTGAACCAGTTCAACGCCGTTGGTGGGTATGAGTTATTACCGCAACATGCGCATGTCAAAGTCAACTCTGTTCGAAGACGAATGGCGGAACTACCGGTGGATCCAAAGAAACAACGAAACAAGGCGTTCGCCGGTAGGAGGAATTTGGAACACCAGGAGCGGAGGTTACAGGATGCGACAGACTTCGACATGGACGTCACAGTTCCGGTTTCGGGCGCTTTGGCAAGGGACTTAACCTTGACATCGCATCAAATGGGCCAGGACGTGACAACGTTCATCCACGGGAACATGACGCAGAAGTTATCGGACGCTGGGCAGGGGGACATTTCCTCCACAGTGATCGAGCGCGAAGGCCGTCTCCGGTTCTTCATGGAATTGCTGGGGAAAATGCCCGCAAGTCTCGGTGTTGCGCCGGAGACCAAGGCGATTCTGGCCGATAGCGCTGGTATAGGATAATTTTGGATTTTGATTTATTGCTATAGTTGTTCGTTATCCTTATCGTGCATGACAGATTTTTTCGCTTTTTGCTGATTCTGCATCACAAAACAGTTCAACAGGTCATCTACAGCAACTTCCGCATTTTTACATACAAATCTCTCTATCAGGTCAAGCCCTTTCCCAATTCGCCCTCGACTACAACGTCGGTGCGGTTTCTGCGAAGCAGGTCGTCATTCTCGCCGATACAAACAGCAACTACAAGTTCGCCATTCTGTTCAGCTCCGATCAACGGCAGGAGATCGTGCTTTTGACCCAGAACCTGGCGATTCATAAAGATAAGTTCACGGCACCATTGAAGACCAGGATCGAAATGTCCGGTGTTGGCTTACCAACAGAGGAGAAATTCACGCTGGACGAAATCCGGCCCGCGATGCAGGCAACCACAACCCCCATGGACACGGAGGAAGAAACCTACACGGTGACGAACGCTTTCGCTCTAACCGTGCAGGATATCAATGGCATGATGATGGCGGCTACGGCTGAAGCCGTGAACAGCAACACAGCCGGCGAGACGAATCTCGCAGCGCAAGATGTCGCTTTGGACACAATAAGCGAAACCGGTGGAAGCCGGGCTTTGGAGATGCTGCGGCTGAGTGAGGAGAGAAGCGAGGCGAGAATGAACAGGATGAGAAACAGCATCAGCAGAAGACCGACATTGGGGTCGAAGGAAGGTAAGTACTTATTCGGGTTTTGCATCACAAATTTAGAATAGGTTTGTGGTTTTGCATCACAAGTTTTTTTCGCATTTATTTCTTCGGTTTAGCATGGCAAAAGTAGCCTTTTCGCATGACAAATTTCATCACAACTTGACACACGACAACTTGAACACATCTCAGGTCCAGCCTCTGCTTACCAGCGGTTGCTCCAGGCTTCGGACTCGAATTTGAAAATCCAGAACATGACGCTGACCATCCCTACCACCTCCCCCCTCGCGAAGATTATTCTCTCCGAGGGTAATACCGTGTTCATCAACGCTTTTTCCGCGATTCTCTCCACCATGGCCAACGCTATTGGCGTGAACATCGTGAAAGCGGACTTATTCGGTGAAGCACAACCGCCACCCGGGCAGCCGAATTCCATGCAGGCAATTCTCGCTCTGTACATGTCCGGCGACGCCAACGCCGCTTTCGTCGCGATGATTCAGGGCGCAATCGCCGCGGCACTAGCTGCCGCAGCAGGGATGCCGATCGACTCCGGGCAGATTGTCGTCACTATTACCGGGTCGACAACTCTTCCAAATGGTATGACGCAGAAGGAAGTCGACGTCGCGGTGAATATCAAAAAATCAGAAGCGGGCACCGCGAAAGCTGCGGAAACACAATCTACCGCAGTCGCAAACGTGATGACCGCGGGGAACACGGATTTTGCGGAGGAATTAACCACGCAGGTAGCCGCAGTAGCGGAGGAAAAGGGCATTGTCGTCGACACAACGGTCTCGATCGCGCCACTGGTTGAAGCGGTTGTTGCTTTTGTCCAAGCGGTTGTGATCACGATCATTACAACTACAACCACCACAACGACAACAGAGCTCACCACGGAACCGCCGGCAATAGTCACGGATCCGCCAGAAGTGGAGGAGGAGGAAGCGGAATTAGTCCCGCCGGGGACAGATGCGGCTTCCGCAACACTCATGATCATCGTGATGGCGCTGTTCGTTTCTGGTGGTTTAGCGGGTTACCGGCACCAGGTGATGAAGAAGCGCGCGAAGATGTTCCACGACATGATAGAAGACGCATTTGATGTCGTGTTCGAGCAGAAGACCCCGGATATTGAAATCGTCCCCTGGGACATCTTCATAGAACCCTATTTGGACGGAACCGAACCGGGGATAGTGGATATGATTCTCGGGAAAGGACCGAGGGATCCGTTGTTGGATGATCCAAGCTTGTCACCGGAGTTGTTAGCGATCAAACGGCTACAAGAACAGCACAAGGAATTGCCGCATGGGGAAAATCACGGTAGTAGTGCACATGCTGGTGGTCACAACTCCGACCAATCTACCGCCGCGGGTTCCGCTACAGCGAGCGATACCGAGTTCAACGCGAAAGCACACGACCCGAACGCGGGCGATCATTCCATCTTGCACCACAAACCACCAATCGCGATCTACAACTTCAAAGTGTTAATCCCGTTTCCAAATGGTGAGAACTACCAGGGTGTGGGCGTGGACAAGAAATTCTCAAGATGGACGAAACTGATCGACCACAAACTCGCGGATAAAATGCACCACGAGAAGCTGCAGATGCAGAAAGCATATCTCGGGAAGCCAGATCCGGAAATCAAGTTCATCGATCCGCACAAGGATTTACCGCTCGGGTTGTACAACAACGCGAAAGAATTGTCTGAGACGATTCTGGACCAGATAGTCGACAAGGATTCCCCACGGAACATCCCCGACCCGTTAGTCGTGAAACGGAAGCTCGCGGAATTAGAAGAGCGGAAAGCGAAGAGGAAAGCGGCGGAGGAATACGATAAAGCTCATCACACCCACACCGCGCACCACGGAGAGGATCTGGAAGCGGGTCATGATGAGGATAAGGAAATTGAGGCGATTAACAAGCCGAGAGAGGGGTTGTTGGAAGTTTTAGAAGTCCACGTGAAGATCGCGATCGGCGAGCGGATCCACAGCTACCGCGAGGATGAGCATGAGGAGGAAAGACACCATCACCACCACAAGAGGAAGCACAGTAAAGACGACCAGAAATCTCTCTCCGAGTCTTCCGATGGAAAGCCGGGAATCCACATTGTTTCCGATTTAGTCGACATTTCTATCGACGACTACGAAGTGGAATCAGTAGAGGAGTTTGACTATCCACTGCAAAATTGTATCGTACTGGTACTACTTCTACTTGCATATCGTGCATGACAAATCTCCAGAGTCTTAGCTGACTCAGCATTACAAATTCCAGGTTCTTTTTGAAAAAATTTGTGATGCAAGTTGTACTTAGTACGATACATTTGCCATGCATATCGACGATCCTGGCGAACTCCGCGGCATCGCGTTGTTCCGCCACGCGGCGGAAAAGGCGAGAAGACAGTTGAGAGTCACGAAGGGGCATAAAGCCGTCGTGAATGACGAGGAAAGATTGCAGTTGACCCAGGCACAGCGGTCCTTCGCCAACATCGCGAGCAGTCTGATGGAGCAACAGGGGAGCAAAAAGGGAGGCTTGCGGTTTTCCTCTTCCATGCTCGTGAAGCAGCAGGAAGAGGAGGACCGGATCAAACAGCAACAGAAAGAGAAAAGACGGGAGGAAAAACGGCAAATGAAGGCCATGATGTCCGATGAGGAATTAGAGGAAAGAAGACAGTTGAAAAAGCAGAAGAAAAAGGACAAAAAGAGGAAATCCAGCACTTCCGCCAAGAGAAAATCCTCCGTCGCGAGTCAAGATTCTATGCTGTCGATCGAAGACGGGACCGTGGACGACGCTTTTGACGAAAACGTCAATGAGTTGAGAAACATGACAAGAGCCTCGACGGAAAAAAAGCGGTCTAGCTCCCCCGGCCAGGCGAGGTTCGAGGACGTCGCCAGGCGGGACAGCATGGAGAGTTTGGATCCTGATGTGCCAGTGGAAAGGTGAAGTGGGTTTTAGATGAACAAATGTAAGAGTTGTTGTTGAAAATAACTCGAAAAGAAAAAGATTCGAACTTTTTTAATTCTTGCGATAAGCATACTTACTTAAATTTTAAACGATGTGATGTGCGAAAATTGAAAATCAAATCATTGACAGAATTGATGTGCAGAGATGTTTGTCAGAAATTCTAACAGGAACAGCAAAAATGGCTACAACTCCATGTGAAAACAAGTGTGAACAACCTAAATTTTTTTTTTGAATCCTTACCCCCATTAGAATTATCGTCTGATATCTTTCTGTCCTCTCTATTTCTCTACCCCATTTTTCTGTCCTCTCGAGAATACAAAGCGAAAAAACTCCAAAACAGTCCTCAATTTGATCGAAAAAACGTCCTCAAAACTCAGAAAGATTTACGTATAAGCATTACATACTCTATCCGAGATACAACTCGTTAAGACTCATCAATTGACAATTTCAAAAGCTCATAAATATGAATCACAAAGACTCTTGCCTACAAGCAAAAGTACCACGTCCTCACAGTGGGAAATTGCTTCTGCGCATGGTTTTTGTTTTTTCTCTTTCTGTGAATTAGACTCGAAAAGAATAGATAACTGCAAGATATTGAAAAAAATGCGAAAAGAATTAAAAACGCCGGCAATTTATTCCAGCTTTTGGTTTGCCGGTCGTAATATCACGATCTAAAAAACAGTGTCACCCAAAAAACCTATGCAAATCGGAACTACAGAGAAAAAGTACTACAAAATCCGTAGAGACTGAAACTATGCTCCAGAAATAGCACAGAGTGGTTTGACCTATCCAAGATACAGCAAATTCAAGCGCGAAGGTGGTGTGGGAAAAACTACACAAGAACTTCTGCCGCGAAATAGTTTTATCCAAGATACACAAAACCGAATCAATCGCTTAAGTTGGCGTATTTTTTTAGCTCTTCACAGGGAGAAACCGTTTCGAATCTGTGCAAATGAAGCTATTAGAAGAACTGTGTCACATATCTTTTTTTCAAAAATGTTGAGATCTTAAGTATGTTGAAAAAACAGCTCGATACAACTAGCGAAAAATGATTGGTGTCATGAAAAGAACAAGATGAACTGCAATGAAATTCTGTACAATGTGAATCGTAATTCAATCCTCTACATCAAGAAAGAAATGAAAGTGAAGAAAGCAGGCCGTTGGCCAAGCTTTCGCTTTCCGATTTTTGCAAATACGGTCGCAATGCAGGATTGTAGGTGTTCCGTTCGTGCCAATTCTCCTTTTGCGTCCACCATTATTTTCTTGTGTCTTTGTGTCCTATTTGTATTTTTGTTTTGCTTCAAGTTGTTTCTGCTTTCTCTTTTTGCAAACCAATTTTTTCGTTTGGAGCGTGAGGCCCATATAAGTACTTCTTCTAGCCACGTTGGCGCACCGTCGCGCGAAAGTGAAGGAGAAGCAACATAGACATACACAGGAGCGCTTCCATCCTTCACACTAATGGTGCTCACAAACGTAGTAGTACCGGAAGAGAATCGTCATGGGGATGGTGTTCTGGCTCTTCTCGGTTCTGTTAAGCACCCTAACAACCCTCCTCATCGCCGTCTCACGCCACCAGCGACTAGTCTGCCTCTCCCTAAACGGCCCACAATGCACACTGACGCTGCGCTTCTTTCCAAAAGGGAACAAGCTGCACCAGGGGCTACCGCAAGAGCAGTGCCAGGCGGTGGAAAGTACAACCGAAGAGTCCGATTCCACCGCGGAACAAGCTATGGGAGCGTCTGAGCGATTATCTAGTTTTTTATTCAAAAAAACCTCTTCAAAGCTTTTAAATAGCAACTTTCCGCTCGCGATTGGGGCGCGGAAGCGTCGTCATCGGGAAACGGCACAGGTGAGTTTGAAGGCGGTGCCCAGAATTGATATCATGTTGAAGCATCTAGATGGAGCCCCAACTTGAACTAGCTATACTCAGGATGCCAATTTGATTGAAGAGACAGGTTAAATTAGAGCTGTTTGCTCCTTGTTTGTGTAGATGGTCCAGACGCTTACCCGGCCCTAGGTGACCACGAAACCGGAACGGGGCCCGCCAGCAGCCGCGTCGCGACTCGGCCCCGACGACATTTGCTGCGCCAAGTGCCTCAGGTAGAGAGTCCAGCCTTGTGCGGCAGTTCTATCCTTCTGAAGAATCCAGATAGGCCCCACCTTGGGCTCGCTACTTTGGAGCGTGGGCTTCCTTTCAAGACATGGGCGAAAATATCGGAAGCCGGTAATGGTCAGGGGCGCTGGAAGCTTTAGGCTTTTTCCGCCCTGCACATCCTGCCCACCTAAGAATACGAAGCCACTCGTGTTTCGACACGCGGGGCCCCGGGTCGTTTTGGTGGCGGGCTTCCCTGGTTCGCCGCCGGATACAGCTACGCTCGTCGTCTGAAACGGGCGCTACTCTAAACGCATCCGCCATATAAGAGCCGCACGCAACTCAGCGGGCTTGAGTTGAGGCCTCATGTGCATGCCCGTAATTGACACAAACTCCGCACACCGGTGAAAACCTTACCAGAACCGCACCCCTTTGGCGATGTTTCCGGGCGCGAATAAAAATGAGAAGGGTCCCGGCGATGTAGGTTGGAGGCGAAGCACGTACTGGCAGCACACCAAAATACCTCCGCAGACACTGCAAATAAAAGCAGGCCTTTTTCGATTGCTCTGAAGTACAAATCTCAAGCATCCAGGTAGCTAGTTCAAGTCGGGGCTCCATCCAGATATTTAATTTCGACACCCCAGCCAGAAGCTCCGTCTTCCGTTCTCCAGACGGATCCGAAATGATCACCGTTTCGCAAGTTTCGCCATCAATAAAGTTGCTATCTAAAAGCTCTAAAATGATTTTTTTGAATAAAAAATTAGATAATCGCTCAGACGGTCCCATACAAGCGAAGGCGCTGGAAAGTACCGAAGAGTCCGATTCCACCGCGGAACAAGCGAAGGCAAAACGAGCGGAAGAGGCAAAATCCCTGCTCGGGGCCGGGCTAACAAGGAGAGAGGCTGCGGTAGAGGCCGGGATGAAAAGTCCGTTGCTAGCAGCACTAGCAGGAAGTCCAGGTCTATCGACGTCACATGTTGACAACGCCGTCGCACTCGGAAGTACTGCACCAACTGCTACATCTACTACCTCGCCTACCGCAGTACAACAATCATCGAAGGCCACTTCTCCCACTGGTCGTCGAGGTTCTACTTCCCGTGTCCGCTGCATCGGGAATTTTGACTCCGTCTTAGGTACGTACGAGAAGGTATGAGGGTGCACAACTCCTCCCCTCCTCATTAGTATAGCATGAACGGCAATACAAGCATTAGCAAGACTGCTGGCTTTGCATGACAAATGTTCTTCACAGGAGTGTCGTGCCGTTTGGGGTTCCGGAGTTTGTCATGCAAACAGTGCCAAGAGGCACAGACTGGATTTGGTGTTTTGCATGACAAATGAGGGGGAGGGGGGGTTGCGCACTGTCATAGAAGGAAAGAGGCTGGTTCCAAACGGCGGCCGATGCGGCAAACGCGCGGCAGTGCCTGTTTTCTGATGTGTGCTACGACTTGAAGGTGGAAGATTGGGTGTTTTACACGACACGAAGAAATGCTCGTGCAGGAGCAGGACTACTGCATCAGAGTCAGACAGCACTACCTGACATCCGTTCCTTCGATGCCAATACTGGGCCGCAATACAAATTCCGACATAGGAAAGCCGAGGGGGACAATCACGACGCGGATTTCGTTCCCCTTGGCCACGGATTTTCCGTGTCAGAGGATTTGCAGCCGGAAAAGCGGTATGCATTGCAAAAGCAACGTACTAGTTGATGTACGAATTGCATTACAAGTTTTATTCGCAGCATGAAAAGTGGAGTTTGTAGTGCTGCTCTACCTTGTGAAGCAGAGTTGTCATGCACATCTGCAATTGGTACGGGCACGAACACGTTGCTCTTGCAATGCATAAGCGGAAGGCCTGGCGGTTCAGCAGCCACTATCGAACGGCAAGTACAGGCACTGCGACTTTATCTTCACTGGAAGATGATACCGGCGGCCCTTCGGAAGGAGATCAGAAAAGCACAACGTTCCCGCGTTCCTTCACGCCGATGATAGTAGAAGCAGGCACGACGACGAAAACAAAGTTCCTCGACGATGGCGTTTACATGCTGACCCAACCCAAGTACCTTGACAACGTGGGCCACGCGCTGGAAGACGGCGTCATGAACCTCCTTGCCACGCTCTTCAAGTTTGGCGTGTACACTCCCTGTCCGAACATCATTCTGGTCCAGAGCTGCGCGGAGCTGTTTCTGCGCGAGGCGAAGGGGGAGAAAAGAACGAAGTTGTGTCAGAAGTTTGTGAAGGATTTTTTCGGCGTTTTGAGTGGCAACTGCACTGACACATCGGCAGCCGCAGCGACCACTGCGAAAAACAACAATAACCCGCAAATATTAAGCCAGCAAAGTTCTACTGGCGCGCTGCAACTTATGGGAGTGTCAGGATCGAAATCGACAATATCGAAAAATTTGTAATGCATAAAATGGATTCCAGTTCGAACCCAGTTTCTAAGTGGCGCATGACAAATTCTGGTGGTGCCTAATTCCAGTTTGTAATGCTGTTTAGGCAAAGAAGGCTGATTCTCTCATGCTGCTTTAGCAGCTCGAGCTATAACGCCAAACAGGCTTACAATCGGCCTCACTTGCCTGCTCTGCAACACACGTACTTCGCGTCATGCATTTTATGCATCACAAATTTTTCGACTTTGTCGATTTCGATCCTGACAGTTCCATACAACTGTGGGACGTGCTCCGCACCGCGAAGGAAGAGCAGTACGACCAAGTCTGCTATCAAATGCAAATATGTCTGGGTTCGGAAGGTCGCAATTTGTCATGCTGTTTATGGATTTTAAAAAAATTTGTATTGCATGACCAGCAAGAGCGGTCCAGTTCGTGCTACGCGGACAGGGCGTTTCTCATGCGGAAGGCGTATCAAGAAGGGTTCTAAAAATCTGTGATGGTAGGTCATACAGCACAGACAATCATGGGTCATGAGAAATATGCATGCCAAGTCTTGCACTCTTCCAGACCCAGACATAGTATTTGGAGTTGATATCTGCTTCAAAAACCTAGTCGTCGGCGGCTCGCACAGCGTCTATCAGCGGTGGTCAGGTCTAGCGACGGACGGGAAGGAGCCTTTTCTCCGCCTTTTGCGGGCGAAATTCTACGCGTATTTCGGGTTACCGGTGGATGGAAATAGGCCGAAAACGCATCAAATTGTACTGGTCAAGAAAACGGGGAAAGCTGGGTCGGAGGGCAAAGCGAAAAATAGTCGGGCGATCGCGAATTTTCAGCAGGTGCATGACTACTTGGTACAACGGTATAAGGGCGGGAGTAAAAAACCCGCATCAAACACAGCTGCGGAACCTGGAGTTGTCGTCCCTACACTTGGACTTCCCCCTTCCACATCAACTGCTCCCGCCGAAGCAGCTTCTGCTAGCCATATTTCACGTTTTTGCGTCACTTCCTGGTCAGAGCTTTCGTTGAAGAACCAGCTTCAAGTGCTCCAGAAAACCACTGTGGTCATCTCGCCCGCTGGGGGCATTTCCGGGCTCCTACCATTCCTCCCAGACGGGTCATATGCGATTCTGCTGAATTACCAGGAATCACTGTCGCAATTCCCAATGGGGGTGACACTCAGTTTTTTCGCCGGGTTTTTGTCGAAAGTTGCGGACTATTTTATTTCGTCAAAAAAGACTACGCCAACTGATGGCAGCAGGAGCAGCAGTGGGGCATCAGATCCTGCTTCCGATATTAGGGCAATAGAACAGAAAATTTCATCCTATCAAACCATGAACCCGCTCCACCGCTGGTTCCCTTCCTACCAGCGGTTTTTCCGCGGGTGGGGCTTTCACGGAGAGTGTCCGGGGTGCTCGTGGACGATGGAGGCAGAATTGTGGCAGCACGTGCCATGGGTTGAGAAATTGTTTTACCAAACGTGGGACACATCGGGTGACCGAAGTGCGGACGTGGTCGTTGATGTCAAACGCATGGAGCAGCTCTTGCAGCAAGCGCTGCGGAATTACGAATTTGGATAAAGATGGAGAAGCGATTATTTGTACACGCATACTGCATGAGTACAACGATTACAATAGATACCTCCTGCTTGGCGACTTGTTCGTATATTGCCCTATTACTTAGGCGCAAGAACTACATGCGCGTCGTCGAGGTCGTCTGAGCAAATTTCCATTTTGTTTTTGCCACATTCCACTTCGGAAAACGGTACCGAAGATTTTGAATTTATACGAGCAGTCGTTGCTTATGATTGGAGCATCGGTCCATAATTCTCGCGAGAAATAATGCTTCGGTCCGATTTTTGATGAATTGAAAGGATGAATATCGGTTGATCGTTCGCTAGCTTGACGCATAGATTCTGTAGTCTGTTTCTTGCTTTTATATATCATTTTCAGTCATGAATGAAATTCTACGTCTGTCATCGGTAATATGCGTAGTTTCATTGCCAATTCGGTGTTGTATTTGGGACGGTTTCTTGAGTCCCGCTTTGGTAGAAGTCGGTTTGCGTTTTCTAGTTCCACAGAGCTATGGATCGAAAGCAAGAAGAGCACATCGGTTAGCGGAAAATCATAGTATTGGAGGACCTGTTTAGTAGCAGCACTGTTTTGCTTTTAATCTGCACTTTAAAAAATTTCTCCAGGATCCTCACTTTGTTGAAGACCTCTTTAGGATTTTGGAAAGATCTTCGCAACTTCTACACTCAAGTTTCTTTTTACCAACTAGTACACTCTCGCAGTGAAATATCTTCGCACGATCTTTTGCGGCAGGAAATAGATGAAAAAATAGCATTCAAGCACAGCAGGACGTAAGGGAGTACTACCAGTCTCGGGATAATCAGTCTCGGGATAATTTTTCCAGCCGACCCAACCAAGCTCGAACGCAAACCGCAACACCCGTACTATCTGGGTGAACAAATAAGAACGAGAAGCCCTACTGCGAAAGACGAAGAGGCGACGTCACCACTTTACAAAAGAAGCAAGAATGAAGGTAATCTTGATGTTCTAGTGCTGTAGGCTGCTGCTGCTGCTTTGTCCTGCCCTGTGAGGCACGAATGAATTGTTTTCGTTGAAGAAGTCTCAGAGCTTCTTTTTTTGCTGATCTTTATGATCCAAAAAATGTTAAATAGCACCAAATCCAAATACTACATCAAATCCCAGGTCTTCGTCCACACCCTCTTCCTTCATGGTGCTGTTCTCAGCAATATCAAATGCAAATATGTCTGGGTCTGGAAAGATGCAGGTTTTCCATGGCCCATGAGGTCTGGAATGCGGGACCTAGCATGACAGATTCTGCGCGGTCTCTATCATACCTGCTCTGCATGAGAAACCCCCTCTCAACTCAGTCGAAAGTGGGCAGCTTTTGGCACTTATGCAACACAGATTTCTGCCTGATTCAGATGTAGCATGACAAGTTGCAATCCTCCAGACCCAGACATATTTGCATTTGATAAGCAACCACGGAGCCGCAGCTTTGTCCGTGACCCAGAAGAAGGAATTGCCGACCGGCTACGAGCCGACGAATATTTTCGCCCCGGACCCCAAGCCGCCTCCGAAAACCCTTCCGAAAGGTTCGGGGGTACCGGTTGGGCCGGGCAAGTTAACGCTAGAACAGATTGCGCAAACGAACAAGTACGGGACGATTGCGGATCTCAGAGCCATCCGAATGGGGGACGTGGAGTTGCAGAAAGCCGTATCGAAATGAAAAAGTTTTCCCCCTCCACCGCATTACATTCGAGAAAGAAACTTCTCTTGCTGGATTTGTGTTGCACAATCGAATTTTTCGCCATGTTGTCCGAATGCTTGCAAGAGACGCGGATCATTTTAGTGCTTGTTTCACGCATGGAAAAGCGTAACAGAATCAGCATGGCAGGAATGTTCAACAGCATTCTTTCTTGCAAGTAAAAATAGCGTGACAAGAATTTGCAAGAAAATTGGGCCGTGAGCGCTCTACACTTTGATCCCTTCCACGTAGCAACGAACACGACATGTGGTCGAGACATTAACTTGCGTCGGTGTACAACGACAACAAAAGTCCTCGCGCACGTTTGGAACACACTTCCCTGTTGTATGAAAATACGTACTGCGGTAGGGGGATAAGTAATTTTTCCTCACGATAAGTGAAGAAGGAAGCAGAGGCGAAGCGAGCGGAGGCGGAGGCAAAGAAGGCGGAAGCGGAACGAAAGGAGAAAGAGGTACAAGCCGCGGCAGCCGCGGCCACTGCGGCGGCCGCGGAGTTACAAGCTGCCCAGGAGCGGGTGGCGGACTTGGCGCCTGTGCCGCTGCTGCCTGGTCCAGCTGCTGCGCCGCCCCCGGGGAGAGCCGCCAGGCGGGCGGCTAAAGCCGCGGCTGCGGAAGCGGAAGTTGCGGTGGAACAAGCAGCGGTGGCTGAGGATCAAGCGGTTGCAGCAGAAGCAGCGGCGGTGGCTGCGGGGGATCGTGCGGTGGCGGCTGAGAAACGCGTTATCATTGACATCGGGGGGGTCGGTTATATCTCACTTCCGACCGACTCTACTGGTGCTCCCGCTTTTCGGTTGCCGGACAGGCCTCCTCCTCGGGCGACTGGTCCGGCCGCAAGGAGAACCACGCCGGCCACCACGACCGCTTATGGAAGCGTCAGAACCTCCGAAAACGACAAAGTTGAAAAAAGCTCGCATAAGCTGCAATGCACAGACTGTATTGGTGGTGGAGGGCACCTGCACGCAGGTGAGGGCGATTGTAAGCCTGTTTCCGGATTATATTAGACATAGCGCTGCTAGAGTACTAGTATGAAAAAATATGTCCTCTTTCCCCAAAGAGCATGACAAACTGGCATTTTTACGTGCGTCCAAAATTTGTGATGCGCCACTTGGAATAAATTGAGGGCCCAAGAACAACTGGTAGCAATTCTATGCAGCATTTGACAGATTGTTTCAACTTTGTTGGTTTCGGTTCTGACGCTTCTATACTGCTGGGGCTTCAGCTGCCGCCCCCTCCTCGGGGGCTGGTACTACCGCTATTCGGACTGGCCTGGCCGTGATCACTCCGGCCGCAAGCATGCCGGCCGCAAGCGCGCCAGCCGCAAGAACGCCGGCCACCACAACGACCCGGACTGCTCCCGCCAAACCGATTCTGAACCGTGAAAGGGAAATTGCGCAGGCCAGGAAGGACGGGGAAGCAGCCATTCTTCAGGCGGGACGAACCATCCGAAAGATCGCGGCCAGCAACCGCTACGGAAGTGACGAAATAGATCTTTATTTCTGCGATTTTTTGTCATCACTGTAGTTCTCTAATGCATGACTGAATGTCCTTCGATGCGAATTGAAAATGATGTTGCAGAAGTACTTCTATCATCTTAGAAGCCGCACCATGTTCTTGCCCAAAAAGATAAGTAAATGGGGATGCGCCAGGCGCCGGAAATTATTTCTTGCGGAGCCACGGGGCGTTGTCCTCGCGCGTTCAATTTCGAAGACATAAACGTGAACAAATGAGTGAAGATCATGAAGACCACCACTGCGAGAAGAAGAAGAACTAAAGATAAATCAGCAGAAAAGAAGATTCTAACACCTCCATATTCACCGGATGAAGAAAAAAGGCGCGGGATTTTTGAAGCGCTTGTTGAACCGCTCCTCTGGAGCAGGTGGCGCAGCAGGAGCTGGCGCTACCGCACGGGCTGTCGCGCGCATCCGGACTAGGCGGGGCAAAAAAGTGCATGCCAAGGCCCACGCGAAGGTGGAAGAAGATACGAGCCATCACCTGGTGACGGTGAGTATGCAAGAAAAATGAGACTGCGTAGTTCTTTGTGTATAGCGTAGCTCTGTTGATGTGTTCTTGCAGACGATGGTGCAAGAAGGTGGCATTTTTTGTCATGCTTCTGGACATACAACTACAGGCGTCGGAAGCTACGTAGAAATTTCATCATGGCGTTTTAATACGTGCACGTGTTGACACGTTTATTTTTCCCGCCATGCTCGACGGATTTCGATTTGTCATGCTGTTTTCATGATCATCTCATCAAGAGAGTCACGACCCTAAGCACAACTACACAGTTTTTTCCGGGTATAAAGAGAGATTGGCGGCCGCGGCGGCATTCGGTCCCGGCTCTACCTACCTCTCCCGCGGGGACTGCATCTTCCGCGAGTCCTCCCGCAGCTCCCGCAACTGCTGCAGCTCCCGCAACTGCTGCAGCTCCCGCAATTGCTGCAGCTCCCGCAATTGCTGCGGCTCCCGAAATTGCTGCAGTTCCCGCGAGTACTCCTGCAGCACCCGAAATTGCTGCAGCTCCCGTGAAGAGTGCATCTCCCGTGAAGAAGTCAAATGATGATGAAGAGACCGCAAGCAATGCAAGTACTGAAGCTCCCGAAAGTACTGCAGATTCTTTGGAAAGTGCAGTTTGAAAGAACGAGGCAAAAATCTCATGGGTAAGAGGCAGTAAAACCGTCGTGGCGCCGCGCAGATGTGGGGTGAAGTAAGATGTTGGTCTGATTTTTCTGTTTCCTTCGCGTTATTCTTATTTTCGATAATTATACACAGTGGTCGTGGAAAACAGCATTTATTGCACATTCTTGTTGAGAAGCTCTCGTCGCGGATCTCATTACAGGGATCACGATATTGATGCTTCATCCTGGTTTTGGAGTTTTTGTAGTTGTTGACCAAACTAGAAGTTGTACCGCTTTATCATCCAATACGTTCTTGGGACTTTTTTTTACCTTTTTTCAGTCACATGATTTTTGCGAATAATTCACATCACATGCACATCATCATGAATTTTAACATCTTGTAAAAGGCGGTATTTCATACCGCCTTTTACAAGATGTTAAAATTGATCTCTATTGTAACAATTACAGTAGGGCCTGGATATCGATAAACGTAAGTACTTACGCAACTGCAATAAGAAGACACCGTGCAACATCCGTGTCCGATCAGTAGTTTAAGTATAATATCACAGGCTGTTTTTTGTTTTTCATTCATTGCACCTGATTTGCCAAACATTTTTGTACATGATCATGAGGTACTCGGAGTACCACTCCAAAAACGTTGAAGTTACCTTCCCACACTTCTAAACTCGGTGTGTAAAATTGAGTGAATATCATGCGTAGAGAAGTGGTGAAAGTAGGAAAAGAGATGAACCCTCTTTCACAAGAAATCTGAACCACAGAACAAGCTGAAGCTTTCACGAGAAGCAGACGCAACTGGTTCAGGAAAACTTTACTTCAAGTAAGTTTTACAATTCAAACACCACCACCTAAAGACCACACACGTGAAGTGCAAAATTGAAAAAAATGAATCCGCGATGCCAGCCGGCGACTGCATCCGAACCGGTCCAGGCTGGACAGTGGCATAGAAAGATTGCTTATGTTCGCAGGCTGCAGGTAGAAGACGATGATACCTGGGACCGTTCTTAATGGCGTTTTTGTCTTCGCCCCGTTTTATTTTTCAATTATCGCACTAATTTTTGGTTTTCCTGCCGCCCGGAAGATGCACAGAAGAGAATATTGTTGCCGAGAGAGAGGAGAGAAATGTCGAGCGAACACTCCTTTGGAGGTTATCTCCGCCGCTCCGCACAAGAATACACATCAACTTCGTGGCAGGCGAAAAAAAATAATGAACACCCCTATTCGTAATTATGCGTCTTGTCTATCAAATTCAAAACCGTCAGAAAAACTTTATGCCCTCTTGTGGTCCGCAAAATAGCTTTCCGTCGTTGTTTCCGTCTCATCGTCCTGTCGTTCTTGCACGACCTGCGTATAATAATCCTATCAGTTCTGCTTTGGGCCCATCCACTGTGGCGCACCTGCCTTCGAGGAGTGCGAGAACGATAGAGCAATTGGTGCCCCACAGGTCCTGTGTAGTTGCGTCATGCTGCGAGCAGAAGGGGCTCCATCGAGGACAACAAGCCCGCTCGTACTCCGCGACCCTAGTCCGCCTTCCCAGCTTGCTCGAGAGAATGGTACCAGCAGCACAGCATTCGAGTGGCAGCAGCGCCACAGGGGCAACAACGTCCAGCACGAAGAAAGAAGCACGAGAAATAAACAAGGAAGCATTACCCACGGAGAAGGTGAAAACGTCAACCGCAAATCATCATGCAGCAGCAGCAGCAGCAATTGATGCAACGACGGATCATGGCAGCGACTGCACATCACCATCAGGGACCTCTACGGCGAGCAGTCCTTTTTGTGCAGAGTTGTTTCAGGAACAAGACGAACGAGATCAAACACGATCCCACGACACGATAGAACGAGAACCGACCAGCGAGCAATACGAGCAGTGCGAAATAAACCCCACTACCTTCGTCACGAAAAGGACCCCCTCTGTGACCATCCTCGGTATCCGCTCCCGGAAATTCTTCGGGAAAGACGGCGCAGAAGAAGGTTTGCGGTTGTTCGATTATCAAATGTAAAAATGTCTGGGTCTGGAAACTTGTGATGCTGGGTGGCGTCTCATGATGAGGCCACAAATGCTGTCTCAGCATGACAAGTTTCTGAGATTCTAGGTGTTGCCTATTCTGCATGAAAAACTGCGTTTCTGCATCACAGAAAAATGAAGCTGTTGGGTAACGTGCATGACAGATTTAAGAGTTATGCTAGACAAGCATGACAAACATGCATTCTTCCAGGGCCAGACACTTTTGCACTTGATATCGATCAGTTGAAGACAAAGTTTGCGATCCAACGAAAAATCCACTTGTTAATCGGTCTGGAAAAGTGGCAACTCCAGAAATTTCTCGACGAGAGCAAGAAGGGCGAGATCCGGCACAGGAGGAACGTCCAGCACTTGCGGGAGTGGCGCCATTTGTTTCAGTCGAACTACAGCAGTTTTAAGCATAAACCAGAATTCCTACCACTATACCAGGTCGCTTTATTGGAAAAGTACCCGATTTCCGCGATTTATGAAAGCGTCAGGATTGAAATCCGCAAAGTTGAAATAGTTTGTGCTGCATCACATGCTAGACGCAAAGTGCCTGTCTTGCAGAGCAGGCAACTGATGCAGATTATAAGCCTGCTTCGGGTGTGAGATAGAGCTGCTAAAATAGCATGACAAAAGCAGTCTTCCCTGCGCAAACAGCATGACAAAGTGGATTTCCGTGCTGCCAAAATTTGTCATGCGCCACTTGCAAACTGGGCTCCAGCTGGTATCGCTTTTTTGCATTACAGATTATTTCAACTCTGACGATTTCGATCCTGACACTTCCATACGATTGATTTCGAGGAATCCATGTTCTACGACAGTCTTTCCCGTTATGGAAGTGTCAGAATCGAAATATGACAAAATCGAAAAGTTTGCGATGCATGAAATCGATACCAGTTGGAGCCTCAGTTTGTAAGTGGCGCATGACACATTTCGGGAGCACCCAAATCCAGTCTGTCATGCTAGTTGGGCAAAGAAGACTGCCCCTGTCATGCTACTCTGGCAGCACATTGCATACCCCTAAAGAGGCTTCTAATCGGTCTCATTTGCCTACTCCCCAATACAGGCCTCCAGTGCGCTACATTTTATGCATCACAAATTTTTCGATTTTGTCGACTTCGATCCTGACACACCCATACCCGTGCGAGTTTCGCTTTTCCGGTCGAAGCCATTTACTGGTTCTTCTACGAACGGCTAATTCTCTCCACAAACCTGTTCACGAACAACGACTTGTACCGTGCGCTGATGCTGCGGAGAGTGCCGAACCTGGCGAAAATCTACTTCTATCAAATGTAAAAATGTCTGGGTCTGGAGGAAACTTGTGATGCTGGGTGGCGTATCATGAGGAAGCCATAAGTGCTGTCTCAGCATGACAATTTTCTGAGCTTCTAGGTATTGCCTATTCTGCATGACAAACTGCGTTTTTGCATGACAGGAAATTGGGGCTCTTGGGTAACCTGCATGACAGGTTCAAGAGTCATGCCAGAGAAGCATGACAAATCGCGCATTCTTCCAGACCCAGACATTTTTACACTTGATAACTTCTACGAACGAGCGCACTACATGGCGGCGAAGTGCTATTTATGCACTGCAAATATGTGGTCTGGGTCTGGAAAGTTTGAACTTGTAATGCTGGTCTTACATTCCTGTGAAATCTGTATTGCATGACCAACAAATAAAGCCGTAGCTCATAATACAGAAAAGCAGTTTCTCATGCGGGATTCGTATGAGAAAGCGCTGTGGAAAGTTGTCATGCTTGGCCGCAGGCGAAAGAGTTTGCATCATCCACATTTTAGCATTAGAACTTTCCTGACCCAGCCAGGCGTATTTGCAATCCATACTACTTGTACTGTTTCGACGAGGCCGACGACAACACGATTGTCATGGACTTGGCTGGCGGAGTGAAGCAATTCGACGAGAAATTCCGGTTATGCATTGCAAATATGTAGTCTCCTGGGTCTGGAAGAGCTCAAGCTTGCGATGCATGCTGGGGGTCACACAAAGATCTGTGTTGCGTGACTGCCAAGAGTTGCCAGTTTTTGTCAGGGTAGGATGGAGTTTCTCATGCAGAATAGGCACGATAATGATAAAGACCACAAAAAATCTGCTATGCCAGGCCCTGCATTACAGAGTTCATGAATTACTTTGAAGACCTGCATGACAAACCTTCGACTCTTCCAGACCCAGACACATTTGCATTAGATACTGCTGGACTGACGGAAATTTCTACGTGCGGGGGAAAATTAACAAAAACCCACTAGCCGGAGCGAGGTTAGTGCGGGTGTCCAGCCGGAACACGGATGTCATGCTGAAGTCGCCAGACAGGATCCGGGAGTGGTTCGAGCACCATTCCTATGCATTGCAAATGTGTCTGGACATCTGGAAAAGTGCAACTTGTGATGCTGCATTTGGATGCTAAAAAAAATCTGTATTGCGTGAGCAGCAAGGGGAGTCGAATTCGGCTACGCGGAGAGAGCAGTTGTCATGCGGGATGCGCATCGATAAGCGCTCAAAAAATCTGTGATGCTAAGGCATACAGCACAGACATCGCGAATCCTGGAAAATGTGCATGACAAGCATGCCCTCTTCCAGACCCAGACATATTTGCATTTGATATGTCCTCCGACGGGGCTTTCGAAAACCAGCCGGAAGAGGTATCAGAATGAAAAATCCCCCCTCCCCATATCGAAACGAAGTTTCTGATGCTGGATTTGCGTACACAACTCAGATTTGCCTTGCTGGCGAGGACTGCAGGCCCATATCAAGCCTGAGTAGACAGGTCTTGGCCTTGGCACTTAGCATGACAGACGTCTACGCTGTAGGAGCAACAGCATCACAAACTGCCTGGAGACTGCTGCGGAGCCTGTGGAGTTGCCTTCATGCAACACCAAGACGATCTGTGGTCACAAATCAGCAGCACAATCGTGCCTTGTCAATATGGGGAAGGGGGATTTCGATTTCTCCTCGCGATAAGAGGTGACTTGCGTGCTGCGCAAGGACGGATTCAGTTCTGGTTCCGGCGGATCTTCCTGGGGCGAGAGCGAGAAGGAGCGGCTGCAAAGCGTCTGGGCGGAATTTGACGAGTATGGGAGAAGGGTACGGGAAAATAAACCAAAAGAGAAACCCTCTTGTACAACTTCGCCGTGGGGTGGCGGTGAACAAACAGGATCAGCTTCAGCGTGTACTAGTGCTTCATCAACCGCAGAAACGGGGGGTGAAAACCAAGACGAAAACCCGCATGAGAAAGAAGGAGAAGAAGAGTTCAAACAACAGCAGCAAAATAAATCTCACCACGTGATGTTCGTCTGCGAGGAGATGTTTCAGCCGTTGATTTTGGATCACATGGAGAAGATCGACAGTATCCAAACGGTATGCATTGCAAATATGTCTGGGACTGGATGAAGAGTTCGGATTTGTGATGCGAAGTCTACATCATGACAAAATCTGTCATGCATGGCTGGCAAAAGACCCCTGCTCTTGTCACCGAAAGAGGGGACTTGTCATGCGAATTAGGCATTGGGGTAGGGGAACCTGCTCAAAGTCTGTGATTCTAGAGCTTACATGCCAGACGAGCTAGGTCAGGCAGGAACTGCATGACAGATCTCACATTCTTCCAGACCCAGACATTTTTTCATTTGATAGACGGCGATGAACATTTTGCAGCTCTACGAAGACCGGTGCTACAAACAACCACCATGTTTGCACTTCTGGTGGTACGCGTTCATCTTCCTGTACATGCTGGTCCCGTTGCACATCTTTGTTTTCCTCTTCGTCCTGAACAGCGGGTTTCGGATTTGGGACGACTTTTTCAGCTACAAACTCATTGACGGGTTTTCGAGAAATTGAGGAAGGTTTTTTGTCGAAATAAACGTTCAATTTTGATTTTCTGAGAAAAAGAAATCGCTTTGGACGCAAAGAAGACAACCTGGGACACAGACAGATGGATGGGGAATAAGAACCCCACTTATACCAATTTACAGTGCTGCTAAACATCATCGGCGGAGTGTTCGCGTGCGATTGTGATTCTTTTTGTCCCGTCCGAAGTCTGTTTTTTCATGGGCAGAAGCAAGGTGCACATCGGTCGCAAGCGAGAATTTTACACGAGTGAAGTGCCACCAGTCCGCGAACGAGTGAAGCGCCACCAACAAGCAGCACTGGCCTAGGTTCGTTGAGAGCGACCGAGCGCATTGCTGTGCTGAGTGACCGGCGTAATAGCTTACCAGAAAGCGAGAAACTCTGGGGAGGAATTACCAGGAGCGAGAAACTCTGTGGATGGCCATGGGTGTGCTGGACAGCGACAAGTCGCGGGGACTGAGTTTCCTCCGGGCGATCGCCATTGCGCACCCCATCCCGGAGCCTGCAAGCCCGCGCGCAAGCTTGTAAAGCCGGAAAGCGCCGCCCGCCCCTCGCGCCCGCCGGCGGGGCTTGGGTCTAGGCTGGCGCCCTTGTCGTGCCGCGGGGCATCGAGGTGGGCGCATGCCCGAGCCCGCTTTCGCCGGGGCGGCGGCCGACGCACGGCGGGCTGCGAATAACACATTCATCGCAGCGGCGGCGGGCCCTGATGAACAGCACGCTCGTGGCTTCGGGTTTGGCGATCGATGACGACACTGCGGCGGGCAACACGAACACGACGGGGCGCCCCGCCTTGCCTCCCCGCGCGCGTTTCGCCCGGCCGGTAGAGGGCCGGCCCGGTCGCCTTGCCGGCCCCTCCCTGTTTGTTTCGCAGTGCCGCGAGTTTTCGGCACCTTGGTAGTCTTTTGGCTTCCATAGCTCGTAGAGCGCCCCCGCGGCACCGCGGCCGCGCGAGCCCCCCGCGGGTGCTGGGGCCTGCCATTTGTGCCACGGGCAGAGCGTTTGGCGCGCAGGCTCTGCCGGCCCTGCTGGGCATAGTGATTTCATCCGGCGCAGCCCGTGTGTCTTGCCGCCGATGGCATCCATTGATTCCGCGGGGTTGCGCGCCCGCTTTTGCTTATCTCATCATCTGCCCAAAGATCGAAGCACTCACTTGGAGTTGTGAGCCGGCGCGGGCTGTTGAGCCAAGTGTTTTTCTTTTTTTCCCTTCCGTTCTTCGCCCGTTCGAGTGATGTACGATTTTGGCTTTAGGAGACCTTCGCTCACTATCGATCCCTCGATAGTTCAGACCAGCTCCACAGCAAAACTCTACGCAGGTTCTGATATCATGTAAGACATTTTCTCTGCTTGCTTTCTCATGATGAAATGAAGTCGCGGATCGGTCAAGTGAAGGTTAGATACAAACACGGTCGGTTGTGTGGTCACTCTGGTCAATACAAACAAGGTTCACGACTCGGTTGTAAAGCTGCGCTGCTCATTGGAATTTTGTCGTGAATCTGAAACGCTTGTTGAGAACAGTCAGACAAAAGAAGATCCCGAGCCCGACACGTCGACCCTCGCCAAGGCATTTGAGTTTAGAAGTACCGATCTACGAAGGAAGTTTGACACCGGCGCACTTGCGTCGAGAGAAAACCCATTTACACGACTCTTTGCACAACAACTCTTCCAGAAGCATTTCTTAAGGCAATAGAAGAACTACGACCGTTTGGTGAAACAAAATGTCCTCCTTCTCCGAGCTCCTGGCTGCTGCCGCCGCCACGGTCGGTGACAACGCCATTGACCCGTTGAAAGCCAAGGAGATGATGGATGCGAATCCGGATATGCTCATCCTTGACGTGCAGGACCCAACTGCCGACTTCAAGCTCACGGTATGAGAGTGCACAGCGGCCCCCTCCCCCTCATTTGTGTTGGATGAACAGCAACACAAGCGCTGGCAAAGATGCAGCTTTTGCATGACAAATTTCTCGAAGACTGTAGTGCTGTTTTGGATTGTCCCGGAATGTGTCATGCAAAAAGTGCTAAAAGGCATAGAGTGGATTTGGACTTTTGCATGACAGGTGAATGGAGGGGGAGTTGTGCACTTTCATACACCATCCCGAACTCCTACAACGCTTCTCTCGGGACCTTGGGCTTCAAAGCGGACGTTGCCATGACGGATTTTTTGGACAAGAAAATCACGGAGTACCCGAAAGACAAGAACGTCATGGTCACCTGCGGCATCGGCGGCCAGGCCATGCTGGGGGCGAAGCTGATGATCGATTACGGGTGGAAAAACACGTTTGTCTGCATATGACCTGCTCAAACGTTACAATCTCAAATCGGTTACCATAGAATCTGGATTTTGTCTTGCATGAAAAGCATGAGGAAGGTATGTAGAGTTGCGCCTTTCGCAATACACATTTCGCCGGATATCAGTGGGGTTTTGGGTGCAGAGACTTGTCATGCGCAAACCTATGGGATTACGGTAGACCATGCACTTCCTGCATCACAGATTTCCATATTCTATTGTAACGTTTGAGATTGTAACGCTTGAGCAGGTCATACTGCAAGGGCGGCAACGCGGCGTGGAAAGAGGCCAAGTGCCCGCTGTGTGCGGAGTAAGTAGGTTGTTGGTGCCTTCCCCCTCCAGGGACCACAGTCACATAATATCCGCGTCGTGATGCTCATCATGCTGTGTGTCGTCGTGAAAAGAACCTCACAAGCAACGAAAGGAGCAGTAGATGATCTGTGATTAATTTTCCCTCTTGATGAAGAAACGTAGACGCACGTACCCGTACGGAAGCGGAATGTTTTACGTCTTTAACTTTTTCTTGACTGGTTGTCTCTGTTTCACAAATCAAGTCATGCAACGCTGTGCTACTTGCTTTTACTATAGTAATGTGTTGCGAAAAACTTTTTTAATTTTTGTAGCCGTTCCGGGACAGTGTCGATTAAGTTCAACCATATCATGATGAATTTTACGAGCAATAAGCAAAAGATTGCGCATGATCAGTGGGGATTTAGGTACAAGTAATTATTAGCAATAAAACAGTTTAAGGAAGGAAAGGGCGTCGTCCCAACACCAATTCGTGTCCAGTACAAAACCTTGCGTAATTTTCATGAGTCATGAAGAGTGAAAAAAAAAATAGTTGGCAGAGGTTGGTGGTGATGCTGCTGCACTGGTAGGCCGTTTGAGCCAATTGCTTGTTCTCCGCCGAGAGGACCCGTCTTCGTTTCTTTTGATAAGATATATTCGTTGTTGCTTGACTAGACATGGAAAACTACGCTGAGAGACTTCTACAACTACTTTGGCATTCCGTCTATAATGTCCTTTTGTTTACTATAAGAAAGCACTTTACTTACATTCGCTTTATGCTTTTCTTGACACTTGCGCCAGCATCTGCTACAAAAAAGAAACACAAAATGGAGAATTTCCTGCCGAACCAAAATCCGGCCACCGGGCAGCCGTTACTCGTCTCCTCCGACCCCTGCGGTTCCACGTGGCACAAAAAGACCGAGCCGATTGAAATCCACGTTTACGGGATCTTCAAAAACCTCGACAAGTTCCGACTGACCTCGGATGAACGGTTTATCGTGAATAAAATGTACAACGACCAGCAGTCGGGGGCCACTTCCCCTCTCGGGAAGCTCGCCGCAAACGTGTTTGGAACTACGAGCGGGGGGTATGGTAGCTCATCCTCTTCCACCGGTGGGGTCGTGAAAAAAATGTCATCATTCCCCGGTGCTGGTGGTTCTTCCTTCGCACAGGGCGGTGGAGGAACATCTTCAACCAGCGTGATGAAGCCAACTACATCTTGTTCGAAACAGCCTCCGAATAATTCCTCGTTTTTTCGTCCCACTGATATTATACCTGCAGATGAATCCGGTGCAATTGCAACTACAGCCGATGATCGGGCTTTCATGACCACTGCCTCCTACGACAGCACCGACGGACGGGAGACGAAACCCAGGCCGACGAACGCCGTGACAGTGAGACGAGAGGACCACCTCCGCGGCGGAGGAACGAGTACTATGCCCCCGGGGGAAAGAACAAGTGCAGCTGCAGCTGGACACCAGCCTACCAGCGGGATCTTCACGGGTTCATCTGCAATTATTGAGGGCGAGCACAACAGCGCCACACCCTACTATTCCTGGGGAGAGAGTTGTACAACATCCAGTTTTAATATGTCAAACCGATCTTCAACATCATCATCAAATTCATACCCGCAAGGAGGTGAAGGACCACCGAGCAGTTTGTTCGAAAGTTTTTTCGCGGAAGGAGAGCACCAAAGGGACGACAGTGGAACTGCAACCTCGAACACCCCTGGCGGAGATTTGCTGAATGCCTCCATCGGTACTAGTTCATCTTCCCGGGGCGGTGGAATAAATACTAGTAATCCACAAATTCAACAAAAAGAAAAACCTCTTTTCGGGAGGTCAGAAAGCAACATCGAGCAAAGATTCGTCGATCAGTTTAAGCAGGAGGATGAGTTGCAGCGGAGCCGGTTGACGAAAGGAACATCAGATAAGAACGCAGCGGGCTTCCACACAACTTCTCACTATCAGCCGCAGCCAGAGGTGTTGTCCCCAACAAGTCAAATCGACCGAGACCAACCGAGCCTGCAGCGTACCGCCAGTCGGATTCTAGAGCTGCATCGCGAGCACCAGGCGGCCGTCGCTGCTGCTCGAGGGTCTGTTTCATCCAAGGTACCAGGAGTCGCCGACCAGAATGCAGTTGCAGCGCCTTCGCCGACGAAAATCAGCACTGCTCGGTCCTGGGGAACTATGCAAGAAAAAAACTGTGTAAGTGTGAATTTGTGTTGCAGAACATGCAACAGAGTTACGCCTGTCATGCCAGACAGCCATGAAGTCCTCTTTTCATGTGTGTTTTCCCTTACAAGCCACGCATGACAGGTTTTCTCTGCCATGTAGTGCAAATTTGTGATGCTGGTTTGGGTGGACGCAGCTCTCGTGTGCCGGAGCACCTGTATGCCGCTGGGGGACGCAGCAGCTTTTTGCTGTTGAATCGGTCCGGATTAGCTCAGCAGGGGCCTCGCTTGAGGCCCCTCCACTATGCTTCGTCCCTGCATGCATAAGGACCTCCAGGGCTGTGCATCATGTTCGACCTACGTAGACGCTCGCTGCGCGTCTCCGCCTTCGCGCAGCATGGGCCCGGTCCCAGATTGCACGTTGTGCCTGCCTTTTCGCGCGCCAGCCCTGTTTGCTTCTACAGCTACCGCTCGTCTTAGTAAAGGCCTTTAGAATTTATTCCCATAGGTACACATTTACCAGAACAAGCGCTTAAGTAGCAATACTATGTTTTCCGATTTAGTTTTTCCGATTCCGTAGAAGTTTACGTTACGAGGTAGCTTAGCATATACTGGTTTTAGTAAGCCTCTGAACGGCAAAGGGACGAACTGCCCGTAGACCTCCGACGTGATGCTGTTTCTCAAAGAAAGTTACACTTACACACTTTTTTTCCTGGATAGAAACCGTGCGGAAGACCTTCACGACGGTGAACAACCTCAGAAAGGGGTTGGCCGCGTCGGGAACTTCGCTGCTCGGGACTGCGAGGAAATCGACGGAGAGCTTGCTGGCGGAAGCGGAGGAGGAGAAAGCAAAAGACGAAAAGGAGCAGGAACGTGTGTATTCTGAGTAAAAACGTCCCCACCCCAGAGTTGTCGTGCAGATTTGCAGTTACAGGAAGATTTGTAATGGGCATCCCCATGAGAGGCGTTTCCGATCGTGTTTTTACCTTTGTAATGCTGCAAACAGGATGACTAGATGGATATGGATTTGTGTTGCGGCTGTACTTGCTAAACTGCACTACACTACAGAGGGGAACTTGTCATGCTTGAGTCCCAAAACTTCTCGACTTGTGTTGCGAGATCACCATCTTGATTATGGGGTGGGGACGTTTTTAATCAGAATAGCATTCCGTTTTTCTTCTCGCTGCAAAAGTACGGGGTGAAGCAGGTCAGTTGCGGGGCGAATTTCTTCGGGATAATTACCCTAGAAATGGGGTTAGTGGGGCTCTTATCCACTGCAAAAGTTAAAGTATCGTTTACTCGTATGAATTGCAGGCATGCGTGACAATAAATCCGGTTTCCTACCTAAATCTGCATTACAAATTCCAATTTTCTGCTTGAGAGAATTTGTCATGCGATTTATGTATACAAGTACGATTAACTTTTGCAATGCATAGCTCTTCGGGTTCAACAAGAATTACGTGCATGGCCACATGGGGGAGTTCCTCCCCTTGGAGTTCTACGTTTGGGGCGCGGATGAAAACCCGAGTCTGCCGCCGACTAGGAAAAGTTCGAAAAGTAGAACAGGGACGACCGACGAAGACCACGACGCAGCTGCTGGTGCACAGGGATTTTCTCGCAATTCTCTTTCCGGACCTACAAAAAATAATGACTCCTTCACATATGCTTTCCAAGAGCGCCGCTTCGTCGACCCTCTGGAAAATCCTTTGGGGAAGTTGAAGAGCAAAAGCGAGGCTGCGGTTTTCAAGCCCAAAGACTTCGCCAGCGTCGTTTCTGCAGCAACTGGTGGAAATATTGGAAATAAAAACAAAGTCTCTAGTACTTCTTCGACTTTCCTTCCAATCGGGAAAAATGCAAATAAAGCTAGATCCCCAAAAACTTCTACTTCGAAGAACTACAACAAAGGCACTAGAAGCTTGCCACAGGTCCGCGCTGTGGAAATCGCCTGCGGCAGCGACCACACGTTGGTGTTAGGCTCCGACAACCTGCTCTACGCTCACGGCGACCCGATTCTCTACGGACTGAACACGGAACTCTGCGGGGATTACCTAGACGCCATCGAGACAGTGTTGACGAAACGGTCTGATATGATAAACGGCGCCTGGCGCTCCCCGGAGCACCAGACACTCACACAGTTTGGGCTTTTGTTCAATTGCGGACCCGTGAGACCAAGACGGAAGCAGAGAAATGAACTTCTACAAGAGCGGCAGCTCGTCGTGCCCTCGGGTAGCAGTAAAAGTAGCATGATGAGGTCGGGCCCCGGTTTGATACCAGCAGGCGAGGGTAGAGATGCGGCGGGTAGTTCTGGTAGAGCGTTTTTTTCCGGTAATACTTCTACGGGGCCCTCTAACGACCGCAGTCTCCTCTTGGAAACCTTTGATCACCAACGGGAAGATCATGACGAAGCACAAAGAGAAACGCAGTTTGAGTACGACCCGGGAAGAGACACAACAAAGCCAGGTACTAGGAGCATGTTCAAGACTGTAAAAGAAGAAGATGAAGAAGTCGATCTAGAGCCAAATAACCGGGACTACATCAACTCCAGGAGAAGAGAAGAGGGAGAGGCGATATTGACGGCTTCGAGAGAAGATCATGCTGGTGCCAACATCAGATTCTTCCGAAGCAAGCACTCACAGCACGAACCATTTTTCCCCTCCTTCTGGGACACGCAGGAGTTTGAGTTTGAACAGATCCAAACCATGCACGTGAAAGAACGGTACTCCGTGTGCGCGACTACCGATGGGGTGCTGTACCACTGGGGCAAGGTCCCGTTCTTGTGTGCCACGTTCGAGGAAGCGACACTGATGATGTTCAGCGGAAACAGCTCTTCCTCCTCGGGTGTTGCGACCGCGACGGGACGGGATATTGGTCAACAACATCGACGAGGCGGACCAGCGCACCCCTCATCTTCATCTCATCTTGTCAGTGAGAAGAATCCTTATCGCGACAGTGCCTCTGGTGCCTTCTCCTCCACAAGACCCTCCGCCCCGAACGGCGTCGATCAAATTGCGTGCTCCGCTTTCGCCACGTTCGTGATCGACAAGGACGGGATGCTTTTCGCGTTCGGCGACGGGACCTACGGCGAAACGTCTGCCGGCGCTTCGGTCGGCGGGACGAGTAGCATGATCTACGGCGAGCCGGTGAATTTTGATTTCCGAGAGCCGATCGCGGACATTGCAACCGGGGATAATCTATGGATTGCAAAAATGTCTGGGTCTGGAAGGTTGCAGCTTGTCAGGCTAATTCTGGATCGTGCAAAAGTCTGTGTTGCATGAGTGCCAAAAGCTGTCCACTTTAAACCAAGTTGGCAGGGAGTTTCTCATGCAGGATAGACATGGTAGGGATCTCACAGAATCTGTCATGCTAGGCGCTGCATTCCAGACGACATGGATCATGGAAAATCTGCATGACAAGTCTCGGACATTTTTGCATTTGATATAGCCACACGCTCGTCCTGGGGGCGAATTCCGGGGAAGTTTACGCCTTCGGCTCGGACTGCTATGGGCAGTGCGGGTGCGGCATACAGAACCGGTCGAGGAACGGATTACTCGGGGAGAGGGTGCTGAAACCGCGGAAATTGAAATTCCCCGACGCGTTGCACGGATTCAGTAGTGTGGGGGCGGCTTCTACTACCTCTGGTGCAGATGGAAGTAGAAGTACCGCAGACGGTCCACCGGTAAAAGTTCCTGGTGGCGCGACTACTGCCACAGCCGAGGACGTGAGAAAAGCGTCCCTCTTCTCGGACCTCTCTGGCCTGGATGATACCAGGAAAACCGAGGACCTCGACCTTCGGGCGTCCGTGCTCTCCGCGCTGGGGACGAGGCCGACGGCCGTCAGTAACCTCGGCGGCCGTCTGTCCCAGGCCGAGCTGGGGATCGGGGTGGAGAAAAACGAACATAACGTGATGAAGATGCACGAGAGAGGGCAGCACGGGATAGCCGCCTCGTCGAATAAAGACAGCGCTTTTCAACTTTCCGCGGGGAAATACCACAGCACGCTTTGCACGGAGAACGGAAATTTGTACGCGTGGGGACTGTATCCAGGGCAAAAGTACCGTACTCGTATTGCAGTCATGCATTGCAAATCGTTCTCTTAAGGTAAATCAGCATTACAAATTTTATCTTTCATGCTGAGGAATGCATTTACACGAGTACGATAGATACTTTTGCAATTCATAGACTGGAGAGAAACGGCCCGCTGCAGCCGGATCCGTTTTTGCCTTTGGGTTCCGCGGCGCTGTACAACGTTGCAGGTGGTTCTGGCGGGTACAACAACTCCGGCGGCTTTTTTTCCTCCGACGCCGGGCCGACGACGCCCCGGAACGTGAACGCGGCGCACTTCGGCGGCGGCGGGGCCGGGGCAAACGCCGCGGAGGCGGCGAGCGTCCATCTTCCGACGCTGGAAGATTTCCACGACAGTACCGGCGCGTCCGCCGGCGGACCGGATGCGAGTGTCGCCAGTGGCGTGAAGAACAGCGTGAATCGGCCGAAATTGTGTGCGCATGTCTTGCACAGGTTCGTGCAATACAGCCAATGCGGGCCGACCTACACAGTTGTGGTTTACGGTCAGGAATTGGAGACCGGAACTGCAAATGGGGGAGAGGACGAACAAGGAATAGCTGGGGAGGGGGAAGAGATGCAGATGCCGGAGGAAGATGAGGATTATGGCGATGAAGTAGGGGTAGACCCAAATTCGCATTCTCTGTACAGGAGTGAAATGTATTTTTCGACGTCCAGTGACAAAGACAGAGAATGGAGAGCGATGAACGCAGTTTAGAAAGTGATACAAGGCCGCAGCTTATGTCGCGTAGTGGGAGGGTGAACGAGTGGACAGGGGGGAAAGAAAAACGCCAGAGGGTGGGCAAGGGCCCGGCAGGCTGATATGGGGTGGGGCGCGAGTTAAAATTTAAAAATTTGGGCCGTTCCCGGGGGTATCGTTCGCCTTCCGTCTGGCAGGTCTCCGGTGGCTCTTTTTCGGGTGCCGCTTCCCGGCGTCGTGGCGTTCCCCTGTGTGTGGGGAGGCAGATTTTTTTGTTGGGTGGCCTCGGGCTTGTGTTTTTTCGCTTCCCTGTGTCTTTTCCTTCGTTCGGGGGGTGGTCTCCTTGTTGTCCGGCCCTTTTGCGGATAACCCTGGTGTCGTCCTTTTGATTGGACCTTCCGATCCGGCGTTGCAAAGTCGATTTTTTTGACTTTGCGACGCCGCGTCCTGCAGGAAAACACCTTTTCGGCGCTTCACGAAAGTGTCGTAAATCCCGAAGTACAGCGTTTTCGGGAATGTTTTCGGGATTTGGGCATTTTCGCATGAGTCCGAAAGGGTGTTTTCCCGCAGGACTTAGCACTTCACTTAGAGGGCTGATTTAGCAGCCCATTTAGAGGGCTGATTTAGCATGCGATTTAGCATGCTATTTAGAGCCCTCATTTAGCATGCCCATTTAGCATGCGATTTAAAGCCTTTCGATTTAGAGGGGTGATTTAGCATGCGATTTAGAGCGGGGTCGATTTAGAGTGCCGATTTAGCATGGTCATATAGAGTGCGATTTAGAGTCCTCGGGGCCGGGTTCTTCATTCGCAAGTCGGTCGTGGGTTTTGGGTTCGTGCACCCTACAAACCGCCTCGGGGAACTGCCCTGCTTTTGTCCACTTATTCTGGGTCTGTCGGTATGATCTCCCCGTGTAGGATAGGTAGTAGGTTGCGCAGCAGTTTTCTTCCCGGACTGCCTCTTTCCGGCCGCGACCCTTCCTCCCACCACACTTCGCGCGATATGTCGCCCGCGCATTCCCCGTGGACAATATTTCCAGAAAATCCCAGACAGAGAATGGAGAGCGATGAACGCGGTTTAGAAAGTGATTATCCACAACTTGTGCTCTGCAGTAGTTCTTGGAAGTAGATCTACCTCCAATCTATTACGGGTAGCGCGACGAATGGCATCCAAATTTGTTAATACCAATCAAACCGAAAGTTTAGGACGCCTGGAAGGTATACTGGACGCCCTGCCAGTGTAATGAGTTTTCAGTTTAGGTTATTTGTCTCCTTTTGTGTTCCGAGGGCGATTCAACGAACTGTGCTCGAAGGAAGTACATCGAGCCAAACCCAAAGATCCGATGGCAAGAACCATGTGAAGAAGTACTGAAATCTAAATTTCCTAAAATCTCTCAAGCCAAGACGAGATGATGAAAGAAGCATCGGTCCTTACAGTATTTCTAAAGTAGGTTTCGAAGTATATAGATTTCACTCCCTCATAACTGGCAGCTGTATTGAGAAGAAGTTCCAGGCTCCCTCGTTTTCATTGAACCCTCCCGCGGCACAGTGAAGAATCTTGCAAGAAGCGCATAAGAACGTTATCGGCCCTGCATAAAAATTTTCCCCACATTTCGAGATCCTGTCCACGACCTGTGAAGATCCTTCACTCTCGGGTCTCTTTAGGTTTCGAACAAATCTAAAAACTCTTTAGATTTCGAACAAATCTGTAAAAGCACTCCTGTTAATATTTTCATCCTCGTACGTTTGCGTCACACACGCGTTGTTTGTTTTCATCTGAACCACGACACGGATTTTTGAAGTCAAAGTGTTTGCTGAAGAATTCCTCGTAGCTTGTTCTCGTGTCTGATTTTGAAAAAAAAGTTGCTAGTATCCTCCTGAAAGAAATCTAAATCACGACAACATGTCCGACTCGAAGGTGCGTGATGAGGATTATGGCGATGAAGTAGAGGTAGATCCAACTTCTTTGTACAGGAGTGAATTGTATTTTTCGTCCAATGACAAAGACAGAGAATGGAGAGCGATGAACGCGGTTTAGAAGGTGATTATCTACATCAACTTTATCTCTGCAGTAGTAGTTCTTGGAAGTAGATGCACCTCCGATCTAGTACGGTCAGCGCGGCGAATGGCATCTAAATTTGTGAATACCATCAAACGAAGCGAAAGTTTAGGACGCCTGGAAGGTATACTGGACGCCTTGCCAGTGCAATGAGTTTTCAGTTTAGGTTTTTGTTTTTTCTCCTTTTGTGTTCCGACAGAAACGGTGCTCGAGGGAAGTACATCGAGCCAAAGATCTGATCGCAAGAACCATGTAAAGAAGTGCTGTGAAATCTAAATTTTCGAAAAATCTCTCCAGCCAAGAAGACGAGATGATGAAAGAGGTATCGGTCCTTACAGCATTTCTAAAGTAGGTTTAGAAGTATTAGATTTCACTCCCTTTTTACAACTGGCAGCTGTAGTACAACTGAAAAGTTCCAGGCTTCCTCCTTTTCATTGAACCCTTCCGCGGCACAGTGAACAATCTTTCAAGAAGCGCATAAGAACTAAATTATCGGCCCTGCATAACTTTCCCCGCATTTGAACAAGATCCTGTCCATGACCTGTGAAGATCCTGCACTCTTTAGGTTTCGAACAAGTCTAAAACACACCTAGGTTTCGAACAAATCTGTAAAAGCACTCCTGTTTTATTCCTCGTACGTTTGCGTCACACACACGTTGTTTGTTTTCATCTAAACCACGACACGGATTTTTGAAGTCAAAGTGTTTGCTGAAGAATTCCTCGTAGCTTGTTCTCGCGTTTGATTTTGAAAAAAAAGTTGCTAGTATCCACCTGAAAGAAATCTAAATCACAACAACATGTCCGACTCGAAGGTGCGTGACATGTCTCTGGCCGAATTCGGCCGCAAGGAGCTGAACCTGGCCGAGCATGAGATGCCCGGTATAATAAGTGATGAGACATTCACATCATTTAAAGACGATTTTTGTCATGCAGGGACGGCGTGGGAAACATAAATTCGCATGCCGACAAGGAGTGCAGTCGCAATTTCTAAATTTAGATTCGACGACGAAAACATTCCACGGGGCCGTACTGACCACGCTAGATTTGACATTATTCGTCTTGCTTCATGCATTTTCTTCATTACGACAAACACGATCAGGTCTGATCAACTGCCGTAAGGAGTACGGCGCTGCGAAGCCGTTCGCCGGCGTCAAGATCGCGGGGTCCTTACACATGACGATTCAGACCGCGGTTCTGATCGAGACTCTTGCGGAGCTCGGTGCCGATGTCCGCTGGTGCTCGTGCAACATTTTTTCCACCCAGGACCACGCCGCCGCGGCTGTGGTGAAGGCAGGTAACTAAGTAAGGATTTGTACATGCAGTTCGATGTATGAAAATGGTTCATATTATCCACAGTACGCATGATAATCAGCATGTTTATTGGTCCCAAATCAAAATTTGGCTTCTCCTTCTCCCAATAGGACCGGAGTTCAGTAGCTCTGCTTTCACGTAGTTCATTTTGATGGCGAAAAGTTTCTCTCCATACTAGTACGGCGTGACCACTGCAGATGCTGTTATTTTGCAAAAATGCAAAACTCTGTTTAATAAAATGTTTTAAGGTACCGCCGCTGTTTTTGCGTGGAAGGGCGAGACTTTGGAGGAATACTGGGACTGCACGGAGAAGACCCTGATCTGGCCCGATGGTTTATCACAAGCAAAAGCGTTAAGATTTACGGTTTTCACAGATTGCAGCCTTGCGTCACAAATTTAGCCTAGTATGCATGCTATGCATGACAAAGTTTGGCGCGTTTAGTTTGGCACGTTTTGCGATGCTTTACCGCATCACAAATTCCGTAAACGTTATCACTTTTTCCTGTGATATGGTTCCGGCCCGGACCTGATTGTGGACGACGGCGGTGATGCTACCATGCTGATCCACAAGGGTATTGATAGTAGCAGTGAACTTGATTTGTTTTTGGGCGATTTAATTTTGTCAGGCTCAGTGAGAAGTAGTTTTTGTTTTCGTTTTCCACGAAGATGCAGGATGCATGCGTGCGCAGCTTTGTGTAAGTTTGTCCCGATCTTCAAGAATCCACCTAGACAGAGTCAGAGTTTTCGGTTTTAAGCGGAATGGAGTGAGCGTAGTTGTATTCCTGGTTTGACCAAATGAGAGTCAACACGGTTGTTTGCCGGGTTACGAGCAAGAACTGCGTTTTCGGGAATTGCAGGAGTATAACAATCCAATCCTGAAAACATACAACAGGTAAGCAGTTCGAAGAAGAGTTCGCCGCCAACGGGTCGCTCCCCGACCCGAACACCTCCTCCAACCCGGAGTTTAAGTGCGTCCTCGCCCTGCTTTACGAAAGTGCATAACTCTTCCTCCCCCTGATTTGTATTGCATGAGCAGCAATTATACAAGCGCCCACACATGTGGAGCCTGTGCATTAGAAGTTAATTCGCGTAATTTAGTACTGGTTGGGCTTCCAGAATCTGTCATGCAAAAAGTACTACAAGGCAGCGCTTGGGTTTGGTATTTTGCATGACAAGTGAGGGGGAGCGGGGGAGATGTGCACTCTCATATGCTCCGCAAGTCTATCCAGGCCAACCCCAAGCGGTGGTCGACCATTGCCGCGGCCGTGAAGGGCGTTTCCGAAGAGACCACCACGGGGGTCCACCGTTTGAAGGAAATGGCACAGAAGGGACAGCTTTTGTTCCCGGCCATCAATTATGTATTGCAAAAGTATCGTACTCGTAATGTATAAATGCATTACCAATTTCTCTCAGCAAGAGAAATGGAATTTCTCATGCTGATTTTGCCTTGGCAACAAGATTTGTAATGCAAGACTTGCATTTATACGAGTGCGATACTTTTGCACAGGATATCAACGTCAACGACTGCGTCACCAAGTCCAAGTTCGATAACGTGTACGGGTGCAGACACTCTTTGCCGGATGGTAAGTGAATGCGTTGTATAATTTGTGATGCATACTACACTATCTAGATGTACTTTGTCATGCATAGTGATTGTACACTATTTTGCCTTGCTCTTGCAGCAACGAATCGGCAAAAGGTCGTAGAGCAATGCTTGCAAACGGTTGGGTTTTATTTCTGAAACTATGCTTTTCCTTTTCCCGCAACACAAATACAAATTTCTCTATCAGGTCTCATGCGTGCCACCGACGTGATGATTGGTGGAAAGCGAGTGCTTGTTGCTGGGTACGGTGATGTGGGAAAGGGATCCGCGATGGCCATGAAGGGCGCGGGTGCACGAGTCATGATCGCAGAATGTGACCCGATTTGTGCGCTGCAAGCATGTATAAATTTGATGATTTTTCGAATTCTGCTTTTGCTGCACTTTGATACAAACAATGAATTTTTTGCAGCCCACCACTCTGGAAGTTATTCCCTCGTGTTGATAAAGCCAATTGAAATTAAAATATGAAACTAAGTACATTTCTTCAATTATCAGGCATGGAGGGCTACGAGGTGACCACGATCGAGGACGTCATTGACCAGGTGGACATTTTCATCACAACCACTGGTAACTTCAACATTATCCGGGCCGAGCACATGGCCAAGATGAAGAACAACGCGATTGTCGGGAACATTGGTCACTTCGACAACGTATCAATTGCAAATATGTCTGGGTCTGGAACGCTGGAACTTGTCATGCTAATTCTGGATAGTGCAAAAATCTGTGTTGCGTGATTACCAAAAGCTGCCCACTTTTGACCAGGTTGAGTAGAGGCAGTTAGTTTCTCATGCAGGCGAGGCATGATAGAGGTCGCCCAGAATCTGTCATGCTAGAGCATGTATGACAGACCTCACGCGTCATGGAAAACCTGCATGACAAGTCTTGCGACCTTCCAGACCCTGACAACATGTTTGCATTTGATACAACGAAATCGACATGGCGGGACTGGAGTCCTTTCCAGGAATCAAGTGCGAAAACATCAAGCCGCAGGTGGACATATCCTGTGCAAAAGTATCGTACTCGTACTAATTGCATTTATGCATTACAAATCTGCTTCCTAAGGCAAATCCGCATTACAGCTTTAATTTGTAATGCTGAGCAAATTTGTAATGCAGTTCACAATAGTTGTGCGATACTCATACTTTTGCAGTTCATAGGACAGGTTCATTTTCCCGGACGGGCACGGCGTTATCGTCCTCGCATCTGGCCGGTTGATGAACCTCGGATGCGCGACCGGGCACCCATATCAAGAAGAAAAATCCCCCCTCCCCACATCAAACCGGAAATCTGTGATGCAGATTTGCGGTCACAAATCAGCTTTGTCATGCTAGAAGAGAAAAGCTGCGGACTGTAGTGCTGGGTGGCGTGGGAAAGCCTTGCGTCTTCAGCATGACAGGAGGCAGCTCGAAGTGGAAAACAGCACGACAAATTGCCTGCAAACGAGGCCACAACTGCGCCGCTTTGCCTTCTAGCAATACAGGCCCATTTGTGTACTCAAAAACAGCATCACAAATTTCGTTTTCGATATATGGGGAGGGAGGATTTTTCCTTTTGATAGCCCGTCCTTTGTCATGAGCTGTTCGTTTACAAACCAGACCATCGCTATGCAAGAAAAAAACTGTGTAAGTGTAACTGTGTAATGCAGAACATGCAACAGAGGCACGCCTGTCATGCCAGACAACCATGAAGTCCTCTTTTCGTGTGTGTTTTCCCTTACCAGCCGCGCATGACAGGTTTTCTCTGACATGTAGAGCAAATTTGTGATGCTGTCAACCAAAGAAAGTTACACTAACACAGTTTTTTTCTTGGATAATCGCACAGCTGGATCTATTGGACAACTGGAAAAACAGCAACGTGCTCAAGAGGCAGAACAGGAAACCGTACGGAACCAGCGAGGTAAAGATACTACGGGTTTTTATCGCGTTTTTTGCACCAGCACGACGGCTTTGTTTATTTGGTGTCTTGCGTAGTTCTAAAATGCATGACAACATCTTTGTTAAATAAAGCGTTGAACAAAATCTCTATCATGCATCCACCCCAACCCAAGCACAACAGGTCTACCGCCTGCCGAAAGAGCTGGACGAGAAGGTGGCCAGATTGCACCTGCCGGCTCTGTATCCTGTGCAAAAGTATCGTACTCGTATTGCAATAACGCACTACTTACAAATCTTCTTCTTAAGGTAAATCCGCGTCACAAATTTTATTTCTCATGCTGAGAAATAAATTTGTAATGCGTTTATACGAGTCCGGTACTTTTGCAATCCATACTCTGGGTGCGAAGTTGACCAAGCTGACCAAGGAACAGGCGGAATACATCAACGTGCCTTCCGAGGGGCCCTACAAGCCGGACGATATCCCACAGAAAAAAGCAGGCAGAGCATATTACTATCTATTATATTCATGCGAAAGTAGAGGTCTACAGAGGATAAAAGAGAGGTGGCCGAGAGGTCAAAAAGAGGCCGACAGAGGTAAAAAAGAGGTCGACAGAGGTGAAGAGGTGGCGCGGGAGGTCTTTCGAGAGGGAGACCGAGAGGCGGCGCGAGTATAGCCCGCCGAAGGGTCCACCCTTTAGCGCCGCTGAAGCGCCTCGGACGGAGGGTGCAGAGAGGTGGAAAGGAGGGCAAGCGAGAGGTGGGCAGAGGTGCCGAGAGGTTGCGCGAATAAGGCGGGACCTCTTGCGCACCCTCTCGGCGACCTCCCGGCCACCTCTGTAGCCCTCTGCCCGCGAGTATAGCCCGACTATTAGCGGGGACCCCCGAGAGAGGTCAAAAAGAGGGGCCGCGAGAGGGTCCAAAAAACCCGAATCCGCCCGGCACGCGGCCGATTTTTCTGGGGCTTTTTCATCGCGCAGGCCCTCGCCCTCTCGTGCTACCACCTCGCGCACCCTCTCGCGCACCCTCCCGCGTCCCCCTCTCGCGCGTGATCAAAAAAGGACAGCGCGGCCCCCGTTCTGCTTCGGTAGGCACCTACGCCGAGGCGGTTTCGCTTCGCCCCCAAGCTTCGTTGCGGCTGCTCCCTGCGCATAGCGCCGGAAGGCGCGGGAAGCGCGCAGGAAGCACAGCGGGCTGAGATGACGCAAACCGCGCCGGTATTTCTTTCGACCTATCACGTCGCGCGCAAAGCCATGGCGTTGTGGCCCTGTCCGCAAATAGTCCTGCCCCGCCACAACAGCCGCTCGCCCCGGCGTCAGCCGGGGCATGGCTGGTAATTTGTAATGCAAAAACAAATACACAGAAAAATCTGTCATGGGCGGCCCCATAGCATGCTGCTTCGGATATGGGGCGCAGATTTCTTTGTCGCATTACAATATGACCTGTCTGCTTTTTTCTGTGTGATAGACGAGTACCGATACTAAATCGACGCTGTGGGTGGAACAATATTTCTCGTCGTAGCAGCTGCTCCGCCGGTCTGTCATGTCCTGTTTCCGACCATTCTGTATAGCGCCTTGAGGGTATGGATGTACTGGAAATGTACACTGTAATTAGTAGAATTGTTTTGACGAGTACGAGTTTATTACTCTCCTCTGTTGAATTAGAATTTGTCATGCGATAGAGTTTGCATGCCTGTACTATCAGCTTTCGTACTTTTTCGAATGCAGAAGTAGTAGCCCATTGATTTACTGCTCACTATCGCCTCGCGATAGAATCAAGACGAGAACTTGAGTTTTCACCGTAAAATCTTGTCTATATTGGGAACTACGCCCAGGTTGATCTATGGTTATATTGAAGTTCAACTTTTTGACATGAGTTGTTAACGAGTTGAAGTGCTGAGCAGTTCTCTGAGTATACTGGCTGGTTGTTTGGGAGGATCCGTGTTTGGGTTTTTCGCTTCTCTCAAGTGAAAGGCACTACATGTTGAGACCCATAATTCCAGCATATTATTCTGCGCCATGTCCCTCTAGTACTCTGAATGTTCTTTTTCAACAACATTTATAAGCACTCGATTATAGTTTTTCAACAGCACAAAAAAGCGGATTTCGAAAAATCAATCCGGCTTTTGATGAAAACCGATCCATTTTACCTTTATGTGTCCGAAATTTTCGAGAAGTGCGCGAACTGCTTTTTAGTAGTTCGTGAATTTCTCTAGCGAAAGTAGGTTTGAAGAAAGATTTGAATCCTTGTCAAATGAGCACTACTGGTACGACGAGAGTGGCCGACGTATAGATACTGAACTGATTTCTATTTTGGGAAAAGTTTGATAGCAGAGTGAAAACTTCCTAATGTATTGTGCAGACTTTATTTCTACAGGGGTTTCTACTCGGATGACAGGCTGGTTTATGAAATAAGAAAAACGTATCTGGCTCTGGCAGTATTCGCATTGAACAGAAGTTTGAATTTCCGCCTTGATTCCTAAATGAAATGGAGTCCACTCGAATACCCACTGGTTGTATGGGGAAGAACAGCTCCTGACGGAATCTCAACGTGTCCATCCGTCATGAACATCTTCGGTTCCTCGTCTCGTCACTAACCCTTCCTTCTTGGTCGTTCCTCTTCTTCTTCAGAAGCTAAGTCCTGAGGAGCAAAATCAAGCGGTCACGACAATTTGAAAGATTGAGATTCTATGCGAAAATACTTTTCATTCTCGGTTAAGTTCGCAGTGACAATGTGTTTTGAAACTTGATGATGGTCCTCTGCCTGCGGGTTTGTAAGAGAATGGAAATCCGGGGAAACAAATGTCCTAAAGATCTTGGTAGATCAAGGCTTGGCATCTTGGTAATTCAGCACTTTGGGGGAGGAATGAACCAATATTGCAGAAGTCGTCGAATTCGTCTTGCAACATCACAGCTTTTCTGATTTTCCAGTCTGACAAGCGCAACTCAGTATTTTTGGAACAACAGTCGTGGCGTGGATTTCGTTCATACCCATGTAGCGTTCTTCAGTATCTATTGAATTATTCTTTGTGGTCCCAAAAATTGTAAAATCCAAAGTAAGCGCTGCCCACCTTGGGCGCGAGGAATAGCTACTTTCTGTACCCCCCTACTTACTACACCTGCGTATTTCTTCGCCCGTTCCGACGGTAACACTTTCACTCCTTTTAGTTTCCCTTGGTCAGCGATTGGAAAAAAAGAGAACCATGCCGAAAGCAGTTTCTAAGCCGTCGCCTCTTGCTCTAACAGGCGTAAAGATGTTGAAAAGGACTCCGGCGAGGAAGGCCGTTGTCAAGTCGGGAACGGAGATGAAGATAAAAAACGCGTCTTCTAGTGCCAAGACATCGAAAAAGAACGGAGGGAAGCAGCATGGAGGTACTCCTTCTTCGGCTGCGAAACAAATGAAGAACACGCATCGCCGGTCGAATCCGACGAATCAGAGCAGTATCTCTACTGCGAAAAATAAAGATGTTGCCAAGCCAGTCAGTCCTTTTGAGACCAGTAATTCAGCCTCCTTGGATTCCGTGCTGAAAAACCTGGAAAAGCATCATCTTCATGGAGGACAAGGTTCTTCGTCCAAATGCGGCACTCCTGCTCCGGTTTTAGACTCATCTTCTTCTATCCGGACCCTGCACTTCACGGAAAAGTCCTACATGGTGATCGTTCCGAAAGCAAAACTTCCGAACTTCCTCCACCTACGAGAAGATGGGAAAAACACACCGCTCTACGATGCCTTCTGGCAAGACGCGAAACCGGCGGAAAGGGACACGATTGTGATGTACAATAGGGAGGTGAAGATCCCGCGGTACATCAAACTTTACGGGAAGGAAAAGGACAATATCTGTGTGTCCGTTTCCGGGCAGACCTGGCCGGCGAACCCGATCAGAGAGGAAGGCACTAGTAATAAAGCGGTGCCGGTTGATCAACATCAAGATCAGACTAATTTTGTCGAAAATCATCTGAAGAAGGTCCTTGATTTTTTCAACGAGAAATTACAGCCAGTGAAAAGAGACAAACAAAAAGACTGGAACGCGATTTTGATCAACTGGTACACGGACGGCCAGGACTACATTGGCTTCCACGCTGACCGGGAAATATGCAGTGCAAAAGTATCGTACTCGTACTAATTGCGTTTATGCATTACAAATCTTTTTCTTAAGGCAAATCCGCATGACAAATTTCATTTGTCGCGCTGAGTCAATTGTATTGCAGTTACTGATACTTTTGCAGTTCATAGGAGAAATCAATCGACCACTCGCTGCCGATTTTGACCTTGTCCTACGGTGCGGAGCGGAAATTTCAAGTGCAGACGAAAGTGTCGAAGGTGAAGAAGGAAAATAAGCCGGTGATGCTGTTTGACGAGGTGATTCCGGAGAATTCCCTGGTGATTATGGGCGGCGATTTCCAAACCGAATTGAAGCATTCCGTGCCGAAAATGAAAAATGTGGACGGGAAGCGGATGAGCTTTACCATTAGGAGGTATCATCCGAATCCGTGAAAAATCAAGATTATACGAGTAGCGGAGTGACGAGGAACGAGGAGTTTTTGAGCATAGTGAACGCAGCCAAGTAGGGTGTGGTGGTTTTGAGAGTTTTGAAAGGAACCCCTGGTCCGTTTTAATTTTGAAAACTTGAATGATTTGTAGAATTGACAAAAAAGCCTATACAAATATATTCGATTCTGGCGCTTGTCACGGTAAAAATGATTGCACGTCATTTCGAAAAATTGCGAGAAAAAGCGCTACTTCTAGGAAAAGTATCCTTTGTTTTTACCCTCCGTGCAAAAAACTTGTGGTTGTGTTTGGACTACCAGGAAGTGCTCAGTTTTCATGTTGTACGGTCGAACCGGACCCGGTGTAGGAGCAATGTAGTTGAGTGTTGTGCTTAATAGGTCTCCTTCTATGGAGATCAATTGCTTGCTTTTTTTCCCCGCGGAATGCTTTGAGGAGCCGTGGCGAGACTGTTCAACGAGCATCTATCTCAAGGCTTCTAGTTGGGCAAGCAGTAGTACTTCTACAAGCGGGCGTTTTCCCGCAGATGTTTCAAGATCACAGTGTGCACTGCGAAGGAAAAGATCCATTTTTTAATTTGAAAGTTCCAGAAGCAAGATCACAACTTGCGAAACATTTTTCTACGAGAGAAACAAGATCCAGACTGTTGTGCCGGACCACACGCGCTGTTGTTCTGGAGAGAGGTGAGATGAGGTTACCGAGTGTTTTACTAAGTTGAAATCTGAAACGTTTCATCTCGAGAAACAAGACGAAATCATGATGTTGGGACAACATTCCCTCGATTGCCTCCTCTCCGCGTTGATCTTCTTCCAGGTCTTCGTCAACGCCCCCCTCCCCGCTCTCGCCGACTCCGACGATTTCGCGACGAGTTTTCCGCATTTCCCGACCCGGGGTGTGCGCACGATTGACACATGGGACTTCTACTTCGAGGACGAAAGTAAGACCACGGAAGAAAACCGAGCGAAGAAAATCCAAGTCTCCGTGCCCGACGCTTTTGACCTGCCGATAGTGAAGGTGAAAACCAACAGCAAGTGCGGTCTGGACGATTCGAGGCCCGTGGAGGATTGTTGCGAAAGGGCACTCGGCAGGTTCGGGGAGGAGACGTGCTACACGCTGAAAAATGAGGAGATACTCAAATCCGCAGCGCAAAATCTTCTATCTGACGAGGATGAGGAGGAAGTAGAGGAGGCGAAGAATTTCGAAAACGCGAACAAGCAAGATGGTGGCGGTCCAGCAGTTGGCACAACAAGAACTTCTGGTGCATCGGTTACTCCTACTACTCCAACAAGTCCACCCATTTACTCCGATTGCTGTCAGCCCACCACGGATTTCACGCACAAGAGGGGTTTCGGGGTTTACGAAACGGTCCTCGGTGGGCACATCACCATGCTGCGGTTTCACAGCTGCGTCTTCTACTGCGAGGTTTACGTTGATAATTTTTTGTATGGAACTGTCAGGATCGAAATCGTCAAGATTGAAGTTATAATCTGCAATGCAAAAAAGCGATACCAGCTTGAGCCCAGTTTGCAAGTGGCGCATGGCAAATTTTGGCAGCATGAAAATCCAATTTCTCATGCTGGTTGAGCAGAGTGGACTGCTTTTGTAATCTTATTTTAGCAGCTTTACCTTTATGTCACACCCCAAACAGGCTTATAAGTGGCCTCAGTTGCCTGGTCTGCAAGACAGGCACTTTGCTTCTAGCATTTTATGCATCACAAACTATTTCAACTTTGACGGTTTCGATCCTGGCGCTTCCATATTCTGATGGAATCCTTCGTCTCGGGGTACGCGGTAAAAGACGTTTTTATCGGGAAATTTCAATTGGAGAAAAAACGGATAAAAGTCCGGGTGTCCAACCAATTCGACTACGACCGAACCCCCATCCACCAGCTGAAATACGACTGGTACCAGGCCGGGGGCTTGGTCCGCCCTGTGGAAGCGCACGCGGGGAACTTCTTGCTCTTCAGGCAAGCGGTCGTGAGTCCGGTGTGGGAACTTGTGAAAAAGCACTACATGGCGGAGGATCACGACAAGGCAGTAGCGAATTTGGCCAAGAGTTCGGGCGTAAATGCCGGCGATAGTATTGACGAAACTGGCAATGAGAGTAGCTCCAATGGTGACCATGCGGCAGAAGTAGAGCAGAAGCAACCGCCACCACCGCAGCCTGGCATGCCGCAATTCCACACTTCTCTATCCAACGCTTTGAATTTACCGTCTTTTCCGGTCTTGGAGGAAGATTACGCAGTGAAAAAAGTGCAACTCGATCTCTTTCTCGAAGGCACGAGGTTCTTCAAAAACTTAGACGCGTTACTTGCCACTTCTTCTACCAGCGGTGGCGATAGGAAGTTTTCCAATTCCCTCGACATCGGCAATCTCCCCTATGAATTCCAACTTCGCTGGGAACACCGGTGCGGAAATACAAACATAGCGACCGCCCAAATAAGGGGCAGCAAAACCAATCTACCTCCCGGCGTCGTGCCATCGAGTTCCAATTCAGTTATTGAGATCATGGACAATCTGAAAACCGCCGAATATCTACCGGATGAGGACATGGTGAAACTCACTTTCGTATCAAGCGTAAAAATGTCTGGGTCTGGAGGATTTCTTGATTTGTCATGCATATTTTCCATGACCCATGATGTCTGTGATGCATGCCGTAGCATCACAGATCTTGTGAGGGCTTCCTGATGCCTATACCGCATGACAAATGCTCTTTCCGTGTAGCAAAACTTGGACTCTCTTTGCTGCTCATGCAATACAGATTTTTTTAGAATCCAAAATCAGCATGAGAAGCTCCATTCTTCCAGACCCAGACGTTTTTACATTTGATATTTCGAAAACCTAGTGGCGCCGGGAGTTGGTGTGCAGGACGACGTTGGTCCTCAGGACGACCTATGCATTGCAAAAGTATCGTACTCGTATAAATGCATTACAAATTTTCTCAGCATGAGATATGAAATTTGTAATGCGGATTTACCTTCAGAAAAAAATTTGTGATGCAAGACTTGCATTTATACGAGTACGATACTTTTGCACAGGATACGACCATTCCGCAGTCTCTGCGGCCTTGTGGTCCCTGGACCAACCGAATTTGCACTTTGCGTCCATTTCTCTTCTGGACAAGGAGAAGAACATACGACAGTGCACAACGCACCCTCCCCCGCATTTGTATTGCATGAACAGCAATACAAACCCCAGCCCACGTGGAGCCTGCGCATGACAAACTTATGTGCCTGATGTAGTACAACTGTTTGGGCTTCCAAGATCTGTCATGCGAACAGTGCCACACGACAGCGACTGGATTGGGGGTTTTGCATGACAAATGAGGGGGAGCAGGGGGAGTTGTGCACTCCCATAAAACAACGAGCTCCTGGACTGCATCATAATTCGCTTCGGGCTGCGGAAGATAGAAGCGAAGTTTTATTGTGAGGAAACATGTCCTCTCCCCATATTATTGAAAACGGAATTTCTACTGAAGATTTGTGATGCAGATTTGTGACCACAAATGTTGTCTGTCTTGCAAGACGGCAAAGCTAACGAGTCCGCCACGTTATGCAGGCGAATTGTAACGCTGCAAGGCCTACAGGGCAGAAGTCTGCCATGCTAGGCGCTTACACGAAAAGGCCCCTAGCTAGGCTCGGGATCTGCGTGCAGTCCTCGACTGCGCGAGAAATTCGATTTGTGTACACAGCTTCCGCATGACAGATTTCCGTTTTGATATGGGGAGGGGAGATTTTTCATTTTGGTAACTTTTCCCGGTTTTACTTGAACGGGAAGACGGTGAAGTTTATGAACTGCAAAAGTATCGTATTCGTATAAATGCATTACAAATTTTCTCAGCATGAGAAATTCGTAATGCGGATTTACCTCAAGAAAAAGATGCATGATTGCAATACGAGTGCGATACTTTTGCACAGGATAAAGTTGAAGGGCTACAACCGGCACGACATGGACGTCTCAGGGACCGGCCCCGCGATGTCGCTGGGGACGCATTACCGAGACGTGCGCCTGATCAAAACCACCCTGTATCCTGAGTAAAAACGTACCCACACCAGAGTCAGGATGGGGATTTTGCAACACAAGCCTGGGAGTTTTGTGAGTCACGCATGACAAGTTGCACTATGCAGCGTAGTGCAGGTTAGCAAGTGCAGCCGCGTCACAGATTCGTCTGCTCATCCTTTTCACAGCATCACAAATTCCAAAACACGACTGGAAATGGCTCTCATGGGGATGCGCATTACAAGTCTTCCTGTCTTTGCAAATCCGTAGCCATTTTGGCTCAAGATCCTTAATATACCAACCCCTGCCATTTTGGCGGGGGGGATCCGCTGAGCCCAGTTAAAATCTTCAACAGCGACCAAACGGTAAAGATACAAAAGGGGGAGCAATGCCGTAGAGTAGTAGCACTCCTTCTTGATTCTCTTCCTTTTATTTTGCCCTCAGATGCCACGTCGGCACCTCCCCCGAATCTCTGCAAATAAGAAGTAGCGTAAACACCCGAGCGTGGCGGGTCACATTTCCTTCTCTTACTGTAGTCTCTAGCTCGAGCCTCGGCGTCCTGTGTGCCTGGAGGCGCGTTGTACAATAATGACCTGGCGAGGGCGCTTCGGGATGCCGTCTCACACGCACACCTGATGACGGGAAGTATGTGGCTCGCGGGCTCCAGGCGGACGAGGAAACTAGCCGCGATCCTGCATCCGGCGTCGAAGTAAGAGCAGTAATTCGGGAAGGAACGGCAGCCATACGCCCGGCGGCTTCGACCGGGCACTGCCACCCGGACTACGGAATCAGACCGGGGCAGGAGTTCTGGAACGGGTTAGCTCCACCTTGCCGCCGGTGGATTATGCGGCTCGGGTCGGCTTTGGCAAACACCAGGTTTCGCGCGGATGCCCCCCAGCTCGCCCAAGCCTGTAGCAACAAGCTCAGTCGAGTCTTGTTCCCCAGCACAATAGATGCGACGTAGGGGCGCACAATAGATGCGAGCACAAGGCTTGGCAGCGCTGGGGGAGATGGTGCTGGCCACGGCACGCACTGGAGATGCGACGTCCGTCTGGCGCCGGTGTTGCCAGACCACGAACCGGCGCCAACATGTTATTTGCCTACGATGTGCAGTGAAGTGGGCATGTGTCGGCTGAAGCGCTGCCCTTGTGGCCGTGCGATGTCTCTCGAATAATTCGCCTCTACTTTCCCTCTAGTCGCTACTTTCGGGAGGTAAAAAGGACATCCTAGGCTTGCACATGTTGCATCTTGCCGTTGGTGTTTGCTTCCTCCCGTATAGTAATTTAAAGGTGCTACTGCAGGCTCCCATGCAATGTTTCTTGCTGGTAGTCTGGCTTGCTCCTTGTACAGTGTGTGCGTGTAGGATGTTGGCAAAGTTGGTAGGAAATGAGGTTGATACTGTTGGCAAAAAAGGCTGGTGGTCTGGGGACACGTTGTATGATCTCGAGTACACGCACCTACTAGCCCGAGGGGGTGCGGGAGCCTGAAAAAAAAAAAAAAAGTTGGTTGGTGGCGAAAAGTTGGTTGTTTGCGAGTATAGTATGGAGCGGCCGGGAGATGATGGTGATGGCACTTCGGTGTCCGCCTGACCTACCCCCCCTGCGTGTCAAGCCATCTGCGGCCTGGGGCAGAGGGGGGGGCAAAGTGTGCTGCAATTCCTTTAGCATTACAACTCTGGTGTGGGTACGTTTTTACTCAGGATACCCTGTTCGCGAACTTTATCCGCGGCGCGCACTACCCGATGGATCAGCGGTTTTTGGTATCCAGGAAAAAAACTGTGTAAGTGTAACTATGTAGGAAGAGCAGCATCACAAATTCCAATTCGCTTTGCGTTACAGGGCAGACCTGCCATGCGCAGCTAGTACGTGGAAACACGTATGAGAGTAGCCTATGACGCAGATCCAGCATGACAAGCGTAACAGTTTTGCATTTCTGCATCACAGACTTGCACTTGTTACACAGTTTTGTTCTTGCATATTTGGACCTTTGTGACGAGTATGGGTTGTTGGTTTGGGAGGAATCCGTCGGGTGGCAAAACACCGTGAAGGATTTCTTGAACCACAAATTCGTGCAACAAACCATCGACGGGACGAAGAGAATATGCATTCTGCAAAAAATATGTGTGGGTCCGGAAACTTGTGTTGCTGATTATACAACTCGCATTACTTACACAGTACTAGCCACTTGTGTGGCATAACAGCATCAAAAATGTTAATGTTTCTCGATGGCTTGTGCAGATCTGAATATATGTCAAACGCATGACAGACAGAGTTTCACAGCACGACAAACATGCCGGCGACTTGCAGTCATGCATCACTGAAGATCTTCATCCTGCTCTCCTTGAAATCTCGCATCCCAAATGCAGACCAAGACATACCTTTGCAATGCATAAAGGATGATGTTCCACTCCATAAACCACCCGTCCGTGATCGTTTTCGGCTTTCTGAACGAGGGGTACACGAGTCACGAAGCCAGCATTCATGTCTACGAAACTTTAACGAATTTAGTGAAGGGGAACTGGGGAGTCGCGGTGCATCAATCACCAGCTGCAGCATCCCCACCAACAGAAACGGACCCATCCTCCGCAGTGGGAACAAGTACAACATCCTCGAACCGCATGAACGACGACGCAAAGAGTGAATCAGCACTTTCGATCCTTTCCAGCGTCCGCCGGCTGGTGTCGTGGGCATCGTCCTCGCGGTTTCACGATTTGAACTGGAAGTTCGCGGATTTTCTGTCCTTCAACAGCTACGAAGGGTGGTACCCGACCACGCAGCCCTTGACGTCTCTAACCTTGCAGGAAATCCCGGAAATCTGGGATTTCTCCGCCGCCTGGGCGCAGGACCACTACCCAGGGAAGCCGTTGATTTGTTCCGAAACCGGCGCGGGAGGGTTGTACCGCGTGCATGGCCCGTCCGATGGAAAGAAGTGGTCGGAGGAGGTGCAGTATGGATTGCAAAAGTGTCTGGGTCTGGAAAGAAGGGGATTTGTGATGCTAGCTGTCGATCACACAAATCAAAAATCTGTGTTGCATGAGAGGCAAAAGGCGCTCAGATTGTTGCCTCTCACAGAAGGCATTTCTCATGCAGAATAGGCATGGCCAAACCTTTGCGAAAGCTGTGATGCTAGAGAATGCATCACAGGCATCGGAGGCCATGTACAATTTGCATGACAAACATTCCAGATCCAGACATATTTGCATTTGATATGCAGTCCGTGATCCTGCAGATCCACGTGTTGTCGTTGTTGAACCACGAGAAAATCGCCGGGTTCGCCTTGTTATCCTGTGCAAAAGTATCGTACTCGTAGTAATCGCAGCCATGCATTACAAATGTTCTTCTTAACCTAAATCGGCATTACAAATTCCATTTTCAATCATGTGGACGTGAAGGGAATTTGTCATGCGATTTCTACTAGTACGATGCTTTTGCATTTCATACTTGTGGCAGTTCACGGACTCCTTGATCGACCAGAACATATCCGACACGCTATCCTGGGTAAAAACGTCCCCACCCCAGAGTTGTCATGCAGATTTGCGATTGCAGGAAGATTTGTAATGCGCATCTCCATGAGAGGCGTTTCCAATCACGTTTTGAAATTTGCAATGCTGTAAACAGGATGAGCAGATGGATTTATGATGCGGCTGTCCTTTGCTAACATGCACTACACTACGGACTGCAACTTGTCATGCGTACCTCCCAAAACTTCTGGATTTGTGTTGCTAAGTTCCCAACTTGACTCTGGTGTGGGGACGTTTTTACAAATGATACACGCTGCACAGACCGCGGGGCTTGAACAACAAGGGGGTGTTGACGATGCACCGGAAACCGAAAACCTCCTTTTTCGCGTTGCGCACGATTTTTAAGGGGGAATTCACAGGCTTAATACTACCCGAGGCAGACACGGGGAAGTTCACAGATTTGATCAAAGTGGCCTCGTAGAAGAAGAAGTATGGCCGTAGCTTGTTTTATTTTTAGGAATTGTAGTTTATTGTGCTGCACACGGAGAACGAAACCATAACCAAGGAGGAAGTGCTTCCTTTGATTGTCGCGGCAAGTCTTGACCTGTTTGTGTCGCTGTTCTCTGACCAAACAAAAAACTCGGTGGATGTTCGCAATGTCAACGATCCTGGCGCGTGCGACTGTGGAGCGCGTTAGGATATTGTGATGGTCTACTTCGTCCATTGCGGCAAGGAAGAGCGGGAACAAGAGACAGCCGAGAGCGCGAAAGCAGGGGGCGGCGGGGCGGGGTGCCTCAGGAGCCCCATGGCGCCCGCCAGTGGTGGCGCGCGCGCGTCGACGCAGCAGCGACGTGCCTCGCGCTGCGGCCCGGGGCGCTGAGGTGGCGGGGCAGATTGCCCGCGTCGGTCACTTGGAAGCAGCGCACAATGAAGCTACGCTGGCGAAACTGAAAACGATGCGCCGTTTTGAGAGTGAGTGCGGCAAAGCTGTAGGGCATGCGCTTGGTGTGGGGTGGGCCGGCCCGCCGTTGAAACTAGCCCCGCGGGGCGTTTTGTCGGTGTTGCGGGCGCGGCTGCCCTATCCTAAGCAGCTGGGCGGCAGTCGCCTGGGCCGTTCGTCCCACGAATGCACGAAGTTCGAAGACTACGAAGAGGCGCAGCGCGCCGCACCGGATACAGCTGCGCGCATTCGACTTCTTTCGCAACGGCGCACCTCCCTCCGGGCCCCTCGCTCCCGATGGCCGCGCGCCCCGCCCGTTAATATCTGCGGCGCCGGCGGTTCGTCTTCGCCCCCGCGGGGCGCGCCCGCGGGGCGCAGCGTCGGCCGGCCGCGCTGGCCCGTGCGAGCGCACGCCAGAGCCTGGGCCGCCGGCCCTTCTTCGGGTGTGTTGGCCTGTCGGGCCCGGGCCCCCCCGCCGGGTTGGGTGGCCCGCCGCCGGGCGTTCGCGTGCGTCCCCCCGCGCTTGGGATTTTTGGCCCCGTGCTTCTGTCGCCGCCCCCCGCCGGCCAGGAGGGTCGATCGCCAGCCAAGTCGGCGCACCTGTTTGTGGCCAGCTTTGCCGGCGGTTTCAAAGTTGATTGCGCATTTGGCCGATGGGGCGCGCTGGGCGGAAGAGCCAGGGTCGCAGTCTTGAGCGCCGCCCGTCCCGTCGCTTGCCTAGGACAAGGGCCGCCCGTTCGGATCGATCGATGGCTGTGTGGGAGTTTTGGCAGCTTCCTGGCGGACAGTCGAGGGCGACGGCGGCAACTCCACAGCGCACGGACGGGCGCGCGCCTATCTTTCCCGAGTCAGACAGTTTCTCTCTAGTCTACATAATTTCTTTGTTTACCAGCTCAGATCCCAGCCTCAGTTGTAGCAAGGTGGGCCAGCCGTGATAGCCGCTGCTCAGTTGCGCCCTCAGATCTTGCGTCCGCAGTTTGGTGTTGTGGAGACATTTTTCAGTGGCAGGAGAGATTTAGTATTCCGTTGTGAGTGTTTTAGATGAGAAGTGAAATTTTCCACAGTTGCCCCTCTCAGCAGTCTTTTCCACCCTACGTGATGCTTTATTCTTCCCAAAATTTGTCAGTGAGCGAGATCACTGTCGAGGGACGAGAGCAGCCACCAACACGACGAACAAAATCAAAATGGCTACACGAGCTGCTTCTTTTCCACCAATCGGGGTGTTCTAAAATAAACCCGTGGCCACCCCCGACCGCTACCGCAGTGTTGAAGAAGAAACCAACATGTTCCGCGCCTGGGAGGGTCAGTACCTGACCTATACCGACAATGACGACAGTCGGTGGTGTCCAGGGGCGGTGGTGCCCGACAACCGTTTTTCCTACCACCTCGAGCTCGCCGCTTTACTTGAGAATCACATGCACCAGTCGGAATACGGTGGGGGAAAGGGCGGCCAAGACGATGCGAGGTTCAAGAAATATGCATTGCAAATATGTCTGGGTCTGGAAGAAGCAACGTGTGATGCTGCATCTGGATTCTACAAAAATCTGTAGTGCATGAACAGCAAAAGATCCATTTTTTCCACGGCGAAAGGGCCTTTCTCATGCGGCGTAGGCATCAGGGACAGGGATCCCTCACAAAATCTGTGATGCCAGGGCATGCATCACAGACATCAGGAGTCATTCAAAATGTGCATCACAAACCTTAACCTTTCACCCTTCCAGACCCAGACATTTTTACAGTTGATAAGAAAAAGCTGAAGACAAACTTGAACTACTGGCAACCGACGGAGGAGGAGATATTCCTGATGGAGAAGGAATATATGGAGAGGGTACTTATATATTAGTAAGTATTTGTATTTCAGTTCTTTGTTTGCGCACTTGCATGTATGCATTTGCATCGCGAATGCAAACGCATTCTCTTTTTGTGAAGATCGATTCCCATGGTGCATGAAAAGAAGAATATCAAATGTAGTTATTTCAGCACAAGTCAACAAATGATCCCGGCATCACGGTCACGCATGAAAAAGAAATCTCAGGAACGCGACATTCCGACACCGGAAGAGGCCTTACAATACATATTGTGAGGAAAGATCCCCCCTCCCCATACATACTGAAAAGGCATGCTCCTAAAAATTTGTCATGGTGATTTGTGACTACAAATCCAGCCTCTCTTGCAAGGGGGCAAATCCAAAGAATCCGCCGACTCATGCAGGCGATTTGTAGTGCTGTTACGGCTAAATGACAGGCCTCTGCTATGCTAAGCACCTACACCAAAACACCTCTGCACAGGCTTAGGCTTTGCCTGCAGTGCCTCGCTGCAAGACAGATGTGAGTTGTGTACACACATCCCGCGTCACAGATTTCCGTTTTGATATAGGGAGGGGGGATTTTTCCTTTTGATAATACAAGCGCAGTCTCTCCGCCTTGCTCGGCACCGCGTCCGGCCCTTCCGAAGAGGATGTGCAAAAGCGAGTTTTAGAAGCGGGCGAGACGTTTATCATTTGTAAAAACGTCCCCACACCAGAGTCAAGATGGGAAATCTGCTAGACAACTCAGCCAGCTTTGGTCGTTTGGCATGACAAATTTTTCCTCGTAGTGTAATCCTGTTTAGGTACTTCAGCAGCGTCACAGATCTAGTATGTCGCTTTGATTATAGCATTACAAATCCCAAACGCGACTAGACAATGCCTCTCATGGCGCTCCGCATGACAAACTTTTTTGGCGTGCAGATTTGCATGACAACTCTGGGCTGGGGACGTTTTTCCTCAGGATAACGTTTCGAAAAAAATTGCGGTCGCGAGAGGTGGATTTCGTCGACAGAAATTGGCGTCTATACAGGAGCAAGACGGAACGTAGTTGATTTTTGCTGGTGTATTCCTTTTCCACTTGCAACAATGATTTTTCACATGTATGGTGAACCTTAACCTATGATTGAATGCTATACAAGAACAACATTCAAAAACTACAGATAATCTGGAGGAGAACCGGTTAAAAGAGAAGAAGGAAGAGAGGGAAAGACTTCTGTCCGGATCCTCCGCGACCACAATACCGCTTCCTATCAAATGCAAAAATGTCTGGGTCTGGAAGGTTGCCAGGTTTGTCATGCATATTTTACATGACTCAGGATTCAGGATTGTTTGTGATGTATGCCCTACCATCACAGATTTTCAGAACCCTTCTTGATGCCTATCCCGCATGACAAATGCACTCCCCGCGTAGCACAAACTGGGCTCCTATTGCTGGTCATGCAATACAGATTTTTGTAGAGTCCAAAGTTAGCATCACAAGTTCCAGACCCAGACATTTTTACCTTTGATACTTCCTCCTGTAGAGCAACCAATGGAGGAGAACCGCATTGACCCGGCAGTGTATGCATAGCAGCAGTATTGTACTTCTAGTATGAGTTGCAATACAAATTTTTCCAAGGCAAGAAGGGCAACTTGTAATGCTGATTTCCCTTGATCCATAGATCTGTCATGCCGATTACTGCAAGTCACACTAGTACGATGCTTTTGCTCTGGATACAGTCGTGCAGGCGGCCAGAGACGCGGAAGAAGCGGCAACCAGGGAGGCCTTCCAGCTTGCGGTGTTGAGCAGAGTGGTACATCAAAAGTAGCAATAGATGTTACGGAAGTGTCGTGTTTCTTCTGCGACGTTTTGCATGACAAAAGGTGTTGGAATTTCGTGTGTCGCATGACAAATCAATGCAAATTAAAACCGCACAGGAACCGGACCAATTTGGGCAGTCCACGTCAGCGATGAAACAGATGCAGGCTATCAAATGCAAAAATGTCTGGGTCTGGAAGAATGCAAGTTTGTCATGCTTGTCTGGCATGACTCCAGAATCTGTGTTGCATAGCCACGAAAAGGCCCTCTTGCCTGTCATGCAAAGAAAAACGCAGTTTGCCATGCGGAATACGTAAGACATGGCAGCCAAAAAATTTGTCATGCGTGGCTGCGTATTGCAGTGCGTTTATCATTCACTTTATAGCATTACAAGTTTCCAGACCCAGACATATTTGCAATTCATACAGGCGATGTACACGCAATACGAGAGAGAAATCATCGAAAGTGCGACGCTGCGGAACCGACAGCGGTATCAAATGCAAAAATGTCTGGGTCTGGAAGAGTCATGCTGTTTTTGCATGACACAGAAGGTCTTGCGTGGAAGCTCTAGCATCACAGGTTTCGAGAAGCTTTCGCAATGCCGAAGCCGCATGACAAATCCCCCATTTTGGTGACAGAAAGTGGGCAACTTTTGCTGCCTGTGCATGAGAGGTTTGTATGTGTTGTGAAATGCGCATCACAAGTTTGCATTCTTCCAGACCCAGATGAGATATTTGCAATGCATAAGCGGGTAAAGACCTACCGCAGAAAATACGGAGTGGTTTTTGACCGGTTGAAAAAAAACATCTCGGCTTACCTCATGGAGGTCGCGTTAGCGAAAAGAGACGAGGAGCTAAACGAAAAGGAACAGATATCAAATGCAAATATGTTTGGGTCTGGAAACCTGTGACGCAAGGAAGGGAATCATTGTGAGCACACTGTATTGCGCTGCCAAGCATAACAAACTTTTGGGTGCTCCTTCTGAGTTGCGTACTCTGCATGAGAAACTGCGTTTTTGCATGACAGACAAGAGGAGCTCATCGGGGCCACGCAGCACAGAGTGCAGAGGCATGCCAGACTAGCATGAGAAGTCTTGCAATCTCCCAGACCTCCAGGGATATTTGCGTTTGATAACAGGCCCGGTCGAGCAAATCGGAATCAAGACCGGGGAGTAGCAGCAACAAAACGGGCGAGGATGGGCAACCGATGGACTCCTCTGAGGGAACGGGGAGTAGACCGATCAGTAGCGGGAGCTCACGTATAATTCGACTAGTGTCTGAGTTACTGATGAATGTTTATTGTGGAGTTTGAGGTCATGCTGTTTTCGAATTTGAACTGTGGCGCACAAAATGCACTGCATGACAAAAAACTACCGAACGAACTCCTCCAGGTCTCGGCAGCCGCATGAGCTCCGCGCGCAGAAGACAGCGCAGCGTGAAAGTCATTTCCGACACGATTAAGGACAAAAAGCCGCGGGACGAGAATATCGAGGAGAAAGACATCACTATCTCAGGCAAAAAGTGTTACCGTTACACATTTGTTGGAATTTCTGCATCACAAAGTTGCTCGACATGGCAAAAAAAACCTGTAATGCGCAGACTATCAGCGATAGGAAAAACACGCATAAAATGAGGCCGGCAAAAAATAGCATTTTCAGCATGACCGAGGGTGTCTGTCTTGCTTGTCTTCCGTCCGGGTGTGTCACTGTAACACTTTTTTCTCAGGATAATCACCGTCATCGACGAAAACGGGTTTGTGCAGGTGAAACAGGCTGGCGTGATAGGAGAGCACGACGGCGAGGAGATATTTCAGGACAAACTCGAAGTGGACCTCGACGCGAAATTAGCGGAGTCGATTATCAACGGGGTTTTGCAGGAAAGTTTCGGGGATTTGAAAGAAGAAGAAGGTGGCGGGGAAGCAGGAGGATTGTTACAGGCTGCTGATGGCGATAAAGAGAACCTAGCACCAGATGAACCACCGGGGAACCAGAACAGTACGGAAAATTTTGAAAATGGGCGAGAGGATTCAGTAGCAGCAGCAGCAGCAAAGATAGGAGATGGCGCGGCGCCCGAGCGGCCGGAAGAAGTCATTTCACTTTCGAAAGACATAAATTCGGTGGAAATAGTAGCAGAAATAACGGAAGAACAGGCGAACAAAACCATCACAATTTCCGCGACCAAGGAGGAGGATTCCTTGATGACGCAGTCGTTAGAACAGCAGGGGGATTCGGTTGACATTGTCACGGAGCGGGAGCTAATTGACCAGCTCTTGGACGGGGGGATGACGGGGGATTAGAAGTTTCTTTTTGATCATGAAATAATCCATGACTTGCAACCTCTAAAACAAAACGACATCGGAAACTATCCTCGTTCGGGAACGAGGCGCGCAGACCCCGGATTTTTTCAAAAAGTGAGAACGCGGTGAGTTTTCGTGTGGGCTCTCGTTCCGGAACGAGAAACGCTGTGAGAATTCACTGAATTGCCACTCCAGGACTATTCAAAAAGTGAGAACGCAGTGAATTCTTACTCGGCTTCTCGTTCCGGAACGAGAATTGGAGTGAGAATTTCCTGAATTCCGACTCCAGGACTTTTCAAAAAGTGAGAACTCACTGAGTTCTCACTTGGTTTTCGTTTCGGAACGAGAAATGGAGTGAGTAGAATTCACTGAATTCTCAATCACGGAAAATTCGTGATCCCAGAGTGGGACTTTTCAAAAAGTGAATATTCACTGAATTTTCACTCGATTTCTCGTTCCGAAACGAGAAGCCGATGGAAAATTCAGTGAGTATTCACTTTTTGAAAAAAAACACTTTTGGAGCATGCATGTTTCTGGAGAGAGAGGTTTCAGATCCCGGAGTGGAAATTTTCCGAAAGTGAAAATTCAGTGAATTTTCACTTTTTGAAAAAAATCACTTTTGGATCACGAATTTTCCTGGAGAGAGACTTGAGCTCCAGAGTGAAAATTTTCCGAAAGTGAAAATTCACTGAATTTTCAATCGATTTCTCGTTCCAGAACGAGGCCTCGTTCCGGAACGAGGCCTCGTTCCGGAACGAGAAATCGAGTGAAAATTCAGTGAATTTTCACTTTTTGAAAATTTTCACTCCGGAGGCGAAGTTTTCCCGGAGTGCGAATTCGGGAAGCTGGATTTTTCCAAAAGTGAAAATTCACTGAATTTTCACTCGATTTCTCGTTCCGGAACGAGAAACCGAGTGAAAATTCATTGAATATTCAATCCTGGAAAAATCTCCTTCCGGAATTTCGAAAAGGGAATTACTAGGCTTCTGGTTCTTCCGGAACGAGGCCTCGCTGAATTACCACCCCAGAGAAAAACTATCTCACCCTGGAATCACTCTGGAAATGGGATTTTCGTAGAGTGGCAATTCAGTGGGTTATGACTACATGAACAAAAAAACCGCAAACGCTGACCTTTTGCAGCACACATGGCAGAAATAGGGCGAGTGCTATCGATTCAAATTGCAGGACGTTCCGTAGCGTGTCGCTAGTAGCGTTTGCTGCATGGCGCGAAAAATTTTTTGCGAGCCTTCTAATTGCAGCGCGCTACTGCCCGCGCCACATCGCCGAGAGGAACGCCCTGCCGCACTGCCTGCAAGGTGCGTGTGGTGCCGTTCGTAAGCCGCGCCTGATTTTTGTAGTTCGCAACGTCGCCCGATGTTTTGGCTTCAGCATGTTCAAAACGGTCGAAGTTGTAGCCTTTGGGCTCTCGTTCCCCAACGAGGGGAGTTTCCGACGCGAAAGGGGGGGTCTTTGCAAGTCATGAAATAATCTTGCTGGCATCTAGTACTTCTGTTCTACGCTGCCACCAATTTTTAAGTTTCAGAATTAATGAACTGGTTTCAAATATTTAATTCACACACAGGGAATGAACATGAATATGAAAAACAAGCTGTTTCAAAATAAGTACACCAAAAAACGAGACGCAATAAATTGCTGATTCAAAAAGAAGTAAACAACCCGGGTCGAGGACATTTTTTGCCCGCGGAGGTTGAGAATTGTGGAAATGACGAAAGGTTTTGTCTTGTACCAACGCAAATGCACATTGTAGAGTGAGAAATGATGTAAAATTCTTGTAAAGTTTCTTCATCGAGCTCTTAACTGTACAAGAAATTCCAGCAATTGTACAATGAATCAGAAATAATGGCAGCGCGTCGGAAACTCGCCAGAGCTGCTGCAGCCGACGCGGCGCAAAAATCTTTCAGTGCGATTTTTAGGACGGCGGGAAGGTTCTGTTCACCAATCACATTCTCCGCGTTTTTTTTTTTCCTTTAAATTGCTTCGGTGTTAGATAAGATGCACCGGTGTGCCTGCCAAGGGAGCCGATAAGACAAAAATGGCCGAAGCAATCTCTACCTTTCTTAAACTGATACGCGCTTTTGTTGGAATAGAGGTATTTGGTGTTCAACTTGCTAGGTCCTGGATTATATCGATTTTGATGCACCTTCACCTTCAAGAGCTGCAGACGTTCGCTTTTTATTGTTGGACCACAGGGGGCCGACCGCTCACACTAGCAGATACTTCTGAAACGCGGTACTATTCGTATCCCATCCCCGTCGAAAAGTTCGGCCATGGTTTTCCAAGTTGGTGACACGGTGAAGATTCACGGACTGGCGAACCGTGTGGAACTGAACGGGAGGACGGGCAGAGTGGTAGAAGCCGATGATTCACCGCCTGTTTCCAACTCTGGTAACGCAGCAGCATCTCATTCGCCGGCGGGAGCTGGAGTAGGCCGTAGGGTGACTGTTGCTGTGAATGCAAGTTCATCGTCGTCGAGTTCATCTGTTTCGGGTTCTGGACGAGGAACAACTGCCGCGGCGCAAGAACAGCAGCTTTTTCAGCACGTTCGGATTCGAGAGGAGAACTTAAAAGAGGTGTTTGTGCTGAATCAGAAACAGACTGATCCACTTTCTGATCCTCGTGGTCGTGGTCCTTCGCGATACCGCAGTGCTTTCGCTGGCGACAGCACGACTACAGGTCCTCGTACAGCTCCTTCGCAAGACGACGGGGGTGCAAGCGCAGGCAATTTTTTCCCTTTCGAGATGAACTCCTCTCCGACGTCTATCTTTTCTACGCTCCTGGATCAGTTCATGCCATTCAAGTTTCTACCCGGAACTACCAATGACGATGCGCACACAGCCAGTCGTTCTGATGCAGAACAACAGCATCAAGGGACGACGAGAAGGAACGACAGAAATGGACCTCCAAGAGCCCCACCTCCCAACTCAAATCAAACCCCGCACTACAACCATCGGAGGTTTTCCTCCCTGGCCCGGGAAAACGCCCGCGCGGAGCTGATAAAGCAAACAAAACGGATATGGGAGTGTCAGGAGTGAAATTGACAAAGTCGAAATAACTTGTAATGCATAATATCGATTCCAGTTGGAAGCCCAATTTCCAAGCGGTGCATGACAAATTTTCGGAGCACCGGAATCCAATTTGTCATGCTGTTTCGGCACAGAAGAATGCTCCCGTAGCAGCTCTATCCCAAACCCTAAATAGGCTCACAATCTGCCTCACTTGGCATCCCGGCATGACAGGCACCTCATGCCTTGCTTTTTCTGCATGACGAATCATTTTTTCAACTTTGTCGATTTCAAACCTGACACTTCCATAACGGACCGGGTGTTTGGTGCTGATCGGGGTTTGTGTGCTCGTTTACCTTTGGTGGAATTGGGACGGAATCGTGTTGAAGCACAAGCAGATGATATTACAATGAAAAATGCCTCCTCCCCATATCAAAACGGAAATCTGTGATGCAGATTTGTGGTCACAAATCAGGTTTGTGATGCTAGAAGGCAAACGATGCGGACTGTAGTGCTGTCTAGCGTGGGGAAGCCTTGCAGCTCCAGGATGACAGGAGGCAGCTGGAAGTGGCAAGCAGCATGACAGATTACCTGCAATTTAGGCCGCAGCTTCGTCTCTTGGCCTTCTAGCAATACAAGCCGATTTGTGTACTCAAATACAGCACCACAAATTCGCGCATCTTCCGTTTCCGATATGGGGTGGGGGCTTTTTTCACTTTGATAGATGAGAGAAGAGCAAGAAAGAAGTAGATCTTCAAGGGAAATAAACTTGTACGGACGTCGGAGCAGCAGTGGTGGAAAAAATAAAGGGGGTAGTAAAAAATCATCTGCAAATGAGATACCGGTAGAGAATCTTCGGGCACAAAAAGCTGCTGCGAAGGCCGAGGCGCTGTCCAAGATGAACCGGAGGAAAAACAGGGCTGATACAACTAGAGGAGAACAAGACAACAGCGGAGCGGGCGCGAGCTGGGATAGTGATCATGTTGAAGTTCTTGAAGATGATGAGGAGAATGAGGAATATGTTCATGTTGAGAACAACAAGTACACCGCCAGCGCCAACCACAACGAAAAGATTCGCAGTCAAAACCGCCGCTTGGGCCGGGAGCAACGCGCTTCTTTTAGTGAAGATCCAGTGCCCGAGCGGCCGGGCGAGCAAAAGGGAACAGAGAGGACCAATGGGACGGCGCCTTTATTTTCCACCTGGTTTTTCTTTTCTGATGCAGGCACAGGCTCAGGCTCAGCCGTCAGTGATTTGTACTTCACGAAATACGAGTCGTTGATAAAGAAGTCGCTCTTCGTGCTCCTCGGGCTGTACCTGTGCTACTCGGCGAAACTGCACCAGCAGGTCTTGCAGCGGCTGAACTTTTTGCAGCTGCTGTTTTTCGTGCAGTTGCTGCTCCAATTCTTCTGGGGCACGAACAGCCTCTTCCGGTTATTACAGTGAAAAGTGCCCCCCACCCCTGACATGGCAAAAGTTTGTGATGCGAAGTTTCCACCAAATGAAAACTTTTTGCCATGCATGACAGGAGTATGAATCTTTCTGATGCCGAGTCTAGGCGTGTATCGCATCGCTTGCATGACAAGCGCCGCTCTTGCTGGGGTCTTTTGCAATACAAATTTTTGCTATTCACGATTGGAAACCTGTGATGCTGATAGGTGCACGACGGCGAATGTTTCAGTTGGAAAGGTTTGCAATACAAATGCTCCCAAGTAGATCGAGGAGGGGGCATTTTTCATTGTAATGCCGGTCGCTTTTTCAGAACAGCTTTGGAGGTTTTGGGAACTTCTTCCACTGGAGAAGCGCGGACTCGAGGGTGCAGTTCTTCTTTTTCCGGTGAGAGGGAACGAAACAAGGTGGGTACGACGGGGGAAGTGGTGATGAATGCGTGGTGGCGCCGGAGGTTGATGTGCTGCTGATTAGTTCAGAAAGTAGAGAATGCAAGCACGACACGACGAGAACTCTTCTCCAGATGATCGTCGCACGACCGAAGCCGAAGATTTTTCCGAAGTATGATTGTCACTATAGCAAAAGAAAAAACAACAGAAACCCGCATGAGAAACATCCTGAGCATGGCAAAGTTTACGGTCCTGTATGTAAGGACGTTTTTACTTAGGACAGTGCAACGGGGACCCGCAGGAGCAGCTCTCCCTTTGATTGTCAGCGGTTCCCAAGAATCAGACCTCATCCGCTTGTATGAATCGGTGTCCCTGTCGTGCAGGAGCGCTACTTGTAATTGAAGTCGGTAGCTACAACTTGTTCTTCCCTTTGGAGTTTTACTTTATTTCAAAATACAATATTCATCGGTATCTACAACTACAACTTCTACGCGTCATTTTCGTCGGTCTTTGTGTGAGTGCTACTACTTCGGTTTTTTTTCGTTTGACAAACGTCCACTTGCTTCTGCAACTCGTCCACTTCTACTACTGCTTCGATATTACAAATTGTATCCGTCCCTCCTTTCGTCGTTCGAGCTGTCAGAAATCGTGATTGGAATAGGATCGAGATCGGTGCATCCAAAGAATAGACTTTGGCATGTTGGTGACCACGAACGTCAGTCTTAATCGGTCGGCCGCCGTGCGTTTTGGTCCGTCTCCTCGTTTCTTCATCGATATGAGTACTTAAGCTGGAGGTCGTGGTGTCGTATTAACTGCCAGAGGACTAGCTGCTGTCCGTAACACATAGCGGAAAAGGCGTAAAAACATATCCAACTTCTTTTTGCAAAATTATGTGCAACATCAAGTCATATTTGAACAGAGCTTCAATTTCTTGCGCGTCCAATTACAACCTCCCCCATCCCGATTTCTTTATTTACATAATTTTTGCGTATTTGCTGAGGCACCCCCCGCCTAGGAGATCGACACTTTACATGATTTGAGTTGTTACTTTCTGCCCCGCGGCTCGATTGATCATGAAGATCAGTGCGGCGATGGAGCAATCTTCTTCAAGAGCCGCGACCTAGTTGAACCACCAGAACAGGCCCAGGTATAATTATACTTATATAGACAAAGCGGACCGACACGACACAAGTAGGGCCACGACCTACCTGTACTTGAGGCCCACGACATTAAAATCAAAAGGCTGCTGCAGAACTTCAACTTCATCGAGGATGCGACCTCCGTTTATTCTTCAGCGCCGTGGCGGCTTTATTCCCAGATCGTGTATCGACAGCGGGAAAAGTGCAGCGGCTAGTGAGGACAGGAGTAGATTTCTACGCGCACACCACGGCGAAAAGTACTCCAGGAGTCGAAGGCTCGCATCTTCATGCGCCGGGAGAAGTGGGCGGGTCTTGGTCCTTTTCTGTTTGTTCGCGATCAACATGATGTTGTCGCTATTGGGCACCACTTCGACATCACTTCTTGGCGTATATCTTCATCTCTTCTTGGACATCAGAGCGGTCGAGCTGGGAGGCGGTGTTGTTGATAGTACCGGCATTTTTACCACGATCACCACCACCCCAACGTGGTTCTCCGGCTTATTCGTTGCTGCAGAGCAGAAGGACCTGCGGATGAAGGAGGCTCAGGAGACTGAAAACGACTCACCTGAGGCAGACGGGATAATTGGTAGTATTGAGAACACCGACTCGCCGGAGCAGGCGGAGCCACGCACGGCTAGCTTATTTTCATCGTCCGCGCTGAATGAAAATTCAGATGTGCAGGGCCGTGCGTTCCTGGAGACGCGAGACGTACAACCTCGCAGAATCTTCGCGGACCAACATCCGCATTTGAACCCCCATGATCGTGACGGAGCACCCCCATTTGGAGGCACCAAGGACGTCGAGCCTGAAGCAATCGCGTCTTTCGCACGCGAGAAGGAGGCAGAACATGATTTAGTACCACCAGACGAGGATAGCGGGCCGATATTTTTGGAGTACCGATCACGCTCAGCCGATTATGACGAGGACGATGATCTTGATCGTCAGCAGGTTGATCGGAGTGAGCATTTGGAGGTGGCGCATGTCCACTCACTCTCGGGGATACTGGAAACGGAGCAAGTGCTATCCCACGAAAAAAGTGTTACAGTTACACATTTGCTGTAACCTCAGCATCAGAACAGAGAAAACTTGCAATGCAAGGATTATATATAAGGGAAAACAGGAAGGCAACGAGGCTCCAAAGCATTTCCTGCATGAGAAAGGTTGTCTGTGTTGCCAGTTTTGCAACACAATGCGTAACTGTAACGCGTTTTTCTTCCCATAAGTGCAGAGCAGTGCGCTGCAGCGAACGCCAGACGAAGAGGACGGCTCAGACGCAGAGGACGACTCAGACGAAGAGGACGGCTCAGTCGGAGAGCACGACTCAGACGGAGAGGACGACTCAGACGGAGAGGACGACTCAGACGGAGAGAGTATTAGGCTTGGCGACCTAGACGAAGACGCGCTTGCGCTTGCCTCTGCGGGCGGAGGAGACCTTGAAGCGGGTGTGAGAGACGTACAGGCGATGCGACGGGTCGAGGCAGAACAGGCCGTAGAAGAACAGGAAGCCCGTCGCCAAGAACAAGCCCGTATCCAGGAACAGCAACAAAAAACTTTGGACGACACAACTTTCGGGAACGTGCAGGAGGGCGATAGAATCCCACTTGCAGTGGCGGAAATGTTGGAAAGGGGAGACGCAACAAGAAAGTTCGACTTGCACCAGTGCCCAGCTGACGAAAACCAACAGGAGAATCAGCAGTGCCTACCTGAGGAAACAAAAGTAACTACTGAAGAAGTCTCGGTTTGGTACAAGGCCAGCTCCTTCTTCGGTGGCGTGGCGAAAAACATTTGGGGAAGTGCGAAGCGGCGGATTCCGGACTTGCGCAAGCCGTTCCAATGGCTGGTCGACAAGGCGACTTGGCTGAAAGACAAGCTGAAGAATGCGGGCTCTGGCTTTTTGAAGTTCATTACCATGATATCGCAAGGAATGAAAACTGCTTCACTGTGAACTTGTGACGCAGAAAATGGAGGAAATGCAACACGACAGTACTTAGACGCATTTGTCTTGCTTCTACACATCATGCAAGATAGACATTGGGTTTATTTTCAACGTGTAGCCTTACAACGCATGGCAAGTTTTCTTTGTCATGTGTAACGAACTTCTGGTGCAAATAAAAAACTATAAATATTTAGTACAAAATCCTCACGACAGTGAAGCACTTTTTTCTTACGAAACGAGATGGCATTTTCTGAGGACCGTTTCAAGCGTATGTTCGGGGTGCTGACCGACCGCTTGGCGCAGATGGCCAGTTTGAGCCTCGGCGTCGCGGCGCAGGCGACCCTGTTTAAGTTCGTTCCCGGGGTTGCGGTGCACATAGGCGACTACCTGCACGGCACCGTGAAGAAAATGGTCTCCAAATTCATGAACGGGGGGCCTTTGAGTTTTTTGCGCGAGTTTCTTCAAAATGTCGTGGGCGAGGCGCTTGTGGTTTCCATTGTGCCCTTCTTGGTGCTATCAAATGCAAAAGTGTCTGGGTCTGGAAGATTCATTCTGAGACTTGTCATGCATAATTTTGTACGATCGACGATGCCTCTAATGCATGATCTAGCATCACAGATTTTTAGAGGGCTTCCTAATGCCTATTCCGCATGACAAACGCCCTCCCAGCGTAGCAAGAACCAGAATCCTTTTGCTGCTCATGCAACACAAATTTTTTAGACATCCAAATGCAGCATCACAAGTTGCATTCTTCCAGACCCAGACATTTTTGCATTTGATAGGTGCGGGCTGCGCTCTCGCAAGTCTGGAAGCTTGTTTCCGGCGTTTTTTCGAAAGTTGTCGAAGTGCTCGGCAAGGCCGGCAAACTTGTCTCGTGGGGCATAAAGGCCACGGGTGCGCAACTCATGAACCTTGTGAAAAACGTGGCACACGGATTGATGGCGGTAGGCAAATACCAAAGGCAAACATGTCCGGGTCTGGAAGATGAAGTGAGACATTTGTCATGCAGTTTTTGTATCTGCAAGGAGGTCTGGAGTGCACATAAAGCATGATGAGAAATTTATTCTTGGGACGAGACCTTTGTTCCGTGCATACTCTGCATGAAGAAAAATGCCTGGAGAGCAAAATCGAACATCTTGTTCTGCTGACGGTGTAGTAAAATCAGTAGCTACAGAAACAGATTATTTTTGTCTGTTCCAGAAACTTCTACCAGCACGACAAGTTCGCACGCTTCCAGACCCAGATCCATATTTGCAATCCATAGCCAAGGGGTGTGGAACATGGCCAAACGCCTCACGGAGAAGGTCTTGCCCAAACGACGTGTACTACCAACCGACGGGGACGACACGTCCCCCACGACCGGCGACGCGTCCCCCACCGGCGACGCGTCCCCCACCGACGACGCGTCGTCCTCACAGGACGAGGAGGAGCATCCTTCTACTGTAGCAGCGGCAAGCTTTGGGTTTGGAGCAGAGGAAGCTTTGCATGCACCTTCAGCGCATGATCCACGGAACGCCGACAGCGACAGCGGACAAGCGCAAGGAGCACATGATCCACAGGACGACGTGTCGGATCCAGGCTCGTCGCCGGATCAAGTAGACTCGTCGGATCAAGACTCGTCGGATCAAGATGAGGACGAGAGAAAGAACAACGAAGCGGTCCTGGCAAAGGTGGAAGCCGACGTGGGTGTAGAAGACAAAGTGGGAGCCGTGGAAACGGAAGCGACGGAACTTTGGAACGGAATGGGCGATAAGGCGAAAATACTGGCAAAAGAAAAACTGGAACAAGAAGTCGTCAACGATGTCATGGCGCCCAGTCAAGAAATTCAAGCCGTCGAAGTAACGCCAACGCGCTTGGAAAAAGTAAAGGGCTTTGTTGGGCGCGTGGCAACGGGGTTCGGAAACTGTTTTGCCAGGGGCAAGGCCGCTTTGAAAAGCGCGATGGACCTATCCTGAGCAAAAACGTCGTCCCTAGTACCCCATAGTCGAGCTGATGGCAAATCTGCAACACAATGAAGTCTACTCCAAGTTTTGGGAGCTTTGCGTGACAAGTCTCTATGATCTGCAGTGTTGTGCTGGCTAGAAACAAACGGACGAAGCCGGCACATGAGAAAGTCAGTTTAAGTACAGTATTTTTACAAATGCGAATGCCAAAACACGGCTAGAAATGCGTCTCATGGAGATGCACATGACAAGCGTCCTCCGCGCCATTGCAAATGTGCATGACAGCTCTGGGGCGGGGACGTTTTTGCTTGGGATAGGAGAAGATGTGGGGCACGGGTGAGGACCTGGTCCGGTGGCTGTCTACGCACATGGCTCGCATGTTTACCAGCATGCTGTTCAATGCCATGCTGTTCAAATTAGCGGGGATGGTTTCCGACCTCTTGATATCAAATGCAAAAATGTCTGGGTCTGGAAGATTTTTGCAGACTTGTCATGCATATTTCCCATGCAGCCCCGTGCGGTCTGGCATGCAGGACCTGGCATGACAGATTCTGCGAAGTCTCTACCATGCCTCTCCTGCAGGAGAAAGAAACTCCCGCTCATGTTGGTCAAAAAGGGACAACTTTATTTGGTGATCACGCAACACAGATTTTAGTGTGACCCACCGGACGTCGCATCACAAGTTCCATCCGCTCTCAGATGAGCCAGACACTTTCGCACTTGATACTTGACCGGGGTTTTGCATCTATTCCACCTGCCCCCTTGGCTAACTGGGCGGATCGCCAACCAGTTAGTGGAGGCAGTGGTTGTGGTCCTTGGTATCCATTTCGAAGGCAGGATTACCGAAGTGCTGCAAGGCGTACTCCAGAAACACTTGCCCGCCATGGTTGAAAAATTTATAAAGTTCATGAAGTCTGGAGCGGGAGACCTTCTGGGGTTGGTCGGAGGCCTGGTGCCTGTGAGTCAGAGGGCTTGCGCATGGCTCGCGACGAAAGCGACGGGCGGGCTCCGTGCAGTGTTCGGAAGGGGAACATCCGATGCCGCTCAAGGGACCGGGTCGCGTTATGAGCATCAGATCCGAGACAAGATCGCAAATTCTGCGAGGCTGGCCGCAAACAACGAGGGGGACGGGACCGCAGACGATGACACATCGCGAAGAACGAGGGACATCGCGAACACGGAGGCCGAAGTCTTGCAACACGTCCCGGACGGGGGCGATGAAGATGGGCCGCAGGCGCAGGACCAGCAGCCTCAGGCGGCCCCTACTGCGAGCTTCATCAGCACTACCAGCGACGACGGCGGAGTGCTCTCACGGTTTCGCCATTGCTTTGGCCACTCATGTGAACGAAGTTTGCAAAACTTCAACGACGCGATGAGAATGTTTGCGCGCGCCACGCGCAGCGTCGTCGGCTTTATTGGTTCAAAGGCAGCGAACTTCAAGACGTACGTGAAAAACGTCGGCGCCCAGAGCCTGCGCGCCTCCGTTCGTACAGTCGCGGATGTGATGCTTGCCAACGTGGTGGATTTTGTGTTTCCTTACATTTTCTTCGTGTTAACGAAGATCTGTCCTGTTTTGGGCCCCTTTGCTTTCATCGTCCGGCTTTTGCTGCAGAAGCTTGCGTCGCTGCTTTTCTATTTCAAGCCGCCTAAGTCGGACGATCTGGGCGCAGTAGAGGCGCCGGCCGCGACGACCGGAGCGTCGTCTTTCGTGGAGCAAGAAAGTGGCGAAGGAGCAGCGGAAGTTGATGCTGATTCTGATTCCGATGCTGATGCTGATTCTGAAGCTGAAGGTGATGCTGATGAAGAGGTCAAAGAACTAGGCGACGAGATTTACAAAAATTTTTTTACGATGGCTCAAGATACGCTCCAGAGGGTCATTGGTGGCGATGGCCTGAGAGGCAAGATCGCGGATGTAATCCGACATCACTTGTTCCCCGATAACCACGGCAGGGAGAACAGCTTCCTCGAAACCACCGCGGACCACGGGGAAACGCAACTGCCGGCTCCGCTCGCAAATATGGAAGAGGAGAAGCCGATGGATTTGTTCCTCGAAGCCATTGCGGACGAGGAAACGCAACTACCGGCGCCGCTCGCAGTCGCGACAGACCCGCTTTTTGAACCAGCAACGAGCACAGGTTTTCTGGCGCGCCGGCCGTCCTCGTCGTCGGAGCAGGGGAGCCCCGCAGAAAATGGCCTGGAAATAAGTACCATCGCCGGGGACGAGGACATCAGTCCTGTGGGAGAAGAGCAAAAGCCTCCGCATAATGTTGTGGGGCTGGAGGCGTCGAAACATCGAAGCAAAGTACTGGAGGCGTCGAAACATCGAAGCAGGAAATTCTTGTCCCGCCGGGCAGATGATCGTGTTGACGGTGTGGAAGAAACCGAATTGGACGCTACAGCGGAGCAAGTGCGGATTTTGGAGCAATCGGAATCGGCGGACGTGCAGGCGTGGATAAGCTCCTTGTTGGAAGCTGCAGGCGGTTCTGGTGCAGGAGCAGGTGTCAGTGACCTGTCGGACGGTGAGTCGGCTATTAACGAGGGTGAAAAATTAAAATTGGCTTACGAGCGCCAAGGGAATGAAGAAGAACAACAAGACGCGGTGGAGGACCTCGAGGGCAGATTGAAGAACGACCCCAACGCGCTTAAAAGGTTCCTCCGGAGCATGAAGGCAAATCTCGAGTCGGCCTCGAGCACGATGCTCGGGTCGGATCCGTCTGAAGCTCAAAAAGACGCTGAAGCGAAAATGTCCGAGGTGAACGAGAAGACAACGCCAAAAGACGCAGGCAACCTCTTGGCAACTGTCGTGCAAAGGGTGCCCTTTATGAAAAGCGTTTTTCACTTATCCTGAGGAAAAACGTCCCCACACCAGAGTCAGGATGGGGATTTTGCAACACAAACCTAGGAGTTTTGGGAGTCACGCATGACAAGTTGCGCTCCGCAGTGTAGTGCAGGTTAGCAAGTGCAGCCGCATCACAGATTCATCTGCTCATCCTGTTCACAGCGTCACAAATTCCAAAACACGATTGGAAATGGCTCTCATGGGGATGCGCATTACAAGTCTTCCTGTCTTTGCAAATCTGCATTACAACTCTGGTGTGGGTACGTTTTTACTCAGGATATCACTTCATCACGAAGTCTTTTCACGTTTCCATTTGCTCGATGATGGCGGGGGCCGTCACCCGGCTGGTAGTGGCCAAGTTTCTTATATGCAAGAAAAAAACTGTCACTGTGTATGTGTAAATTTGTGTTGCAGAACACGCAATAGAGTTACACCTGTCATGCCAGACAGCCATGAAGTCCTCTATTCGTGTGTGTTTTCCCTTACATCAAGCCACGCATGACAGGTTTTCTCGATCATGTAGAGCAAATTTGTGATGCTGTCAACCAAACACTAACACAGTTTTTTTCTTGGATATCTTAGTTTCTACACCCCCACAGCGTTCGCATTGGGCCTTCCGGCGGCGGTGCGGTTTGTCATTTACTCCTTCTTAATTTCGGGCCCAGTCGGTAAACGGTTTCGACACTTTGTTGACCTCGCGATTTTAAAGAGCTGGAATCAGATCAAAGCTGTGGCCAACTGGGTTCTTAAGAAGCTCGTCCAGAACGTGGGGCACTTGCTTCGGAACGTCGCGGGATATACTGTGCAAAAGTATCGTACTCGTACAAATGCTAATGCAAGTCTTGCATTACAAATCTTGGCTTGCAAGGCAAATCTGCATTACAAATTTTATTTCTCATGCTGAGGAAATTTGTAATGCATTTATACGAGTGCGCTGCTTTTGCACTGCATACGGGACCTGCGTTCGGCAAACTGTTTTCCAAGGCATACCAGAAACTGTGGCCCCCCTCGACGAATGCGGAAGTGTCGCCACCTACAGCTCCGGGTGGCGGAGTGCCAACTTCTGCCTCGACAGACCCGAACGCTGCAGGACCGGCACTAGTTGTACCAGCACAAGTAGCGGCCGACCCAGCTGTGCGAAATTCTCTGTCGCCAGGCCCGGGTGCTGCACGACTTCATCCACAAGAACCGGGTGCTGCAGGACCACTAGTACTAGCACAACCGGCCGGCCAAGCAGCTTTACCGGCCGGAACACGAGAATCATTAGGAGCAGCAGCTGAACTACGCCCCCACCATCCCGAGCTGTTTTCCCTGGAAAATGGAAATGACTCAACAAACAAAATCAAGTTCCCGCACAAAGTCTCGGAGCTTCAGCACGCGATAAAGTCGTTTTGTGACCACTATGCTGGTGGCACGCTGTACGAGATTGGACTGCAAGCTCCTCTGCCGCGAGGAGACTACATCTGGGAGGACGACTATGGAAGCGTCAGGACTGAAATCAACGAAGTCGAATTGACTTGTGTTGATGCATAAAATCGATTATACTAGTTGGAGCCTCAGTATCTAAATGGCGCGTGACAAATTTCGGGAGAACCAAATATATCCAGTCTGTCATGCTGTTTCGACAAAGGCGACCGCTCCTGTCATGCTACTCTGGCGGAAGTGCGTCTTCTTGTTCCCCTCCTTTTGAACAGGCTTGCAAAAATCGCTCTCATTTGCCTGCTCCCCAACACAGGCCATACGTGCCCTACATAATTTTACGCATGACAAATTTTTCGATTTTGTCGATTTCGATCCTGACAGCACTCCCATAACTACGACGTCGGGTCTCCAAGTTGGACCTGCGACCAGGCCTCCAACTACTTTCACATGGGGAAGCTGTCGGGCGGAAGCGTGGACGGAACCAAGAAAGTTCGGGCGATGAAACTATACGTTGAACAAGACACAGGCACAGCACGAGCACAAGAAGCACTAGAACAACAGCCACGGAAAGAACCCCAACAACAAGTGGTCGTTTTGGAGCCGGGCTGGCAGGTGATTGCGGCGCTGCCGAGTGTGGCGATGCAGAATGCTGGCAGCGCGGAATCGTTCTCGCTCGTCTTCCTGAACTACGCCCCCGAACACCTGGACACGGTCCGATCTTCAATTTTCAACGAGAAGTTTAGCATCACAAACCGAAACCCAAAAGGCGCGCCCTTGCTGGTCCCGACCCGGGACATCACGTTCAGCACCCGGTGAAATAAAATGGAAATGAATTATCAGTGCTAGAAGTGCAACTTCTGTACGAGGAAAATATATCACACGCAGCGGAGCCGACTCCGCCAGGAACAGTGCGGGTCGTGTCTCTGTTTGTCGAAAGTGCGCCTCATTTCGTTTTTTATTTTTCCAATTTTTTTTTTTTGCTAGTTAGTTTCGTTTTTCTTATGTTTTTTTTTTTGGTTTTTTGGAAATGGAAGCTTTTCAATTTTATAATCTAATAAGCGCACCACTCTCAAGACATGCGCCGCTTTTATTTTTACTATCACAACCGCACTCAGGAGGGGCATTGCTTAGCTTCATGTTAAATCTTTTTACGCCATTTCGAAATACGAGCTTCAGTAGTAAAAGTTGTTGCTTTTATTGAAGTTGTAGCGCTAGAAGACACATGACGAGAAGAAAGAACAGCGCCAACTTTCAACCGGTTTCCCAACAAACAAACAACAAACAATAAAAATTGCGACCACCCAGCTGCAGTAGTTACGATCCCCTTTCGTTCCTTGAGTTAAGCATGCAACCACTTCACGACCACGTGCTAAAAGTATTTCTCTACGAAAATATATGACACGCAGCGGAGCCGACAGGAACAGTGCAGGTGTCTCTGTTTGTCGAAAGTGCGCCTCATTTCGTGTTCCTTGCGTCTTTTCTACAACTTCCAGTGGTATTTACAGATTAGGAGATACTAGATACTGTCTTGTCCCCTCGATCCCGGTTCGTAATTGTACCAGCGTGAGCATTATTTAGTAAGTAGCCTTTCATCTGGTGTAGTCCGCGATCACCTTGTTCTTCATGTCGTTGGTGCCAGGGGTGGGATTGGATCCACTTTTCGTCGTCTGTCAATCGTTGTAAATGCTTTTTCCAGCAAGAAACATGAAAGATATACTTAAATCGAAGGAGCAGATGAAGGGAAATTTTTATACCGGAACAGGCTAAGACAGGAATAATTGTATTGAATTTCAAAAGACGAAAATCGTACACATCAAAATAAAAAGTCATGGTCACCTCGTCCTCTTGGCTGCGTCGTAATCTTTCGCCTTTGCTCACTCTCCTCGCAAAAAGCGTCTTGCTGGCACCGAAAGAACAAGAAGTGCGTTGTGGGTTCGCTCTACTCTCGTCTGACAGTGCAGTGCCGGCGCGACCACGAGCTGCTGCACTTCCAGTAGCGTCCTCACTCGCAGCAAACTTCGCAGAGCCGGTCGACCGAGTTCGCATCTTGCGGCACACTAGCACTGCTACAGCTACAGCTATCGAACCACAAAGCGACGACCCTCACAGGGCCGACGCGCACTACATACTGAACCAACAAACAGTTGCACACACGGGGGGGCCTCAAGAGCCGTCGAGAAGTGGAATTCTGACCTCGTCCACGACGATATGAACTGCAAAAGTATCGTACTCGTGTAAATGCATTACAAATTTTCTCAGCATGAGAAATAAAATTTGTAATGCTGATTTGCCTCGACAAATAAATTGCAAGACCTGCATTTATACGAGTGCGATACTTTTGCACAGCATAGACGACCCTCCAGCCCTCCGCCTTCTGCACCATCGTAACCGAAACCGCTTTATCAAATGCAAATTATATGTCTGGCTCTGGAAGAATGCAAGTTTGTCATGCTTGTCTGGCATGACTCGAGAATCTGTGTTGCATAGGCACGAAAATGCTCTCTGTCCTGTCATGCAAAAATGCGGTTTGCCATGCGGAATACGTAAGACATGAGAGCCAAAGAATTTGTCATGCGTAGCTGCGTATTGCAGTGCGTCTACCTTTCAGTTTTAGCATTACAAGTTTCCAGACCCAGACATATTTGCAATCCATACGCTTTGCCTGACTTTTTCGCGTACCTCCTCACCCTGAACATCCATCACCCAACCACCACCGTCTACGTCTTAGCCGACGAGGAGTCGGAGCGACGGACAAAATTGATGGATTTTTTCCCAAAACTCTCCATCAAAGTCAACTTTGTTAGTGGAGACGACCTACTTCTACCCGCCTCTACTGCGGACGCAGCTCCGTCGGAACAATTTCAATTTGCAGCACCAAAGCGCCGGCCGAAGTTATTCCAATCCCGCATGGCCGTTTTCGAGCACTGGTTGTCCAATCGAAACCACACGGAGGACAGGCGGCTTATGAGGTTCTCAAACGTTACACTCTCAACTGTTACATGAATTTGTCATGCAAAACTCTCATCAGCATCACTATCATCAAGCTGCTTCGCATGACAAGTTCCCAAAGGGCTAATCAGCATCTAAACCCGCTGTGCCGAACCTGTAATGCAAACGGCGGAATCTTCACCCTTGCACTTTTGCCATTCTTGCATTACAAACTCAGGTGCCCTAGTGTGGGTCGCGCTTGTGGTTTCGGTCGGTTTAGCATTAGAAATTCATGTAACAGTTGAGAATGTAACGATTGAGAACGCCATACGGTTGCTGAATTTTGAACAGTTTCAGAAGTACGTGAAACCGGTTTTGGACCGTCGTGACGGTCGTATGGCGGCGAGGAACAGAGGCTCAGTTGCAGATGTTGATCATGCAGCGCCCAGCTCTGTCGTGTCTCTTATCCAGGACGAGATCGACTGGCACTCTGGCCGCTCGGTAGAGGAGAAGCGGGAGAAGATCAGTCCGAGGGTGCACAAAGAGCTGAATTTGTGGTGGAACAATAAGATGAAGATTATCCGGTACGCCTTGAAAAAAGAGGCAGAAAGGATGAGACTTCATTTAGTACCGGAGCAGATCCTCGCGGCTGATACTGATAGTCCTCGTCGCACTGGTCGTGTTCCTCCTCCTGACGTCCTGTACACGGACTGCGACACCTGGTTTTTGAAGCCCTTCGAAATTATCTTCAAGGAACGAGAAGATGCGGAGGAACACCAAGAAGCTGCTGTACTAGGTAGAACTACATCTTCTGCAACTACTCTTGAAGAGACGAACCAGGACCAGTCCTCGAAATCGAATGAAGAACCCCGTGTTGATCATCCTGATCGTCCGTCCTTCTGCATCCTACCGAGTACAACACATCTGGACAATATGGATCTGTCAGGATTGAAATCGTCAAAGTTGAAATAATTTGTGACGCGTAAAACGGATTATACCAGTTGGCGCCTAGTTTTCAAGTGGCGCATGACAAATTTTCCTGGCCTTTAGAGCAAGTCTGTCATGCTGTTTCGGGCAAAACAAGGGCTCCCCTCTGTCATGCTAATCAGCAACCCAATTCTGGACGACCCTTGCCAGCACTACAATCTGCCTCCCTTGCGTCCTCTGCAATAGAGACAGTCTCGTCTGAGTTGCATTTTAATATGCATGACAAATCATTTCAACTTTGTCGATTTCAAACCTGACGCTTCCATAGACAAAAGATTCCAGATTCCGCCAAGCGCCCCTGGTGGTGTTATGTTCGAGGGGACGCCGGTTTGGGTTTTTGGCGACGACAAAGGGCAAAGAATGTTGGATTTCTGGGAGAAAGAGAACACGAGACTAGCGGAGAACCTCGTCGACCACTACATGACAGATTTGCGGGCGCTCAGAAGAGTGGAATGGAGGTACAACAGTGTAGATCAACCTTCTACAACTTCAACTCCCGCACAGGCACACCTCTTAGGGGTCAAAGTCAATGAAGATGCTGCAGCTAATCTTGCAAATGCAAATGCGCGTTCGACTCCTAGCTATGCACGCCCACCAGTCGCCCGTCTGCCGACACATAGCACGTCGATTTTTGCTATCCTGTGCAAAAGCTGCATCGTATTCGTATTGCAATCATGGATGCGTTACAAATCTTTTTGTTAAGTCAAATCCGCATTACAAATTTTATTTCTCATGCTGAGGAAATTTGTAATGCAAGTATACGAGTGCGATACTTTTGCAATCCATATTTGCGGTGCGCCATTTGTACGCGGAGTTTGGAATGAGTTTGAATCAGAAGGGAGAGTTGAAGTTTAGTCCGAAGAAGACATCAGCCGGAGCGAATCACGAAGTAGAATTTGATGATGCAGCGAGGTCGCCGTTTCTGGTTGAAGAAGCCGTGCAGAAGATGTCGGAAAGAACTACAGAAGCAACTACAGCGTCTAGCACGTCAACCGATTTTTATGCGGGGACGGATCAAGAAGTTGGTGAAACAGAAATGCCAAACCCTCCTCGACGTCGTTTGGGAATTTTCCTTCCTCCGGCAGCAAGAAACGACGCCTCACCTCCGAGCATAACAGCAATAAATGACGACCGTATTAAGCCTCTTGGTCTTGAAAGAAATATTCCCGACGAAGCGCAGCTGATGCACGTGCACATTCAAAATTTGAACTACAACACTGCCCACGTTGTCGCCTACCTGCTCACCGTCCTCCACACCGCCGAACGGTTCCGGGAAATCGCCTGTCTTCTGGCTGTGCTTAGGCACGCGAGTGCTATTGGGGTGTTGTACCATCATGGGTTATTTTTACAGATGATGAACCAGGTAGAACCATCAAGTTCAAGTACGCAGGAGGAAAGCGAGATGAATGTTCTTTTTCCTGCAGACGTGGCCCTAGATAGTTTTTTCAGAGATGAACCGGACCAAAAAACAGCAACTCAAATGGACACATGTCTGGGAAGTAGAACAAGTGACTACTATATCAAAAACGGGACGGATTCTCTGTACAATCGCAATGCACCGATAGAAGCGTCTCCGACGAGAGCAACAATAACGGCACACCAGTTACAAGAAGTTATTCGAACTTTTATCGCATATAATTGCCGCTTGAGGATCGTCTTGTTTCAGGCAGAAACAATCTTGTTCCGCGGAGCAGTGGTGGTTCACGCGTACATTCTTTCCACACGAAAAATTGTTCCACAGTCATCTTCTTTCCACATCTTGGTTCGATGTCGCTTTCCGCTTTTCCGGTCGCGGCGAAGGAGCGTTTTCGGGTGAGAAGGAATTACTGCTCTCCAGCCCCTTTGCAGACGAAATCATGGAGATCACTTTCTTACGGAAGAAACAGGGGGTCGGCACGTGAGTTGAGGATCTGGATCTAGTTGCTATGTGAGGCGTGCGCTGCTAGCTTTCATTCCCAACTATCTTCTAGCCGATTTCTTCGCTATTTCCATTTGTTTTCAATTTTCAATCAGGAGCAGTATTCGTCTTTTCCATTTGTCTGTAGGTTGCTGTTGTTTTTTATTTTCATCTGTAATTAGGTATGTTCTTTATCTTTTGCTATCGCAATTACGACTACTGTATGTAGTTAGGGCTTTCTCTCTGGAAGTAGGTAGGTTGGGCCATCGCTATCGCTATTTTTTCCCACTGTTGTTTGTTTGTTGGTTGGTTGCTGATGTTGCCATGATGTTTCGCGACCAGACCGTCGGGCTCTCACCACGATTTTGGTGTGTGGCCTCGATGGTGGAACGCGCAGTTTTCAGTGTCCTTGTCGGGGTTTATGGCCTAACTTCCCAGTCCCACCCAGTAGGCATGATATTCAGGCCGGGGCTTTTATGATCACGTGGGGGGAGGACAAGGTCACTGTTAGCCGCCTCTACTAAAACTAGTAAGCGTGGTCAAGTTTTAGCTCATGAAAGCTCCAGCTGCACTCTTAAAGTTCTGGAACGCCGCCCCGCAGCCAAGCCAAGCCAAGACCTCTCTGATTCTGATTCTGATTCAATCACTGTGCTGTAGATCATTATGTTGCTCCTGTCACGGAGGCGGAATAGCAAGAAGTCATCGGGAAGATCTTCTATGAAAAAAACGAAAAGTTTTCATCACCTCCCGTCGCTCTTGCTGCTGAGTCTTTTTCCCTGCGATAGTACTGATCGAAACATATTAGAGTTGTTGAAATGAATTCTTTGGTCAGAAATACCGCTTGATGCTGTTGTGCTTTTCGTTTCTGATTGGATTTTTTGGATCATACACTTCTAGCGTTTACTGATAAAGTACCTATTTCTTGTAGTCGAAGAAAGAACTTGATGAGGGCAGTTCTCCTGCGGGCGCCGGTTTTGCGTAGCCTTTGTTTCGAGGTGGATTGCGCAAGAAGTGCTGGAAGCATTCACCCTCTTGATGCGTTTTCCATGATGGCGGTTCGTGGTTCGTAAGAAAATGTGCCCCGTCGTGAGCCATATTATGGATAAAAACAGCGTCCAGCATGAGCAATTAGAAGTGCGTTGAGTATACAAAATTACCTTCAGCAAGTAGATGTAAAAGATGAAGACCATGGATTTCGAGTCGCGGCGGCGCGCGTTCAAGCAGACGCAGGACTTGTATGACAGTGCACAACTTCCCCTCCCCCACTTTTGTATAGCATGAACGGCAACAGAAGCATCAGCAAGAATGCCGGTTTTGCATGACAAATTTACACTGGAGTGTAGTGCTGTTTGAGCTTCCAGAACTTGTCATGCGAACAGTGCTAAGAGGCAAAGCGTGAATTGGGTATTTTGCATGACAAATGAGGGGGAGGGGGAGTTGTGCACTGTCATAACTTGAACGACGTGCGACGGAAGCGCGAAGACGAGGAAGTGCAGCTGCGGAAAACGGAAAAGGAGGTGCTCCTGCAGAAAAAGCGCCGGGATTGCCGCAGCGATGGTTGTAGTACACCAGCAGCTCCGGCGTCCACCTCGACTTCCTGTGCAGCTGCATCCTCTTCCACCACGGAAACAAGCATGGGTAGTACTTCTACCCACGGTAATTATAACAGCGCGGCAAGTAGGACAACCTCGAACAACAGTTGTGCCAGTGCTTCCAATTATACCGCACAGAAGATTTTAGGGCAGAGGAACACGCTGCTTTCGACAACCGACGAAGAGCACAGTTCGGGAGCGATGAATTCAAAAATGAGTCTGAATCTGAATGCGAGTGCAAGTGCACATCTTCAACTGCAGGCGACAGATCAACATGGTGCAGCTGTTGGCAATAATATTAACTCGCCTTGTGTGTTCCGTGACCATCATGATCATGGCCCGCCAGAAGACTGCTCCCCATTACTGCATATGCACTGCAAGAGATATAATGTCTGGATTTGGAAGGTTGCAACTTGTCATGCTAAATCTGGATCGTGCCAAAAATATGTGTTGCATGAATTAATACCAAAAGATGTCCACTTTCGAACAAGTTCAGAGGCAGTTTGTCATGCAGGATAGGGATGATAGAGGTTTCACAGAATCTGTCATGCTAGGTCCTACATGCCAGACCTCATGGGTCATGGAAAATCTGCGCCACAAGTCTTGCATTCTTCCAGACCTAGACATATTTGCAGTTTATACTGCAGTGGTTCGAGAACGCGACAACGGCACAGCTCTGCAAAATTATAACAGTTCACAACTCCCCCCTCCTCATTTGTGATGCAAAATCCCAAGTCTAAACTTCGCCTCTTGGCACTGTTTGCATGACAAGTTCTGGCAGCCCAAACACCACTACAATCCTGTGAAAATTTGTCATGCAAAAGCTGCACTCTTGCAGGCCCGTCTATTGCTGTTCATGCAATACAAATGAGGGGGAGGGGGAGTTGTGCAGTCTCATAAAAATCGTGTTACAGGCAGACGACAACGGCGAGATTGTTGAAGAAGGCGTAACATTGCCGCAGTTCGGCAACTACCCTAATTCCACCGGTAGTACAACTTCTGCGATCATGGGTACGATGAAGACAGGAGATGCCGCTTCTTCAGGAACTGTAGTTCCTGAAATAAACAACAAGCTTGTTCTCACTGGCACCACGAAATCTGCATCCAGTTCGACGGGTGGAAGTACTACAACTGTGGCGCCCACGAGTGGTACATTCATCCGACATATCAACTGCAAATATGTAGTCTGGGTCTGGAAACTTGTGATGCTGAACTGTGGATGGCTGAAATATTTGCCAACGCAGCCAAGCATGACAAGTTTGCAGATCGCTTTCTCATGCTCAGTACGCATGGGAAACTGCGCTTTTGTATGACCAAAGAGGGCGTCTTTTTGTTTAGTCATGCAATACAGATTTTACAGGAATGTAGGACTGGCATGACAAGTTCCATGTTTCCAGACCCAGACATATTTGCATTGCATCCGACACCCACCTTCCAACCCGCACACGCCAATCAGCAAAACACGGGTGAAAGTCCTGCACGCGGTCACGGAGCTGCGGAAACGGCGTATCCTATGTAAAAACATCCCCACACCATAGTCAAGGTGGGAAGTCTGCAACACAAATTCCCAAGTTTTGGGAGTTCTGCATGATAAGTTTCCATCTGCAGTGTAGTGCTGGCGAGCAAGGAAAGCCGCATAAGAAAGCCTAATTTCTGATCCTGTTTACAGCATTACAAATGGCAAAACACGATTGGAAATTTTGCCTCCCATGGAGATGCGCATTACAGATGTTCCTGTCATTGTGCATCCGCATGACAACTCTGGGGTGGGGACGTTTTTACACAGGATACGGCTGTCGCGGCCGGAAAACCCCCCGATCCAGGAAATTTTGGACTACGGGCTGCAGGTTGCAGCGGCTGCAAGTAAGAGTAGTAGAAATGGAACAGGTGTAATATCGGGAACAACTACAACATGTGGAGATCATACAGTGGGAAGCTGTACCTCCAATGGCAATAGAAATTGTCCTGAGCAAGGTCTTCAATATCATGGCAAGAATCACTGCATCAGGAAGATGGTGACGATCATGCTGAATACCGACGATCACAAACTGAAATTCGAGCTGGCCTAGGCAGGAGAAGAACTGTGGTCTAGTCAGTGTAAGATGAACTCTCTTGGAGTGACAGCATGACAAATTTGCTGTGCATGATAGAAAAAATCTGTGATGCATGGTTACTACGTGATGAAATTGCAATTGCATGTGAAAAGTAGCGGGCCTCATGGCAGCTGTCTCTGGCATGACAAGTATATGTTACTGTGTTGCTTTTTCTGCGTCACAGATGAATTTACACTTCTTTGCACAGTTTTTTTCTTGCATATAATCTGGACTTTGACCAACATCGCCAGCGGGAACTCCGAGCACACGAATGCTGTTGTTGAGTCGGGCGGTTTGGAGGCGTTTTTGCAGATCTTGAACAGCCGATCGGCGTTGCGCTCCGAGCTGTGTGAGCAGGCGATTTGGGCGTTGGGAAACATCGCGGGGGACGGCCCGGTGTTGCGGGACAAACTACTGGAGAGAAACGCCATCAAAGTTCTCCAGAACATTTGCTCCGCTGTGACGCAATTGCAGTGGAATGACAAGGAGAAGACTGACGTGCTGCGAAACGTCATGTGGCTCATGAGCAACCTGTGTCGGGGAAAGGTAGAATATCCTGAGTAAAAACGTATCCACACCAGAGTTGTAATGCAGATTTGCAAAGACAGGAAGACTTGTAATGCGCATCCCCACGAGAGCCATTTCCAGTCGTGTTTTGGAATTTGTGATGCTGTGAACAGGTTGAGCAGATGAATCTGTGATGCGGCTGCACTTGCTAACCTGCACTACACTGCAGAGTACAACTTGTCAAGCGTGACTCACAAAGCTCCTAGGTTTGTGTTGCAAAATCCCCATCCTGGCTCTGGTGTGGGTACGTTTTTACTCAGGATATAGAAGGAAATAAATTCAATATGTTTTTTCAGATTTCATGATCAGCAGCCGCTGCGGCTGTGGTCTCTGTCTCATCTAACTAACTTTAAGTGTGCACAGCACCTCCATCACCACGCTTAGACTTCTGCAGCATAATTCCGGATTTATTATTTTTCACACGATAAAAAATCTTTATCTTCCTGAAGGCGATAGATGTAGAGCTTAAGTCAGTGCAGCCATCTCGTCGTCTTCACTGAACAGCTATCAAATGCAAAAATGTCTGGGTCTGGAAGAGTGCAAGTTTGTCATGCTTGTCTGGCATGACTCGAGAATCTGTGTTGCATAGCCACGAAAAGGCCCTCTTACCTGTCATGCAAAAACGCAGTTTGCCATGCGGAACACGTAAGATATGGCAGCCAAAAAATTTGTCATGCATAGCTGCGTATTGCAGTGCGTTTAGCATTCATTTTTAGCATTACAAATTTCCAGACCCAGACATATTTGCAATCCATAACAGCCGTCGCCACCGTTCGAAGTGGTGTGCCCGGCGTTCGAAGTGTTCGCAGAGGTGGTCGGGCGGAATTTATGGATAGGATGAAATTCATCTTGTATATGCCAAATGCGGCATGGGCATGAGGAACGAAATTTGTGATGCCTGTGTTGCTGGATAAAAATGATGAAAGTTGTTCAGCAAGATAGAACTTGTTTACCTTGCGACTGGTTCATTTTTTTCCCATGCTTGTACAACATTTGGATGACAAGCATTTGGTTTTTCCCATTTCATATACACTCGACCACGACATGACGATTGACTCGATGTGGGGGCTGTCGTACCTGACGCAGAGCACGGGCGACGAACAAGAAGACGTGCGAAGGTGTGGGTGATTTTTTCTTGAATATGATTTGGCTTTTTGTTTTTGAAGAATTTTCTTTTGCGAAAGTCGAAACATGCATCTAGGATTTCGTCTGAGTTTGTCGTGCAAAATGCTCCAATTACCCCGATGAAATATTAAACATCGCTCATCAGAGCCTACGCCCTGCTCCTGTCCGGCCAGGCGCAGCGGGACTATCTGGAGGAACACCAGCCGAATCTGCTCATCCGGTGCCTCCTCAACATTGTCCGCTATGGCCGAATATCAAATGCAAAAATGTCTAGGTCTGGAAACTTGTGATGCTGAGTGGCGTAGCATGAGGAGGCCACGAGTGCTGGCTCAGCATGACAAATTTCTGAGCTTGTAGATGTTACCTATTCTGCATGACAAACAGCGTCTCCGCATGACAGAAAAGCGCGGCTCTTGGGCAACGTGCGTGACAGATTTAAGAGTCATGCCAGAGAAGCATGACAAACATTCATTCTTCCAGACCCAGACATTTTTACAGTTGATACCGAAAAGCAGGCGGGGCCGCGGATACCGGGCCTGTTGTCAAGGACCTCACGTATGATCACGCAAGCAGTACGTGGAAAAACGAAGCCACACAAGCCGAGGACTTCTTGCTCACCCATCCCGCGCTGCGCGTCATAGGTACTTACTGTAGAATTCATCTAGCTGCAGTGTGGTTTGTAATGTACTTCTTACTAGTGGGGGCGATGATAGTATCCTATCGTGTGAGCAGCTACAAGAACATCTTTTGCACATCTGCACCGTTGTAACTGCAGTGCGCTATCAACGAACTAGACGAATCATGATGTGGTCCACCAAGTTTTCAAATGTGAACACTCGGCGGCGGCCCAAGGAACTACAGTAAGTACTTACAACAGTCTTTTTCTTGATATTTATCAAAATTCTATTCCGCAGGCAACCTAATTCAAACACCGGACCACCGATATGCCGACATCTGTATCCAGTCGGGGTTGCTTCCCGCATTGATATATGCATTGCAAATATCCCTGAATGTCTGGAAGGATGCAACTTGTGATGCTACATTTGGACTCCAAAAAAATTTGTGTTGCATGAGCAGCAAATGGAGTATAATTTTTGCTACGCGGAGACGAGGGCATTTGTCATGCGAAATAGGCATCAAGAACCTGTCACAAAATCTGTGATGCTACGGCATGCATCACAGACATCATGGCTCATGCAGAACGTGCATGACAAGTCTCAGAATCTTCCCGACATCCAGGGATATTTGCAATCCATATGATAACTCTGCTGAAGAACTACGGCGGATATCGCAAGAAAAAAGTCTTACAGTTACACATTGTGCTGCAGGCCAAGCAAGACAGACAAGCTCTGTCATGCCGGATATGCATGGGAGCCTCGTTTCATAGCTGTTTTCCCGTACCACTACTAGGATTTCTGCATTACAAGTTTTCTCTCTCAACATGCCGAGAAATTTGTGTTGCTGATTTCACTACAAAGGTGTAAGTGTAACACTTTTTTCGTGGGATTGCGGAGGAGGTAGTACTCATAGAGGAGCTGCGCCCAGCCCCCCTGGAACCGCTACAAATCCACCATGTACAACAAACGGCCAACAAACCACAACACGAACAAATGGCGGTCCAGTTCTTGCAGGAGTTTCTTCGACGTCGGAGCAAAAAAACCTCCAAAACGGTTTTAGAAGTATTTCGACAGGGGCGGAGAATCTGAATCACGATCAACAGGCAACAATATTTAACCCGCAGCGGAACAAAGCGCGAGAGAAGCAACTTTTGAAGATCCAGAAAGAAGCCGTGTTATGCATTGCAAAAGTATCGTACTCGTATAAATGCAGATCTTGCATAACAAATCTTGTTCCCAAGGCAAAGGCGCATTGCAAATTTTATTTTTCATGCTGAGGAAATTTGTGATGCATTTATACGAGTGCGATGCTTTTGCAATTTATACGTGTGGGTGCTCAGCAATATTGCGGCCGGGTCGCCGCATCAAGTGAAATTGTTGGTCGAGCCTTTGTATCAAATGCAAAAATGTCTCGGTCTGGAACAAGGCAACTTGTCATGCTAAATCTGAATGATGTAAAAATTTGTGTTGCGTGATGACCAAAAGATGTCCACTTTTTATCTAATCGAGAGGCAGTTTCTCATGCAGGATAGGCATGATGGAACTCTCACAGAATCTGTCATGCTATGTCCTACATGCCAGACCTAATGGATCATGGAAAACCTGCATGACAACCCTGGCACTTTTCCAGACCCAGACATATTTGCATTTGATACTTTGAAGATGCTCCCGCAGTTGTGTCGCTGCCGTTGTCCGGAGACGGGGAAAGTTTACATGCAGGACGTTTTCGACGTGATCAAAGACGACTTCATTCTGCCGGGCTTGAAACCGAGGGTGCTCATGCAGGAAGCGGGCTACGTGTTCGCGAACGCGGTGTGTTCTGCCGCGGCGAATAACATCCTGGTTTGCATTCCCACCGACTACTCCGCTTTCAACCAGCAAAAGGAAGATCACAATTTTGATCATTTGCAAGAACCTCCTTTCAATGGTGCGGGAAGAAATAGCTGTAACTACAACATGTCCAACATTCATTCGGGCAGAACCTCTACAACAATAGAACCACAGGAGGTCGTCGTGCATCAAGGTCAACATCATCATCAAAACTTCCTTCCCGACAGGAGCACCACGACGACCTCTTCGACCTCGATGCTTGTTGTTTCCTCGCCGGTGGAAGTTGTAGATGACTACAAACAGGGTAGAACTTCGACGACCTCAACCTCCTCGCTGTCCAGCACGAAAACCACGAGCAAGAGAGAGGTCCCGCTGATCGAAACGCTGATCTTCAAAAAGGACTGCTACCGACTGATCTCGCTGGTGCTGAAGGGCGAAATCAAAGCGAACCGCAGCACCGGGTCGGAGCGCCTGATTCAGGCTTGCTTGGACGCGATTATCAAATGCAAAAATGTTTGGGTCTCAAGGTCGTGCTGCTTTTGCATGACACAGAAGGTCTGGCATGGAAGCTCTAGCATCACAGGTTTCGAGAAGCTTCCGCAATGCCGAATCCGCATGACAAATCCCCCACTGTGGTGACAGAAAGTGGGCAGCTTTTGCTGCCTATGCATGAGGGATTTTTCTGTGTTCTGAAATGCGCAGCACAAGTTTGTATTCTCCCAGACCCAGGCACATTTGCAATCCATAGCGATTATGGAGGGGCTGAAATGGGACGACTTGACAAGGCAGTTGGGGGAGGGCAAAGAAGATGAAATGAGCGCTGCAAAAATCACCGGGGGTAGAAACTACAAGTCCGTGAAGCAGATAATCGAGGAGAACGGTTTGATCGTATCAAAATGAAAAATCCCCCCTTCCCATATGAAAATGAAAATCCGTGTTGCGGGATTTGTGTACACAAATCAGCTTTGTTCTGCAGTAGAGGAGTACAGGCAGATACAAAGCCTGGAGAGGGGCGCTTTCTGGAGGTGGCCGCTTCGCACCATGGCAGACGTCTGCCCTGTAGGCGCAATAGCGCCTAAAAATGCGGAAGGAGGCTCTGGCTTTGCTCTCTTGCAAGACAGAACCTAGCTGTGGCCGCAAATCTGCATGACAAATTTTCAGAAGGGTGCGCTTTCGATATGGGGAGGGGGTTTTTTTTCTCAGAATAGATCGAGTCCGTGCTTCATAACGTCACCGACAACACGAAGGAGGAATCGGAATCTTGCCGGAAAGCCACGGCTATCAACTGCAAATATGTTTGGGGCTCCTGGAAAGTTGGAACTTGTATATGCTCGTCTGACTTTCGTGTGAGATTTGTATTGCATGACCAACAACAAAAGTCGCAGCCTCGTCTCTGGTCAGACAAAAACGCAGTTTTCCATGCGGGCTGCGTATGAGAAAGCGTTCCGGACGATGAAACTTGTCATGCTTGGCTGCGTTCGGAAGTGTTTTCATCATTCACAATTCAGCATCACAAATCTCCGGACCCAGATGACATGTTTGCATGTGATAACTGCGATTCTTCAGCGGTGGTTCTCATCCGCCTCGGGCATGAGCGATGGGTTATGCCTTGCAAAAGTACTTTCGCAGTCGTAGTAATCGCAGCCTTGCATTACAAATCTTCGCCCCAAGGTAGATCAGCACGACAAATTCCATTTGTCGTGCTGAGCTAACTTGTGATGCAATTACTACTGCAGATGAAGCGCGATACTTTTGCACAGGATATGGGTTCGACGAGGAGGACAATTTTCTGCTTCAAGAAGATTTCGTACGACAATGCACAACTCCCCCTCCCCCTCATTTGTCATGCAAAATACCAAATCCACCCCTTTCTCTTAAGCATTGCTTGCATGACAGATTCCGAAAGCTGAAACAGCACCAGAATCGGTCACTAATTTGTCATGCAAAAGCTGCACTTGTGTTGCTGCTTATGGCCTTCAAATGAGCGGGAGGGGGTGTTGTGCACTCTCATATTTCGAAAACGCCATTGCCAGCAGCTTGTTCGATACTGCCATGGGAACATCCAACAGAAGCATTGCTGCAGCTTCTTGTGAGGAACGAGTAGAAAACGACACGATCAAGATGACCGGGGGGATTTTTGGAGGTGGCTCATCAACATCTCACCCGCCTCCGATGGCGATGGCGACGGGGCAAGAAAATTTTGTCTTCGATTTTACCGAGGGACGGAGCACTACTGGGAACAATCCGGGAAGTTGTGGAGCGAATTTCAACAAAGCAGGACAACAAGTTCTTGTAAAAGACGACCCGTTTGCGCTTTCCCGGCAGCATTTCTCGTTCGGGAGCGGGACGACCTGAGAAAACTTTATTTATCCGACGACTAGCATCAGCGTTCAAGAAGCTAGATCTGGAATGTGAATGAGTTTCAATTTCTGCGAAAGGTGGAGGCTCTGGGTTTTATGTACTTTTTACCTCAATAAACTACAACGCGATAATATTCGAAGAATGAAAAATTTTGCATTTCCAACATCCAGAGGACAAACAATGCCAATTAAGTTTAAGAATACTAAGTAGTAGCATGATGCGGCCGTCGTGGTGGCTTTGGCTTTTGCTCTTCCGAGAAAGGTTTTGCCGAAATAAACGAATCTTCGAGCGGGGCCACTGTATGCAGGCCACTGCTTATGGTCCACGTGCAGACTACTTAGTTCGTCATGCAGACTTGACCGCTGCATGCAGATCGATCATTGTACACATGCAGTCCTAAAAATTGACATCTTCTGTTTCAAACTAAATCCTTTGTTTGCTTAGAAAGGAAATGAAACTCAAGAGAAGAAAAAGGAGAGTGCTTAGTAGGTGGATGAATCTCCTGCTCTGCACCATTTCTGCCCGGAATCTGTCAGCGACTTTTCGCGACGACTAGAAATTTCAAGCTCGACGAGCAGGAAACGAACCGAAATTTTAGCATGACTTTACGCTTCTATAATCAGTTGAAGGAAGGTTTTATCGGGGAGGTCCCTTTCGTTCTAAAAAACGAAAAAAAGATTATGCTTTTACTTGTTGAAGAGTTCAAGAACATCGAAAGTTACGTCGAAGCATTTTGTAGGTCCTGCAGTACGTAGACGTAGTTCATCTTTGAACTTACGTGAATAGATGGTCCTCGTCTCCGACTTCTTCGTAGATCTAGATGGCATGGTTCACTCGGTAACTAGTCTAGACCGTGGCCGTGGGTTTTGTGTTATTTGTCTAGATCGTAGACATCGTCACCCAGTACCTCAAAGATGAAGTTCTCTCGTCCACTGTTGGCTCCGTGCATGGCCGCTCGTGTAGTTGTCCGGCAAGATTTCGTGGGAACATCCGATCAGGAAGGAAAGTCGAACTAGTACATCATCAACCAAGTTCGTCATCGTATGCCAAAAATCACCACAGATGAAGTGGTGATCTATTACTCAGTACTTCGTTTATGTCGTAAAAATCTTCCGCACTTCAAGAAAATGAAAATCGTGCTGCCCGTCGTCGTCGTGATGAAAGACCCCGGCGGCGTATTTACTATTTCCAAGCTGTGGAATGTAGTTCTTCTTCTTTACGCCTCAAATCAACAAGACCTACAACCAGTTGCAACCGTTTTTTTTTTGACATCTGACTTCCTTGAAAGAAGGGTGGAAGAATTGTTGTCTTCACGCTAAAAAGCTTATTAAGCTTTTCAACATCATCAAGATCAATTGCGATCGAGAGATCTGCACACTGAGTACTGTACTTACTTACCACATCAAGTGGGCGGGGTAGAAGTAAACAAGAAGAAGTGTAGACTCGAGCTCGTACAACTACCAATCGCCTTGTTGTGCTGGAAGATTGTACAACGACAGCAAGAAAATGAAACTCGCCAACAAGAATATGAAAGCTACCTTCTTCCTCGCCGTGGCTCCGTTTGGCGAGAAGTCGGGGACGAAGATGATGATGCAGATCGTTTCCGCCGTGGAGCAGGGTAAGAAGAAGAACACTAATGGTCCGGGTCGTGCTGGTAAAAAAGCTGCTGTGCCGGTCGTCGCGCCCGGAGGAGCTTCTGGCGGCCGTGGCGCGACCACGACTATGGCGTTCTCACCTGTTACATTCTCAACTGTTACATGGGTTTATGATGCAAGAATGGCAAAAGTCAAAGCAGGGAGGTTGCAGCTGTAGCATTACAAATTCCGCACAGATTTAGGCGCTGTTTAGCCTTTCCAAAATTTGTCATGCGAAGACGCTTCACCTTGTGAGTGTTGATGTTCGTTTTGCATTGCAAATCATGTAACAGTTGAGAATGTAACAGTTGAGAACGCCATAACGACGCACCTGTGGGTCGGGAGCGAGTTGGCCGGGACTGCCCAGTACGAGAGTTGGAAAAGCATCGGTGACTAGTAGAAATTTTTGCATTTATAAAAAATAGTACAACAAAAATCAAATATGCTTGTTGCTCACCAGCAAAAAAAATTTCTACGTAAGATTCGTTATGCGGATCTGACCTGGAGGAAAGAGGAAGATTTCGATTTGTCATGCATAAATAGCAGTACGAATACGACTACGAGTGTGCGATACTTTTTCACAGGATACAAAGGGATTCCTGCAGGTCGACCGTGCGACTGCGGCGGAGATGAAGCGGGTTGGCGATGACGACGACGACGACAACCCGACGGAGAAGGTAGCACCTAATTCATTCCCAACCTAGCCATCGCATTTTTCGAGACACCAAATTGAAATTCTAAGCATCACAAATAGGACTAGGTCGCGCAGACCAGCGCGAACAGCGTGAGGGCCGGAATGGGTCAACCACCTCTGTGGCCTCATTTTTGTTCTCCCATGGCCAGCGGCCCCTGCCTACAAAAATGGTCTACGCCGTGGGATTGCAGGAACGAGGCATGCAGGCTACACAACCTGGTAAAGAAGTCGAAGATGGCGCGCGCGCATGCTAGAGAAGCATGCGCGGCTTACTGCTCACCTCTTTTTTATGTTCACACACTACAAAGGCACATCCTGACGTCTATGACGCGAATATGTAGAATCTAGCGGGCTCGCAGCCCCTCTCTCCGGCGACGTGGTGGCCGAGCAAGCTATGTGAGGGCACACGCCTCCCGTAGCGAGCCGTTACGCTAGCGACCTCTGCTGGGGAGGGTCCGGGGGGATTTGTTGCAGCCTGTGTTGCGTCCGGCGCTGTTACCTCTCGGCGCAGTGCTGGAGCACGGTTCGACCCACGTCTGTGGGCGCAGAGTGCGACGTCCCGCAGCCACCTCTGTGGCGCGGGCGTTGCGGTGCGGTCCCTGTTGCGCGCCCCGCGACTGTATGTAGCTGTACATAGGACGCTGCGACGAAGCAGCGCGGGTACACTTTTATACAGAAGCCTTGTCCGCCACTGAGAAGGGTGCGGCCCTTTGTTGTTGAGAACATAGATACGGACTAGAGCTACGACCCCATGCGCCCGCAGAGCTGCGGGGATTTGGGAAGGAGTTTGCGTTCGCCTCAGTATGATAACCAAAATGCTACCCAAATCACATCAACATGAATCAGGTACCAACAGGGCGGAAGCGGGTTGGCGATGACGACGACGACGACAACCCGACGGAGACGAGGGGAGCCGTTGCATATGAAATATCAAATGGAAATATGTCTTGGTCTGGAAGGTCGCAACTTGTCATGCTGTTTTTGGATTCTAAAAAAATTAGTATTGCATGACCAGCAAGAAAGGTCCAGTTTGTGCTACGCGGAGAGGGCATTTCTCATGCGGAAAGCGCATCAGGAAGCCCTCTAAAAGTCTGTGGTGCTAGGTCATGCATTACAGGCATCAGGGGTCATGAGAAATATGCGTGACAAGTCTTGCATTGTTCCAGACCCAGACATATTTGCATTTGATATGAACCCAAAGCCGTGACGGACTGGGCGCAGGAGTGTGAGGAATTGAATGCGGAGTGGAAAGAACAAGCGGGACAATGTCCTCCTGATACCGCGTCAAAAGTAGTACTCGCACACATGATCGAGAAGGACTGTCCTCATGTGAGTCCCGACGTCAACAAGTGGCCGAAAATGCTTGGCCTCGAAAAAACCGACGCGACCGAAAAATGTTACCGCCTTCTCGAAGGTTACTCTCAGTTCTCGACTCTCATCCGCGGCGTCTTCAATATGGGACTCTCAAACGTTACACTCTCAAGTGTTTGATACATGACTTGTCATGCAAAGTTAGATGTGCCATAGATAATGATAACCCTAACCCTAAGCCGCCAGACGATCTTCAAGCTGCTTCGCATGACAAATTCTCGAAGGGCTAAACAGCGTCTAAATCTGTGTCAAATGATGTGCGTCGCGAGAGCTGCAAGCATGTCCCTTAATATCTCACTGGTGCCTGCACCTGCTGTTGTTGCGTGACGAAAACAAATGGATCGAACAGTTGGGACTGTAACGTTTGAGAGCTCTTGTCCCATACTCTAAGGCGGCATGTTGTTGAGCGCAGATACTTATGCATTGCAAAAGTATCGCACTCGTATAAATGCATTACAAATTTCCTCAGCATGAGAATTTGCAATGCTGATTTACCTGAAGCTGAAGAAAAAGACTTGTAATGCATGATTGCAATACGAGCGCGATACTTTTGCACAGGATAATACCAAGCTCATCCGCAACGTGACCGGCGACTCCGCCCCTTCCCCGGATCTGAGCGCTTGGGACGCTATCGCGAAACACAAATCGGTGATCGACATGATCGAGGCCAAGAAAGAAATGTACCAGCTGTACATCGACCACTGGAAATTATGCCGTGTAAAAACATTTAAGTTTAACATTGCCACCCCAGAGTTGTCATACACGTCTGCAAGCCTCAGAGTCAGACGTTTCTCATGCGCAACCCCATGAGGAGCACTCTGTAATGCTGTCTGGCAGTTTGTCATGCTAGAATCAGGATCATGCCGCTACAATTATGTTGGCTAAAAAACGCGAGTTGTACACTCTGAGCCCAAAATTGTCATGCGCGACAGCCAAAAGATGCTAGTTTATGTAGTAAAGTCACCATGATCTTGAGGACTATGGGGTGGGGACGTTTTTGCTCAGGATAGAAATGCGCGGAGCTGGGAAACGGCTGGCCGAAGGCCGAGGACTTTGTGGAAGACATCAATTTTCCCAGCAGCGAAATCGGCCAGGCCTGGGAAAAATACGTTGCCGATGCCGTGGCGGGTCTCGACAATTATTTTACCAACTAAACATGTTGTTGAACTTAAACTTATTTACTTTTTTCGCTTCAGAATCAATCTTTCTCGCGATCTATTCCACCTCCGGTTTCAAGAGTACACTTTTTTTGTTTTTGTTTACAGCTGCACATGTTGTTTCAATTTAATATTTCATTTCATACATGTATGTCAATCACCAGTTGGGTATTACTCATTTATTCATTCACTCGTCCACATGACAGCGATGCCTTTTGGTATTTATTGGGAAAACGAAAAGAATCTTACTCATCCACCATAATCCGCAAGATAGAAGCACAAGAACCTGACAACTCCAAAAATGTAAATGTTAGTGCCTGTAGCTGTGCCGACGTACTTTCTTGCGACGGAGAGGGAGAGCTAGTACTTAGCAGTGTAAGAACTGCAACTGCCGTCAGCTTTCTCTCTCCTGTCGCAGCAGATTAAAGTGCTGTCCAGCCGTTGTACTAACAGAGTCGCGTATGTTGATACTGCAGTGGTTCTTTTTACAATTCACAGATCAAAGCTGCGTCTTCCCGCTCCAGCAGGAGAACAACAATAACGGCACACCAGTTACAAGAAGTTATTCGAACTTTTATCGCATATAATTGCCGCTTGAGGATCGTCTTGTTTCAGGCAGGAATCTTGTCCCGCGGAGCTGTGGTGGTTCACGCGTACATTCTTTCCACACGAAAAATTGTTCCACATTCATCTTTCCACATCTTGGTTCGATGGCGCTTTCCGCCTTTCAATCACTGTGCTGTAGATCATTATGTTGCTCCTGTCACGGAGGCGGAATAGCAAGAAGTCCTCGGGATCTTCTATGAAAAAAACGAAAAGTTTTCACCTCCCGTCGCTCTTGCTGCTGGATCTTCCCTGCGATAGTACTGATCGAAGCATATTAGAGTTCTTGTTGAAATGAATTCTTTGGTTAGAAATACCGCTTGATGCTGTTGTGCTTTTCGTTTCTGATTGGATTTTTTGGATCATACACTAATAGCGTTTACTGATAGGTTACCTGTTTTCTGTAGTCGAAGAAAGAACTTGATAAGGGCAGTTCCTTCTCCTGCGGGCGCCGGTTTTGCGTAGCCTTCGTTTCGAGGTGGATTGCGCAAGAAGTGCTGGAAGCATTCACCCTCGTCATATGTTTTCCATGATGGCAGTTCGTGGTTAGTATGAAAATGTGTACAACGGTCATGAGCCATAGATAATAAATAGCATCGATCGTGGTCCAGCATGAGCAATTAGAAGTGCGTTGAGTATACAAATTACCTTCGGCAAGTAGATGTAAAAGATGAAGACCATGGATTTCGAGTCGCGGCGGCGCGCGTTCAAGCAGACGCAGGATTTGAACGACGTGCGACGAAAGCGTGAAGACGAGGAAGTGCAGCTGCGGAAAACGGAAAAGGAGGTCCTGCTGCAGAAAAAGCGCCGGGATTGCCGCAGCGATGGTTGTAGTACTGCACCAGCAGCTCCGGCGTCCACCTCGACTTCCGCTGCAGCATCCGCTTCCTCTTCCACCACGGAAAGCATGGGTAGTACTTCTACCCACGGTAATTATAACAGCGCGGCAAGTAGGACAACCTCTAACAACAGTTGTGCCAGTGCTACCAACTACACGGCTCAGAAGATTTTAGGGCAGAGGAACACGCTGCTTTCGACAACCGACGAAGAGCATAGCTCGGGAGCGATGAATTCAAAAATGAGTCTGAATCTGAATGCAAGTGCAAGTACGCATCTTCAACTGCAGTCGACAGATCAACATGGTGCAGCTGTTGGCAATAATATTAACTCGCCTTGTGTGTTCCGTGACCATCATGATCATGGCCCGCCAGAAGACTGCTCCCCATTACTGCATATACACTGCAAGAGATATAATGTCTGGATTTGGAAGGTTGCAACTTGTCATGCTAAATCTGGATCGTGCCAAAAATATGTGTTGCATGATTACCAAAAGATGTCCACTTTCGGACAAGTTCAGAGGCAGTTTGTCATGCAGGATAAGTAGGGATGATAGCGGTTTCACAGAATCTGCCATGCTAGGTCCTACATGCCAGACCTCATGGGTCATGGAAAATCTGCATGGAATAAAGTGTCCAGCCGTTGTACTAACAGAGTCGCGTATGTTGATACGACTCGGGATTTTGATGTGCTACTTGTGCAAGGACGCGGGCAAAATTTCGCCCCGGATTTTTGAACATCTTGAAGATTTGGATGGTTGGGTAAGACCAAAAAAAAATTTCTTCCTCGGAGGACGACCTCTTGCATTTCTCAAGGAGGATGCAAGTGGCACGGTGAAAAATGTCGATTTTCAGAAATTTTTCTGTTGTTCACAGTTTGTCGTGCTTCCTGTGTATTGTTTCACAGACGGTTCAATTAGTTTTAGTGTTACAACTACCGTGTACTTACCTTGTACTTTTTTTTGTTTTTCTACTCTGGCAGCTGAGGACGCGCTAGTAGTAAGTTCTCTCGCAGGTGCACCTCCTTGTTTTTCGACGGTCGTGCGAAATTTCTCTCACTTCGGTACAGGTTTCTATTTTAAGAAGCGCACACGTCATTCTATCTTTCTGCGCCCTCCCGTCGTTTTATGATTTATTAATACAAATTTGTCACATCGATAGATTTTTGCTACGAGGTTTTTTCTTCATCTTCACCCAAGTTAGAAGACTACTGTCGTTTTGATTCTGTAATAGTGCAACTGCAACAAATAGTACGTAGGTAAATTTTCTGAATCAGCAACAGCAACGACACGAGATGTTCACCTCTAGAACCCTGATCTCAGGTTCCGAAGACGCAGGGCCTCTGCTCGGCCCAACAAGTACGATGTTGTCCGACAGTCCTCCATTGAGACCGGGTTCAAACGATCCAGACCCGGATCCTCTTCTACGTGAAGATTTTCCTTGCACCAGACCAACAGCACATGGGGCTCCCGAAGCCGCAAATGCGAAAAATGCAAAAAGGAAGAACACCAGCACGAGCACTAGCAGCTTGGGAGCGGCTACTACTGGAGGTTCTTCTTCCTACAGCGGCCCAAGTAGGACATTGTCGTCTTCAACATCGTCGACTGGTGCGGGGTTGAGCAATGATAACAAACACCAGCGCATTATCAAATGCAAATAAGTCTGGGTCTGGAAACTTGTGATGCTGAATTGTGGATGACTGAAATACTTCCCAATGCAGCTAAGCATGACAAGTTTCCCGCACACTTTTGCATGCGCATTCCGCATGAAAAACTGCGCTTTTGTATGACAAAAGGAGGTATCTTCTTGCTAGTCATGCAACACAGATTTTACAGGAGTGCAGGACTAGCATTACAAGTTCCATGCTTTCAGACCCAGACATATTTGCAATGCATACGCATTCTGAATTACCCGCTCACGCCGGAAGTTGGCCCAAGGGAAGTTGTGCTCCTAGAAGCTCCACCGATCGAGAAATTCGACGTAGCAACAAGACCCGACGGAGAAACGGGCGTGCTGGAACATGATAGGGAACAGCATCACGCCGGTATAATATCTTCAAACCAGGGCGGAGGAGGAGGAGGAGCATATCAGCATAATGGAAATGAGGGTCTTGTGGCAGGACCACGAGGAGCATCTTCTTCAAGAACACATGAGCTGCGGAAGAATACTTCTAGTACGACGAGCATAAAAGATCTGTACAACGTCGTTCCAGCATCATCTGTGAATGATGATAAGCCCCAACAGACGATGAAAACTCGCAAGCCGCGACATTCCTGGAGCGTGCACAACTATGACCCGCTCAGGTGTCAACTTACAGGCTACGTAAACGTTTACAATAGATGAACATGCAAGTCTGTGATGCAAAAGGTGATGCAAAAGGTAGCCTACTTGTACTCCTGCAGAAGTGCGCATGACAAGTTCTGGAGTTGTCCCAAACGACCGCACTAGAATCGTGCGAAATTTGATTGTATTGCAGAAAGTGGAACGTTGTGCGAGTCTGTCATGCTCGTCATCATGCAATACAAAACGCAGACTCTATTGGAACGCTTGAGATTGTAGTAACGTTTGAGCAGGTCATAACAACCTCCGGGATTTTCTTGCTGACGAGGAAGAAGTGGACTCGGATTCCTACACCCGCATTTATGGCCTGCTCAAGTTGTGTTACAATCTGTGATGCAAAAGGTGCATGATCCATCATCCTCTTCTCACAGGAGAGTGCATCACAAGTTCGGGACGAGTACTTCTTACCAAACCGCACTAGAATCATCCGGCTAAATTTGTATTGCAAAAAGCGGAACTACACGGCTCTGTGTGTCTCTTATGCTGATCAAGCAACACAAAATCCAGACACAGATTCTGTGTACTGTAACCACGTCTGAGATTTTTGTAATAGCTGAGCAGGTTATAGCATTCCCACCGCGTTTTTCTCTACTTCGTTGACATCGGAAGATGACGACCATAACAAATTCGACGATATTAGTCTTTTTCGCAGCTACGCTGCCGAGGACCCTCACGCGGCACTCTCCCCCTCTAGCCGAACAGGACATCATAACCCGGCCTCCTCAAGTAGCAGGCAGCAGCGCATGGCTATCCTATGTAAAAACGTCCCCAACCCATAGTCAAGATGGGGAATCGGCTACACAAATCTACAAGTTTTGGCTGCTTTGCATGACAAATTTGGATTCGTAGTGTCGTGCTGTTTGAGCTAGCTCAGCAGCGTCACAGATCTAGTACATCAGGCTGATTGAAGCATGACAGATTCCAAAACACGCCTAAACAATGCCTCTCATGGGGCTCCGCATGAGAAACAGTTTCAGCATGCAGATTTGCAATACAAATACAACTATGGGGTGGGGACGTTTTTCAATACGATAATGGCCATGGCCTCCTTGCTCCTGGACCGGTGGCGTTTCGAGGTTCTATGACAATGCACAACTCCCCCTCGTCCCCCTCATTTGTCATGCAAAATACCAATTATACATCCCTTTCCCTTAAGCACTGCTTGCATGACAGGCTCCGGAAGCTGAAACAGCACTAGAATCGGTCGCTGATTTGTCATGCAAAAGCTGGATTTATGCCAGCACTTGTGTTGCTGCTTATGCACTTCAAATGAGGGGGGGGGTTGTGGACTCTCATAGGTTCCGTACGGCACGTACAAACGCATCGCACTGTTTCTCGCCATTGAGTCAGAGATTGAACCAGAGTGCGGCGACTTTTGTTTTTGCATTTGCAAACAGGACGTCGAGAGCTCATAATTAGCCGCAGCTTTCGTGTGGATACAAATAGAATAAAGTGTCCAGCCGTTGTACTAACAGAGTCGCGTATGTTTAATATACGACTCGGGATTTTGATGTGCTACTTGTGCAAGGACGCGGGCAAAATTTCGCCCCGGATTTTCGAACATTCATTTTGAAGATTTGGATGGTTGAGTAAGACCAAAAAAAGATTCCTTCCTCGGAGGACGACCTGTTGCATTTCTCAAGGAGGATGCAAGTGGCACGGTGAAAAATGTCGATTTTCAGAAATTTTTCTGTTGTTCACAGTTTGTCGTGCTTCCTGTGTATTGTTTCACAGACGGATTACGGTGTATTTACCTTGTTGCACTTTTTTTGTTTTTCTACTCTGGCAGCTGAGGACGCGCTAGTAGTAAGTTCTCTCGCAGGTGCACCTCCTTGTTTTTCGACGGTCGTGCGAAATTTCTCTCACTTCGGTACAGGTTTCTATTTTAAGAAGCGCACACGTCATTCTATCTTTCTGCGCCCTCCCGTCGTTTTATGATTTATTAATACAAATTTGTCACATCGATAGATTTTTGCTACGAGGTTTTTTCTTCATCTTCACCCAAGTTAGAAGACTACTGTCGTTTTGATTCTGTAAAAGTGCAACTGCAACAAATAGTACGTAGGTAAATTTTCTGAATCAGCAACAGCAACGACACGAGATGTTCACCTCTAGAACCCTGATCTCAGGTTCCGAAGACGCAGGGCCTCTGCTCGGCCCAACAAGTACGATGTTGTCCGACAGTCCTCCATTGAGACCGGGTTCAAACGATCCAGACCCGGATCCTCTTCTACGTGAAGATTTTCCTTGCACCAGACCAACAGCACATGGGGCTCCCGAAGCCGCAAATGCGAAAAATGCAAAAAGGAAGAACACCAGCACGAGCACTAGCAGCTTGGGAGCGGCTACTACTGGAGGTTCTTCTTCCTACAGCGGCCCAAGTAGGACATTGTCGTCTTCAACATCGTCGACTGGTGCGGGGTTGAGCAATGATAACAAACACCAGCGCATTATCAAATGCAAATAAGTCTGGGTCTGGAAACTTGTGATGCTGAATTGTGGATGACTGAAATACTTCCCAATGCAGCTAAGCATGACAAGTTTCCCGCACACTTTTGCATGCGCATTCCGCATGAAAAACTGCGCTTTTGTATGACAAAAGGAGGTATCTTCTTGCTAGTCATGCAACACAGATTTTACAGGAGTGCAGGACTAGCATTACAAGTTCCATGCTTTCAGACCCAGACATATTTGCAATGCATACGCATTCTGAATTACCCGCTCACGCCGGAAGTTGGCCCAAGGGAAGTTGTGCTCCTAGAAGCTCCACCGATCGAGAAATTCGACGTAGCAACAAGACCCGACGGAGAAACGGGCGTGCTGGAACATGATAGGGAACAGCATCACGCCGGTATAATATCTTCAAACCAGGGCGGAGGAGGAGGAGGAGCATATCAGCATAATGGAAATGAGGGTCTTGTGGCAGGACCACGAGGAGCATCTTCTTCAAGAACACATGAGCTGCGGAAGAATACTTCTAGTACGACGAGCATAAAAGATCTGTACAACGTCGTTCCAGCATCATCTGTGAATGATGATAAGCCCCAACAGACGATGAAAACTCGCAAGCCGCGACATTCCTGGAGCGTGCACAACTATGACCCGCTCAGGTGTCAACTTACAGGCTACGTAAACGTTTACAATAGATGAACATGCAAGTCTGTGATGCAAAAGGTGATGCAAAAGGTAGCCTACTTGTACTCCTGCAGAAGTGCGCATGACAAGTTCTGGAGTTGTCCCAAACGACCGCACTAGAATCGTGCGAAATTTGATTGTATTGCAGAAAGTGGAACGTTGTGCGAGTCTGTCATGCTCGTCATCATGCAATACAAAACGCAGACTCTATTGGAACGCTTGAGATTGTAGTAACGTTTGAGCAGGTCATAACAACCTCCGGGATTTTCTTGCTGACGAGGAAGAAGTGGACTCGGATTCCTACACCCGCATTTATGGCCTGCTCAAGTTGTGTTACAATCTGTGATGCAAAAGGTGCATGATCCATCATCCTCTTCTCACAGGAGAGTGCATCACAAGTTCGGGACGAGTACTTCTTACCAAACCGCACTAGAATCATCCGGCTAAATTTGTATTGCAAAAAGCGGAACTACACGGCTCTGTGTGTCTCTTATGCTGATCAAGCAACACAAAATCCAGACACAGATTCTGTGTACTGTAACCACGTCTGAGATTTTTGTAATAGCTGAGCAGGTTATAGCATTCCCACCGCGTTTTTCTCTACTTCGTTGACATCGGAAGATGACGACCATAACAAATTCGACGATATTAGTCTTTTTCGCAGCTACGCTGCCGAGGACCCTCACGCGGCACTCTCCCCCTCTAGCCGAACAGGACATCATAACCCGGCCTCCTCAAGTAGCAGGCAGCAGCGCATGGCTATCCTATGTAAAAACGTCCCCAACCCATAGTCAAGATGGGGAATCGGCTACACAAATCTACAAGTTTTGGCTGCTTTGCATGACAAATTTGGATTCGTAGTGTCGTGCTGTTTGAGCTAGCTCAGCAGCGTCACAGATCTAGTACATCAGGCTGATTGAAGCATGACAGATTCCAAAACACGCCTAAACAATGCCTCTCATGGGGCTCCGCATGAGAAACAGTTTCAGCATGCAGATTTGCAATACAAATACAACTATGGGGTGGGGACGTTTTTCAATACGATAATGGCCATGGCCTCCTTGCTCCTGGACCGGTGGCGTTTCGAGGTTCTATGACAATGCACAACTCCCCCTCGTCCCCCTCATTTGTCATGCAAAATACCAATTATACATCCCTTTCCCTTAAGCACTGCTTGCATGACAGGCTCCGGAAGCTGAAACAGCACTAGAATCGGTCGCTGATTTGTCATGCAAAAGCTGGATTTATGCCAGCACTTGTGTTGCTGCTTATGCACTTCAAATGAGGGGGGGGGTTGTGGACTCTCATAGGTTCCGTACGGCACGTACAAACGCATCGCACTGTTTCTCGCCATTGAGTCAGAGATTGAACCAGAGTGCGGCGACTTTTGTTTTTGCATTTGCAAACAGGACGTCGAGAGCTCATAATTAGCCGCAGCTTTCGTGTGGATACAAATAGAATAAAGTGTCCAGCCGTTGTACTAACAGAGTCGCGTATGTTTAATATACGACTCGGGATTTTGATGTGCTACTTGTGCAAGGACGCGGGCAAAATTTCGCCCCGGATTTTCGAACATTCATTTTGAAGATTTGGATGGTTGAGTAAGACCAAAAAAAGATTCCTTCCTCGGAGGACGACCTGTTGCATTTCTCAAGGAGGATGCAAGTGGCACGGTGAAAAATGTCGATTTTCAGAAATTTTTCTGTTGTTCACAGTTTGTCGTGCTTCCTGTGTATTGTTTCACAGACGGATTACGGTGTATTTACCTTGTTGCACTTTTTTTGTTTTTCTACTCTGGCAGCTGAGGACGCGCTAGTAGTAAGTTCTCTCGCAGGTGCACCTCCTTGTTTTTCGACGGTCGTGCGAAATTTCTCTCACTTCGGTACAGGTTTCTATTTTAAGAAGCGCACACGTCATTCTATCTTTCTGCGCCCTCCCGTCGTTTTATGATTTATTAATACAAATTTGTCACATCGATAGATTTTTGCTACGAGGTTTTTTCTTCATCTTCACCCAAGTTAGAAGACTACTGTCGTTTTGATTCTGTAAAAGTGCAACTGCAACAAATAGTACGTAGGTAAATTTTCTGAATCAGCAACAGCAACGACACGAGATGTTCACCTCTAGAACCCTGATCTCAGGTTCCGAAGACGCAGGGCCTCTGCTCGGCCCAACAAGTACGATGTTGTCCGACAGTCCTCCATTGAGACCGGGTTCAAACGATCCAGACCCGGATCCTCTTCTACGTGAAGATTTTCCTTGCACCAGACCAACAGCACATGGGGCTCCCGAAGCCGCAAATGCGAAAAATGCAAAAAGGAAGAACACCAGCACGAGCACTAGCAGCTTGGGAGCGGCTACTACTGGAGGTTCTTCTTCCTACAGCGGCCCAAGTAGGACATTGTCGTCTTCAACATCGTCGACTGGTGCGGGGTTGAGCAATGATAACAAACACCAGCGCATTATCAAATGCAAATAAGTCTGGGTCTGGAAACTTGTGATGCTGAATTGTGGATGACTGAAATACTTCCCAATGCAGCTAAGCATGACAAGTTTCCCGCACACTTTTGCATGCGCATTCCGCATGAAAAACTGCGCTTTTGTATGACAAAAGGAGGTATCTTCTTGCTAGTCATGCAACACAGATTTTACAGGAGTGCAGGACTAGCATTACAAGTTCCATGCTTTCAGACCCAGACATATTTGCAATGCATACGCATTCTGAATTACCCGCTCACGCCGGAAGTTGGCCCAAGGGAAGTTGTGCTCCTAGAAGCTCCACCGATCGAGAAATTCGACGTAGCAACAAGACCCGACGGAGAAACGGGCGTGCTGGAACATGATAGGGAACAGCATCACGCCGGTATAATATCTTCAAACCAGGGCGGAGGAGGAGGAGGAGCATATCAGCATAATGGAAATGAGGGTCTTGTGGCAGGACCACGAGGAGCATCTTCTTCAAGAACACATGAGCTGCGGAAGAATACTTCTAGTACGACGAGCATAAAAGATCTGTACAACGTCGTTCCAGCATCATCTGTGAATGATGATAAGCCCCAACAGACGATGAAAACTCGCAAGCCGCGACATTCCTGGAGCGTGCACAACTATGACCCGCTCAGGTGTCAACTTACAGGCTACGTAAACGTTTACAATAGATGAACATGCAAGTCTGTGATGCAAAAGGTGATGCAAAAGGTAGCCTACTTGTACTCCTGCAGAAGTGCGCATGACAAGTTCTGGAGTTGTCCCAAACGACCGCACTAGAATCGTGCGAAATTTGATTGTATTGCAGAAAGTGGAACGTTGTGCGAGTCTGTCATGCTCGTCATCATGCAATACAAAACGCAGACTCTATTGGAACGCTTGAGATTGTAGTAACGTTTGAGCAGGTCATAACAACCTCCGGGATTTTCTTGCTGACGAGGAAGAAGTGGACTCGGATTCCTACACCCGCATTTATGGCCTGCTCAAGTTGTGTTACAATCTGTGATGCAAAAGGTGCATGATCCATCATCCTCTTCTCACAGGAGAGTGCATCACAAGTTCGGGACGAGTACTTCTTACCAAACCGCACTAGAATCATCCGGCTAAATTTGTATTGCAAAAAGCGGAACTACACGGCTCTGTGTGTCTCTTATGCTGATCAAGCAACACAAAATCCAGACACAGATTCTGTGTACTGTAACCACGTCTGAGATTTTTGTAATAGCTGAGCAGGTTATAGCATTCCCACCGCGTTTTTCTCTACTTCGTTGACATCGGAAGATGACGACCATAACAAATTCGACGATATTAGTCTTTTTCGCAGCTACGCTGCCGAGGACCCTCACGCGGCACTCTCCCCCTCTAGCCGAACAGGACATCATAACCCGGCCTCCTCAAGTAGCAGGCAGCAGCGCATGGCTATCCTATGTAAAAACGTCCCCAACCCATAGTCAAGATGGGGAATCGGCTACACAAATCTACAAGTTTTGGCTGCTTTGCATGACAAATTTGGATTCGTAGTGTCGTGCTGTTTGAGCTAGCTCAGCAGCGTCACAGATCTAGTACATCAGGCTGATTGAAGCATGACAGATTCCAAAACACGCCTAAACAATGCCTCTCATGGGGCTCCGCATGAGAAACAGTTTCAGCATGCAGATTTGCAATACAAATACAACTATGGGGTGGGGACGTTTTTCAATACGATAATGGCCATGGCCTCCTTGCTCCTGGACCGGTGGCGTTTCGAGGTTCTATGACAATGCACAACTCCCCCTCGTCCCCCTCATTTGTCATGCAAAATACCAATTATACATCCCTTTCCCTTAAGCACTGCTTGCATGACAGGCTCCGGAAGCTGAAACAGCACTAGAATCGGTCGCTGATTTGTCATGCAAAAGCTGGATTTATGCCAGCACTTGTGTTGCTGCTTATGCACTTCAAATGAGGGGGGGGGTTGTGGACTCTCATAGGTTCCGTACGGCACGTACAAACGCATCGCACTGTTTCTCGCCATTGAGTCAGAGATTGAACCAGAGTGCGGCGACTTTTGTTTTTGCATTTGCAAACAGGACGTCGAGAGCTCATAATTAGCCGCAGCTTTCGTGTGGATACAAATAGAATAAAGTGTCCAGCCGTTGTACTAACAGAGTCGCGTATGTTTAATATACGACTCGGGATTTTGATGTGCTACTTGTGCAAGGACGCGGGCAAAATTTCGCCCCGGATTTTCGAACATTCATTTTGAAGATTTGGATGGTTGAGTAAGACCAAAAAAAGATTCCTTCCTCGGAGGACGACCTGTTGCATTTCTCAAGGAGGATGCAAGTGGCACGGTGAAAAATGTCGATTTTCAGAAATTTTTCTGTTGTTCACAGTTTGTCGTGCTTCCTGTGTATTGTTTCACAGACGGATTACGGTGTATTTACCTTGTTGCACTTTTTTTGTTTTTCTACTCTGGCAGCTGAGGACGCGCTAGTAGTAAGTTCTCTCGCAGGTGCACCTCCTTGTTTTTCGACGGTCGTGCGAAATTTCTCTCACTTCGGTACAGGTTTCTATTTTAAGAAGCGCACACGTCATTCTATCTTTCTGCGCCCTCCCGTCGTTTTATGATTTATTAATACAAATTTGTCACATCGATAGATTTTTGCTACGAGGTTTTTTCTTCATCTTCACCCAAGTTAGAAGACTACTGTCGTTTTGATTCTGTAAAAGTGCAACTGCAACAAATAGTACGTAGGTAAATTTTCTGAATCAGCAACAGCAACGACACGAGATGTTCACCTCTAGAACCCTGATCTCAGGTTCCGAAGACGCAGGGCCTCTGCTCGGCCCAACAAGTACGATGTTGTCCGACAGTCCTCCATTGAGACCGGGTTCAAACGATCCAGACCCGGATCCTCTTCTACGTGAAGATTTTCCTTGCACCAGACCAACAGCACATGGGGCTCCCGAAGCCGCAAATGCGAAAAATGCAAAAAGGAAGAACACCAGCACGAGCACTAGCAGCTTGGGAGCGGCTACTACTGGAGGTTCTTCTTCCTACAGCGGCCCAAGTAGGACATTGTCGTCTTCAACATCGTCGACTGGTGCGGGGTTGAGCAATGATAACAAACACCAGCGCATTATCAAATGCAAATAAGTCTGGGTCTGGAAACTTGTGATGCTGAATTGTGGATGACTGAAATACTTCCCAATGCAGCTAAGCATGACAAGTTTCCCGCACACTTTTGCATGCGCATTCCGCATGAAAAACTGCGCTTTTGTATGACAAAAGGAGGTATCTTCTTGCTAGTCATGCAACACAGATTTTACAGGAGTGCAGGACTAGCATTACAAGTTCCATGCTTTCAGACCCAGACATATTTGCAATGCATACGCATTCTGAATTACCCGCTCACGCCGGAAGTTGGCCCAAGGGAAGTTGTGCTCCTAGAAGCTCCACCGATCGAGAAATTCGACGTAGCAACAAGACCCGACGGAGAAACGGGCGTGCTGGAACATGATAGGGAACAGCATCACGCCGGTATAATATCTTCAAACCAGGGCGGAGGAGGAGGAGGAGCATATCAGCATAATGGAAATGAGGGTCTTGTGGCAGGACCACGAGGAGCATCTTCTTCAAGAACACATGAGCTGCGGAAGAATACTTCTAGTACGACGAGCATAAAAGATCTGTACAACGTCGTTCCAGCATCATCTGTGAATGATGATAAGCCCCAACAGACGATGAAAACTCGCAAGCCGCGACATTCCTGGAGCGTGCACAACTATGACCCGCTCAGGTGTCAACTTACAGGCTACGTAAACGTTTACAATAGATGAACATGCAAGTCTGTGATGCAAAAGGTGATGCAAAAGGTAGCCTACTTGTACTCCTGCAGAAGTGCGCATGACAAGTTCTGGAGTTGTCCCAAACGACCGCACTAGAATCGTGCGAAATTTGATTGTATTGCAGAAAGTGGAACGTTGTGCGAGTCTGTCATGCTCGTCATCATGCAATACAAAACGCAGACTCTATTGGAACGCTTGAGATTGTAGTAACGTTTGAGCAGGTCATAACAACCTCCGGGATTTTCTTGCTGACGAGGAAGAAGTGGACTCGGATTCCTACACCCGCATTTATGGCCTGCTCAAGTTGTGTTACAATCTGTGATGCAAAAGGTGCATGATCCATCATCCTCTTCTCACAGGAGAGTGCATCACAAGTTCGGGACGAGTACTTCTTACCAAACCGCACTAGAATCATCCGGCTAAATTTGTATTGCAAAAAGCGGAACTACACGGCTCTGTGTGTCTCTTATGCTGATCAAGCAACACAAAATCCAGACACAGATTCTGTGTACTGTAACCACGTCTGAGATTTTTGTAATAGCTGAGCAGGTTATAGCATTCCCACCGCGTTTTTCTCTACTTCGTTGACATCGGAAGATGACGACCATAACAAATTCGACGATATTAGTCTTTTTCGCAGCTACGCTGCCGAGGACCCTCACGCGGCACTCTCCCCCTCTAGCCGAACAGGACATCATAACCCGGCCTCCTCAAGTAGCAGGCAGCAGCGCATGGCTATCCTATGTAAAAACGTCCCCAACCCATAGTCAAGATGGGGAATCGGCTACACAAATCTACAAGTTTTGGCTGCTTTGCATGACAAATTTGGATTCGTAGTGTCGTGCTGTTTGAGCTAGCTCAGCAGCGTCACAGATCTAGTACATCAGGCTGATTGAAGCATGACAGATTCCAAAACACGCCTAAACAATGCCTCTCATGGGGCTCCGCATGAGAAACAGTTTCAGCATGCAGATTTGCAATACAAATACAACTATGGGGTGGGGACGTTTTTCAATACGATAATGGCCATGGCCTCCTTGCTCCTGGACCGGTGGCGTTTCGAGGTTCTATGACAATGCACAACTCCCCCTCGTCCCCCTCATTTGTCATGCAAAATACCAATTATACATCCCTTTCCCTTAAGCACTGCTTGCATGACAGGCTCCGGAAGCTGAAACAGCACTAGAATCGGTCGCTGATTTGTCATGCAAAAGCTGGATTTATGCCAGCACTTGTGTTGCTGCTTATGCACTTCAAATGAGGGGGGGGGTTGTGGACTCTCATAGGTTCCGTACGGCACGTACAAACGCATCGCACTGTTTCTCGCCATTGAGTCAGAGATTGAACCAGAGTGCGGCGACTTTTGTTTTTGCATTTGCAAACAGGACGTCGAGAGCTCATAATTAGCCGCAGCTTTCGTGTGGATACAAATAGAATAAAGTGTCCAGCCGTTGTACTAACAGAGTCGCGTATGTTTAATATACGACTCGGGATTTTGATGTGCTACTTGTGCAAGGACGCGGGCAAAATTTCGCCCCGGATTTTCGAACATTCATTTTGAAGATTTGGATGGTTGAGTAAGACCAAAAAAAGATTCCTTCCTCGGAGGACGACCTGTTGCATTTCTCAAGGAGGATGCAAGTGGCACGGTGAAAAATGTCGATTTTCAGAAATTTTTCTGTTGTTCACAGTTTGTCGTGCTTCCTGTGTATTGTTTCACAGACGGATTACGGTGTATTTACCTTGTTGCACTTTTTTTGTTTTTCTACTCTGGCAGCTGAGGACGCGCTAGTAGTAAGTTCTCTCGCAGGTGCACCTCCTTGTTTTTCGACGGTCGTGCGAAATTTCTCTCACTTCGGTACAGGTTTCTATTTTAAGAAGCGCACACGTCATTCTATCTTTCTGCGCCCTCCCGTCGTTTTATGATTTATTAATACAAATTTGTCACATCGATAGATTTTTGCTACGAGGTTTTTTCTTCATCTTCACCCAAGTTAGAAGACTACTGTCGTTTTGATTCTGTAAAAGTGCAACTGCAACAAATAGTACGTAGGTAAATTTTCTGAATCAGCAACAGCAACGACACGAGATGTTCACCTCTAGAACCCTGATCTCAGGTTCCGAAGACGCAGGGCCTCTGCTCGGCCCAACAAGTACGATGTTGTCCGACAGTCCTCCATTGAGACCGGGTTCAAACGATCCAGACCCGGATCCTCTTCTACGTGAAGATTTTCCTTGCACCAGACCAACAGCACATGGGGCTCCCGAAGCCGTGTAGCTAAATCTATGTTCACTTTTTTGTTTTTCTACTCCGGCGGCAGGAGAGCTGAGCAGTCGCTAGTAAGTAGCTCTTTCGCAGCATGGTCGTGCGAAATTTATTAAATTTCTGGCATTTCCTCGGTCATGGTCTGTCTCTTTCATCTGCGTCCCCTCCTCGTCGTATAAATTTGTGGTAGAGCTTGCCACTGGCACACTAGATCATTTTTGCTTGTCAGGGCTTCATCAATCTGCCTTCATTCCTCCCAAGATTCGGCTTTCGTCTTGTTTCCACCGCGTTCACGAGATTTTTTATCTTCGGCTAACTAAAAAGAAGAACTGCTTGCTTTGTATAATTCAAGAGTAGAGCAACGCGTTCTGGAGCGTACCATATATACTTAAACTACTTTCTCTAACTATTTTCTCTTTTTGGGAAAGTAAGAAGCAAGATGTTCGCCTCGTCTAGCAATACCCTGATCATGTCTTCGAATTCCGAAGACGCAGGGCCTCTGCTCGGCCCAAGAAGTTGTACGATGTCCGACACCAGTATGGAAGTGTCAGAATCGAAATCGACAAAATCGAAAAATTTGTGATGCGCAAAATCGTAGCCAGTTAGAGCCACAGTTTGGAGTCGGCGCATGACAAATTTTCCCCGTCCTGGAAGCGAGTCTGTCGCGCGGTTTAGGGCAAAAGAGCTGCCTTCTGTCATGCTAGTCAGCAGCCCAACATTTGACCCTTACCAGGACTATAGTCCTCCTTCCTTGCATCCTCTGCAATAGAGTCGCTTTCTGTGTAGCATTTCATGCATTACAGATAATCTCGATTTTGACGATTTCGATCCTGACACCCCCATAACCAGTCCTCCATTGAGGCCCGGTTCAAATGATCCAGGACCAGGAGTATCCTGAGTAAAATCGTCCCCACCCCATAGTCAAGATGGGGATTTTGCAACACAAACCTGGAAGTCTTGGGACTCATGCATCACAAGTTGCAGTCCGTAGTGTAGTGCAGGTTAGCAAAGGCAAACGCATCAGAAATCCACCTGCTTATCCTGGTTACAGCATTACAAATTCCAAAACACGACTAGAAACTCCTCTCATGGAGATGCCCATTACAAATGGTCCTGTCGTTGCAAATCTGCATGACAACTCTGGGGTGGGGACGTTTTTACAAATGATAAGGAGAACCGGACCCTCTTCCCCCTGATTTTTCTTGCACCAGACCAACAGCACATGGTGCTCCCGTAGCCGCAAATGCGAAAAATGCAAAAAGGAAGAACACCAGCACGAGCACTAGCAGCTTGGGGGCGGGTACTACTGGTTCTATTTCCTGCAGCGACCCAAGTAGGACATTGATGTCGTCCTCAACATCGTCGACTGGTGCGGGGTTGAACAATGATAACAAACACCAGCGCATTCTGAATTACCCACTCACGCCGGAAGTTGGGCCAAGGGAAGTTGTGCTCCTAGAAGCTCCAGTGATCGAGAAATGCGACGTAGGAACAAGACCCGACGGAGAAACGGGCGTGCTGGACCTTGTTGATAGGGAACATCATCATGCCGGTATAATATCTTCAAACCACCGCGGAGGAGCACAATATAATGGAAATGGAGCATATAAAGGAAATGAGGTTGCGGCAGGACCACGAGGAGCATCTTCTTCAACACATGAGCTGCGGAAGAATACGTCTAGTACAACGAGCATAAAAGATCTGTACAACGTAGTTCCAGTAACATCTGTGGATGATAAGCACGACCAGCAGACGAAGACTCGCAAGCCGCGACATTCCTGGAGCGTGCACAACTATGACCCGCTCAGGTGTCAACTTGCAGGCTACGTAAACGTTTACAATAGATAAATATGCAAATCTGTGATGCAAAAGGTGCATGATTTAAGTTAAGTAGCCTACTCGTACTCCTGCAGGAGTGCGCATGACAAGTTCTGGAGTTGTCCCAAACGACCGGACTAGAGTCGGGCGAAATTTGATTGTCTTGCAGAAACTGGAACAGGAACGTTGTGCGAGTCTGTCATGCTCGTCATCATGCAATACAAAACGCAGAGGCAGACTCTATTGGAACGCTTGAGATTTTTGTAACGTTTGAGAAGGTCATGACAACCTCCGGGATTTTCTTGCTGAAGAGGAAGAAGTGGACTCGGATTCCTACACCCGCATTTATGGCCCGCTTAAGTTTTGTTAGAATCTGTGATGCAAAAGGTGCATGATCCATCCTCTTCTCACAGGAGTAAGTACGCATGATAAGTTCGAGACGAGTACCAAACCGCACCAGAATTATTCGGCTCAATTTGTATTGCAAAAAGCGAAACACAACTACTCTGTGTGTCTCTCATGCTGTTGATCATGCAACACAAAATCCAGACACAGACTCTGTGTACTGTAACCACGTCTGAGATTTTTGTAACAGCTGGGCAGGTTATAAAATTCCCACCGCGTTTTTCTCTACTTCTTTGACATCGGAAGATGACGATCATGTATGAATTGCAAAAGTATCGTACTCGTAGTCGTATAAATGCATTACAAATTTCCTCAGCATGAGAGATAAAATTTGTGATGCTGATTTACCTTAAGAGAAAGATTTTTAAATGCATGACTGCAATACGAATACGATTGATACTTTTGCACAGGATATCACGACAAATTCGACGATATTAGTCTTTTTCGCATCTACGCTGCCGAGGACCCTCACGCGGCACTCTCCCCCTCTAGCCGAACAGGACATCATAACCCGGCCTCCTCAAGTAGCAGGCAGCAGCGCATGGCTATCCTATGTAAAAACGTCCCCAACCCATAGTCAAGATGGGGAATCGGCTAGACAAATCTACAAGTTTTGGCTGCTTTGCATGACAAATTTGGATTTGTAGTGTAGTGCTGTTTGAGCTAGCTCAGCAGCATCACAGATCTAGTATATCATGCTGATTGAAGTATGACAGATTCCAAAAAACGCCTAAACAATGCTTCTCATGGGGCTCCGCATGAGAAACATTTTCAGCATGCAGATTTGCATATACAACTATGGGGTGGGGACGTTCTTCAATACGATAATGGCCATGGCGTCCTTGCTCCTGGACCGGTGGCGTTTCGAGGTTCTATGACAATGCACAACTCCCCCTCGTCCCCCTCATTTGTCATGCAAAGTACCAATTATCCATCCCTTTCCGTGAAGCACTGCTTTGATGACAGGTTCCGGAAGCTGAAACAGGAACAGCACTAGAATCGGTCGCGAATTTGTCATGCAAAAGCTGCATTTATGCCAGCACTTGTGTTGCTGCTTATGCACTTCAAATGAGGGAAAGGGGGGAGTTCGTTGTGGACTCTCATAGGTTCCGTACGGGACTTACAAACGCATCGCATTGTTTCTCGCCTTGCTGGCGAGTGGGTATGTTGTGGTCGTGTTTTTCGCTGGAACAACGTCGAGTGCCCTGGCGTCTGGCGAGCACTATTCGGGAACCTCCGCCGCAGCTTCATCTTCTAGCCGCAGTGCCGATCATACCAGAGGTGATACATCAACCGGGGAGTACTATGGCGCGGGTGGCGCACATGGCGCGAGTGCGGATAGCACATCATTGCACGGAATCGCAACGACCGTGGATAGCAGTGCAGGAGGTACAGGGGAGAAAGGGATGCAGGTACACAACAAGAAGGATCTCGCTTGTGTCTCTGCGCACCGAACAGTTGAAAATCATGCGGATCTTACATAATTTCCCGCCCATGTTCTTCTACAGAACAGCATTAGCCGATGCTGTGGAACCAAAATCAAGAAAAAAAATATCAACAGGCCATCTGCTGCGACCTGCGGCAGCTGATTTTCCTCGGTTTCCTGTTAGCGCACCTTGCGTCCCTGCAGGACAAAGTGCGTTTTTATCCCAATGCAAAAACGTCCCCACGACCCCAGATCCAAGACAAGGATTCCGCTTCACAGAACCAGCATCTTTTGGCTGTCGCGCATGACAAGTTTGGGCTCGCCGTTTCATCGCGTTTACGTTTAACTATTGTACTAGCTGCATCACAAATCGATCCCCTTATGCTGCTTCTAGCATGACAAAGTGCCAGACAGCATTACAGGATAGTACTCATGGGGCTCTGCATGACAAACATTTGAGGCTTGCGGATTTGCACGACAGCTCTGGGGAGGCCGCGGGGACGTTTTTGCTCTGGATAGCTTCGAGTACTTGTTCAAGTTTTCCGAGAAAAAGCCGCGGGGCTACATTTTCGTGTGCATCTTTTATGAACTGCAAAAGTATCTGATACTCGTACTGCAATCATGCATTACAAATCTTTTTCTTGAGGTAAATCCGGATTACAAATTTTATTTCTCATGCTGTAATTTGTAATGCATTTATACGAGTACTACGAGGATACTCTTGCAGTTCATATCTTTTTTCTCACGGCAACTGACTTTTTCACCAAGATGTACGACAAGCTCTTCAGTGGTATCAAATGCGAAAATGTCTGGGCCTGGAAGAATGCATGTTTGTCATGCTTGTATGGCATGACTCTTAAATCTGTCATGCGCCTTACCTAATAGCCCCATTCTTCTGTCATGCAGAAACGCAGTTTGTCATGCAGAATAGGCAACACCTAGGTAGAAGCTCAAAAACTTGTCATGCTGAGCCAGCATTTGTGGCCTCCTCATGATACGCCACCCAGCGTCACAAGTTTCCAGACCCAGACATATTTGCAATGCATAAGTGGCGTCTTCGGACTAATTTTCTCGATACTCCACTCCGTCGCCCGGTTCTGCCTCCCCGGGTTTATCGTTCGAACTTTTTCATCTTCTTCTTCAAGCACCTCGGCTGAACAAGAAGCATCCTCGCACGCTGGTGTTTCAAAGTCAGAGCACCTCCGTGAAGATGGACAACAACCCACTTTACTGGTTTTACTCTGCGCCGCACCGTTGATCCTGTGGCACATCTACATTGCGCGGAAAGCAACGACGAAGACCGGATTTCTGTGCTATTTGATGTGGAAGTGCTTCTTCGTTCTGGTGATCGTGTTGCCAAAGACCATATGCATTGCAAATATGTCTGGGTCTGGAAGGTGGTAACTTGTCATGGTAAATCTGAAGCATGCAAAAGTCTGTGTTGCATGAGTGCTAAAAGCAGCTGTCCACTTTCGACCAAGTTGGGAGGGAGTTTCTCATGCAGGATAGGCATGGCGGAGACCTCGCAGAGTCTGTCACGCTAAGTCCCGCATTCCAGACCTCATGGGTCATGGAAAATTTGCATGACAAGTTTACACTCTTCCAGACCCAGACATATTTGCAAGGCATAGACCAATTTTCTGGAGTCGATCGGGTTTCTCCTGGCGCTCTTCGTATGCATTGCAAAAGTATCGTATTCGTATAATTGCATTACAAATTCTTTCAGCATGAGAAATAAAATTTGTAATGCGGATTTAGCTTGAGAACAAGATTTGTAATGCATGTTTGCAATTGCTACGAGCACGATACTTTTGCACAGGATACTTCGGCGAGTACAACCATCCCTTGTCCGTAATCAGTCTGGCGTTTGGCTGCGGGTTGTGGGTTATCAAATGCAAATAGGTCTGGGTCTGGAAGGATGCAAGATAGATTCCTAAATCTGTAATGCATGAGCAGGAAGGCAGCCTCGTACCTGTCATGCAAAAATGCAGTTTGTCATGCGGGAAGCGAAACATATAGGACCTCAGAAACTTGTCATGTGTGGCTGCGTAACGCAGTGCACCCATCATTCACAAACTGGCATCACAAGTTTCCAGACCCAGACATATTTGCAGTCCATATGGGTCCGGGGCTTGGGCATTTACAGGACCGACCACTTACTGTATTGAATGGCGATGGTGCAGCTGCAGCAGCTGGACCGAATCGAGAAGTGGAGCACAAAATTGCTGTTCTTGGTGGACGAGGGAAAATCTTCTCGGGTCAGAAAGAAACTTCTTCTTCAGGAGCAACGACGTGCTGAATAAAGATGCGAGCGCAACATGTCACTGACATTGTCAGTTCCCTGGACGTCGATTTAGCACGACTAACGTGTTACAACGCCTGGACCTCATTGGTAATTAGAAGGGTGTGGTTGTAAATGTTCTACGAGACGGAGACATGTTTTTCTTTTTTCTCGATGGAGTTGATTATGATTTCAAATTTGCTTTTCCGCACCCTCAAACTCGCTGAGAAATAAGCGCAAGAAAGAACCCGAAGAGGTCATCAAGAAGAAATGTATTGTCCTGCTGGTGTATATTCGAGGAGGGAAAAAAACAAGAACTCTCGTAGCTTACACCGACATCTTCACACGTCACACGACGACCTGGCGCTCTTTGAGTCAGAGATTGAAGAAGTAGAGTGCGGCGACTTTTGTTTTTGCAAACAGGACGAGAGCTAAGGCTAACCGCAGCTTTCGTGTGGATACAAACGAACAAATTAACGGCCTACTTCGAACGACGTCGTGATAAAATCTTTCGTGTGGATTTGTTTTTGTTTAGTACTGTACCTCCTGCGGTTAGTTTACGAACTACCCCTTCATATCTTTCCGTTAAGACTTAATGCAACAACGCTTTGGAAGTCGATAGTTCGACAAAGAAAAAGACTAGCATGTTGTGCCGGTGCACTCCCACTCCGCCCGCGCCTCCTCCTGGTCTCCAGCAATTGAGGTAGAGTGTGCAGCGCAGAACTGCTAGTAGACCCCAACTGCAGAACCTCTTGGAGGTCCGTTTGAATAAAGTAGGACGAGAGCCAGCTAACAACTATGGGCGAGCGGCAGCAGCGGATCCGGGATCCGCGGTCGGTGCCGCTCACAGGGGTGGTTGTTCCAAGCGGGGAAGGAAATCAGCAGGACTCTGTGGCGGCGAGGACATCCGGTGAAAGTAAACTAGCAAACGTCGACGATTCCTTGCCGCCGAAGAGAAAAGTATATCTCGTTTTATTTAAGTGTTGTGCAGGTACTATGTGAATGTGCATGAGCATGTGGCAGAAAAAAGAGATGAAAAGAAATGTTGATGCAATAAATGCGTTCACATCTTCCACACCCAGTTGCCACATTTGTACTAAACGCAGAAACATTTATTTCGCCACAGGTGATTTTGATCACTCTCGCCATGTTCTCTGGGTACGCTGCGACTATGCATTGCAAATATGTCTGGGTCTGGAAGGATGCAAGGTTTGTCATGCTTTTCTGGCATGACTGAAGAGTTTGTGATGTGTGTCCAAGAAGACACACTTTCGTTTGTTATGCAAAACGCAGCTTGGCATGCGGAAAGCGCAACACTAAGCAGCGCAAATATTTGTCATGCTTGGCTGTGCATTACAGAGAGTTCACTACTCGCAACTCAGCATTACAAGTTTCCAGACCCAGACATATTTGCAATCCATAGCGACCGTGACGATGCAACACGAGCTGCAACTGCACTTGAAAATTCCCAACGACCCAAATTCACCCGAGAAAAAAGCCTTCACGATCGCCGTTACCTGCCAATACCTGGGCAACCTGATTTTCCGGCTGGGGCACAACGTCTTCTACTGTTTGTCCGCCAGTCAGCGGGTGTCGCTCTCCCAACTGGCTATGATGGTGGCCATGTCCTTGATTCTCCTCCTCTTCTACTATCCGATCAGTAGCTTCGTGCTGCTCTCGCCCCTGTATCATGAGTAAAAACGGCCCCACCCCATAGTCAAGATGGGAAATTTGCTACAGAAATTGCTAAGCTTTGACTGGCGCGCATGACAAATTTTTGGGGCTCGCAATTTATAGTCGTTTTGAGCTAGTGCAGCAGCGTTACAGATCCACCTTGTGATGCTGAGTCGAGCATGACAAACACAAATCTTAAATCACCACTAGAAAACGCCTCTCATGTTGGGTCTCCGCATAAGAAACATTTTAAAAAGCATGCGGATTTGCATTACAACTTTGCGGTGGGGACGTTTTTGTACAGGATACCCTGTCCATCGTGATTATCGCGTACTTGCTCTCCGGTTTGGCCATCGGGACGTTTGAATCCAACTGCATGGCGAGTCTGGCGATTCTAGGACCGATATCACCTGCAACTATGTTTGGGTCTGGAAGAAAGCGGACACTTTTCATGCATATTTTGCATCCGCAGGAGGGTCTATCATGCGTGCAGAGCAGGTGCATGACAAATGGCACTTCTACTCTGCATGAGAAGTGCTCTCTCCTGGACGCAAAACCACACATGACTCACTGACTATGCAAGTCAGAGTTCCTTTTTTTTCTTTCAAAATGAGCATGACATCCTCCCAGACCCAGACATGTTTGCAATGCATAACCGAACACGAAGCTGTGGGCGGTGATTGGCTTGCCGTTGGGCTTCAACATTATCTCCGTCGGGGGAATGGCGCTGCTGTCTTTCGGCATGCCGCGGTACGGCGTGTATCTGTTTGTTCTGGTGATGAACTTCTTCGGTTTCTTACTGTACAAGTGCGGACTGCCGAAGGGGGTGCACATCGACAGAAGTGTAGTTCTTGTTCCCAATACGATTACGAGCAGCACTGGAGATCATGACCATGCCACCAATTTCGTCGAGAGCGCAGTACCAACATCTTCGTATGCGGTAAGAACTACTGGTGCACGTGAAGACCAGTCAGCAATGGGAAACCGGCAACAGGATCATGGTGCTCATATCACGACCGAAGTTGCAGCGGCCAGGACCACTACTTCTTCCCCTGTGGATTTGGAAGCCGTGCCAGGTGCTGGGGTGGTATTACAATGAAAAATGCCACCACCCCAACATATTCAAAAGACAATTTGTGTTGCTGGATTTGTGTACACAAATGATCTTTGTATTGCAGCAAGAACTTCTTGTCAACCTATTCTAAGCCCATTTGGGTACGCATCCGGCTAGCAGCTCCTGAGCATGAGAAACAGGTCTGACGTAGGCGAAAACGCATGACAGACTCGCTGCACAGTGCGCCACATGGGTGCCGGTTGCCTTGTGCGCAAGGCAAAGCTGATTTGTGTTCACAAATCAGCATCACAAATTCCTTTTCGATATGGGGAGTGGGGATTTTTCCTTACGATAGGCGGTCCGCTTTAACGACGCAGTGATAAGTCGGAGAAGTGGTGCTGGGTGTTGTGGCAAAGCAGTGCGGCAGGGGATAAGAAGTACTTACTTACTACTTTTTTCAGCATCTGTCGCAAATAAAGTTTCATTTTGTCACACGATATTATGGCCATTTTGTACTTCGCCACCTTCCGTCTGGCGATCAAACATTCTTGCAATTATTTGAAGACCACACAAAAACATCTCTCTCCACCGCAGGTCTGTGCAACTATCTCCCAAAAGTTCTCCCGCACTCCCTCGCGCTTCTCGTGGCCATGTTTGGCGTATGACAGGGCACAACTCGTCCCCCTCGTTCTCATTTCTCATGCAAAATACCAACTCCACGCTTTATTCCCTCCTGTCACTATTATGCATGACAAGTTCAGGTAGCCTAAGAAAATAGCACTACACTCCAGTGCAAATTTGTCATGCAAGAAAACCGGCATGCTTGCTGATGTGTTTCTTGCCGTTCATGCTATACAAATGAGGGGCACGAGGGAAAGTTGTGCACTGTCATATGGCGTCGCTTCCTGCACTGGGATTACCACGAACATTTTTAGCGGAAAGAAGGTCCCTAGGCAAGAAAAAAACTGTGTAAGTGTAAGTCTGTGATGCAAAGGTATGTAACACAATTATCACTTGTCATGCTACCAACCATGAAGTCCTATTTCATTTGTTTTTTCACTTACTAGCTGCGCATGACAGGTCTTGTCATGCAGAACAGATTTGTCGTGCCGTCACCTCAAGACACCTACACTAACACAGCTTTTTTTTTTTGGATAGTCCCGCTGTTCGCCGACACTCCCGACTCCGCTTTTCTCATCGACCAGCACTTATTTTTGTCCATCCTGAACGCGTTTGTGTTCCTGGGCGACAGTATTGCAATGAAAAATGTCCGCCCCACGACCCGAGTAGAACTTGGCAGCATTTGTATTGCAAACCTCTCCCGTGGAAATAGTTGCCATCTTGCATGTATCAGCATCATAAATTTTATTCAATGCTGAACAGCTGAAATTTCAATTTGCGTTGCAAAGGAACGCAGCAAGAACTCGCCGGCCCTGTGATGCAAAACATGCCTAGCGCAGTCTAAGTTCTGCTGCACCAGAAAGACTCTTAGTCCTTTCATGCATAGATAAAAAGTTTTTCACTTGAAAACCTTATATGCATCAGAAAATTTTTTTGCTGCAACTATGAGGGTCCTCGTGCGGGCGCTTTCCATTGTGACAGAGAGCGTAAGCAGAAAGATCGCCTACTTGATCCCCGCGTTTCCGAAAACAACGAGTGCGGAAGTAGAAACTGGCGCAGAAGAAAATCCTGTGGCATCGATGTCAACATCAAGACGGATAAATCGGAAGATTTTTCTGCGGCAAATCATCCTCCTGCTTTTCTTCAACGTGTTCTGCACTCTCTCCGGGCTGTATTTTCTCTCCCTGAAAATGGGCTTCTTCGCGATTATCGGAGCTTTCCTGATTTTCTACGGTAACGTATCCTGAGAGACAACGTCCCCACCTCATAGTCAAGAAATGGGAAGTTTGCAGCTACACAAACCAACAGCGTTTGGCTGTTGCGCGTGTCAAATTCGTGCTCGCAGCGTGAGATTACGTAGCTATTGAAGCTGCATCACAATTTGATCCTTTCTATTCTGATAATTTTAATTGTAGTATGACAAACTGCCAGACAGCACGAAGAAATGCTTATCATGAGAAGCATTTGAGGCTTGCAGATTTCTTTGCATGGCAAGAATTCTGGGGCAGGGGCGCCTTTACATCGGATACAACGGCTCAGTCTACGCGACGACCACCCGGTTTGTCGACAAGCAACTCGCTATGGAGTTTCACGTTCGGGCACTGTCCGTCTGGCTTTTCGTCGGCGATTTGGGGAGCGTTTCCGGGAGTAGTTTGACGGATGTGTTTCATCGGCACTTGTGCGGCTGCGGGAGTGTGAAGCACTACTGGATTTGCAAGTGATCGATGTTGTTGTGCGTCGAAGCCTGATCTGGGAAAGAAATGCTCACAACCGCGAGCTCATCCGCGAAGGCGAACTCATGATTTAAACTCGCCACACCCTGTTTTAAGTATCTGTCTCAGACAGAGTGAGCTGCTTTGACTCTTCGAAGATCCCAATGTTCTTGCGTGGTCGTGCCTACGTTATGCTGGTATGTTGATATGTCAGCACCGGAGGTGTAAGTGCTTTTACAAAAGTTTCGCACTGTAAGATTTTTCAACGCTCCGGATGGCGTTCATGATTCGCCCACCGTTGTAGTGTCAGGACGATCGTCATGATGATCCTGCTGCTGCTCACAGGTGTGAGTCTTGTTCTCCTCTCGCCTCGATCATCTATATTTTTGTCTACATCAACATCTTCATGCCCCAATGGCGGCGACAGATTATCTTTTACAAACAGAAACATAAAAGGTGCCTCCCGTTCTCCCCTCTGAGCGAGATCATGGAGAGCTAGCAGAGGAGCGACTGAATTTCAGGGTTGTTTTTCTGTTCTTGGTCTGCTGGTAGTCGTAGTTGTCGTGAACCGATGTCTTCATTATAATCGCCGTCAGTAGGTACCACCGGCCTCAAACCTTTTTCTATTAGGTGAGCTTCGTCAATCTTCTGAAATAAAGAGGATCTGTGCACCAGCGGCCTTGGAGAGAAGGTAAGAGGAGTGAGAAAGGGATAGGGGTCGTGAATCATCTTAGCAAGAAGACCGAAAATATTGCACGTATAGTAAAGCGAAACCTGCTCGGTGGCGTCATGATAAGCAAACTGGACGACGTTTAGAAGACGGGGCTAAGTACACAAAAACTGAAATATGCAAATGAGATGACGGCAGTGATGCATTACTTTAGATAGAAATTCCAATTCTTCCAGAATTCGGTTACCGAGCCGATCACCTTTCTCAATTGAAACAACTGGTCAACATAGGAAACAAATAGTCGTTGGATTGGTATCAAGCTAAGTTTTGATAATTTCTATGGCGTTCTCAATTGACAAATCATATTATACAGTTAAGAATGTAACATTTGAAATGTTACATTCTTAACTGTATAATATGATTTGTCATGCAAAATGACCATGATCCGCAAGACGATCAAGCGGCTTCGCATGACAAATCATCGAATGGCTAAACAGCATCCAAATCCGTGCCAAATTTGTGATGCAAGACTTGCAAGCTTTCCCCTTTCCCTATTGCTGTTTTTGTATGTAGTGAGGTCACCGAACGGTTCTAACCTGGCAGTTTTCTTGACATGAAGCGCCAAAAACGGCCGGCAGTTTTCAAGCCTATAGAGAGTTTTTTTCCCTGAAAAAGTTCGCAGCGTGCAAGCCTGTTTGGCTTTGTTATCAACGAATCTCCGGCGGATTCTATCGCTCGCCGCTGGATAAAACGACGCAAGGGAGCCGGCAAAAGGGGCGCCCTTCTGAGGCGCCCACCGCCTTAGTTTCTGGCGATTTGAGGCGCCCAAAAGGGCGCCCCAAAAAAACGAGCCCAAAATCAGAACAGCGAAACCGCATGGCACGGCCTCGATTTCGGAGCATTTTGGGCGGCCGCGAAAGCGGCCGCCTTTTCGCCGGTTTCAGAGCCTGGGAAGCTTTGCAAAAAGCGCCGGCGCGAAAAATAAAAACGCAAAAAAGAAAAAGCGCGCGAGACGCGCGAAGCCAATCCGCATGCTATGGGCCCTATTTTTCTTTGGTTTTTGGGCGCCCCCCGTGGCGCCCGGATCGGCCCCATAGCGTCGGGGCTGGCTTCCGGACAGGAATTTCGGAAATTTGCCAAAAATCTGACATGTTTTTCAACCGGCCGCCATGCCGTGCGGCATAACCTTACCCACGGCGGCACGGCGGGCCCAGAAAAAGCAAAGCCGTGGCCAAGGCAACGGCCGGCAAGAAAACGCCACCGACCTCACTACCTCCGCCCCGGCGGCTATCATGACAAATCCATGTAACAGTTGAGAATGTAACAGTTGAGAGCGCCATAATTTTCGTTTGCCTTTGACCAGACTCGCCTTTGACGAGTTGTTCTCCACCTGCAAAATGCTGCCTTACTGGTGGAGGCGGAAGCCGTATCAAATGCAAATATGTCTGGGTCTGGAAACCTGTGATGCTGTATTGCGCATGACTGCAACGCTTGTTATGGCAGCTAAGCATGACAAACTTTCGGAACGCTTTCTGCTGCGTGTTGCGCATGAGAAATTGCTTCTTTGCGTAACAAAGAAAGCTGCTCATTTGCTGCTCATGCAGCACAGATTTTCCGGGAATGCAAGATACGCATTTACGAGTTGCAACCTTCCAGACCCAGACATATTTGCAGTGGATAGGCCGCTCATTGCTGCCCAACTGGTGGCCACGTCCCAGATCGCAGGCGCGGCTGGGTACGAGGACGCGAGCAAGAACTTCCGCGGGGGGGGGGGCAAAACCAAAAGCCCTCCTCCTTGACCCTCAATCACGACGGCAGTAACTCCGGCGACGCCATGAACCCCGTCACGAAGGACGAGGAGTCGTCCTCTGGGACGAGCTTCATGTCGCGGGCCGCAGTTCTTAGTAACCCTCACCTTATTAGTAGCCCTCATGCCCGCGAGCAAGCTGCAAAGAAGGCGTCTCAGTCGCTGAACAGTACTCACATACATACGCTTTGACTTTGCCGATTGCTCCAACTTCGCCGATTAAGTAGTGGCTGTTGTGTGCAGCTTACGTAGTTACTCTGCATGGTTCTTACGGCCATAAGTTTTTTTCTTGAGACAAAAATACCAATACAACTCATGCAGGTGAATGCTACATCGAGGTCCGTTGCGTAGAGTGGCGTCCTAAGCAGTGCTCAGCAATTGCCTATTGGCAGCCCGAAACTGTGTTTTGCGGAAACCCAAACTCGCACGTCCTGACGGGCAGTCGCCAAACCTACTGTGACGCGGCCTGCAAACCGCTCCCGAAACCAAACTGGTCCACCCCAACGGAACAAACCAATCACTGGAACACCCTGGTGGTGAACACCGTTCCGCTTCCGCGTTCCTAGGAAAGATAAAAAAGTAGCTGAGAGAAGATCGCAAAAATCAAATTCATGCTCAGACCAAAGAAGATAAAGATAGATAAGCTAGTTGAAATAAGGTCGGAACCTGACCGTTAAAAAATGGAAAGTTGTTGTGCGACGGTCGAGGTGGAGGTGATGAAGTTGAAGCCTCGTTATCGTTTGACACCAAGAAAGCTGTTGGCTTTGATGTGCGATTTTATTTCCACAATGACGGCGTGCTACCGTCCACCAGGCCATGGTCTTCTTGTTCACCAGTGTGAGTTTTGTTCTCGTCTCGATCATTTCCTGTGCTTTTATATGCTCCAAAGCGCGGGGACGGAAGATCATCTTTTGCAATCAGATCACATGTGAGTGTGTTAAATCGCCTTCCTCTTTTTTGGCATAAATTGGTGTTATATATTCTAGTGCCTCACGTTCCACCCTCTGACTCTGAGCAAGATGGAGACAAATCTTGCCGACTAGCTGCTTCTTTCTACGGAGATCTCCTTTCTGATTCTGACAACCGTGAAGATCATCCTTTCATTCTGTATCTGTTTGACTTTCAAAGTGGTCGTTACTACTGAGTGAGGTAACAAATTAATCGCTTAAGTTACCGGGTAACTTAGCGTCCGGCCGGCCGCCGGACGCTAAGTTACCCGGTTCCCAGCCGCCAGCCCGTTCCAGCGGATCGGATTCAAAATAGTCTGCTAAGAAGTGGTATTTTTTGGACGTTGGAATCTTAAATAAGACCATGTGGTTTATTTAGTCGCCGTAGTTGCACTTGTAAAAAGTGCAGACGGTGAGAGAGAGCCCCTTTCACACCGTGCGATTTCTGGTTCGGACAAGCAGTTGCTTACTGTTACTCCACATAAAGATAAACTCGAAGTTGCTGTGTAGTTGGTTGTGGGGCCAAGTTTTTCATCACGCAATGATGTCGCGCTTCTCGCCCGCAGGCACAGTCTACCTTATGTCGGGTCGACTCCCGTCCGGTCGTCCCAGGCGTCAGCACACAGCGTTCTCGCACTACATCCGGGCCGCGGTCGCTGTGCTTTCCCTGTTAATCTTCGAGCCCCACAACACCTACAACGCTAGCGCGAAGCTCTGGATGGCACGGAATTTACACCAGTATCGTACGTAAAAAGTGTTTCACTGTAAGGATTTTGCAAGTTTTGCATCACAAGTTTGCTTTACATGACAACGGAAATTTGCCATGCGAGGTTTCCTAAGAGAAAAAGGCTAGACATCCATTATCTTGCACGTGCAGCATTGCATACACTTCTGCGATCCATTTTCTGCATCACAAGTTTACAGTGAAGCAGTTTTTTCTTGCGATGGCCAGCCCTTGTCCTGCACAAGACGGACGAACGTGGACACCGCGTTGAAATGGATCGAGTCTCGCGACGTGCTCATATCGTGAGAAAAAGATGTAGTTACAGCTTACACACTCTGACGCAAGACCAGCAAGACAGACATTTTTTGTCATGTGGGCAATGCTTTCCAGTCTCACTTCCTGCGTGTTTACTTCCCTAATTGATCATGTCTGCGCATTACAAGTTTTCGTTGCCATGCAGAGCAACTTTGTTATGCTGAAAGTGCAGCAAGTGTGTAGTAATTGTAACACTTTTATTTTCCTGCGATAGCTCGACACGTTCCTCCACTATCCGCTAACCGAGGAACTGGTAAATAACTACCTGAAGCCCCGGCAGTGGACGCTGTCCAACTGCGATTGCAGTTGTGGCAACTGCCACCAGGACCTGCTCGAGTGCCCTATTGGGCATTTTGTTAACGTGCTTTACTTGGCGATCTTGTGCACGACGGACATCGCCCGCGAATCGTTGATTCTGTCCATTCCCCCCCACGGCGATATGGGCCGGACGTTTCTCCGGCTGGTGCGGGCCTTGGGCGGGCTCAATTCGGTCATGTACTCGGGCTGGCCGATTTTCGAAATTTGGTTTTCCATCAGCGTCATGACGGAGAAGATTCGGGAGAGACGCACGTGTATCCTGTGCAAAAGTATCGTACTCGTACTAATCGCAGTCATGCAAGACAAATTTCTTTTTCAAGCTAAATCAGCATGAGAAATTTCATTTGTCATGCTGAGCTAATTTGTATTGCAACACTAGAAGTACGATACTTTTGCAGTTCATAACGTGGCAGGTCCGAATGGACTGGCTGCACCGGGAGGTGGACCCTTTATTGGAGGTACTGTCCATATGGAAGTGTCAGAATCGAAATTGACAAAGTCGAAAAATTTGTGATGCATAAAATCGGCACCGGCTGGAGCCTCAGTTGGTAAGTGGCGCATGGCAAATTTCGGGAGCGCCCAAATCCGGTCTGTCATGCGGTTTGGGCAAAAAAGACTGCTCCTGTCGTGCTACTCTGGCAGCGCATTGCATACCCGTAAGCAGGCTTGCAATCGGTCTCATTTGCCTCCTCCCCAACACAGGCCAGGCGTGCCCTACATTTTATGCATTTACAAGTTTTTCGATTTTGTGGATTTCGATCCTGACACTCCCATACTTCAGTCCGAAATACGGGATTGAGCGGGACGCCTGGAAGGAAATCGAGGTGGACGTACCGGTGGTACTATTGGCGGCTGGGAATCATTATCAAATGTAGAAATGTCTGGGTCTGGAAGATTCCGGGATTTGTGATGCATATTTTGTATGATCCATGATTCATGTAATGCATGATCTAGCATCACAGACTTTTAGAGGGCTTTCTGATGCCTATTCCGCATGAAAAATGCCGTCTCCGCGTAACACAAACTGGACCCCTGTTGCTGGTCACGCAATACAGATTTTTTTAGAGTCCAGAGTTAGCATCACAAGTTCCAAACTTCCAGACCCAGACATTTTTGATAATCATGACAGGGCAAGAACCTCCGCCGGTCCTCGTGCTGTACTTGATAAGGTTGACCAATTATTGAGAGGAAAAATCCCCCCTCCCCATATCGAAGCGGTATGCTTCCGAAAATTTGTCTTGCTGATTTGAGACCACAAATCACGTCTGTCTTGCCAGAAGACAACTCCACAGGCTCTGCCGCATTACCCAGGCGGTTTGTGATGCTGTTGGGCCTACAGCATAGACGTTTCCCATGCTAAGCACCTAGGCAAAAACCTCTCCGCTCAGGCTTGGCAGGAGCTTGCAGTCAGCCACTGCAAGACAGATCTGATTTGTGTACGCAAATCCAGCATCAGAAACTTCCTTTTGATATGGGGAGGGGGGATCTTTCCTTTTGATACCAATATGTTGCTCACGATCAAATTACAAACACCGCTGATACAACAACAACGGTCAGCACTGGGCTCTCCATTCCGGGCTTACCGGATGCGTTCGTTACTAGCGAGCGGACCTCTACCGAGGAAGTGCTTAAGCATTCGCAAATACCACTGGATGTCTGGAAGATTCAGATTGCAAGACTTGTCATGCAGGTTTGCCATGATCCACAGGACTTAGCATGACAGATTCCGGGAGATCTCTAGCATGCCTCTGTGCAAGATGAGGAACAGCCTCCAATAGACTTGGTCACAAGAAGTGGACACCTCTTTGTAAATAATCATTCAACACAATTTTTTGCACGATCCAGACCTAGGATGACCTTCCAGACATCCAGGGATATTTGCGAATGCATAGTGCTGCGCGGGCTGGAAAAGGTGGCACTGATGGAGAAAGGTCAGGACGTTGATAGGTGGAAACAAGCCGCACTTGAAATTACCGACGTCGTCGGGTTCGCAATAACGGGCACCAGCAGCGCGATGAAAATGCTGAATCACGATCCGACCGAGCTCCTCCATGCGTTGGAGAGGAAGTTTGGGTTGCAGTTGCAGTCGAAAATGGAAAATGAGAACGCAGCCGCTGACTTTGATAGTGAAGAACATGATGCTGGCAAAAAAATGGGCTCAGCAGTACAAGTGCCTGTCGTCACGACCAGCTTGGAGAAGACGAAAAAAGTGAAATTCAAGTTCTTCTACACCTGGATCAGCGCAACGAATTCAGGTACGACCAGGGAAAAGTTCTGACCGTCCTGTAGCCGTCGGTCGTCAGCAGGAAAAATTTGTGTATGCATTCTTGCAATTGTTGAACAGAACACGAGACTAACCTATGGTAGAAGTTTCTATGGATAATGCAAGCTATCGTGCTGTTCCTTCTCCTGCTAGAATGCAGAAGCTTTACCTGGTCAATACCTCGCTTGACGGATAATTTCCACGAGATTCTTCACCCCGCAACCACGCCGGCGCATCTGTTCAAAGACCCGGACATTCTTTTCCAGGATTTCCAGGCCAAAAGAGAAGTGAAAATCTTCGTGTGCGCGCCGGTCGAGGACTTTGTCAACGAGGTGCTCTCGCTCTTGCGGAACCGCTGGCTCTTGCAGGGGTTCATCGGCTATGCACTGCAAAAATGTCTGGGTCTGGAAGGATGGAACTTGTAATGCTAATTCTGGATCGTGCAAAAATCTGTGTTGCATGAATGCCAAATGTTCTCCACTTTTGACCAAGTTGAGAGGAAGTTTCTCGTGCATGATACATAGGCATGATAGGGATCTCGTCACAGAATCCGTCATGCTAGGTCCTGCATTCCAGACGATATAGCTCATGGAAAATCTGCATGACAAGTCTCACAATCTTCCAGACCCAGACATTTTTGCATTTGATATCGGCCTGATTTTCCACGACAACTTTGATGTTGACCACAGGAGGACTTCTAGTACAACAAGTAGTCGCGATCACGAAACCAATCCTAATGGTAATGATCCGGATCCCGGCGATGGGGAAAACCAAAACCAAAACGACGGAAGCCACGGAGAAATCCCCACTGACAGAAATTTTTTCCTCCACACCCTGCACCGGTTCCAGCAAATGTCCCTGCCGTCGCAGTTTGCCATGCTGGTGCCCCGGTGGACAAGTTTTTTGGAACACCCGGTCGAGCAAAGCATCGAGGAGATCGCGAAGAAAAGGAAAGTATCCTGTGCAAAAGTATCGTACTCGTAGTAATTATCGCAATTATGCATTGCAAATCCTTTTCTTAAGGTAAAGCCGCATAACAAATTTTATTTTTCATGCTGAGGAAATTTGTATTTGTAATGCATTTATACTTCGAGTGCGATAGTACTTTTGCAATTCATAGAAGCTGTTTTACTCCAGTGTCATGCTGGATGACAAAACCGATACTACAACTACTTCAGGGGGCAGCACAAGTACGAGAAACCACATCCGTATCCACAGGAAATTTCCCGTACACGACGTACAAATGCGGTTTCTGCATGACAAAACTTTCGTTCAATTCTTTCTTTCAGCATGACAAGTGGTATGCTGCAAGTTGATGAAATTTGTGATGCATTTTGTGCATGTACTTACAGGAAATTTGTATTGCATGATCCGGCGGCGCATTCGCGAAGCGAGTCTCGGGCTGGGGACGACCTGCTCGCTATTCCAAGCGGCAGCGATTGCGGAGGGGGTCGTCTCCGTCGGTCTAGGGATCGAGCCGGAGCTGGTGTATCAGGCGGAAAACATCGGCCGGGACCAGTGGGACGAATATGTGCCGACGCTGCGGTCGCGAGTGGAGGTGTTGGTCACAAAGTACGTGCTATGAAATGCAAATATGTCTGGGTCTGGAAGATAGCAAGATTTGTGATGCAGTTTATCCAAGCTCCACCAAGAAGTCTGCAATGCAGGGTCTAGCATCACGGGATCTGCAGCCCCTTGGTGATGCCTGTTCTGCATGACAAATGCCCTCTCAGCATGGCCAGAAGTGGGCACCTTTTGCAAGTCACGCAACACAGATTTTTGTACGATTCGCAACATGCATCACAAGTTCGAATCCTTCCAGACCCAGACATATTTGCAATGCATACGTGCTGGAAGGGTACCAAACGCCAGCACCGGCGAAAGAACAGGAGGATGAAAATACTCAATCCACTTCAGAGCATATGCAAGAAAAAAACTGTGTAATTGTAAATCTGTGATGCAGAAAATGCAAAACAGTTACACTTGTCATGCCAGACAGCCATGAAGTCCTCTTTTCATGTGTGTTTTCCCTTACAAGTCACGCATGACAGGTTTTCGCTGTCATGTAGAGCAAATTTGTGATGCTGTTAGCCAAAGAAAGTTACACTTATACAGTTTTTTTCCTGGATAGAGCAAGATCTTCACGACGGGGAGATTGATGAAGAAGCATCGTCCGGAGGAACGGAAACAACAACCTCCAGCGCGGCCAAATCGCTGCTGCAAAAAATTGACGGAAGCAAGAAGGAGCACATGTTACGATACTTCTACAACCGCTTTCTCATCTGGATGGAGTCTTTCGTGGAGGAGATCTTCTATTTGATCCACTCCTGGTATGGAAGCGTCAGGATCGAAATCGTCAAAGGGGAAATACTAGTTTGTCATGCATAAAATAGATGCCAGTTGGAGCCCACTTTCCACGTTACGGATGACAAATTTTGGCGGTGCCTAAATCCAGTTTGTAATGCTGTTTAGGCAAAGAGGAATGATTTTCTCATGCTACTTTAGCAACTCGAGCGGTAACCACAAACACGCTTACAATCGGCCTCACTTACCTGCTCTGCAACACACGCACCTCGCGTCATGCATTTTATGCATTACAAATTATCTCAACTTTGACGATTTCGATCCTGACACACCCACTCCTGGTCGTCGATCTACGGCAAGGCAAACTGGTTCTCGGGCTTGATTTATCAAATGTAAAAATGTCTGGGTCTGGAAGATTCTGCGACTTGTCATGCATGTCTGACGTGACTCGAGAATCTGTAAGGCGTGGGAGCGAACCGGCTGTCCTATCTGTCATGCAAAAACGCAGTTTCTGATGCGGAATACGCAACACGTAGCCGCTCAAAAATTTGTCATGCTTGGCTGCGTATTGCAGTCCGGCGATCATCCACTTTTAGCAGCATTAGACCCAGACATTTTTGCATTTGATATGATTCAGTTGGAAGAAGGCCGGCGACTGGTTCGCGCGTTGTCGATATGAACTGCAAAAGTATCGTACTCGTATAAACTCGTTACAAGTTTCCTCCGCGTGAGAAATAAAATTTGTTATGCGGATTTACGATAAGAAAAGCAAGACTTGCATTTATACGAGTGCGATACCTTTGCAGTGGATAGTCGATTATCCAGCGGGCGCTGACGAAGGAGTTTTTCTGCAAGCGGTACGAAGTATCACACAGAAAAAAGCCGGCAGGTCAACATTTGTAATGCAAAAATAGATACACAATTAGATCACGAAAAAATCTGTATTGCGTTGTATCCTAAACAGCACGCTATGGGGCCGCGCATGACAGATTTTTCTGCGTCTTTATTTTTGCATTACAAATGTGCCCTGCCAGCTTTTTTCTCTGGGATGCGAAAAGTCTGCTGTCGCGTTTCAGGGCGAGTGGACCACGGTGGAGATATCCTGTGCAAAAGTATCGTACTCGTATCAATGCAAGTCTTGCATTACAAATTTTCTTCCCAAGGTAAATCCGCATGACAAATTTTATTTCTCATGCTGAGGGAATTTGTAATGCATTTATACGAGTGCGATACTTTATTTGCAATGCATAAGAGATGGCCCAGGTGGATGTGGTATAAAATGCAAATATGTCTGGGTCTGGAAACCTGTGATGCTGAATTGAGCATGATTGAAGCGCTTGCAACGGCAGACAAGCATGACAAGTTTTTGACACACTTGCTAATGGTGCCTGGCACGCATTAGAAGTCGCTTTTTTGCATGACAAAGGAAGCTCCTCTTTTGCTGCTCATGCAACACAGATTTTCCAGAAATGCAACACACGCATTACAAGTTCCACTTTTCCCGACCCAGACATATTTGCACTTCATATGTGGTATATTGGGCGGTGTTCGGTCCCCGGCGTAGTCCTAGTCGCGTCACACCTGCTTCAGCTTCTGTAGGAACTACTCCATCCTTTCATCAGAGCGCTTCTGAAACCGTGGAGCACGACGACGGGGGCAAAACCAAAAATGCAGGCTCCGCATCAACATCCTTTCTCACTTCCTTCCCCACAGCGGCCGCCATCCCGAAACTGCTTGAGCAGCTGGAGCTGCAGGAAAAGCGGCAAAACCCCTTTTACTTCAACATGCGCAAGGAGCTGGAGCGGTTTAAAAAACAAGAAGAAAGCACTAGGCGGACAACAACTACAAGAACTCTACGCATTGCAAAAGTGTCTGGGTCTGGAAGAGTTTCAGGTTTGTCATGCAGGTTTTCCATGACCCATGAGGGCTGGAGTGCAGGCCCTAGCATGGCAGATTCAGTAAGATCTCTGGCATGCCTGTTCTGCATCAGAAACTCCCTCTCAGTTTGGTCAAAAGTGGACAACTTTTGGCAGTCATGCAACACAGATTTTTGCGTCATCCAGACTTAGCATGACAAGTTGCAACCTTCCAGACCCAGACGTATTTGCAATGCATAATCTCCTATCGTGTACAAGAAGTTCGCTTTTCTCACCGTGCTCTGGTCAAATTCTCCGAAGATCTACATCGACGCCGTCCTATCCTGTGCAAAAGTATCGTATTCGTATCTATAAATGCAAGTCGTGCATTACAAAACTTTGTCTTACGGGAAATCCGCATTACAAATTTTCTCTCTCATGCTGAAGAAATTTGTAATGCATTTATACGAGTACGATACTTTTGCAGTTCATACGTCCGGACGCTAGCCCACTCGGCGTACCGGTTGCACGACAGAAGGTACCGATTTCTGGTGATCGTGCCCCCGGCGGATGAGACGAAGAAAAGAGAGGCATCAAAAGGAAAAATCCCCCCTCCCCATATCGAAAAGGACATTTGTGATGCTGGATTTGCGTACACAAATCAGATTTGTCTTGTAGTGAAGGACTGCAGGCCCATGGCAATCCGGCGTGGAGAAGTTTTGGCCTAGGCGCTCAGCATGACAAAAGTCCATGCTGTAGGCCCAACAGCATCACAAACCGCCCGCATAATGCGGGAGGCCTTCTGAGTTTGCCTTCTTGCAAGACAGACACGACTTGTGACCACAAATCAGCATCACAAATCTCCAATAGTATACCTTTTCAGTGTAGGGAGGGGGAATTTTTCCTTACGATAAGAGGACGATACGGCTAAAAGCGAGTCGACGTCCGCCGCAGCTGCGTCGGCTCCCGCTGAAGACAGCAGCAACAAGGAAGCAAACGCTGAACATCAAGACCCAGCAGCAGACTCAACATCTGGCTATGAGAGTTGTGCACAACTCCCCCTCCCCCTCATTTGTATGGCATGAACAGCAATACAAACAGCAGCACACATGGAGCCTGTGCATGACAAGTTTACTTCTTACCTGGGTAGTGTTGTAGTACAACTATTTGGGCTCCTTCCGGAATTTGTCATGCAAACAGTGCCACAAGGCACCGACGGGATTTGGGATTTTGCATGACAAATGAGGGGGACAGGGAGTTGTGCACTGTCAAACTGGCGGTAGTAGTTCAAGTTCTATCGACACCGCATACCTGCTTCGCGAACCGAATTTCAATTTGGAAATCTACCCGGTTTCGGAATCCATGGTCGCACCGCCGAACTACGGAGGCGGAAAGTCTTCCTGGTCTTGGTTCAAAGAGAGGAACATCGCGAAGTCGGCCATCGGGTTTTACATGTGGAACATGACCGAGTTCGATGCGCTGGTGTATCTGGATGCAGACACACTGCTTATCAAAATGAAAAATCCCCCCTCCTCATACTTGAAGGAAGATTTGTGTAGCATGATTTGTGATCACAACAGACGCTGTCATGCTAGAAGGGAAGAGATGCGGAGTTTTGTAGGGCTGGCTGGCGTTGGTGTTGGAAAGCCTTGCGGCTTCAGCATGACAGGAAGCAAGTGGAAACGGGAAACAGCATGACAAGTTCCCTGCAAACTACGAGGGCGGAGCAACTACTGCGTCTCTTGATGGCCTTCTAGCAATACAAGACGACTTGTGTACTGGAACACTGCAAGACAAATTTTGTTGTCGATACGGGGAGCGGGGGGGATGTTTCTTCGCAATACTGCTGGTGGAACCGATCGACGAGTTGTTTACTCTCGTGACGTATCCTCTGCAAAAGTATCGTACTCGTAGTAATCGCATTTATGCATTACAAATCTAGTTCCTAAGGAAAATCCGCATTACAAATTCAACTTGTAATGCTGAGCCAATTTGTATTGCAATCTATACTAGTACGATGCTTTTGCAATTCATATGACGGACAGCAACGGACGGGGCCCGGAGGACTATGAGATAAATCAGGGAACAAGCACCAAGAAGAGTGCAACAGCTGAAATAAATTCTTCTCCATCTTCATCTACTACCACGAGCGGAAAGCCGTCCTTTGCTGTGGCGACCAATCTGATGGCGCGGTTCTCTACTGGCGGGTATCAAGTGCAAATGTGTCTGAATCTGGAAGAGTCATGCTGCTTTTGCATGACACAGAAGGTCTGGCATGGAAGCTCTAGCATCACAGGTTTTACTTCGCATGGCAAATGCCCCACTTTGGTGGCAAAAAGCGGGCAACTTATGCTGCCTATGCATGAGAGATTTTTATGTGTTGCGAAATGCGCGTCACAAGTTTATTGCACTCTTCCAGACATCCAGGGATATTTGCAATGCATAGCGGGTTGACCAACCCACGGGGGAATTTCGAGAACAACGTTCGCTCGCTTTGGTTTCCGTACATCAACATTGCGTGTATGGTGGTACGCCCGGACACGGAGGTTTTTCAGCACATGATGAAGGTCATGCGGTTATCATGTGTAAAAACGTCGTCTCCTCCCAACACGACTAGTTATATGCAAATCTGGATGCCTAAAATAAATGTTTCTCTTGCTCAACCCCATGAGGAGAGTTCTCTCCTGCTGTCTGGGACTTTGTCAACATGCTCCCATCAGTATAGGGACCTAGATTTGTGATGCGGTTCCACTAGCCAACCACGACTACACTAAAAAGAGAACTTGTCATGCGCAAGAACAGCCGAGCCTGGTTGAGTTGTGTTGCCGAGTTCCTAACGAAGTTGACTCTGGGGCGGGGACGTTGATGTTACACAGTATAGCGGGAACGGGAGTCCGAGCTGGACGTCATACCGCAAGAACCTGCTGCTCCCGCCGCCACTTCAGTAGAAGTTCTCTCGTCCTCCTCGTCGGCCACCGCAGAAGCCGCAGCAGTGTCGGCTGCGGGGGCTCTAGAGGAGAACATCAAAGCTGATAATGCTTCTAGTCCTGCTCTTGTCAGCAGCACTAGCCCACCAACGACCCCCACCACTGCAGAGCATGTTTTTAATGTTGACACCACAGCAACACCTTCCCCATGGTCCTCCTCCTCGTCCCAGCAAAGCCAAAGCAACCTGGGGCAGTTTTTCGAGAAGGGTATTCATCAACCGTGGCTGGATCACTATCTGATGAAATTTTCTGTGCGAGCTGGGTATGCGGGTTGGGAGAGGCGCCACACTGGCGAGGGGAAGACGAGCATAATGGAAACGAGCGGTGGAGCGTGGACAAGATCCTCAGCGAGGAGAGCTACAGCGAGCACATCGGATGATCACGTCGAAGAAGTAAAGCACTCAATCTCAAGTAGAAGAAGTACCACTTCTAGTGTCGTAAAAAAAGAAAATCAAAATGAACCTTTCACCCCCGTCTCCAAACTTTCGTTCGCCGGGTGCGAAAAGGACTTCCACGCCGAATATTTTTTGTCCGAATGGCTCCAGAAGCAGAAACGACTGCACGCGACGACAGCAGCCGCGACGCCCCAGCAGGGTACTACAAAAACTTCTGAGGCACCAGCAAGAATAGATTCTTGGCCGCATGACGTCGACCTCCAGCAGAGATCTTCCAAGATAAATCGCACCAGCATGATATCCTGAGTAAAAACGTCCCCACACCATAGTCAAGTTGGGGAATCGGCTAGACAAATCCAGAAGTTTTGGCTGTTTTGCATGACAAATTTGGATTCGTAGTGTAGTGCTGTTTGAGCTAGCTTAGCAGCATCACAGATCTAGCATACCATGCTGGTTGGAGCATGACAAATTGCAAAACACGAGTGGAAATTTTCTCATGGGGCTCCGCATGAGAAACATTTTCAGCATGCAGATTGGCATTACAACTATGGGGTGGGGACGTTTTTAAATAGGATACATGATGGTGTTTTCCACGCAGCACGGCCACCGGACGGTGAAAAGTCTACCGAAGACGGGGAAAGCAAACGACTGGCATATTACAATGAAAAATGCCCCCACCCCTGAACGTGGCAGCATTTGTATTGCAATCCTTTCATCCAGTAGAAACATTGTCCGTCTTGCATATATCAGCATCACAAATTTGCCATGCTGAATGGCTCAAATTTGTGTTGCGCAAGAGCCCAGCAGCAGCCTGGCCTGTCATGCAAAAGATGCCGTAACCGCCTAGACTCTGCAACAGAAAGATTCATACTCCTTTCATGCATGACAAAAAGTTTTCATTTGGAAACTTCGCATCGCAAATTTTTACAACTTTGGGGGTGGGGGCATTTTTCCTCGCGATATGGCAAGTCCGCGTTTTGCAGGAGGATCTGAAGAAAGAAGATATCAACCGCTGGGCGCGATTCAAATGGGTCACCGCCAGCTCTAGCGAGTACTACGACTCGGATTATCAAATGCAAACAGAAACATGTCTGGGTCTTGGAGGTTGCAAGACTTGTCATGCAGGTTTAAGTATTTCCATGACGCATGTTGACGTCTGTCATACATGTATGATCTAGCATGACAGGTTCTGTGCGACCTGTCTCGTGCCTCGCCTGCATCAGAAAGCGCCTCCCGGTTTGGTCAAAAGTGGACAGCTTTTGGTAATCATGCAACACAAGTTCCAGCGTTCCAGACCCAGAGATCTTTGCAATGCATACGGACTTCGAGTTCACAACGAGCGACGGCATGTATGACAGTGCACAACTCCCCCTCCCCCTCATTTGCATGGCATGAGCAGCAATACAAACACCAGCGCACATGGAGCCTATGCATGACAAATCCATGTACCTAAATGTAGTACTGTTTTGGCTTCCAGAATTTGTCATGCAAGCAGTGCTACAAGGCAGCAGCTGGATTTGGGATTTTGCATGACAAATGAGGGGAAGGAGTTGTGCACTCCCATAGCATGACCACCAGGTTCCACCTGCACGAGCTCTACCAGATGCTGGGAGGGCTGGATATGCATTGCAAAAGTATCGTACTCGTATAAATGCATTACAAATCTCCTTAGCATGGGAAATAAAATTTGTAATGCGGATTTGACTTGACAAGAAAATTTGTAATGCATGACTGCAATACGAGTACGATGCTTTTGCACAGGATACTGGACGTTGGGAAACAAAGATTGAAAGAGGCGACCACACTCGTGGTGCAAGGGGTAAAATTGAATATTATCCCACAAGAAAAGTGTTTCACTGTGATGATTGTGCAAGATCTGCATCACAAGTTTCTTGCACATGACACAGAAAATTTGCCATGCGCGCTTCCAAAGGGAAAACACCGTTAAAGAGACAAGGTCTTGCAGGTTTAGCAAGACAAATAGTTCTGTGTTGCATTCTATGCATCACAAGTTCACAGTGAAACAGTTTTTTCTTGCGATAAATATTTCGGGAAGTGTACTGCTCCCGCCGCCACATGATCTTCAGTATCAAATGCAAATATGTCTGGGTCTGGAAGATTCCGTGATTTGTCATGCTAGTCTGGCATGACTCTGAGCTCTGTATTGCGTGGCCGCGAATAGCTCCTGCAGCTCCCTGTCATGCAAAAACGCAGTTTCTCATGCGGAATACGCAACTCAGAAACATGAAAAAAACCTGTCATGCTTGGGAGCGCATTGCAGTGAGCTCACTATTCCCTTCCTTGCATCACAAGTTTCCAGACCCAGACATATTTGCAATGCATATTCAGAGGATTACATCAACAGATCCGCTGGACAAAGTGGACTTGAAGTCCATCGTATCACACAAAAAAAAGGATTACGTTTGTTTGCAATTTAGCAACACAAAGGTGAAGGTCTCTGCATGGGAGAGAAAACCTGTATTGCGGAAATCCTACGGGAATACACGTACACAGCTTCTATGCATATCCGGCATGACAGGGCCTGTCTGTCTTGCTATGCCTGCAACATCACAATGTGTAACTGTAACACTTTTTTCTTGTTGGGATACATCAATCCGAACCTCGTGGCGTTCCATCGCCGCTACAAGATATGCCTTGCAAATATGTCTGGGTCTGGAAACCTGTGATGCTGAATGGTCATGAGTGAGCGCGGCTTTAAGTGCAGCGACGCATGACAAATTTCTCGAACGCTTTCTAATGCGTAGTGCGCATTACAAACTGCGATTTTGCATCACGAAAGAGTTGTGGCGCTTTTGCTGCTTATGCGCAACACAGATTTTTCACGAATGCAAGGCACGCAATACAGGTTCAACCTTTCCAGACCCAGACAACATATTTGCATTTGATACAAGAAAGCTGACTACCACTGCTTGCTCGATTATGGCGGTGTCAGGATCGAAATCGACTTCGACAAAATCGAAAAATTTGTGATGCATAAAATGTAGGGCGCGTATGGCCTGTGTTGGGAAGCAGGCAAATGAGACCGATTGTAAGCCTGTTGAGGGGTATCCAATGTGCTGCCAGGGTAGCATGACAGGAGCTACCTGCTTTGCCCAAACAGCATGACCGGCTTGATTTGGGTGCTCGCGAAATTTGTCATGCGCCACTTGGAAACTGAGGCTCCAGCTGACAGCGATTTTGTGCATCACAAGTTGTTCGATTTTGTCAATTTCGATTCTGACGCCTCCATATCGACCACGCTTACAATTTTCAAGTGGAGGTAAAAACCGCGATGCAAGTTTTGGACCAAGCGGTGGAACCCTGGGGCCATTTGTCTTCCTGGGCGCGCAGCAACAGCGAAAAGGCAGAGGAGAATGTGATGAAAGGTGAGAATGGAGGTGGTGCAGAAGTAGTAGAGACAACGACAAGTGTAGTAAACGCGGAAGAAGCAGCTACTGTTGCAGCTACACCAACTGCACCAAATGACGTAGCGGAGCCAGCGCCGCAAGAGACCAGTAGTACACAGGAGGGGGTCCCCGTGCGGGAAGAAGATGCTCTTCAGGCAGGTGGAACATCTTCAACACCAGCGAAAATAACCTCTAGCACAACTTCCACGATAGCTCCTTCTAGTAGCGCTCCAACGAGTAGAACAGGTTTTTCCCTTGAGCAGGTGCGGCGAAAGCGTCTGGTGAGGGAGCTCTTAGCTGTACCTGAAACAACAAGAAATATAGTACCAAAAGATGATCATGAGTCAAAAAGAGGCACAGGAGAACCATCAACGACGACGAGCATCAACTTGGCAAGGCTGTCTTCCCTACTGCAATATGAATTGCAAAAGTACTTTTATCGTACTCGTATAAATGCATGACAAATTCCCTCAGTGTGAGAAACAAAATCTGTAATGCGGATTGACCTTGAGAGAAAAATTTGTATATGCATGACTGCAATTACTACGAGTACGACTGCGAGTGCGATACTCTTGCACAGGATATGCAACTCAATGAGATCGATGCAGTGGAGGAACTTTCCGCGAAGCAGCAGGACCTGGTATCAAGGTGAAAAAATCCCCCACCCCATATCAAAAAGGAAATCTGTGATGCGGGATTTGTGTAAACAAATCACATTTGTCTTGCAGAAAAGCACTGCACGCAGAGCGCAAGCCTAAGGGGGGGCCTTTTGGTGTAGGGGCCTAGCATGGCAGACGTATGCCCTGCAGGCCTTGCAGCATTACAAATCGCCTGCATATCGCGGCGGACTCTCTGGATTTGCCTTCTGGCAAGACAGACAGGCTCTGTGGTCCCAAATCTGCATCACAAATCTTCGGAAGTACATGTTTTCCATATGGGGAGGGGGGATTTTTCCTTACGATACCTGGGGCCGGGGTTTGAGAATCGGCTCTTCGATCGCATTCGCCAGCTGTACAGGTTGCAGAGAATCAACAACGAAGTCAACAGCGCGAGGACTTCCGTTAGTGAAGATGGACGAGGTGGTCTGACACATTATGGCGCATCAAGATTAGACCACCCGCGATCTGATGATGTCATGCAGGGCGAGGCACCAGACAATCCTTCTGTGAGGATGCAGACTGAGAAGCAAGATGATTACAACGACATCATGAAATATGGAAAGAAATCAGTTTGTCACAGTCACTAACGTGCAGGCTTTGCATGAGAAATTTTTCCAGCATCACAGGTTTTTTCTTGTATTGCAGAAACACTAGGGAAATCCCTCATGAAGTTCGGCTGTGATGCATTTTTACGCATGGCAGACAGTTTTGTATTGCAAAAATGCGCATGAGTGATCGTGACGAACTTTTTTTGTTTGATATGAAAGAACCTGCTCCAATAAAGCCCAAACTTCTCCACTGGGCCGGGGAAAACCGGAAGCCCTGGGAGCGTGTGCATTTCTACAGTCGGAATGAGTTCGATAAGTTGTGGTGGCTCGAGTACGAGGTAATGATGTCCTACAGCAGCGGTTCTGGAGCTCATTCTCACGCTCGACCAATAAGGTGCGAAGTCGACGACACGTGACATGCTGAAGCTGATTATCCTGCTCGTCTCGCGTAAAGGACCACGACGTGCAACATCATCTTCACACAAGTATAAAAAAGCGCTAGCAATAAAGCTGCCTGTGGAAACTCCTGCGAGAGAATTTTTGCACAGGAGCAACGAGCACTCCTCGCGATAAGAATCCACCTACGTTTTAAGTACAAAAATCAATGCGCTGCAGTACTGAACGCACTACCAGCGCATTCGTCATTCTGTGCATCAGACGGACATACAAATATTAGAGTTCCCTGCTTCTGTCGCAAGCAGTGCTTCTGTCCGAAGCAGGGCTGTACAAGTGAAGTTTTAGACCTGTCGTCGGTCGAGTGATAAGATGAGTCGGTCGAAATACGTTCACACAATGTCAATCTCGTCCTAAATGTCACGCGAACTACTTTCGGTAAAAAATACTAGTTTTCATCATACAGATGAGGAACCGTCGGAAATAAATCAAGGACTTTTAATATTCGTACAAGAAGTAGACCTTGAGTAGTAGACTAGACAGAGACAGTGGTCTGAACCGACCCCAGCAAAGGTTGTTGTGCTCGGTTGTCGTGTGGAAAGTAAAAGAACTTCGGTGCCCTGGTGGATGTGCTCGGTTTTCGTCCGTGTTTGCTGGAAAGGAGTCCGTTACGTTTAAAGTAAAAGCATCGCAGCGCTCGGTCGTCGTGTGGTAAAAAATGCTTCGGTGTAAAAAGAATTACAAAGGTCAAAGCGTTATTTGCTTTGCTAAAATTCTTGCATTCGTCTCTGTATCTTTACTTCGGTGCAGTACTAGACTTTGCAAGTAGAAGAACTACAACTATCGGTCCGCCTCGCTTGGTCGTACAAATACCCTATATACTATACGGCAAGGAAAGTGATTGGCGCCTAGCTCGATTTCTACTAGTAAAATCTTACTAGTAAGGAAAATCCGAGAATTTTATTAGTACACAACGTTGCTAGTAATCTTATCCGGACAAGCAAGCAAAAAAACTACTAGTAAGCGTACTAGTAGAGAGTTTACTAGGAGAAAGCTTACTAGTAGAAAACTGCCTCGCGGGCCGGCTCGCCCCGAGCTTGCGCCACAGAGCTCGCCCGCACTGCTTGCTTCCTTTGCCCCCTGTGGAGAAACTAGCGCCGAGCAAATAGTACCTGTGTGGTAGCGCGGGACGTGGCGCTCCTTCCCGGGAAAAGGGGGCGCAGCCGTGGGAGGGAAAGGACTTATTTGTCTGACTGAGGGTGGCGCGCTACGCGCTGGCGCGCCCGCAGGTTCAGGCGAACTAGCTCCGGCCCCGCCACGGTGCCGGTAGGGGGTTTGCGCTTTGTTTGGGTGGCCATGTTTTGCCTCGCGGGGGCGGCCCCCTCTTGGTGTGGATGCTCCGGCCGCCCTGAACGAAGAAAAAAGCGCCTTTTCTCAGTGCCCTAAATGGTTACTCCACACAGCGCGCCCAGTCCCATTGTGCTGGTTGCACCTGGCTGGCTGGCCAGGTTCTTTGTCGCGCAGTTTCCCCAGCTGCGCCCCTGTGGGCCCCGTCAAAAGCACCCCCACCGCCCTGGAAGCGTATACTAGAATGAGGAGCAGCCGCCCGCAAGGCTCGCAGCTTGGGGGGGTGCTCGCAAATTCATTCTTGGGAACCGCCCGGAAGGCTCTCCCCCTCCCACGTTGGGGCGGCCCCGGGCGTTTTTTCTGTTTCCCGGAGCTTCTCCTGCTCCTGGGGCCCGGGGCGGGCGGCTGTCACGCATTTGTCTTTCTCTAGGGGCGGGGCTCAGGCGCCCGGAAAAGCCCTGCGCCTGTAGAGTTTTCGCCCCCTCCTCTCCCCTTCCCCGCGACTGAGGACGCAGCCTTCCTAGTAGGAAATCGGGCCCATCTTCTTCTTGTCTACTCCATACCTTTCCGGCGGTCGCGGAGCGACCGCCCGTGCTAGATACAACTATCGGTCCGCCTCGCTTCGTCGTGCAAAAAATTGCAGTTACGCAACATGTGTTTTTTGTACTCCTGTAGTCATCAATAAAAAACCGAAGCTTTTTCCGTTCATCCCCACAGGTACAATATCTTCCTGTACTTTCACAACACCCGAACGACTTATTTTGCCTTTCATCTGCACGACGAAATTCAAATTATACCTCAAAATATCTCCCCCAAGAACGTACGAAGAAGAACTACGAAATTCAATCAACTTGCACCATAAAAATGTGGAACAACATCGAAATACTATAGCGACTTGTTTTGAACGAAGACCCCATCTTAATTCGAGACAGCACAAGATCATATTAAACTGTGACACTGGACGAGGTGCAGTGGTGGTGCGCGTGCTCAAAATATACTTAAGTAGAGGTACTAGACCCAGCAAGAGCAACAGGGTTTTCGTGCATAGTATTATCGACTCCTTGCGCCAAAATAGAGCGACGACTCCTGCAACGAACGCGGCTCCTGTGAGGAAGGAAAGACGGCACGATACCAAGAACGACCCTACGTCGAGCACTGGGTTCTAGTACGTGTCCCCGGCAAGAACTATCCTTGACATCTTTCCACCAAACGAGTTGTAGTGCTTGCAGTTGGCCGCAAAAATGTGCTGCCATCGCGACGGTGAGACGACCACAGCGGGCGAGGAGGAGAAGAGTAGCATGACCTACCGCAACTCGGCGGGGCGTACGGAGCGGCTCTCTTCTAGCCGCGAACTGCGGGGGTCCATCGAGTCGGATTCTACCTACTCCAGCTACTCCTCTGAGGCCCTGCCGTACGACGAGGATTTGGTTGTCATCTCGAACAAGCTATGAAATGCAAAAGTATCGTACTCGTAGTAATTGCATTTATGCATTACAAATCGCTTTGTCGAGGTAAATCAGGATTACAAATTTGATTTGTATTGCTTGGCTAACTTGTAATGCAATTTATACGAGTAGTATGCTTTTGCAATGCATACAAGCACGTTGGGTGCTGCTACTGCCTGAACACCACGGTGTGGCTCTTGCTGGGGGGGTATCAAATGCAAAAATGTCTGGGTCGGGAAGAGCCAAACTTGTGATGCTGCATTTGGATGCTAAAAAAAGCTGTATTGCATGACCAGCAAGAGAATTCAAATTTGGCTACGCGGAGAGGGCATTTCTCATGCTGGATGCGCATAGATAAGCGCTCAAAACATCGGTGATGTTATGGCATACATCACAGACATCATGGATCATGGAAAATGTGCATGACAAAGTTGTGCTCTTCCAGACCCAGACACTTTTGCATTTGATAGTGGGTTGGAGATGTTCATTTTCTGGTGCCTTGCCGGCCTGGCTTGCGCCCTCAGCATCGTGGGATTTTCCTGGGCCAAGAAGTGCTTCAGCATTGCCTGCATCGTTCTCATGCCGTGGAAAAAGTCGGGCCGCGGGGTCGTCTATCAAATGCAAATATGTCTGGGTCTGGAAACTTGTGATGCTGTTTGGCGCATAATCATGTGGACGCCTTCATTGACAGCCAAGCATGACAAGTTTCCGAGTCACTATAATGTTGCCTATCCGCATGACAAACTGCGTTTCTGCATTCGAGAGAAGTGTGGCTTTATTTGGGTGGCGTGCATGACAGACTTGAGAGCCATGCTAGCCGTGCATGACAAGCCTTGCATTCTTCCAGACCCGGACATATTTGCAATGCATATCGTCAAGAAGCACATTTACTACATCCGGAACGTGCGCTATCGCAAGAAAAAACTGTTTCACTGTATTAAACTTGTGATGCATGGAATGCAACGCAGACGCATTTGTCTTGCTACTCATGCAAGACATTGTCTTTTTCAATGTGTTTTCCCTTAGGTAGTACGCATGGCAGGTTTATTCCCTTGTCATGTGTAACGAACTTGTAATGCAAAAGTTGCAAAGTCCTCACAGTGAAACAGTTTTTTCTCACGATATGCGCCCAAATTACTGCGGGATTTTCATGTGGTACGTGTTTCCGCTGTGTGCTCTATCAAATGCAAAAATGACTTGGTCTGGAAGAGTGCAGACATTTGTGATGCAGTTTTTGCCTAGCCCAGATCGTCTGGCATGCAAGCCCTAGCATCACAGATTCCGAGCAGATATAATCCCAATGCCTAATCCGCATGAAAAGTGCCGCCTTTCTGTAACAGGAAGCGAGGCCTTTTGCTGACCATGCATGACAGATTTTGTCATGATGTAGAATTCGCATTACAAATTCGAATCCTTCCAGAGCCAGACATATTTGCAATGCATATGCTCCGATCCTGAGCATTCTGCACCTGGTGTTTGCCCTCTTGAACCTGCTCACGCTGATCGGCATTCCCTTTATCAAGTGCAAAAATGTCTGGGTCTGGAAGAGTCCGTGTTTGTCATGCTTGTCTGGAGTGACTCTTAAATCTGTCATGCACGTTACCCAAACGCCCCATTTATCTGTGATGCAGAATCACAGTTTGTCATGCAGAATAGGCAACACCTAGAAGCTCAGAAACTTGTCATGCTGAGCCAGCACTTGTGGCCTCATCATGAGACGCCACCCAGCATCACAAGTTTCCAGACCCAGATATTTTTACATTTGATTCCCTTCGCCTACCAGCATTTCAAGTGGGCCGCGATGGTGTGGCGGTGCGGGGCCATCGCGCTTACCCTCGATATCAATTGCAAATACTGAATATCCCCCCTTGATGCTGTAGTGGTGGTCTGGAACAAGAACATTTATTTTGCCACACCACTTGTCGTTGTCCACCTCACATGCAGCTCATCTGCTGGCGCGGACAGGAAAAAAAGACCTGTCATCGACATGTAACGCTACCGCGCTATTCTTTTGTGATGCAAAAACGATGTTTCTTTGATGTGTTTCTCATGCATTTTACGCAAGTGACCTAGGCTTAGCACTAGCTGCTCAGAAATTTGTCAACTACATGCGTGTCCTCGGCCCCATGAAAATATTGGAGGTTGGTTGTTAAGTATGATGCGCATCAAAGTCAAAGAAACTAGCACGACAATCGTTTAATATTCCAGACGTCCAGGGGGATAGTACTTATTTGCACTCTCGATACTCGAGGAGGCCGAGCAACTGACTGGGAGCTACGCGAAAGCGGGATACGACTCCGAAGAAAATGATGACTACTAAGAATGTAGTATCAAATGCAAAAATGTCTAGACGTCTGGAAGGTTGGAACTTGTGATGCTAACTTTGGACTCTACAAAAATCTGTATTGCATGACGGACCAGCAAGAGGAGTCTACTGTTTGTGCTACGCAGGGAGGGCTGCATTTGTCATGCGGCGTGGGTACTATCAGGAAGCCCTCTAAATAAAATCTGTGATGCTAGGTCGTGCATTACAGACATCCATCCTGGGTCATGCAAAATATGCATGACAAACCCGGCAACATTCCAGACCCAGACGCTTTTGCGTTTGATATGTAGTGTAGTAGTACTTACTACAACCGAAGCGACGACGAGGAGAGCGACTGAGAAGAGACGACTCGCCTAGGAACTACTGCTACAAAAAAACGCGGAAAAGAATATTATGGATTCAATCATTCAAGTTATTGTTCATCTTCATACGCAAGTAGATCAAGTCCGCCGGCGCAGCACCATCAATCCGGAAGTTGTACCAGACCTCCACTCGGATTTTTTACTATTTTCACCAGATGTACCACTACATCAAACGACTGAGCAGCAGCAGCAGTCCACCAAAGTGCATAGTTTACTAATGTCTGTGTTATCTAAAAGTAGTTCTACTAAGTGCAGCGGACTGTTCTGAAAATGAATTAAAGAGCAGGTTCATTTTATTTTGGTTTTGCATTTTACTTTTTGTTTTTTATACATTTAACATTTTCATCATCCATTATTGTAAAAATTGTTCTACGAAAATAGAGTAGCGAAGATTTTGAATATCCTTATAATTGCCTATATAATTAAGTTTAAAACTCACTACACGAATGTTCTTGTAAGTATGTTTTCGGTTTTTTAGCATTGAAGACGAAGAGGAGAATTTTTTGCACTTTTGTTCCCGCTTGCCTGCGAGATTTTATACCTGAATACTACTTCAATCAGCTTCAGAAGTCGCCGCTGAATGTGTTGTCTTCGTGGTGGCTGCTTACTGAAATATAGTACTTCCGTCGAGGCGCGGCAGGGAGGACCACCTGAAGCAACGTACAAACAAGCTGCGTCGAGGTTGTAGTGTCGATGGTACTATCATCTCGAGGAAAGTTGGGTAAGAAGTCATTCGAGTAGAAACAATAAACAAAGTACTTTGTACCAGCTAAAAATGTCACTAAATTTTGTATTGCCGGCAAATTGTTTATACGACCGGCGCTCCTGAGCAAGAGACTATCAGGCAGCAGTGTCCGCTAGCGAGGAGGACGTGCAGATCATGGACCACTTACAAGACACAAAATGCAAACAGCATCAAGCGGCCTGTTGCCCGCAGCTGCGCGCATTGAATAAAGACCGTGGTTGTGATTCAGATTGTAATCGACCCGAGGAGTGGTCCAACTTGTTGTACTAGCGAAAACACATTTGAAGACGATGCTGCTGCCATCAGGATGAACTGTACATTCATAAAACTACCGGCGAGCCACGGCGGAGGGAGCGGTCGATTGTTTTGGAGACCACTAGCGTGACGCCGACCTTCCGTGAGTACAGGGAGGACAGACACCTCCTAAGTTGTTCGAAAGATCGTGAAAGGCCACGGAAGATGGTGCAGCGGGTTCTTCGGCTTCCCTCACGACCCTTTTGGTGCATCGTTGAGTGGTTCGTTTTCCCAGTAGTCGTGACCACAGGTGCATCAAATACAAAACAGTGCCAGAAGTCGGGCAAATGAATACGAGGGTGCAGCTGGGACGTACTTGTAGTTACCCCAAGCAAGCAAATAAGCAAGGAACCACAGTGGAGGGCGTTGTAGTATCTCTGTCTGAAAAATCCGATTCCTAGCTCTTGGTCTTGACTCCAAAAGTAGACGTAGCATGTCGCATTTGCATTGCAAAGCAGCGAGCATAAAGAACGCCCGACCTGTGCCTGTCATCCTGGCGCAAGGCAAGGGCTCTTGCAATTATATGGCAAGCGAAAAATAGATAAGATCGGTAATGGTACGACGGCTCACTGTCACTCGGTCGATATTGCAATGATTTGTAAAAGCTATCGGTCCGCATCTTCGCTCGGTCCATCTCTGATTGGCGCCCGGGAGGGCTTTTCGGCCCACCTGCTGTGGCTATCCCGCATGCTATGGTGGGTCGGAAGGTGCCAGAAGGTGGGGCCCAAAATGTGGCCTGGGGCGGCTTTTTGGGCACCAGCTGGAGGCTTACCCGCCCGCTATGGTGGGCTGGAGGCCTCCCAAAACGGGTCCGGGGTGCAGATAGGGGGGGTCCAGCGGGACTTTGGCGGGACTTGGATGGCCGACCGTTTTTCTGGTCGGAAAATCGGCCATTTTAGCTCGAGCGAGCCGCTTCAGAAACCAAGTCCCGCTGAAGTCCCGCTGAAGTCCCGCTGGACCCCCCCTATCTGCACCCCGGCCCCGTTTTTGGGAGGCCTCCGGCCCACCATGGCGGGCGGGTAAACCTCCAATTGGTGCCCAAAAAGCTGTCCGCGGCAACATCTGCGGACGCGGGCCATACCATGCGCCCTCGCGCCAGCACCGGGCGGATTCCGGCTCCTCCGGGAGACAAATTGGGGGGCCTCCACGCCCTCGGAAAAAAGTGCGCGGACTCCCGGGGGAGATAGGCGAGGCAGAGGGCCCGTTCCGCTGTACCGAAAAGGCCGGCCCCCGGGCCACCCTTCCGGGCCGCCGCCCCCTTCCCGGCCCCCCCTATAGGCCCTCCGCCTTCCCGCCAGCTTCCCACCCCCTCTCTCTTCCTTTCCGGCCCCCATCCCGGTCCGGAATGGTCCTCCGGCGGGCCGCACGCAGTCGCTGCGCATCTGGTCTGATTTCTTCCATCTTGCTTTGGCAGATGGAGAACCAACGCAATTTGCTGCCAATTGACGCACCTACTTTCCGCATACTTTGCAAGTACCGCACGAGACCCGGAAGGCTTCACATTAACGACCCTTCCAGCTCTAAGATATTGCAATGATTTGTAAAAGCTATCGGTCGGCATCTTCGCTCGGTCCATCTCTGATTGTTGCTCGGTGCTACGGTTATCGGAGTTTGATTCTTGTACCATAATCCGAAGCGGAACAAACACAAACTTTGACTTTCTCATCTTCATCAATCTTGTTGACGTCGTCGGTCGCGAAGAACAAGTTCTGTGTGAAGAGTCTTCGGGATCAAGATTTACAAGAAATTCGCTGCAGCAGAGTCGAAGCTAAGCTATGATCATTTAGTTTCGAATATTTAGTTGTGAAAAAGATTTCATCTTCATAATTCTGACGTTTCTTTTCAATACCGCTTGCTACAGTGCAGCTCCTGAAGGTTGTAAATAGAGCCACAAACTGCCAACTTCTCCTCCTCGCGACGGGGCCTCCCGTTCTTAACCGAAAACTACTAAATCGAAGACTTTTATTAACGTGGTCTGTTGACAGATCACGCAACTATTTCTACAATCTCTAGTACCTACTTGAGGCGACTCGAAAATAGATTTTTGAGGAACAACTCGAAATAAGTGCAAATGTTTCTTTTTTTGTCTTCGCGTTCGCATAGTGTTTGTGGTGTAGTAGTGCTGTACCACACGACGACGTCGACCCAGCGTGAAGTACAACTATTTCGTGGAATAAGTACGAGTCAACGAGCAGGAACAAGTACTTAGACGAAGAGCTGCACCGCCAATCTAAAAATCGTCAATAGAAATAGAAAACAAGTCGAAGAACTATAGCTACAGGTCACAACTACAGATCTATCACAAGGAACTACAGAGCCGCGCCAAGATCAAAAAAAAAATTGGAGGCAAGGCAACTTTACAACTCGTCCGTAGGACAGCACCTACTATGTTTTCGCAAGTGAAGAAAACCTCGGGCCTTTTGGCCACTGTTCTGACCGCGGGGGAGCTTCCTCACCCGGGTGCGGGACTTCTTGTACTAGAGCAGGAACAGCAGGCATCCCACGAAAAAACTGTTTCACTGTGGTGATTTTTGACGATCTGCATCACAAGTTTGTTACACATGACACAGAAAACCTGCCATGCGCACTTCCCCAGGGAAAACACGCTTAAAAATCCAATGTCTTGCAGGTGTAACAAGATAAATAGTTCTGTGTTCCATTCTATGCATCACAAGTTCACAGTGAAACAGTTTTTTCTTGCGATAGCAGGAGATGGAAAACACCAAGGCCCCTCAACCGCCGCCGGGGATCATGCGTGTACTCGGCAAATTTGGTCCTTGGGCGATGAAAAACATTGCTGACATGAAGGCGGCGATCGTGGAGCGGCAAGTGGTGGAGAAAATCATATCAAATGCAAAAATTTCTGGGTCTGGGAGATTGCGAGATTTGTCATGCTAGTCTGGCATGCGCATGGCTCTCAAGTCTGTCATGCGCGCCACCCAAAAGCCACATTTCTATGTCATGCAGAAACGCAGTTTGTCATGCAGATAGACAAGACTATAGCTTAGCAACCCCAAAACTTGTCATGCTTGGCTGTCAATGAAGGCGTCCACATGATTCTCCAAACAGCATCACAAGTTTCCCAGACCCAGACATATTTGCATTGGATAAATCAAGGACAAGTACCAGACATTTCACGAAGACAACATGGAGTTCATTTCTAGCGGGCTCCTATGGATTGCAAAAATGTCTGGGTCTGGAAGAATGCAGGAGTTTGTCATGCAGATTTTGCATGACCCATGAGGTCTGTGATGCATGCCCTAGCATCAGAGATTTTGCGAGGGCTTTCTGATGCTCATACCGCATGAGAAATGCCCTCTCCGCGTAGCACAAAATACACCTCTTTTGCTGTTCATGCAATACAGATTTGACGTAGAGTCCAGAGGTAGCATCACAAGTTGCATCCTTCCAGACCCAGACATTTTTGCATTTGATAGCTCCTGGGAAACGAGAATTGGACGGGGCTACAGCCGGGCACGATTGTTCTGGGGAAAACTACCCTCGCCGGCGCGGCCCATATGCATTGCAAAAGCATCGTACTAGTAGAAATCACATTACAAATTCGGCCAGCATGACAAATGGAATTTGTCATGCTGTTTTGCCTTGAAAAAGAGATTTGCAATGCATAAATGCAATTACTACGAGTACGATACTTTTGCAATGCATAGCCCAGGGGCCGGTGCAAGATGCATTCCCGAATTACGACGTCTACAAGGTGGTGGTATCCTGTGCAAAAGTTGTATCGTACTCGTACTACTTGCAATCTTGCATGACAAACTTACCTTTTTAGCTGAATTAGCATTACAAATTCCATTTTTCTTTCTGATAAAATTTGTAATGCAATTTATACTACTAGTACGATATTACTTTTGCAATGCATAGGTGGAAAATAACGGCAACGTCGGTGACGCGGTCAAGTTCTTGCCCGTGTTCCGTCATTATCAAATGTAAAAATGTCTGGGTCTGGAAGAATGCAAGACTTGTGATGCAGGTTTTCCATGACCCATGAGGTCTGGAATGCGAGACCCAGCATGACAGATTTTTTGCGGTCTCTATCATGCCCTTCCTGCATGAGAAACTCCCTCTCAACTTGGTCAGAAGCGGACAGCTTTTGGTACTCACGCAACACAGATTTTTGCGTCATTCAGATTTAGCACGACAAGTTCCAACCTTCCGGACGTAGGCCGGATCATCCCCCTCAAGATAAGATCACCCCCCTCAAGTTTCCAAGATCACCCCCCTCAAGGGCATAGGGTTTAGGTTTTAGGGCTTAGGGGGTAGGGTTTCGGCGGTGTCGTCTGGGCCAGCCGTCGCGACGGCGCCGTCGCGACGGCTGGCCCAGACGATTCCCTCTTTCCTGTTCCGGGCCCGGGGCACGCACCGCCGTGCCGCCCTCGCCCCCCCCTTTGTTTGTTTCCCCTTCCCTTCCCCCTTCATTGGTTTGCCGTGACCCGGCTCGGGGGCGGGGACACGCTCACTGTGCCGCCTTTGTTGCCTCGGGGGGCGAGGCGCTAGGCGCTCCCGGGCTTCCTCGGGTGGCTGCCCGCCTGTGGCACATCTTGAGCCAGGAAACCTATTGGAAGGCCTTCCAGCAAATAGACACCAACGCCGCCCCGCCCTGCCCCCGGTCTGCCTGCCGCCGGCCCGCCTGCCCTTGTCCCCCCCCGTAGCCTGGCTGCCTGCCCCTGGCCTCGCTCGTGGCCCCCTTCCTACCTTCCTGCCCCTGGCCCACCCCCTGGCCCCCCTCAACCCCCCCCCCTGCATCTTGAGGGGGGTGATCCTTGGGGGGATGATCCTGCCTATGTCCCAACCTTCCAGACCCAGACATTTTTGCACTTGATAGTCATCCCAACCCGGACACCAACGGCGCGGCGCCACTTGTTCTCCCGACGGGGCCCCCGGTGGGTGAACAGTCGCCCGTTGGGGATGCGGCGACGCCGTTCGAGCTGCCGGATGACATGCAGCTGTTCGAAATGCCTCGCGCCACCTTATGGCGTTCTCAAACGTTACAGTCTCAGCTGTTACATGAATTTGTAATGCAAGAATGGCAAAAGCAAAAGGGGGAAGATAAAGATTGCAAAAATTGCATGAGGACAAATCCCGCGCAGATCTAGGTGCTGTTTAGCCCTTCGCAAATTTGTTATGCGAAGCCGTTTGATCTTGTGGATGATGGTGGTAGTTCTGCATGACAAATGCATGTAACAGC